CAATAAAGAAAAGAATATGGCTGATGTGAAATATTAAAAACTGTATCGAAGTTGCACATGTTTTTCACATAAAAAAGGCCTCTCCATCAATCTCTTTATCACAACTTTGTTTGCAATAATAATTCACAAGTTACTTAACCAAGATTCAAAATAGTTGAGAATGCATATGTGAGGCTCCATGGATGGCTTATTTATATAAAACTATGCAAGTGAAAAGAGAAGAAATGTAAATTGAAGTTAAATGATTAACTAGGCTTCTGAATAAAAGAAGATATATAATATAAATCAACAAAAATTGATAATAAAAATTTAAAATATATGTAAAATATTAGATTGGTGGAAGTACAATGCAGCTTGTAAAAAAATCCTGAAAAAATTAATCATTCTTGATTGATTTGCATGTTATGAACACTTAAAACTATGTTTTCTTTTCAAAGAGAAGGGTAACAACATTACAAAAGATAATAGCCATATTCGTGCCTTTAAGAAGATACAAGTACCTTGTCCTATTTGACTCCTCATTAGGATTATTTTTTACTTGGAAATAGTACCATCTGATGTTTTGTTATCCTATGACTTATCATTTTAGCAAGGAAATATTATTATAAAGATGATTTTCAAAACTAATTAAATTGTGTTAAATAGTTTTCATAAGTAGTGTTAAAAATTATATGTGATATTTGAAACCACATAATATTACTCCAACATATCAAGTATATATACAAATTGACCTAAGACTCTTCTCTTCATCATGCAGTCACTGTGGTGTTTCTCTTTGGGCTATGTTCAGTTTAAAAGATTTCTCTATTGGATTTCTATTAATGATTTTTAAAAATATAATTAATTTCATGGGCTAGACTCTCACAATATAATTTTTTAATCTCCACAAAGATCTCACCCCTCACAAGTAGGTCTTAACTCTTAATACTATGTCTAAGTTAATACATAATTTTTCATAAATAATAATATCTTTTTTTAGACAAACTTTGACTCTTAATACCTTATGCCTTAGCCTTACTTTCCATTCACTCACTACCCAAGTTATCTTAGAGTCTAATGGAGAGAGACAAGCTTCACTATAGTTGAAAAATTTGTAAATGATCGTAAATGATTAAGTAGGATAAAGTTTTAAATCTTTCTTTGAGATGTGTAGTCATTTAACTATAAAAGATCAAGTATGAGTTTTTCTTAAGCATGAGTGAGTGATGTGGATGAAGATTTATTTGTTCAAGATTAAACCTTGATTTTTTTCTCATTTTATTTTTCTTATATTATACTGTATCTCTATTATATTTGGATTTGAAAATGGTTATATTAATTTGAAAAACTTATTATTGTTCCACTAGTCCTCTAGTAACCTTGAATTCCTTTTTACTTTTAAACCTTTTACTTTTATGTTTTTTCTCCATGATATCCAGTATGTATATTTATAATTGATCGGTGAAGACTATCTCTTTAAGGTTCATACTCAAAAGATATTGTTTGACTTATATGTATTCTATGTTTTATATTGATGAGTTATACTTTAGGATCTGTACTTTTGACCTTTGGTCATACTTTAGCTCAAATCATTCAACTCATAAGTATTTTACCCTTGATATTATGTTGGAAGATTTTCAATTGATCAACAAATGTTTTTGTCCTCGAGGTCGAGTTAAGATAACATCATTGAGCATCCACAAACTCTGATGGTGTGTTATCATCCAAGGTATGTAAGATTTACCTTTAGTTATTCTCTACTTTGAAACATATAGGTTTTTCATAGATGATTTCAAAGGTTCTTTTGAAATATTCATAGCACTTCAATAGAAAATTTTGCTTTTAATGCTTAGTCAAAGTTGGATACTTTTCTTTGTCATGTTCTACATGTAAGACTTTAATGTGCCATCATACAAGTTACATAACCAAAAGTTTTCTACTACCTTATTTACTTCGTGTGAATGATCTAACTCAACTATGATATAAGACTTAAGTTTGAGTCTTACGTCAGTCATTAATCAACTTTTGATATTGTGACTATAGTGTGTTTTGATTTCAAATTCTACCCATACATTAATTTAAATATTTCGGTCATCAGTTTTGTACTTCTGCATAACTTACTTCCTAAGTTCAAATCTCATGTATATCATAATGTATCTTTGATTTTTCAAACATTTTTCACACTAACACTTTTATCTTCACAATGCTTAGGTGGTGCATTTGAATCTCACTTGTGACTTTATTTTTTCAAAATATACTTGAGACTTCATCACATGTATTGACATAAGTTATTCTACACTTGTAGTTTAAGAATATTACATTGTACTATTTCAATATAAAATGATATCTCAAGAATGTAACTAACTAAATTCATTGTTAGTCATAAGATCATGTATTGAGCATCATTAATGTATAATTTGAATATTTGACAATAATATTTAACTCATGATGAAAATAATTGTGGTATGGTTCAACGAATATGAAATAAATTATTCATCGATAAATTTTCTACTTGTAAATGTCAAAATCAAGAGCATCTACAATTTGACCTACAACTAACTTCTATTATATCAAGAACTCCTCACTCCTTAAGTTTTTGCTACTTTTTTTTAGGTTACATTCATTAGATATAAACTTACATACTTAATAGTTATCAATACAATCAATTATTCTACTTTTCACATGACAAATAACTATATTTTTAACAAGCACTCACTCTTACTTTGACTTTTTAGGCTTCTATCCAACTGAATAATGTAACATGTCAACATGGTTACTTCATTATGTTTTTTGGTTTTAGCTCATTTAACAATGTTAGTGTTGTCAATCCTCACTGTAAAAGCTTTAGGATGTTGCAGGAAAATAAATTATCATACAAATAATTTTCACACAACATATCGTAATAAAAATAGTACCACATATATGTAATAATAATACAACATATAAACATCTATAAAAACAGTACCATTTATAAAAACATTCATCAACTTCTACATTTCAAGTAAATGTGAACTTTATAGTGAATGAGATTTATTGGACAGCATAATAGGATATCATTACTCATTGATTTACTTATACTTATGTAAGAAAGTTTTTACTACTATAATAATATTGAAACAATCAATCTTGGGATGATTGTGGTTGATGGCCTATCATTAAACATTTATCTAAAGGATAACTAAGTTGAGAGTAATTTAGATTAAGGTGTAATATTTATTGCTTATGTGATAGTAATTTTTAGATTTTTGAAAAAATAATTCATGATACATATTAATTTTAATTTAATAAATATTTCAAAAATAGTATAAATTTTTCAAGTCTATCTCAAGTATCTAAGATAATATCAAGTAAAAGTTAGAATTTTTTTCAGAGTATGATTTTCTATGATTTTTGAACTAAAAGATCATAAGAAAATACTTTTAATATCAAATGAAATCAAAAATTTGTTGATGACAGCTATCATCAACGTCCAAAGAATAAAAATTTGGTTAAACATAGAGTTTTGTCCAACAATTCTTCTTATGTAAACTATTATAGATGATTTAATTGATGAAATTGAGGTCTGTAAATGCTGAATGAATCATAATTGATAAAATAATCTCGAAAGTTTAATTTTTTTAAAAAATATTAATTTAAATATTAATCAAGTTTTGAAAAAGAAATTTCGATGTCGTGGTGGTGATCACCGAAATTTTAGGTGTTTTGGAGAATCTCTAAATAGTGTCCACAATTTTGAAGGCTCTCCTTTGATGTGCAAAGCTTAGGCTCTTTCTAGATTCAACTACAAACTCTAGAGGACAAAGGTAAAAGTCAATGAAGTGTTTTCCATGACTATCATCCAATAGAATAAAAGTTCGGTGATGATGGGTCTCTAGTGAATGTCACCCAATAGAGCTAAACTAGAGGGAGGTGTGATGTGTCTCAAAAAGCTTATTCCTCATGCGCACGCATTGAGAGGATGCTTGTATTATGATTAAACCACTTGAAGACATCAAAATAACTCTCTTAGTAGATTGTCTTGTTCTCGACAATGACTCAATTTGTCAACTAATTAGAGATCTTTTCCTCTAAGAATTTATGATCTTTATATCCATAATTATTTGTTAGTTGTTGATGATGATCTTAGCTTATGATGACAAAGATTTCATGAATAATTGATCACCTTCATCGACTATTTCATTAACATGCTCTCTACAAGAAAACTACAAAATTAAAATAGAATAAAGTTATAATTTTTGACATCAATGAGATTCAAACCTCTACCTTTCACCTAGGTGCATAAGGGAAGTTCAACCACTTATTATAATACCCTTAAAATAGTGAACACACAATTCAATTAATTCTCTTACTCTAAAGATAATTTAAAATTTAATTTCTACGTACAAACACTACCATTAGTTTATTCCCACATCAGTAGTTTCTAGAGATTTTAGATCAATATAACCATGGACTTCTTCTACTTTCAAGTTCCCTCTCTCATAAAAAAAATGGTTAGAACCACTTGGGGAGAGGGTATATCCATCTTGATAACTCTTGACTTAGGATGTCAAAGGTCCTAACTGAAATTATGTAAAACTATTTATATTTCTACTATCCTAATCAATTTAATGAGTAGAGAGGGTAAGATAGGGGTCAAACCACAAGGAGAAAAACTAATGATCTTAAGAAATACTAGGTAATGAGAAAAAATCAGTTAGAAGATGGACAAGAGAAAAAGAGAAGAGATGAGTGGGAGACTAAAAATATGGGTTAAATGGGATGTAATGAAGGAAACCCTAAATCATGGTTGTCCTAGGGGGTTGTAAAAAATAAGTTTTGAAAGTATTTTAATGAGAAAGAGTGTTCAAGATTGAAAAGAAATAATGTAACTACTTAGAACCTATCTAAAACCCTAGGTTTTACCCTAGGGACAAAAGAAAATGAGACAAGCAGGTAAAGGGAAGAAGATTACTTAACTTCGGCCTTTATTTGGCAGAGCCTTGTAGGGGGCGTCTGTCGCAGAAGATACGGTGAAGGGGGCGATGGGAGGCGCTGTAGCGGACGTCAGGTCCAAGGACCAGCTGGATGGAGTGTTAGGTGGCGGTGGCTCTGTGGTCCTCCACTTCTGGGCTTCGTGGTGCGAGGCGTCCAAGCAGATGGACCAAGTCTTCTCCCACCTCTCCGCTGACTTCCCCAGCGCTCGCTTCCTTAGGGTCGAAGCTGAAGAACAACCCGAAATTTCAGAGTGTTATTCAGTTAGCGCTGTACCTTTTTTTGTCTTCTGCAAGGATGGTAAAGTCGTTGACAAATTAGAGGGTGCAAACCCCCCCAGTTAAGCTGAAAAGATCTCTAAAGTTGTGGGACCTAAGAACCGTGGGGAACCTGGCGGAGGGGAAGATGGAGCTCCTCCTTCAGAAGGCCCTGCATCAAACCACCCCAGTGACTCCCTCAAGAACCGGCTGCAGCAACTTGTGGACTTCCACCCTGTTTTCCTCTTTATGAAGGGAACCCCGGACCAGCCGAAGTGTGGGTTCAGCCGCAAGGTAGTAGACATTCTCAAGGACGAGGGAGTTGACTTTGGAAGCTTTGACATTCTCACGGACAACGACGTCCGCGAGGGGATGAAGAAGTTCTCCAATTGGCCGACCTTTCCCCAGCTCTTCTGCAAGGGGGAGCTCCTCGGCGGCTGCGACATTGCGGTCGCCATGCACGAAAGCGGTGAACTTAAGGAGGCGTTCAGAGACCATGGGCTTCTCGGCGTTGACTCTGGAGCAGCAGCAGCAGCAGCAACAACAGTAGTCTCTGAATCGGAGAACCCTCCCCAAGCGGCCACCGAGGAGAAATCCGTGGAGACGACCTCTGATGCAAGCGGTGCCCTCAATTCTCGTCTGGAGGAGCTCACCAACAGAAGCTCCGTCATGCTGTTCATGAAAGGAACCCCAGATGAATCCAGGTGCGGCTTCAGCCGCAAGGCCGTTGAGATTCTTCGACAGGAGAAGGTCGAGTTTCAGAGCTTCGACATCCTCTCCGACAACGAAGTCCGACAGGGGCTGAAAGTCTTCTCCAACTGATCGAGCTACCCACAGCTTTACATAAAGGGGGAGCTCATCGGAGGGTCCGACATCATGTTGGAGATGCAGAGGAGCGGCGAGCTGAAGACGACTCTCACCGAGAAGGGCGTCCTGCCCGGAGAACAAACCCTAGAGGAGCGGCTCATAGACCTGGTCTCCTCCTCGCCGGTGATGCTCTTCATGAAGGGCTCTCCTGATGCACCGCGCTGTGGGTTCAGCTCCAAGGTGGTGAGTGCCCTCAGAGAGGAAGGAGTTGACTTCGGGTACTTCGACATCCTGACCGACGACGAAGTGAGGCAGGGCTTGAAGACCTTCTCCAACTGGCCCACTTTCCCTCAGCTCTACTACAAGAGCGACCTCATCGGCGGCTGTGACATCGTCTTGGAGCTGCACAAGAACGGGGAACTGAGAGCCACTCTCACTGAGTAGCCCCCCAATCTTATTTTCTTCAGATTTTTGCCTTTAACAGACTCGAACATATGATCATTTTACCCACACGGGTACTGTTATTTCTGGACACAGTCAGATATTCACGCCATGATTCACGCTGGGCAAAAAAAAAAAAAAAAAAAAAAAAAAAAACTTCGGCCTTTATTTGTCACCAAGGTCAAGCGGTTTCCTCTAACATGTTGATCTCTACACTTTACTCGTTGCAACTCGATCTTCAACACTCAACTTTGCCCTCAAGGCCTTTTTTCATCACTCAAGATTACTCAAAAGGGGAAGAAGAATAGATTTTTGGTATAGAAATTATTTCACTCTGATCAACAACTGTTGGGACTCCTTCCAAAAGATGAGAAAGAAAAGGGGTGAAGAAAATACATATAAGTAATAAATTTTCCCAAAATATCTTTGGCTCTTTCTCAAAATATCCCTCACTCCTCTCCTTATTTTTCACAACCTTCTTTAAGCCAGTTTGTTAATCCAAGTATGGGGATGCGAAGAGCACATCTTGAAGATTGTGCCCACAAATTTTGGGCTTGAAACCCCTTTTAGATCATCAGATATCGATCGTAGAAAATAAAGAAATCTATGTCGTTGAATGGGTGTCTCCATTGCAAAAGAACCACTAAAAGGTGATGGTTGAGAAGAGAAGTTTATAACTACTATTTATGGTGAGAAGACGTTCCTAACCACCAAAAGTGGATGGTTAAGATGAAGAGACATCTTTAACCACCACTTACGGTGACAAGACGTCCTTAACCACCAAAATCTGATGGTTAAGGAGAAGAGTTGTCTTTAATCACCGTTTATAGTGACAAGACATCTTTAACCACCGAAAGTTGATAATTAAGGAGAAGAGATGTCTTTAACTATCATTTTTGGTGACAAGATGTCTTTAAGCACCAAAAATAAGAGTCATAGTAATCCTCGACTGGTAGTCCACATCTTCTCGCCTTTTGCTCATGTGTGATACCTCATATTCTCACATTCTACATAGTACAATGCTCCACATCTTCTCATACTCTGCGTAACTACAACTTGAATAAAATATTTATGAATTAAATAATCATGGTGCCGCTGCATCACATACGACGGTGTGTCAAATATATAAAATACCAATGGCTGGCACGTGTCGTTAACTGCAAGAAAATGTGGAAAAGCCTCTAGAATGTGTGAAAGAATGCATACATATTTCTCAAAATTAGTTTAATTTCCTCATAACTTAAATATATCAAAATAAATCCAAAAAAAAGTCATAAAAAATACAAAAAAATTATAAATAGGAAAAAATTCTTAGGATCATTATAAAGTTATTATTTTGTTATTTTTTAAATGATAACATGTTAAAATAAGACATTTGATCCTAAAATATATTCATTTTAAGGCAATTAATAATTCTTTTGACATATTATCACACCCCCACATACACATGTGTGATGAGATCATACCTTGTCACGTGCACTAGTTCTGCTCTAGTGATGTGGAAGAGTCATGCACATATGCTCTGTGTGGGTTCCTTGCGTCACTTAGCTCGGCTCATGGTTCCCCCAATTGTACTTCTCACTCATTTATAATGTCCTCTAGGTGAACTATCGAGTGTCAGCTGGCCAATGTGTCCCCCTCTTTTTATATTTATTTTATTTATTTTATTTTTATTTATTTTAACTCTAAAATATGTATGTCAAAATCATATAAAGTTACATAATTAACTAGAACTTCACATTAATCATATAAAAATCCTCTCTATTTAATGTAAATGAGTGTATATATATCATGAGTTAGTTCATAAGACTAATATTTAAAACCATTATTAACTTACAATAATAAACACTTAATAGCAGCCAAGGTAGAAAGGGTGGTATTCACATATGCATACATTATCTAGTGGAAGGGTCTTCTCAAGTTAGAAAAGATGAAGAGTTTTCTTAAATGTTGTACATATATCATCAAGTCATGTAAGAATTAGATAGCATTTCTGATCTTGCATGAAATATGATAGATCTAAGTTATGCATCATATCAAAGCCTTCTCTTCTCATTTATTTCTAAATTCATTTGATAACAATGATGTAAGATCCAATGGCCAATGTTAATTTTTTCATATATATTGTCATCACTAGTCTTGCATCCATTAAAGAGATGATAATTTTGAAATGAAGCATGAAGTCATTCAAAATGCTATGTTTTATTAATGTGAAACCTCTCTCTCCCTCTCTCCCTCTCCCTCTCTCTCCGTGCCTCATGGTCATATCAGGTTAGGACAATCATAGGCGCCTGAAATCAGCCTCATTGTTGTCACAATCACCTGTACTTTCCTTCCCACGTGCTCTGCAATCGTGTAGAAAACCCTTTCCCTATGTTTTCACATTCTTGGGTTTATTGGTCAGTGCTTCTATGTAATCACATGCATGTTTGTTCAATTTGAGACTACAATGCACAAAAGGGACTCGAGAGGTTAGCCCTAGGTTTTCTCTCAAAAAAAAATCCCCTGCCTCTTCTTCATCTTTAACTTTTGGTGTTGATATCCATCAGTTGGTGGGTATAATGGTTCCATGCATCTTGTTCTTATCTTTTTTTTCTTTTTTTTTATCCTTTTCTTTTTGGTTGAGATCGGGGGGAACATGTGAGATAAAATAAAAAACAAAGGAGCTCATAATTGATGTCATTTTTCATCTCTCTGTTTTTTTATGTGTGTGGATCAATTCTTCTACCTTTACTTTCAAGAGATCCTCATCAACTCATGATTCTTGGATCCAACTTCACAAAGTTTCCCCTTAGATGATATTTGATTTATATTCACACTCTATGGATGCAAGGACCTTTTACTTCCACATGAAGCACATTAGATGGGTAGTTGCTATGACTCTCAAAGTGATGTAATTTTTGAGATTCTTTTTGGAGATTTGGGAGGTGTTTGCCAACTACATACCCTGAATTTTAATGTGAACAATGGCTTATAACCATTTTGGATACTACAACATCCAACTAGCATAAACTGCTATTTTATTTATTATGCATTTTGACTTCTTAGATGACTGATCATGAATTTGGATTTTGAATGATATTGTAATCATTATTGTGTCAAAATAATTACTTTTTTGGGCAAAACGATGGTGTATCGGTGTTTGAAATCAGGCATTAATAATTATAACTAGTTGTGAAGTCATTCCTGCACATCCTTTATTAAGCATTTATTAGAATCATACCCACCTACATCAACTTGTGTCATAACAATCAGATGTTTTTTCTTGTCAATGTAGAGCACAAGTCCATCAAAAGGGAAAAGGTCATAACTTGTGGCTTAGATGGACAGAAAATGTGAAAGTGTGGAGAAAAAATATTTCAAGGCCCAAATAAATTCAAAACGCAAGTCAAATTTAAAGTCCTAAAACATAGGTCGAGCACTATTTTAGTAAAAATAGTAACTTATTTTTATTATTATTATTACTTTTATTATTTAATACTATTTGTATGTTAGTAATAATTGATGTCGATTTATTAAAACTTGATAGTATGGCATCACCCTTTTTTCCACTAATAGAATTTTAATTTTCTATATATATATTTCCCTCCAAACCCTCTTAGATTCAAGAGAAAACAACTTAATTCATATGGATTGGAGGGATGTACAAATCAATTATTGTGGACTTGTAAAATAAATCTTAATCCTTTTGAATTCAAGGTATAATTTTCATCCTTCACAAATGTACATGATATCAATTAGTATCAAAGTAATGTTTAAAGTCATACAATTTATTATGCTATGTGGACATAACATGTTGATCCTTTAGATTACATAATTCATGGGGTAAGTTCTCTTTCTATAATAATTTTTTCAAGTTCTAGAAATTTGTTTTTCATTACCTGTGGGATGAGCATGATGCTTTCAAGGATGATGGCAACTAAAGTCTCATTCTAATATAGATACGGTGACCATAAGTATTATTTTATTAACTAATCATTCATCCTTTGCATAGGTAGCCACTTTGTGGCAAAAAAAAGGCACAAATAAACATTCTTCTTTTGTATCTAGAAATAATATAGGCAACTTTGAGGAAAATTATTTAAAAACCTTTAGATGAATATTTTTAAAAGTTATGGATAAGGATTAACTTGCCCAATTTTCAAGGACATCTATGCCCAAAGAGTTTATGGATTGGTTGGAGAGGGTGAACATTTTTTAAATTTAAGAAAGTCCAAGAGAGAAGCAGCTGAATTTATCGTACACAACTTGAAAGGTGGTGCCTCAACATGATATTAGCTTTAGGCAACAGTTGTTATAGCTGGTATGAACATAGTTCAAATAAAAAGTACCAAAATTTTAATTTATTCCACTTAACTATATCCAAAGTTAATACAAATTGTATTGAAGTAGTAAATAAAGAAATGAAATGATGACTTGGCATGCAAAGGAATGCACAAATTGTATTCTCATGTTAATGCATTCCTAAATTAAGTTATCACTTCAAAAGTTGTCTTTATGATATTGAAATAGCGATCAAAAGAACAAAATCCCTAAATTAAGAAGGCAAGACTAAATCTCATAATTTAACTACGACATGGTGCACAAGAAAATGAAAAACAAGTCATAGTGCATAGAGAAATTAGTGGATATCTAGAAAATAGACATATCTATGCTGATTCAACCCATCATATGTGAGGTAAAAGGCCAAAATCCCAATATAAAAAGATGATAATCATAACCCTACTTCAAAACATAGGAATACATTTATGTTGCTTGACAAAAAAAAAATGATAAAAAATTGAAATATTTGAAATGCTACGAAAGAAGGACCATGGGTTTAGATCCTCGAATGTCATAGTCAAACCTCTACAAAATATTTTATGCAAGTTTAATATCATATAAAACTTTTTTTCACCGTGCTCTTATTAAAGACAACATCATATGGACTTAATATGTAGAGAAATCATATCTAATCAACCAAATTGCATAGTCCTTGAGATATTAAAATATTTCAAGAGCACTTAAATTTGTTTGCAAAACATTTAGTCATGAAGAACATGAAAACTCTTATAGACCTAGCATTATTGGTGCAGATAGAGGGTGATGGCTAGTAAAATTGTGTAAATAGTTATGCTATCAATAAGATCACTATGGAATATATATTTCATATTATAAGGTTGAGTATGCATTGATGATGATGACTTTAACAATGATTAATAATTTTATTTGGTTCATCTTATGCCTACACTACATTCAAGAATGCTTTGTCTTAAATCACAAGATATAAAGCATGATATTAATGGTACACTCTGTAATAAGGTCACTAGTTCTTCATAAGATGATAATCTTTTAAAGTCTATTTGATTCCCATTGTACTAATTGTAGATAACAAAAAATATTTATTTATTTAAACATTTATCTATATTTGGTCGAATGCTAATCCCAATACAATGTAAACAATGGTCCCAATCTTCCATAGAGTGAAAATGATCTATTTGTATTTATCTTATGTAATTCATGAGAATTTTTCAAATATAGTGGCATTTGTGTGAATAGGAAATACATTTTTGAATTTTTTACTTCAATCTTGTCACATAAAAGAATAATTATAAAAGGGAATCATACAAACAACTACAATGAACTATTTGTCATGTAATTGTAGGATGAACTATCGTGGCTATTGTCTACAAGAAAAGAAAGGCTACTAGTTGATAAAAGCTCATATGGAAGACATTGGGATAAAGAAGGATCTATTAAATTAAGGTGCAATGTAGATGTATTATCTAAGAAAGAAGCACACCAAAGTCAAATTGATTACTTCTAATTGAAGAAGCTAATATTTCTAATAAATGATGAGTATGGATCTAGTTAGACAATAAGAGAATGAGTGAGATGGAAAGTTATCATCATTCACTTTAAACGAGAAATGTGTACCTCATGTAATAAAGAGGTTTAGGGGACAGCTTAACTATCAAGCTTAGGTCCCTAGGTTACTACTTGTTGGTAAAATAAGAATGATGTAATATCCAAAGGGCAATTATCAACTTTATTTCATGTATGAAGTTCATATATGAAATGTACTATTGTCATTCAGGGTGTATTTCATACATGAAACGTGAAACCATGAACCTAAATCATATGAGTTTTCAAAATAAACATTGAATCTATCTCTTAGTACATAACTAATATTGAAAAAAAGCAAGCAATGTTTACTCTGTACATATGAAACAAGAAGAAATGATAAACTTTTATGAACTAACTCTAGCAATAAACTTTGAAGCCATTCATTATAAAGCCAATATGATTTATTAATAGCATATTAAATTAAAAATAAAATGTCACCTTGAGTAAAATCTTCACGAAGAAAAGTTTATCAGCATTCACCCACTTGCCAACCAGGAATAGCAAGTAGTAGCACTACTCTACTTGTTTGATAATATCCTGAAAGATGTTTCAGCTCAGTACTATTATTTTCCAAAGACAGTTACTTCATGTGCCAAATAGTGATCTGTAAGAGGGTCATTGAATAAAAACAGCCTAAATAAAGGGTATTATTGGTTGATATTGTAACATAAAAAAAATCGAGTAGAATTACCAGTGGCACAAATAACAAGTCAATTGTAATAAAATGCATAAGAAAACTAAAAAATAGGAATAAATTACACTGCAGAAAACGCTGGTCTACAGCTATTTGTCTTTATTACTGATGCTACTGCTCCAAATGAAATCCGATTAAATAATCTATTAGGCTAATTTCGAAATATTTCACGTTGATTTAATTAAAGCGTAATATTATTTTAACCGGAATAACGAAGAGCTTTGGTGGTCGTTGGTGAAACCATACATACGCAAACACCTGTGTCAACACCCCCCGTTGCCACCACAGCGCGCTGCTCTTTCCTACACGAGCGCTCTGCGGTCGCGTAAAGAATCCCCTCCCCGCCTTGTCGCGATCTTCGGTCTGTTCGTATGTGCTGCACATTTATTTAATCTCACTCCTGTTTGTTTGTTTGAGAGTAGAGTGCACAGAAGGGACTCGAGAGGTTGGCCCCAGGTTTTCTCTGAGGTATCTGCTTTCCCCCTGCCGCGTTCTTATTAACTGACCTCTGGTGTTTAGATTCGTCTTCTTCCTGACGACGACGGTTACCTGCGTTTTCCCTTTTTTTGCTTTTTTCTTGTTTTTTTCGCTAAGACGGGGAAGAAAAATCTAATGTGGAAAAAAAACACAGCGAAGGGGATCACGATTGATCGTTTTGCCGTTGCTGCGCCTTTTCTCTGTCTGGATCGTTTCATATGCTTTTAATTTTCAAATGAGCCATCTGGACTCGTGATTCATGGATCCAACTGCGCAGATTTTCTTAGGGGACGGTGTTGGAGCCATTTCCGCAGTATCTGCGGATGGGTAAGCCTTCCCTTGTCCGATGGTCTCCAGGTTAGGAAGCACATTACATCAGAAGTTGCTATGACGTCCTTAATGGTGCGATTATGGGGTTCTCTTGGGGGATTTTAGAGACGTCCGCCGAGCGAACGTGCTGAATTTAAGTTTAAATGGAAAAATCCTATAAAAACTCGTTCTGATTATTAAAGCATCCACACAGCTGTTTCTTATCTTTTCAAGCGGCCAGGTCAGCTTCACAATGCCTTCCCTCAGGATGTCAGCAAATATCTTCTGGCAAGATTGCCCCATTGGCAAACTCGACAGGCAGAAACTGCTCAACCAGAAAGGCTGTGTTGTGTGGATTACTGGCCTCAGCGGATCAGGTTTCATTATATTATCACTCCTCTAAAATGGCTCCTGCGTTGAAGCATGTTTTAAGTTCTCAGAAGACCAGATATTTCGTTTTAAATTTAGATGATAACCGTGTGGGGCTGTTAATTCTTTGACATATGCGTGGAAAGTCTATCAACGAAGTAGATTGCTACCTGTTATTTCTTTGCATTTTGACCTTTCGGAGGACCGTCAATGATTCAAAGCATATTCCGAAGGGGTTTTTTCTTTATTCTACTATATTCATGAGCTCAGATTGTCAATAAAAATTCCCAGGATTATTTTGTCAAAAAAAATCTCTTCTCGAGTCAGATAAACAACAGGAAGGATGTTGGATAATCTTTGGCACTAGAAAATAATAATACTAAGTAAGCACCTCAAAATAAGGATCTCCCTTGAGCAAAAACATTTAATAGGAAGAAGAATCCATACTGGCAGTACGAGTCTTCTCTAAAGCTGTGTTGCGGAGGCAGCTGAATTTGTGGAGAACTGGGTAATGCTTCTTTTGCGGAGGGAGCTGAATGTTACTTCAGATGGTGTAACCATTCGACAAATGACACCTTGAAACTAGAAAATCAAGGCTTCTTTTTCTATTTTCCAGGGTGCATGGGAGCTATTGTCTATGATGTGTTGATGATTTTATCTGCATGCATGCAGATTTATATATAGATAGATGTCACTGTGAACCGACACCGTGCTTTCATTGTGCACCTCCACCCAGATATGGAACCTTCATAGTTTGCCTTACATTACCACCATTGTTCTAGAAGATGATTTTCGTTGTGATTTAACAAAAAAAAACCCTAGCTCTTGCTTGGGATGAAGTAACATTGCCACAATGTTTGACAGGGAAAAGCACTCTGGCATGCACAGTGGGTAGAGATCTACATTCTAGAGGAAAGCTTTCTTACATACTTGATGGAGACAATCTTAGACATGGACTGAACAAAGACCTTGGTTTTAAAGCAGAAGATCGTGCAGAAAATATTCGCAGAGTTGGTAAGTGTCATCCTCTTGCTTAGCAATTTAGGTGCACGCAATATTCAGGAGAAAGCTCAGTTCATGATCCTTTGGTACGTATTGTTTTTTCTGGAGGGTTGGTCGGCCATCTGTTTCATGGAACAAGCAATAAATACTGGAGGGAGAAAGTATTTTTTCTTTTTCACTTTCTACAGTTTTAGTATCATAAACTGGACAAAAACTCCATATTGCCCAGGTGCATCACGTAGGAATCAAGGCAGTTCCTCACTCATTGTTGGGGCCGAATTTATTCAATTCCGAATTCTTTTACATCCGCGCTCATGCAATTAATCTGATTGCCAGATAGAGATTTTAGAATATGACTACTTCAAATCATAAAGAGAACGTTCTGCCAATTGAATAATTAACCATAATAATTGGAATTGTGAGGTACACAGATGGCATATAGTTAGCACGTAGGCAGTGATTAATAATATAAAATATTTATTAGAGGTTTCCACTGCTCAACACATGAGATGAAATGAACCTAGGCGCATTAGGTCAACATGAAGAATGAAAGTTGAGAAAAGAAAAGATAATAAGATGGCAAAAAAGAAGGATGGAGCAGAAAAACTCTCGGCACCTTGTTGCTGTCATTGACTTACACTGATTGAATTTTCATGTTTCATTCCATTTATCTCATCCAAGGGGAAGTGGCAAAGCTGTTTGCGGACGCAGGTCTGATTTGTATCACTAGCTTGATATCTCCATATAGAAGAGATCGTGAGGCTTGTCGAGCTCTTTTTTCTGATGCAAGCTTTATTGAGGTGAGTTTGGCGGCTATAGCATTTGTCTGATGGTGAGGTTAAAGAAAATTTTCTGCTTCACTTGTGTTTTGGTTCTTTCTCTTTAGATTTTCATGAACATGCCTCTGGAATTGTGTGAAGCGAGGGATCCTAAAGGTCTGTACAAACTTGCGCGTGCTGGAGTGATTAAAGGTGTGTTGTACTGACTTCAACTAATTAGAAAGCTGACGTCAGTTGCTTCTTAGAGCCACCCCTGAAGATGCCCACATCGTAATACACATATATGGACCTCCTATAGTTATTCCTGTCCACACAAAAAAAATGGCACACATATTTATGACAGATGACTGAATTGTATTTTAGATCGTCCTAAACTACGTAATATTGGAGTAGCCTAGTCGTGCATTCTGATAGAGAACTTGTGAACCTGTTAGTTTTAGGGATCCTGCAACTATGTAGTTAGTGAAAATGGTTCGAAGCAGAAAAGTAAGGCAGATGGAAGTTGTGGAAAAAGAAATAGCACTTTGATGAAAGAAATACAGGCTTCGTGTCCGGTGGAAACCCATTGAGGAAGCTGTTTGCTGAATCAATGAATCGCCACTTGACAACCAATGCCATTTTTATAGAGGTTTTGGATTTGTAGCTTATTTTTTGGCTAATATCTTCAAATCATTAGTTTTCTTTAACTAACCTATCATCCCTAGAACTCGAGAATTCTTCAGTGTTCCTAGGATAACTTGCATCACACTCAAATATCGATGCACTCTATAATGTCTTTCCCCTTACGATTCATATTTTCTTGCAGGTTTTACTGGTATTGATGATCCATATGAGCCCCCTCTCGATTCCGAGGTAGATTAGTCTGCATTAATCAACTGCTTCCTTTGGATTGATGTGAATACGTGGAGATAGATGTCTTCTCTGGATACACTGTTTCATTTAACATTGCATTCCTCTCCTTACAGTTGTTTGGGGCAATGCTTTTGACTTTTCAGATTAGTTTTCTTGACTATTTTCTATGGTTTTGCCAACCTGTTGAGACTCATACGATTCGAGTCCTTTGTTTATAGTACCAATCCTCGCTATGCATCAGGATTAGTTGAGTTTCATAGCTAAAGCTTTCTCGAATGAAACATATAAATGTTCCACGGTTTATTATGGGGTTTTATTATGAGCATTTTCCCCAATAATTTCAAATTAGATTAAAAAAATATCAATCTTGATTTCATGAGAATGGGCAAGTTGAAACTTGGGCAGATCTAAGAGGAACCACATGAGAAGCCAGAACATCTTAGCGGTGTTCGAGACTACAACTGCCTGGATCCTACTGTGTCAAGAACCATCATATTTAGCTTGCAATGGACGGCTGAACATCTGTTAGCAATCCGAACAGAAACGATTCCAAAAACTTCAACAATTTTCTGAAGATGTGAAATATGTCGGTTTCCATATCACCGTTTTGCTCTATTTTTGTTGATTCGGTTCCTTCTAAGGGAACGATTTTTATTTTTATTTTTGCAGATAGAAATAGGACTGAAAGATGGAATCTGCCCCCCTCCTAGCGAGATGGCTGGGGTAGTGGTCTCGTACTTAGAGGAGAATGGCTTTCTCCACGAGTAATCGTTATTTGGTGGAACCGGGTAATTGAGCATTGTCGCCAATATGGGTGCCTTCCTCCTCCATTCACCTGGGTCGTCTGTAAAGCATCAGAAAACGTCAGAATTCGTTGAATATGCGGTGAATCAGTGGCATGATTTGTTCAGCAGAAAGCCCAGGTGATGTATTTTGTTGATCTTCGATTCTAACTCTTGTAGTAGAGAGAACCGCGGAAGCTGAAAATTGCTGATAGATTTCTGAACAGTGGAGAGAACCGCGGGCTTTTTTCTGTGTCCGTGCGTTCTTACATGGATTTGATAACGGGCCGGGCAGGGCCCAGATCTCTCTCTCTCTCTCTCTCTCTCTCTCTCTCTCTCTCTCTCTCTCTCTCGCTATGTCTCCCGCAGTAATGGTTGTTGATGCGATGATTGAGGATCTGCCCTTGATTTCCCTGCGCTTTTCGATTTAGGTGCCCTACTTTGATTCCGAGTCGTTTGATCTCTGGCGCGGCGGGAAGGGGGGAGGACTTCGTGGGCGGCGCCGCGTGTAAACTATTCACGCTGTCTCTCTTTCTCCCTCGCGGAACCCATTTTCTAGGCCTCTGTCCGTCCAGGCCTTCATCGCCTCTGGAACCCGTACAGGGCTCGAGCTCAAGTAGGCAAGCCTCAAGCACAGTCCGGCCCATCAACAGCCCCCCCCCCAACCACCTCCACCTTAATCTAATAATCATCCTGGGAATTCGAAATGATTTGTACAAAGCTCCTAGATTTTACGTAAAATTCCCTCGGTTCGGATCATCGCACTATATAATCGCATTTATTCAGAATTTACATTATCCCTCGATCTCGAAGCCACTTGAAAATAATATACACTACAGAACACATCAGAGTTACTTCATTTAAAGACAATAGCAGGTTCTCAGCCAAACCCTTCTGGCCACCAACAAACATTACATGGCTGCAGCGATTTCCAAATCATTGACGAGCATGAAACATGACTCAAACTCCATTGCACGTATATCGAACGAGACCGAAATTTTCAACACCGTGGACCGTGGAAGATCCGCAGGAGATCTGCGCGATGGGTTGCTTTCGCCCCTCTCTTTGCCTGCCCTGCCCTGCCGTCATGAAGCCTGAGCACGGCGGCAGCGTAGCAGCGGCAGAGGATGAGAGATCCCCCACATACTTCCTTAGCACCCCCAATGTCAGATAATATATTATATCCACACAGAGAGAGCTTTGAATGCCATTAGATCATAGTAATCTTTAATGTTCGACGGGGGGGGACTCCAGTGGCGCTATGGCTGTTCGGTTCTCGGCATGATTGGCATTGAATTGGCGGGGCTCAGTTCAGGGCCGACGGTGCCGGGGGATTATTATCGTATAATAACTAGCAGTCTTCGGCTGGAAGGACTGGCCATCTATCTTACGAGTAATTAGAATTTTTATCCGTGTTTTCTTCTCTTATGTCGCTCGTCGTGGATACCGATCGAACTCGTAGCTCCGGCTTTCACGTGGAGACTCCCCTTTCATGGAGAGGATTATGGGAGCCCCGTGATGCGGGAATCGGCCCACGAATGACGACGACGACAATGAAAGCACCGCGAAAAAAAGAAGGGCATCTTTTCCATCACCAGCCTGATCTCTCTCTCTCTCTCTCTCTAACTAAGGAAGTCGGGAAAGGGGGATTCCCTTCAATGCAGTGGACTTCCGTGGGAGAAAGGAGGACCCTTTTCTCTTCAATGGGGGAGGAGGAGCCGCAGGGGCCCGCCTGCCATTTTCTCTTTTTCGGTGCCGCACAAGCAACGCCGCCCCGTGGACGGAGATCGTCGGCCAACGGTCCTGTGCTCGTCGGCGTGGCGCGAGCCGGCGGCGGGCGCGCCGCCTGGCACGGATGGCCCCGGCGGCTCCCGGACAAACGCGCTATGATGGCGAGCCAAGATGGGGCCAAGCACATTCAAAACCCCTGCCTATACGGAAACAGTGAGCCCTTCCTCCCCCCCCCTTGTCCCTACCTCTCGAGCCCCAGCGGCGCCGCCGAAGAGAACAATGGCGTCTCCATCATCGCCGTCCTCCGGCGCACGGCGGAGCCACCGCTCGCGGCTGAGCTGAGATTCTCGCGCCCATGTGGCCTCTGCCTCCGTTGCCGGGCAGAGCTGGAAAGCTCGAGAGGGGGCCCTCCGCCGTCGAACGGCGGCCTTACATTATGCATCAGCATCTCTGACAGCTACTTGCGGACTGTGAATTGAATAATCTATGCGAAAGAATTAATTAATCTACGAACCTGGGGGTGGGGCCGTCGTCTTCACGGCCACCCCCGCCGCCGGAGTTCAGACCCGGCGGTTGGTTGACGGCAGCCCCCATGCACCATGACAAGGCATGTTGGATTCTGCGGATCCAAGCTGATCTGTCGAGGATGGTCAAACTCTCGATCTGACCGGGCCGGCCCGATTTTGACCGCGGATCGCCTCGTCGATGAGAGATCCTCCCGAGCTCATCGACGGTCAAATAACGTGACACCTGTCTCCGTTAATAGAATTCTCAATATTGACTGAATTTGAAAGAAACAGGGAGTCTTTAATGGCCTGCCTCTCTCAGCTTTATGATTAAATAGTTAACTCGGTTAGAAAATATCAACCCACGTGAGATGCATCACAAAATAAATTCAAGTCGACAGACTTTAGTTAGGGAGATAGTGACCCATCCATCTCTCTCTCTCCCCCTCCTTCCCTCTCTGAATCATGTTCGATTGGCACGTAGCAGAAGGGCTCGTTCCATGCCGATCGATGAAGAAGAGTCAAGATCTCAATGAAAACTTAGAAAATAACTAGTACAAGGGGAAAAAGCGACGTGAGATAGCACGGCGCCTCTCTCTCTACCCCACACCGCAGTTCCTTCCGAGGGCTGCCTTGGCAGTGTCACCCTGTTCAAACTCCCAATGGGTTTGTTCTTAGTAACAGTGAAGGTGTTCTGGTTGCTCATCTCCCTCTCTCTCTCTCTCTCGCTCTCTAAACACTCTGAGGAGCTTCTCAGATCCCGCGGCAGGAGAGGTTTCCTGCCGCCGCGTTGATCCTGTGACACAGTGGAGGAGGCCCTGCCTGCTACCGTGGGAGATTTTGGCATGGTCGGGAGGGGAGGTTATTGTGGCAGAGGTGAGAAGACGAGGTCCCTCCGCCTCTACGATCACGGGGAAGATAACAAGGGAACGGGGATCGGTGTGGAAGATCCCACGTGAACATGAGGTGAAAAGGAGAATACAGATACCTAACGCTTCCTGCCGCCACCTCCACCGCTCGTGTCCTCACTTCACAAGAATCCAACGCTCACAGGGCACGTAGTCCCCATCCTCTCTCTCTCTCTCTCCCTCCCGTCCTCTGTCTGCCTGTCTGTCTGTCTCCGTGTGCCTCTGTTTCTCTGTCTCTCTCTCCCTCTCTCGCTCTAGAGCTTTCTGTGCATCGGCGAAGCGATCGATGGAGACGAGACAGGAGGGGGAAAGGAATCCAGACCAAGGCAAAGGTCAAGCACCTGAGCGGTGCGGGACACAGGAGAACGCCGTGCGTGCGGGGCTGGAGCTGGGATAATGCGGCGCGGTGCAGCGGCGGCAGCGGTGACAGCCGCCGTGAAAGACCCCCCATGCTGCTCCAACTGAGTTCGACACAGCTGAAGCTCCCATGAAGCGTGAAAGGGACGGAGAGAGAGAGAGAAGGGAAAGGGAGGGGAATAGATTGTCCATTAAATGACTGCTGTATAGGGCCCTCCTTCCCGTGCGAACACTATTATCGTCGAGGAAGACGACCCTCTCTAACTCTGCGGAACACCTCCCTGGCAGGGTTTCAACCGGGTCAGCTCCATCTCACCGGCAACGACGGCGGAGGGAAAGGACGGCCGATGAACGGAGAAGTCCTTAAACTAGGAAATCGCCGTCTACCTTTCTTCTCCGTCATTTTCCTCTCCTAGAGATGAGAGCCTTTGTCTGTTTTGAAGGCAGCAGGACCCCTCAGTTAGAGAGAGAGAGAGAGAGAGAGCTCTTCTAGGGGTACCGTAGTCTTTTTCCTTAGCCTCCTGCCAGAGATTTGACAAGAAGGCCAAATTTGCGATGAATTTCAGATAGGTGTACGATGTCCGAAATTGTAGTTCTTATCTCACTTTTTAATATCAAATTATTTTGTTTATAATAATTCATGGTAATCTATTAATCCCTTCCCCTCTCTCTCTCTCTCTCTCTCTCTCTCTCTCTCTCTCTCCCAGGGAAAAAAACTCCGTAGGGTTCACTTGGCGGTTCCGAATGTAAGAAAAATTGATGAAATTTGATAAGGTTGACATGGATTTATTGGCGTACCAAATGTGGGGAGGATTTTGCATGGTTTGGAAGGAAATAAATATGGGCCAATATGACAAGAGTTTAGGAAAACAACGGGGGATGGGTCAATAAAATAGTTCTTCTTCTTAGAAAGGAGCATTCCTGCGGGCGGAGTCTTCCTTGAATCGATTTGAAGTCTTGCAGCCCCTCCCCGGCCTCCGGAAACGACAAACCCCCCGCTGGATCTCGACTGACGGATCCCTCCACCCCCCCTCCCCCCCCCAGTCCTTCTCTCCTGTCCACTTTCCTCTTCTTCTGTACTATTAAAAGGTTACTTCCCCTCTCTCTGTCTCTCTCTCTCTCTCTCTCTCTCTCTGTGAACCAGTGCGGGCACCGCGCCTCCCAACGGACAAATTTGACATTTTAGTGGAAATCTCTAATCGATCGCGTGAGGGGGTTACTGTGTTTGTGTGAGAGTACAGAGGAGGAAGAGAGAGAATGTAGAGCAATAAAAGAAATCGAACCGGAAAGCTGGGGAAGGGTGCAGCAGTCGCAGAGGGAAAGGGAAAGGAGGGGGGCCACTTGGGGAGAAGGTGAGGGGCGGCGGTTTGTGGGGAGAGTGGTCCGGGAGGGGAGAGCAAGGGGCGGCGAGCTGGGAGGGGAGGAATCGCCGAAGGGAGGGAAAGAGGCGGCGGTTTTGGAGAGGGTACAGCCGCACAGCGGACAGAGAGGAGGCAAAATAGTCGGGAAGCTCGCCCGCTGAGGACAGAGGAGCCGAGTGGGTTCTTCTTGGGTTTCCATTCTTCTTCCTCCTCCTGCCTCCTCCCGCGGCCGGAAGCTGAGGTGGAGGGCGGTCATGGCCTGTCGGCGGTAGGAAGGAGTGGAACCGAGTGCATTTGCCTGCGACGTGTCTTCCTCGCTCCTTCTGTCTCAGTCCTCGCTCTTGCCTGTGCCGTCTGCTCAGCCGAAACCCATGGCGGCGGGCAGCCGCATTGCTCGCCGCGGCTTCTTCCTGGGCTTCCCGTGCCTCCTGATCCTGGCCGCGGTGGCCGTTCCTTGGGTGGCGTCTCCGGTATGCGGGGCTTCCCCGACGGCGCAGAGGTTGGCCGTGCGGCGGCACCTGAAGCGCCTGAACAAGCCTGCCGTTCACACCATTCAAGTAGGGGCCGCTTTCCTCTTGGCCTCCCTGTTTTCGTTGACCTAAGATGGGCTCTGCGGAATCATTTTTTTCTTTTATAAAAATCTGCATTTGATGTTTTTGGTTCATAAACTCTTAACCCATCTGTTTTTTTTTCTTTTTCACTGGATCTCACTTTTGCCGGCATTCAATGTTCTTCACAAATGTTCAAAGTCTTCATCTCTCGCTTTATCTAGCGCCATTATTCCGTGAAGGAGATTCCATTTCCTCGGGGGTTCCTGATTGCCTTGGTCGTCCAGAAAGCCTTCGGTCCTCTGTGTTCTTCCCTTTCCCTTTCTCTACATCTTGTCCTCATCGTTCACAAAAAAAAAGAGGGGCTTTGAGGTGTTCGTCTTTCGTTTCAAAAAAGTGGGTTTGATTCGTCCCATCTTCGTCTTAATGCGAGTTTATGTTATAGTATCATCTTCTGCATTCCTCCCCGCGGCGGATTCATCTGATTGCTGCCCTTGCAGAGCCCGGATGGAGATACCATCGATTGCGTTCATGTCTCGCATCAACCTGCTTTTGATCACCCTTTCCTCAAGAACCACACAATTCAGGTGCTCTCTCTCTCTCTCTCTCTCTCTCTCTCTCTCTCTCTCTCTCTCTCTTCTCTCTTTCAAGGCTGAAGTTATTCTCTGGTTCAGATGAGGCCTACGTTCCACCCGGAGGGGCTGAACTTTGAGAGCGAGGCCAGGAAGAACTCTGACCAGAGAGAGAGCTCCATGACTCAGCTATGGCACCTGAACGGGCGGTGCCCGGAGAACACTATACCCATCAGGCGAACGAAGAAGGAAGATCTTCTCCGGGCGAGCTCCGTCAAGAGATACGGAAGGAAGAAGCACGGCCGCCGCATCCCCAGACCCAGCTCTGCAGATCCTGAGCCGATCAACGAGAACGGCCACCAGGTTGACATGGATTTCAGCGCCCTTCCCAGCCTCTCTCTCTCTCTCCTGCCCCCCTAGTGATTTCTCATCGTTCCTTCTTCCTGTTTCGTGGGTGATCGAGCAGCATGCGATAGCTTATGTTGAGGGCGACAAATATTATGGTGCTCGGGCGACGATCAATGTGTGGAATCCAAAGATCCAACAGCCGAATGAGTTCAGCCTGTCGCAGCTCTGGATTTTGGGCGGCTCCTTCGGGGAAGATCTCAACAGCATCGAAGCTGGATGGCAGGTGCTCTCTTCTCCGATCAAAAATCCATCGAGATTTTTGATTTTTTTTAACTTATTTATTATGTGATCGATCATTCAAGACGTGCTTTGCTCAATGTCAATTTCTGTTCGGACCACAGGTCAGCCCCGACCTCTATGGAGACAACAACACGAGGCTTTTCACCTACTGGACTGTAAGCGCGTCAACGTTTCTACGTCCTAATTCATCATTTTGTTTCTTCTATGCGACGTTGACTGTTCTTGTGAATTGCGGCTGGGGGGACGACAGAGTGACGCGTATCAGGCGACCGGCTGCTACAACCTACTCTGCTCGGGTTTCATTCAAGTCAGCAGTGAGATCGCGATGGGAGCGAGCATCTTCCCGGTTTCTTCTTACCACGGCTCCCAATTCGATATCAGCATTTTAGTCTGGAAGGTGAGAACACAGATTATGGAAAACTTTCCGCCCTCTACGCCCAGCGTTTAAAGATCTTTTTCTTTTGGTTTTGAACTAGAAAGAAGACCCAATTCAGAAAGCCCTTTGAATCTTCCTCCTTTTCTTCCGTGATTTGATACCCGAAAGTTAAAAAGAGTTGATGCCATCTCTCTCTCTCTCTCTCTCTCTCTCTCTCTCTCTCTCTCTCTCTCTCTCTCTCTCTCTCGCTGTATCAGGCATCTGTCTTCCGTCGCCATTATTAACAGAGTTCTCTGTGGTGTGATGATTTGATGCAGGATCCCAAGCTGGGGAACTGGTGGATGCAGTTCGGGAACGATTACGTGCTGGGCTACTGGCCGGCCTTCCTGTTCTCGTACCTGGCGGACAGCGCCTCCATGATCGAGTGGGGGGGCGAGGTGGTGAACTCGGAGCCAGACGGGCAGCACACGGCGACGCAGATGGGCAGCGGGCACTTCCCCGAGGAGGGTTTCGGCAAGTCCAGCTACTTCAGGAACATCCAGATCGTCGACGAGTCCAACAATCTGAGGGCCCCCAGGGGCATGGGCGCCTTCACCGAGCAGTCCAACTGCTACGACGTCCAGAACGGGAACAACGACGACTGGGGCAGCTTCTTCTACTACGGCGGCCCCGGCAAGGGTGACAATTGCCCCTGAAGAACAATCACTGTGTGTAGTAGAAGAGTGTGAGGAAGAAGGAATCGGAGAAGAGACAAGGAAATCCCGTCAATCTGCTCCCCTTCCATGTCTCACCCACATTACTTAATGTAATCCAACCCGCCCCCATCTTCTTCTTCTTCTTCTTCTTCTTCTTCTACCTCGGCTCGGCCCCTCTTCCTTCCTCCCCGCCACCGGTTGTTGATCCTCTCTCTGGCTTGCTGTCCCCGTTCCTCCTTTTTGTTCTTCCTAGTCCGAGTTCTCGGCCTAAAGTGGCCAGAGAGAAGCCCGAGTTTCTAGCCTCAAGAGGAACAGGCCTTTGGGAGCCCCCTGATCTGATGATGTACGTATTTGTGTTCTTTTTCCGTCTTCCTTGACCTGATGAGCTTTTATTCTTCATTTGATGGACGGGAGCTCTCCCAGTACAATAATGGCGGCGCCCCTCGCCCGCTGAGGGCTCAGGCATGGCCTCCCCCCACGTCTCCGTCCTGAACCTGCACGGCCGGCAGGGGAGATGGCGAGAGCTGGCCGCCCATTACCGACTCCTGCTCCTCGACGGCGCCTTCCGCCCCGACACCTTCGTCTTCCCCGTCCTCCTCCGGCACTGCCCCGATATCTACCTCGGAGAGGCCGTCCATGCCGACGCCGCCAAGCGCGGCCTGGCCGGCGGCGCCGACCCCTTCGTCTCAGCGGCCCTCGTCGAGATGTACTGCCGCTGCGCCGGTGCCCTTTCCGGCGCTGCGCGGCAGGCGTTCGACGAAATCCCCACGCCGGCGACGGTCACCTGGAACGCCGCCATTTCGAGCTTCTTCCGCGCAGGCCGTTGCGACTGCGCGCGGTCGCTCTTCGACCGCATGCCCTGCCGGAACGGCGTCACCTGGTCGGCTGTCGTCGCCGGCTACACCCAGAACGGCCAGGGAAGGGAAGCTCTGCTCGTCTTCAAGAAAATGGTGGAAGAACTGGGCTCGGCGAGATCCTCCGGCCCCACCCCCCACAGCGTCGCCGGCGTCCTTTCCGCCTGCGTGCACCTGTGGGACGTCAGCTTCGCCATGCAGGTGCACGGCTACGCCGCGAAGGTCAGCCGGTACGTCGAGGACGACGACTTCGTCGGCAGCGTCCTCCTCGACGCGTACGGCAAATGCGGCCGTGTCGCGATGGCCAGGCAGGTGTTCGACTCGATGTCGCACAAGAATGTCGTCGCATGGTCCTCGTTAATGGCGAGCTTCGTCCGGGAGGACAACCCCTCGGAGGCGATGGGTCTCTTCAGAGAGATGATATGGGCCGGCGCCGCCCCGAACGAGGTTACGCTGACAACTGCACTCTCTGCGTGCGCCCACCTGCCCAGCATGACCGCCGGGAAGGAGCTCCATGCCTATCTGTTTCGCCGGAGAGGGGAGAACCCAGACATCTTCGTCTCGTCTGCCCTAATCTTCATGTACGGCAAGTGCCGGGCTCTGGACTGCGCTCGCTCCGTCTTCGAGAAAGACAGGGACCTCTTATGCCGTAGTGTGACCCCTCTGTGGAACACCATGGTCTCCGGGTACGTAGCAAACGGCCGTGCCGACGATGCCTGGCTGATGATCCGGTCCATGTGCCGGCTGTCGAGCGGCGGCGCCGCGCCCAACTCCATCACGCTGGCCATCATCCTCCCCCTCTGCGCCACCTCCAGCCTGCTGCCGCTCGGGAAGGAGACCCACTGCTACGCGGTGAGGAACGGCTTCGACAGGGAGTTGCTGGTGGGGAACAGCCTGCTGGATATGTACTGCAAGTGTGGCGAGATAAGCTCCGCCAGGAGCCAGTTTGAGCTCATGCCGGAGAAGAACAGGATCTCCTGGACGACCCTGATCGACGGGTACGGGATGCACGGCGGCGCCGCCGAGGCCATTAGCCTCTTCCAGAGGATGGTGGCGGAGCAGAGGGTGAACCCGGACCCCATCACCTTCGTGGCGCTCATCTCGGCGTGTAGCCACTGCGGGCTGGTCGAGGAGGGTCTCCGGTTCTTCAAGGAGATGAAGGAGAGCCATGGCGTGCTGCCGACTGCGCAGGTCTGCGCATCCATGGTGGACCTTCTCGCCCGAGCAGGGCGCATCGAGGAGGCGAAGGAATTCATGTCGACGATGCCTGCAACCCCTGGCGCGAGCGCCTGGGGCGCCCTGCTCGGCGCTTGCAGAATTCACGGAGAAGTTGCAGACGCAGAGTCCACGCTTCAGCATCTGCTCGCGCTGGAGCCGGAGGGGACGGGGTTTCGCACCCTCCTGTCGAATATCTACGCAGAGAGAGGGATGCTGGACCAGGTCGCCAAGCTGAGGACGGCCATGGCGGGTGAAGGCGTCGTGAAGAAGAGGGGTTACAGCTGGGTGGAGACCAGGAACACGTCCTTTTAGGGAAAACCCACGGTTGCAGGATCTACAAAACCCTGTGGGATCTTCTCCAGGCCATGAACTTCAACATATACAGTCAATTGGAAGAGTACAAAGCATCTGTAAAAATCCGAATTTTTTCAGGAAAAAAAAGGTGGACCATTTTTGCGGCTACATGTATCCTTTTCAATTTTACAGATTCTCCAGTTGAAAAAAAAAAGAGTAAAAATTCAGGGTTCATCATAGCTACAAGCATCAATCTCGTAATATAGCTACACTTTGGAGAAATACAAAAAAAAAAAAAAGGACTAGATTTCAACCAAAGTGATGAGAAAAGAAGAAGACACTAAACCTGCGAGTCGTTGGGGTCTCGATCCACTTAATCTTCTTCATCATCGTCAAACACGTTCCCACCAGATCTCCTCCTCCTATTGCTCTTTGGCTCGTCATCAATCTCAGCATCGCTGTCGTCCAGCCCGGCGGAGTTCTCTCTCTCGTCTGCTGGACTGGCCGCTGGACGCCGCCCCGACGGCTGATCATCTTCTGATTCCGACCACGCTCGCCTACGCCGGCTTATTGATGATATAGTTTCCGCCTGCGTTACCCGGATAATAATTGGTCATACAACGAAAAGCATGGACTAGAAGGATGCTAATTAAAAAAAAAATCCAAAGAAGAAATTTTGGGAAAAAAAGCACCGAGTTTTTTTAGGGAAAAGAGAAAAAATATCACCATGTCATCTTCAGCGTCTGAGTCTTCGAGGCCGGCAGCAAGGAGATGGTCTTGAGCATTTTCCCTTCCCCTGTTCTCACGAGCATCCACTTCTTCATGCTCGTCCTCCATGTCATCCTCCTCGTCTTCGTAGCGCTTCTTCTGCCTCTTTTCCTTCCTCTTCCTTTTCCCTCCCCTCCTCCTCTTCCGGTCTCCATTTCCACCCTCTTCATCCTCAAGCACAGATCTGTCTTTCCGCTTGCTGGCAGGGGTGCTACCAGTGGTCTTCCATTGCTCCTGAGAGAAATAGCAAAGAAAAAAATGTCAACACACGGCAATCTTCCAAGATAATCTCGACAGAAGAGTCATTCATTCAAATCAAAAAAATTAAAATTAAAATTAAAAATGAATGTCACAGCGCATGAATGATAATCTCAACGCGAGGAAGATTTGATCCGATGTCAAGGATATGGCCTGACCTTCACACGTTCAAAATGCTCCTCCTGTTCCATCACCTTCTTCAGCTCGTCCTCCTGTTTCCTTCTCTCTAGCTGTTACTCATGTTCAGAAGTCACATCAGCAGTCTTAACTGAGCAGAAAGTTCAAGGTCTCAAAGATGGCAATGACAATGGAAGAGTTAGCACTGTACAGTGCAAAACACTCGCCTGAAATTTTTTCTGCTCCTCAGCCTTTCGTCGAGCTTCCTCTGCTAACGTAGCCTGTCGAGCAGCTTCTAACCTCTGACGCGTTTGCTGTTCTTCACGTTCGGCCACCTCGCAGTGCACTTTAGCAGCGTCAAGCAAATGCTTGCAATATTCAACGTGGGTCTCGATTTTTTTTTCATCAAAACCATGAGAGTGGTAGCTGCTTGCTGCAGACAAATGGCTAAACACGCGAACAGCGTTTTTCAGTTCTGCAACCGTTGAGCGTATCTGCAAGATCACACCATGATTCAATACACAGAAGATAAAATAAAAGATTATACGTAGCAAATGAAAAAGTAAGGGGGAGATAGAATCTTAACAGCAGCATCGTCATTCTTTATAACCAAGAGTGTGATAGATATGCAATCTTAATAAATACAGCTGACGAACTCGATGTTTCCAAATTGACATTCCTAGTACCTCTTCAGATGCTCACAAGTTTTTTAAGACTACTTATTGGGGCGACATTTTCATTTCACTTCACGAAATAGCCAAGAAAAAGTTCTGGACTAACGTTATAGTTTTCACGGGTGACAAGTACCCTGCATTAACAGATACCAACTTAAACAAATATTTGATTTCAATAGGAGGATGTTCAACAGAACTACATCAGAAAGTGCTTGGTTATATTCCAACGCAATAAATAAGATCAGACTCATTTTCTCAAGCAACGGAGACAGGCTCAAATGGCATGGTTCCAAACTAACCTCATCAGCAGATCTCTTCGCCTTCTGTAGAGTGGATGCTGAGAACTTTTGCATCGCAACTCCAGCATCAAACCGGAGTGTATAATTTGAAGGTGCCAAGTGAATGGCTCTCAGCAAAGTTTTCTTGCAGTCTTGCCATTGCTCAGCTTCATAATGAGTGCGAGCGAGGTATAGAAGAACCTGAGTATCAGTATTGTAATAATACTTCCTCAAGCAATTTTGATACTACAGAGGCAAAATAGCACACCATGAATTGTTTATAATCATAAAAATTTGATTCAAAAGTATATAAGTAAGAAACTTACCATTTTCACAGCCAATGCAAAATGGCCCTGGGCAAAGTAGACATGAGCCAAATTTATCCAAACATCCGGTATCTGCACAAAAATGCTTCCTGATGCAGCTTCTTGAACCTTAATTTGAATATTAGCATCATTAAAATGAGCTGCAACACACCAGTAATAAAGTAACCAATTGAAATCACTAAAGCAAACCTGAGTAAATATGTCTTTCGAAACATCAAAATGACCTTTCTCAGCCAAGATGATTCCAGCACCATTGGCTGCATACAGGTTTCCTGGACGCAAAACTAAAACCTATAGAACATGAACAAATTTTCAGCTCTATTGTAAATAAATCTAAATTCAGAAAAATTGAGAACCCAACGAAGAAGTAAACCATGGATAGCGTCCGAGATAGTAATTAATTGCCAAAAAGTATATTCTAAAAATATTTTTGGGCAAATATTGTCATTATTGGCATCTTCGTAAAAATTCGAGATGGACAAGCAGATAACTCGTCGAGTGTGTAAGCTTATGCTGAAAAGCGGACATTGTCTGGCAACCAAAAATCTCTGATTGAACTAGCAACCGTGCTCAAATAGGTTGCAATGAAATAACATTGTTGAGAATAAGAAAAAATGAATTGTTAACATGAGAGCACAAGTTAATTATTTTTAGAGAAGTTCAGAATTGTAAAATAACGCGTGAGATGACCTTAGCAGATCAAGTGTAGAAAATATGACAATAAATAGAATGTTCTCCAAGTAGTCTGAAAAATGGAAACAAAAGGTCATACTTTGGTGAAGAGTTCCTTCGCTTTTTCAAGATGCGTGGCCTCTAGTTTTGGGCCTCTCTTTTCAGAACGTAATGCTGCAAAGTAGTTCCAGTTCCCCTATGAGTTTCAACATAAAGACCAAGTGAGATGTTCTGATTTTAAAAATGAAGTGGGGTGACCGAAAATTAATATCTCGCACTAAAAATGTGAAAGATACACACCAACAAAAGAGTAGTGTACGAGTCTTTTCCGTCAGTTGCATCCTTTGCAGCACGAAATGTATCTTTTGCTTTAACCCAGTCATCACTTTTCAGTTCCAAATTACCAAGCAAGGAAAGTGTATTTGGACACTTATCATTCACCTTAAGGGCGTCTGCTATCTGTCACCGTATAAAGCAAATTACTTTTACACAGCATAATCCGCCACGGTCAATAAAATACATACGTAGAACATGAGTTACCAAATCGAAGCTCTGCTGAATATCGTTTCGTGCTTTTGACAGAGCTGCAAGCCTGAGATAGGCATCCAAGTAGTCTGGGTACTGACAATGAGGCATAAGAAAGTTTACAAAATAAAATACTTTTATGAATCTGCTACCAAAAGGTAATAACAAAGAAATTGAAAGCATAAAATACAACAATTACAGGCTAACCGGTCAACTTCGTAACATTTTTCTGCTCATGTCTAAGGTATTAAAGAACTAGAAGCGAAAGGAAGCTATGAGTGATTGATTCTTGTGAGGTCGCTCTTTCTCTCAACTTGTGAATATAAGATGCATAGCTGAGAAAAGTACATAGGAATTCGTCTCAACTTGGTTGTAAAACTCCTTATCAGAAGGGTAGCAAAATAGCAGGTTGGAAGCTACATGACAAACGTCAAACTCAATAAAGAAATGTTTTTCCGTGATTCGCAGATCTGGAAATGGAAGCACTGGGACAAACAGTAAGCCAACTCTCATGCTTGTAAGCAGCCATTCATAAGTAACTTCCGATTGATAGGACGATTCTAATTCATTAAATAGTGGATTCTAATTCAAAATATAGCACAATTCACAGTCCAGCTTTCAAACAATGGATAATAAAAAGTGGTTTCGCAACTTAGTCAATTCCCAAAGGAAGTTTACATGTTCATCATTTCCAAAGAGGAATACATAAAACTTTCCATTTTTAAGAAGAGCATAGAGCAGCTGACAGCTGTAGGTTGAAGGGATTGGTCTGTAATTGGGCGTATGTCTCTGGCAAGCGGCTTTGACAGGTAGCGTCATGTGGTGGTCATTGGGAGAAAGTGTTATTCTTCCCTTCTTCTGTTCTTCACAAGAAAGTGTGGAGTGCAAGTTCCAGGAATCAGCTGACGTTTGGTTTGTTTTTTCCTTTATTAATTTCAAGAGATATCAGATTTTCCCACTTAAAATCGGATAGGACAGTCTGTTGTACCAAAATAGTCTATTGATATTGGAACCAACTGATGTTTTACTGCATACCATATGCTAATGCGTGAAAACATTCAGCTCCAAAATTTCCGATTTTAAGAAGACAAGGATCACTTCTTCCTCCAGGATGGGCCTAATAAAATTCTTATCTATCACTTCTGTGCATGGAACGGTTCTGTAGTGAATCATCATTACACCCCCCCAAAAGTGACTACACAATGAAAGCTCTGATGAAAATAAGTCAATGATTGTTCTTCTGAGTGCAAGAGGGAGACATCTTGGCTTTCTAGGCAGCTCCAAAAGGCTTGCGACATCAGGTCTCGATCAAAACAACGTTAACCAAAGAATGAGAACAAATAAAATTTCTCAACAGATTGGATTTCAAGCACATGGATTATATGTATACAAAAAAGCTCATGGCAGAAAATGTAATCGTCAGGCTTGAACAACAGTGTAGAACATAAGCTAATGAGTACACAATGAGTCCATGGCAAAGGTAACAAACCAAGATAAGACAGGCAACATGGTTCACGATACCGGACCATAAAGGTACTCTTAGAATTCAAATTCAGAGAAAAAAGGAATATTACCTTAAACAAAATAAGTCGGTACATAATACTTGCTTTTTCAGCATGATGCAATTCCTCGAGTAATCTTGCATAGTTAAATAACGTAGTTACTTTATCCCACGGAAGATCCAGAGAAATGCCATCCTTCTCAAGTTGGTGAAATAGTTTCATGTCTCTGTACTGCACAATGAATGCACCCAGATCCATACTAGAGCTCCCTACTTTCCCATCCATGACAAGTTGCCAAACACCTTTACCCAATGCCTCCTTGAAAGTTTGGTCTGCCAACTAGATGAGGGAAAGGTCGATAAGAAATACTTGGATAACGAGATCAAGGAAACAACATTGCGTTGGTCACAAACAGCAAAAAAAACGTATAAAGGGGTTTGAATGTGAAATCAGATATAGAATTTCAGATGCTTCACTTGAAAAATTAGTTCTCAAACAATATCCACAATCTTTCGTAGTTTAAATGAAAGCAAGTAGAAGTAGATCTATTATGCTTTCCGTCACGAACCTCAAAGTCTCCCCTTTCAAAGTAAAGGACTCCAATGTCGTTAAGCAATTCTATGGGCACTTCTTCATGTTTTCTTTTAAGAAGATTCTGAGCCTGTGAGATGGAGCAAGTTCAGTAACAACTTCATCAGACGACAGAAAAAAAATATTAGTACTCAGTAAACAAATGAAGCCATACAAGAAAGAGTGAATAGGTTATCAAACAGCAAATAAAGAATTCATACATAAACATTTGTCTGCCACAAGAACAAGTATATATATGGATGAGTGAACCTGACATTCCAAAATTCCATTGAAACTGAGAAGTCAAATGTTCCTTATATAGTCAACTACGCAGCAACGAAGCTGAAAGTTCATCACAAACACTTATTTCCTCTATTCATTACTTCCAAGTAGGGGAATTCTTTTGAAGCTTAACGACAAAGTGTTTCACCAGTCCACTAACTAGCTGATTCCTTTTCCTCATGTCTCCTTATTCTCCTAAATGGTTCGCTAATACCTGAACAACTTTCTGTCTAAACCATTAGTTTCCAATTCCTTGCTGTGATGTCTAGACTTAAATTGAAGCTTTATTTAAATTATGGATAACCACGTCTTGAACGATATGAAACAAAGAGATTTCGTGAAGATGTTAGTTTTATTTATTGGGGATGAGTACTTCAGCATTTCTGCTCTGAATTATGGGAATATTTTATACTTTTCCTTCCAGGAAACACGAAATCTTCATATGGTTAGATATAACAATGGTTCTCGCTGTGCTTACTTGGATCTCGTTTCAGAATTTCTGAATCACTAAGTGATAATCGGCCGAGTCAGCCAAATGATGATTGAATCGGACTAACCATATTAGGCTCACTATTGTCATAGACCAAAAAAATAGAAAAAGGTGAAAAGAGCATACAGTTTTGAGAGATTCGAGCGAAGCTCCTGCATCTGTTGACATTAACAATTCACCAACCTCCAGAAAAGCCTGTATCAAACATCAGATGAAACAATGTCAGAGGTTCTTGTTCGCCTTTCAATAATATGAAGAAAATTTGGCAATTGAATATCGAAAAGCCATCGTTAAGTTGTCAGATCTTATAATGGAACCCTTCCTTTATATCAAATGTTTCATTGATAATGAATGAAATGACAACAATATCAGTTTCCCAGGAAAATAAGATATATGATTGTGTACCTTGTAATGGAAGCAGAACGAATTTTTAAAGTTAATTTGATTAATCGATGATAAAGTGTTCAAACATAAGTAAATTTATAACATGTGCAAATGAATTTCACTTTGTTTCCTGCAACTTCTCTATTCATGAATCATATTGCATGTTGATAAGTCTGCAAACGTTGATATGGAATAAGAACACTTCTCCGTTTAGTCATCTTGCTCCCTAATGCAGAAGGATGCAGATCCTCCATTATCTAGAAAAAAGAAAGAGAATAAAATACTTTTGCATACAGCACAAACCAGCCAAGAGACGTGGTACTATGAATATACAGAAGTTTGACAACAAGAAATAGTAAAATAATCTCCTGATGAACTCTTCTATGACGGAAATGTAAGGAAACTTTTAACGCTACTTTTTCGTATTACAGAGTTTAAGCAATACAAAAAATTGCCAATTAATCAATGTAGGCAGATTCTATATAGGCATGCTATGTTCCTTCCTAGAAAATCATCATATCATCATTAATCAAACTCATTGCCATCCCATGAAAATTCACGGAACATATTTCCAATTGATGAAAAGAATTGTATAGGAGTGAAATATATAATCTTTGGACTCGTGATGAATTCTAGTTTCATTTTATGAGAATCTCATCATCATAGAAAAATACATAAAATGATAAGATTATGGCAAACTGACCTGAGCATCCTTTGGGTCAATTCTTGAAGCCTTCCGAAGAGTCTCCAAGGCCTTTTCATGCTGACCAAGCTGAACATAAATGTGGCCAACAGCCTAGGAGAAACAGAAACTATAAATTAAATGGAAGACGCCAAAAAAAGCAAAAAACATTGAATGATCAACCAGTTTCTTCTCAAAAGTAAATGAACTACTTTAAACTTGCCTTCAGGGTTTCACAATTTTCAGGGTAAACCTCCAAGACCTTTTCAAAATTTGATAGAGAACTTCTGAAGTCCCCCAGTTTCAATTGAACTTGACCAAGCCCTATTTAGCATGATAGAAGGATTAGACATATAAGTCAGAAGAAAAAAAAAACGTCTAAATGATGGAGGAATACTTATCAATGATGTATATTAAAGCCCTGAAGGAGCCCACCAAATAGAAAGCAAAAAGTGAATACATTTCAANAACAAGAAACTTTTTATTAAAGGAAATTATAATACACGTATGATGTACAAAGTTTTCTGTTCATTCGTACATGCGGTTTGATAAAATAAAACTAAAAGTCAGTCCGCATTGAAAAGCGGCATGAAAAAATGAAGTACATGTCAGTACAATCAATTTGGTCGCATCCTGCAATCTACTTTAGCATAACATCAACACATGGCATCATATGAAGGGGACAACGACTTGTGAATTCATTGGTCGCTGGAGGGCATAACATTTATAGCAATAAATAATGCAAGTCCGCCTAGCAAAATAATTTCCGAAGAATGTTCACCAAAGAATATAGGATCCTTATCACCTACAACGATGCTCAATAAGTAACAACAGAAATGTATCTCAATATTCAGGACGTGGCGCATTATCCATAAAAAAACTAAAAACAAATGTAGAACTTGTTTAAGATACCATTCACCACCAATCAAGCATAAGATATCAATATAAAACTGTGCTCTCTAAAGGGCATAAGATCTTTTCACCAAGAGCTAAGCACTTGATTATAATTGGTATAATATTTCCACCAAGAGCTAAGCACTCAAATGATTATAATTGTTACATTAAAGTCCAACCACAGGTGCAATCTACTCCTCGTCAAATCAAAAATCACCTCACAAATCCAGAAGCTTCATTGACCTAACTAGAATGTAGATGCTCATCTAAGATCAGTGCTCATCATTTCTATATTCATCTTCGTACGTAATCATGACAAGCTTGTCAAACGAAAACATATAAAGCACCGGGTCGCTCACATCAAGAGAAGTATAATGGAGATAAACCTAATCAAATCACATGATCTACCAAGGAACCCAAGATAATGTTTGATATCGAACCATCTAGTGTCAGCTCCAATTCCAATCCAGAGTAGATTCGCCCAAATCAGCAAAATCAGGATAATTATTTTTATGAATAAAAAATCATCAAATTTTGACAATTCCATACAGATTTGTAACTAACACCACAAGATTATGGCTGCTAGCAACCGAGCCCCAATATTTCAGCAAATTTCTGTCAACTTCATACTGATTACACTCTGTCAAGAACTTCAGGAGACTTTTTCCGATTAACATCACCAAACGCAAGGTGTAATTTTCAAGCATCGGAAGTCTGAAATCAATTATCTTCATTGAGAAAGCTCATACTGTCCCAATTGAACAAGTTACAGTAATGTGAGTAAGAAAACACCACTGTCCATCCCTAATGACATGAAATATTAATGTATCTAGGCACATAACCATGAATAGTATGCTAATGCAGCTTCTATTGATCAGACCCAACGAGAGTGCACCGTAGACTAATCGTATTCAATAAAGGGGGGAGGGAGGGGGGGGGGGACGGGGGTGGGGGGGGTGGAGAACCAAATACATTTTGTACCATAAAAAGGTAGGACAAATTCTTGAGGCTTCTCGATTTCCTTGACAGAAGCCATGTAGTACCGTCCAGCCTTTTCAAAGTCACCCTGTAAGAGGATAGCATCTCGAATTTACTTCAGTGAGCAAAACCTACCTTAACAAAATAAGAACAGAACCAAGTAGAATGATGACAACTATCAAATAAACAACGACAATATAGACAGGCATCTTTTTCTTGACCTTGCTGTGGTAAGACCTTGCTAAATTGTAATATGAGTGGGACTTCATTAAACGATGATTGCATACAGCCAGAGCTGTCTCGGTTAACTGTTCCACCAAAAAATGTTGCCCAGTGAAAAAGAAGTGATTAGCCAGATAATTTAGTGCCATTCCACAGTATGGATATATCTCAAAAGCTTTCATCATCTTCTCCATCCCTTTTCGAATTCCATCAGCTGCAGTCATTTAATATGGAAACAAGTAAATTAAGAAGTTAAGAAGAAGAAACTTCCCAGAAAAGAAAACACCCACAAAACACTGAAGGTCTAATATCCTGGTGTTTAATTGTGTAGATCGTGATTTTTTGGTCAAAGGCTCAAGACTGAGGTGATCAGGGAATAGCCATCCACATTCTCGTCAAAAGTGAATCTTCACCAAATCATACATCTCATTTGAGACAATCAAGATTGTACACAAGAAAACCCTACCACTTACATCACATGGAAAGAGGATCCTCCTCCTTTACTCTCAATAAAACACAGTTCCTTTTTTAACTTAAACTTTCTTTTGAATACAAAAGAAAAATGAAAACTGCTTTAAAATTGTTGATTGAGACACAACATATGGAACAAAGACTCATACCGGATAGTACAATGCCAAATACCGCGTACATCTAATGATAATCAGTAGTCATTCGTTTGTTAACCGTTTCCAACGTCTGCACCAATACATGTAGAAGATCGTCCCCAATTTAAATTGGCAACTCACCTTCGCTTGTATGCAATTCCATGATTCCAATGGCCACAAGAGCATCAACATTTTCTGGATCTAACTACATTGTTCAATAATAAAAGACAGAAATGTTAACAAATGTGGACAACATGATTCCTTGAAGGTGAAAGATAAACTGTTTAAATCATTTACTTGCCTGCAAAACTCGCTGAAAGGCTTGCCGAGCCTTTTCAAACTGTCCGAGTTTGTAACGACAGAGGCCAATACCAAACCTTACAACAGCAGGACAATGGGGGTATGCTTGCAATGCCCTCTACCAATCAAGAAACAGCAAAAAGTCATCTAGACTGTCACGTTCAAGAGTTAAAATTCAACATACATACCTATATGTAAAAAGGAGAAGAAAGAAAATTTGATGAACCTTATAAAAATTCAATGATTCTAGGTAATGTACGCGGCTAGCTTCTCCATATATGAGTTCCCCCCGATTAAATTCTACACAGGCCTGCAGAAAAATGATTTCACTTTTTAACTGAAGAAAAGTGAGAATGAAGGATTAGAAACATAACTTAACAATTAAAAAGTGGAATCAAACTTTAGCCAAAAAATTTATTCCATTTTTAAGAGCGACATATTAGCAATTGCATCCATAACATCTGCACAACTAGTCCCATGTCTTTCAAGTGTCCACACCTGCGCAAATGCAGGGTCTGTAAAATAGAATAGAGATATATATGGCGCAGGAAGAAGTCCTGAAGGTGCTACAAGTCACCCTTTTGTAATGAAAGATGGGGAAAACAAAGAAAGATAAACCATAATATACAAAACAAAGATCCAAAAGAAGCAAAAGCGACAAGGAAGTAAATCATAGTATATATTTTTCCCAATAAACAACGTATCAAGTTCTAAAAAGTAAGTAATCTCCTTAAAATTTCCAGTTAACGATGTATACACTGGCCAGAATAGACCTAAATAAAAGGAACTATAAAAGGACAACTAAACAAGGATTAACATCCCCAGAAGAATGAATTTTAGTCCAACGGTTCATTCAGAGTTCACAGCGTCTGGGAGCACCCAACAGATTTCGGAGTCCATTGAACGACTAGTCCTGATGGCTTCTTTGATGACAACTTTAAAAAAAATCACTATAAGAAGTTTAACGTAGTTGCATGAGATAATTTTACCGTGGAGCATGAAGTCATTCATCATCAAAAGGTTAAAAATGAGTACTCTTCAAAGTTCATTTCAAGAAGGCATACAATCACGTCTGATTGTATAAGAAAATCCTGCATAAGATACTGCATAAGAAAATCCTAAAGAAGGCATTCAGAAATCTTCCCAGATCTCTGTTTCTTATCCTTAGATAAATATACTACAGAATCCGATTTCTAGGAGAAATCATTATAACTTAGCGAATTAGAATTCCTTAAGATTCTGGGAAAATAAATTGGAGTTGAGATCCACTTTTGGCAAAAACTTCCTCTTGAATATATCAGGCATCAAGAGATAAAGGCAGGAATGTATGACTGATCACTATGTCTCTCGTAGGGTGAGGCATCAAGAGGTACAAGCGTAGGGCGATTGTTGAAGTCTTCCGTAAAAATGTTCAAGGATACTGCAAAATGCGGTTATACAGACTGGTGGGGCAGAGACATACACACACTCACAAAAGACTGCCAACATGTGACAGGATATCAACAATCAAAACAGTATACAACCTCGTATACTTTTATAGCTCCCACATTGAAATTCCCAATCATCCAGTTGTTCATTATTATGTCACAATTGTTCTATGTAAAACAGAGATCAAGCCATTACCATTTCCATGGCAAATAATCATTTCAGCTATGGGTCAAGGCTGTCCTCCTGTTGTCACTAGAGATCATCGGTTCATGGACTTTGTTCTTAATCACAGAACCTTTTGGACTACATATTGACATGTTGGTGGTGGATTGACGTCCAATCCACCCCAAAAAGGGCTGGTATCACAAGATCACCAACAAAATACATAATGCAGGAGTTGGATACTGATCAGTAAATGCCTCAACGATAGGCTGCTGATGCCCCCCCCAAAATAGGAAAGGTTGATTGAAAGGCAAGGAAAAGTATCCGAGATTTCTAAAAGAAAATAACTTTAGGCAAATAAGAAGAGCTAAAACACGAATCCCTCGTTATTCCCTTCTTTAAGCATGAAATCAGTGCTGTTCGCGACAATGTACAAATGTACAATCAGATGATTCTTTCCTCCAGTAAATCACCCTTCAAATGATTATGAAAGCAAACTTCATCAAGAATGCACGAGATCAAGATCGTGTTCCATAGAGAAATCATTATCTCTTTATTCAAAGGGTGAATGTGAAGATCCATAATGCAATGTACACCAAAGTTTAAACAATTCCCCCAGTACTCTAGACAATGAAATGAAAACCGCTGTTCATTAACGTGAAGTGCCACCATAAAGACATTATCCAAAAGTACCTGACCAACAAGAGCAGAAACATTCTTCTGGTCTCCTCCCAACACGATATTAAAATATTCTCCTGCCTGGCTGAATTCACGCTTGGCCAAGCAAAGCTGACCTGATCAAAGGCTGTAATTCAGTTGCATATTCACACAAAGTAGCTAACCAGACATTTTTCACACTTTTGGATATTGTCCAAGGAAAGAATCCACGATACCGAGAAAAAACACAAATAACAGCATGATCGAGAGCTGAGAATGAGTCCCGACCTTTCCCAATGTAAGTAGAAGGTTCGTCCTTGTCAATTCTTGATGCTCGGTTGTAGTACTGCGTTGCTGTCCTAAAATGCTCGTCCTTTCTACTCCTCTCACATCTCGCCAGATACGTATGAAACGCAGCCAGCGCATTGAGAATAGCAATGCGCTCATATTTGACATCGGCGTAGTACTCATCGATTTCTGGAAAGAAAAAAAAATGATCACCACTGAAAAAAAATGATCGCACATTGCAAGAAAATTCAACTGCGAAAGAAAAAGGGCCTCGAACGGGTGCAAGAGAAAGACATACCCAGAACTGGAAAAAAAAAAAGAGAAATTGACGATACCTGGGCTGGATCCCTCCTCCAAAATCTGGCGGAACTGCTCGATCTTTCCCTGTTTGAAATATTCTCTCTGCACCGGCATCCACGACAGATACAGGAAAAACAAAAGCAAGGCAGAAACAAAAATTCTCAGCTAAGTGCTCCCGATGTTCATCAACCAAAAGAGAGGAACAAAGAGTCACGGAAAGACGTCCCAATAAACCGCGAAACGCCCTCCTCGATAGAATAATATCACACACATAGGGCAATGAGCTTCTAAACTCACCGCGATGATAAGCCAGATGTCGAGCGGGGCCTGCTCGGCCTTGAGAATGTCGAGGATGTCGGAGGCGTCCCTGGGAAGCTGATCGAGGGCGACCTCGACCTCCTCCGCGGAGTTTTGCACAGGAATGTGCACACGGGTCACCATCCCGCAGCCTTCCTCCTCTCGACCTACGGCAGCGACAACTCCTCTGCCGCCTCGCGCGCCACCCAAACCTTGAGGACTTTCTACTGGTACCCCGCTTCTTCCTTCATTGATCTCCCCCGCCCCCTCCCCACCACGCGACCTTCCGGAGAAGAGAAGAGGAGAGGAGACAGCCTGAAGGAGAGAAAGTAGTCCTGATGGCCACAGACACAGCAAGAACTCGAGGGGGGAGGCGCATATACAAGCGAAGCCCGTCTTCTCACTATCCGAGCCGACTCGCCTTACCGAACCGGATCCAACCCGAGTTTTCTGTGGGTTTTATGAGACTTGATAAGCAAACAATGGATGATTTTAATACCATGAACTCACTAAAAAAAGTATTTAAATTAACGATTTTTACTCGTAAAAAATTCTCATTTCTAAACCCGGATACAATCTGGGATCGGTCTATCCAATCAGCGGGCCGGGCCTTTGGCCATTACTCGGCTTATTAGCCCGAATTTCTCAATCCATTCTTTAGAAAACTCCACATAACTGAGCGAATCAAAGCACAGATCATAGACTGAGGACAGGTGATGAGGATATATATATACAGAGCCTCGTGGCTAATGGAAAGAGAGCTAGGACTTGGGCTCTGAAGCTCTGGCAGCTTGAAGCATCTCCACGATGAGGTTCTTCACATCCCTGCGTGAAAGGAGGAGGAATGAAAATCGTCTCAAGCGTCGTCTCCGTCAATTGAACCATAGCCATGAGGAGCAGGAGGTTTCTTGCATTATGGGCTGCACCCGTTTCCTCTGAGCTAGGGCAGCCAAATCAAGCCAGGAAAGGAAAGGGAGGGCCGGGGCCTGGGCAGGACCCTGTTTCTGGCCTCCGACCAACCATGTCTTTTGAAGTTGGGTGAAGAGTGAACTGAATCACTTACTTCCTGTCCACTGCTTGTCTCGGAAAAGGAATCCGAAGCTTGAGAGTATCCCCTTGATAGCCAGCCTAAAGGAAGGGGGGAGAATAAAAAGAATCACTTCAATCTGCATATACTCTGCTCCAAGAGATTAAGTAGAATGAAATGGGTATATGATCGTATGTTCAGAATTACAATCCAGCTAAAAAAAATACTCAGATGATTCTATAATACCACAAAATAAGGCATAAGAGAGAGCATGGAATTATTAAAAAAAAACTGTGGAAAATGAATGAATAGCAGGACCTGAGAAACATATGATATTAGCCTAAACTGAGTTATATTCACCTTAACATTGAAACCGAGGCTGTCAACATCCAGCATGTACGCAAAGTCCACCTAAATCATAATGTTTAAAAAAAAAAAAAGGATGACCATTTGACTCATAAGGCAAGTGGCATAAGAGATTCAATCGTTGGAGAAGTTTAAGCACTCACCTGAACTGAAGTTGAGTGCCGTACTATGGCTTTCGTTTCTTCTGCATGATCTTTATTCATATGGGACTAAAAAAACGTATAATATCGAGTTAGAATGGAACTTTTTATCTTTCTAAGGGAGAATTTGTCAAACAGCAGAAGCATTACAATGATAGGGGAAGAAAACTCAGAAATGGGATCAACTTTTGCAGCTCTATACTCTTCTGCGGTGAATTCTGGAGGAGAAGAATGAATTAAATCAAAATATTAGTAGAAAAAAAGAACCAACATCATGTTAAGATCTGCTAGGATTACACAGTGTCACGCACCATTTAAGGCAACATTATCTAAAAGAATCATCAAAGCCCACGACTGAAGCCTCAATAGTCCGACTCAAAGCATAATGAACTTTTCCTAACTTCAAACGGCATGTCAAACCAAGGTATTTGACTTATGTTTTGCTACCTTTTGTGAACAGCCCATTTTTGCCATTAGGTTGAATAACTTCCACTATTATCCAAGGAAGCACCTATCGAGTCATTAGTGACTGAATGAAGACTCAAGGTCTTGAGGTTCTACACAGCCAACAACTTTACGAAGAGTTGGATCTTCCAGGCCAACCGTGAGACAACAAAGGAGAAAGCTCATAAAGGATGGTTTTCATTGAAGTCAAAATATAGTTGCACCCAATGTGAGCACCGTAATCTCCAATCCGTATATCTGAAAAGATATAATCACAGAGTGCATATATCTACTTAAAAATAAAAGAATAGGAAAAGCAGCACAATATCTGACATGAAAAATTATTTCCAGAAAAGCAAATACAATCGATGACCATAATCTCCATATACCTCCAGATCCCAATAAAGCTGTAGCAACTCCAGATACAAATCGGACCGATTTTGGTTCAATACATACGAATCGGAAGTCACCAAAATCAACCTTTCAGAAATAGAGAGTTCTTTCAGTAATGAGTATAAGCATGCATTAAAAAAATCCAAAAATAATTATAAAAAAAAAAGAGAACGTGTAGATGGAAGATACCCAGAAGGCACCAGGATGCTTTTTCAAGTATGAAGCACGTGCAGCTTCTTGCTCATTTTCAGAAACCTGGAGGATAGTTTAGGATAGCAAAGGTTCAAAAAATGTCAGGACACTTAAAGGCGTGAAATAGGAATGAAAAATTACTCTGCCATGAATTATATCAATAAGTTTTCATCACAAGAAAATGTAAATAAAGGGAAAGCATTGAATTTATAATAGTTGCGTAAGGAGGAGCAATACTTCATTTATCCAAAAATCAGCAAATACGTGCATTTGTTACTAGCTCAGGCAAGGTCAGCAACACCACATGCAAATGAAAAAAATAAGTAGCTTGATTCAGGAGAATGATAGATTACTAGTTGATATTAGATCAAAGTCCACTTAGAAAACCTGAATAAGCACCTGAGTTACGTCATTTCCCCTTGTGAAGATTTACATTAAATAATAACAAAAAGATGAAAAACGTGTGGGATTGTTACATTAAATTTTTTAAAAGTCAAAAACAAAGTAAAATTCCATTTTCACACAGAAGTTTGAAGAATGATAGAAAAATCAAATTCCTCACGATTTTCCTGCTAATCAGCCATCATGACTGAGCGCAAAGCTTAAAACTTTGACAACAATGCTAATCAAACTCTATGTCTCAAGTGAGCCATGATCTGTCATTCAACAAACCCAAGTACACAAATAACCAATCCGCTCTTAGCAACCATTAAATATAAATTATTCATACTAAAGAAATTTTGCCAAATAAAATAACGAACAATGGTGTTTATCCAGTTAGCATCAAACAGCTATTGCATGAATCACTACAGCTATTTCATCGGAGTGTTTGGATGCCCATGAAATAAATGCTCACTCCCTGTTTTTCTTATTTTCTTTATCTTATACCTTCCATATTGTACAGGGAGATTAAAATGAGAGAAGAAAAATCCTTCAGAGATATATTTCCTTAAATGGATCGGTAGACTGCTTATCAGAGCAATATGCCACAAAAACTGTCCATCAGGATTATTTTAAAAACTGTAACATTAATCTTTAATAATGAGAACTGATATTAAAGATGACAAGTGCGTGTTCACATCACCAAAAATACCAACATTCTTTCAGATTAATAGGATATCCAATTTCCCCATCAACTCAAATTCTGACAATGATATCAGTCAGAAAATAACGACACAGTATATTCCATTGAAGCCACTTTCCAAAAAAATATTTAATAACAACGAGAATCCCGTAAAGAGAAAAGGAACATACATAGATGGCATCCCCATAAAGAGTAACCACTAGATCAGTCCTATCTTCTGGATCCTTGGCCACGAGCAAGGAGCATTTAGGATTCGCTTGCAGATTCTGTGGAAAGAACAAGGTTGTTATTAGGTTGATTGACAACTGATAGCTTTGCGGCATTCAAAAGGAAGCAACTAGAAAGTATAGTGAATAACAAAAAAATATGAATAAAAAACAAAAACAGAATTTATGAAGCATACCTTTGCATGAACTGCCAGGCCACTGACCGATAATAGTGGGGAACCGTCATGATTCCATGCAAAATCGACCATTGATCCAGATGGGTAACCTGCATTATCCTTAACATCCAAAGTAATAAACTTTAGAGCCCATCCATGCTACAGGAATCGAGATCGAGAGAATATTTACCCAATCCGAAGGAATATAATGAAAAGACAAATGACAGGACATGATTTATCTACAAATAACACTATTTATGTTTATGTATGCTAATTCCCACAAAGCATCAACCTCTAAGGACCCGAATAAACAAGACAACCCATCAAAATGGTAAACAAACTCAACAGAAAAGGCAAGAGACATAAGTCAATTCCATTGTGATAGAATATGAAGAAAGAGAGCAAACTTAACAAGTCGATAGCATGCAAGCTTGCGAAAGTTGACAACGCTGATGATCAAATAAGAACAGCATCAGAGAGTATATAGCCAGAGATCCTTGTATTTAATATAACTACTTCGAAAAAAGGGATATCAGTAAAAACTTTCACATGGGCAGTTCTTCACAAATATGCTACTTTAACCACTCTTCTCTATAGTTCCATTCCCTTATTTCCCCCCTCCTTAACCCCATTCAACCCTTTGACAATTGGTCCTATTCTGCCTCCTCGGGAGAAAAAAAGGAAAGAAAACAAGAATAATATATGGACCACAGCAATGACAATAGGTATGATAAGGACAGTGGTATTCAAGCAGTAGCGATATCATTGACATACTTCAGAGAAATCAGACCAGCTGGCCGAGCTGTATTGCAGTCCACGCACTTTATCAGGCTAAGTCACGAACTTGCTGTATAGATAAGTGTATTAATTCAAAATGTGAAAATGTAGGGGATTGTTGATCTAGTAAAACAAGCATACTAAGGTTTAGGATAATTACTATGTTAACACCTTCTTTGCTGCCTTGGAATATTGAGTTATATCAGAAACAATTTATCCCAATCATCTCCCATTCTATATTATTGGATCAACTGGCTAACCAGTCGGTGCAGTAAGATCCGTCCATCTAGATTTACCAAAAGAACATTTCTATTTCCATATTCACGGTGCCTGTTTCCAAATTTTCATATTACTCTATGTTGCTAACATCACACGGCATCTGACATTATGCATATCAATGCCTTGAATGTGGAGCTAGTGGTGCTGGAATCTGACATCTGGGTTAGTCATTCAAGACAGCCAAATTTTCATCACACAAGCCGAACAAAAAGCAAAACCATTTGCGACTTTAGGAAGCATATAACCCTAGTCAACATGTTCGAATTAGAAGTACACGTCAACTTAATCGGCATGTTACACCTTGTGGTATCATGCCGCCGGTTTATTCTAGACAAATGGAAAGAAACAACAGATGTGATTAATTGATTTGATCTGTGAAAATAGATACCTTGGAAAAGGTGGAAAGCGCTCCTCTACTACTGCGATTGAGGAATGTTCTAATTTCTTCTACTGGGGAAAGTCTTGCAGCCGCTCCCTGTTGTTAAAAGAAAATAAAAATAAAATAGAAGTACAAAACTACGTAAAGCTTTGATAAATATGTGCAAAATTACAAGAGCTAGCACCGTCTGATTAAGACGATATCTATGACGGGAATCGAGAGTAAAAATAGCAACAAAAAAAAAGCCAATCAATGCCAAGAATGAGTACAGACGTCTGCGACGGCACTATGGCAGCTCAATCGAAATCAAAATATCATCACTCCTATTGAAAATCAGTTTTGTTGAAGTCCATCCGCTTTGATAAGTACCATCTCACAATTAAAAATTCCCCCATCATCATGCGCTGCAACCCAATATCTTCTTTATCATATAAATATCATTTCCTTGAAGAATTTACATCTCACCTGATGAGCCCGAATCACTTCGTGGACGTTGTTGGCACCGCTATCTACATCACCAGGAGCCGTCACCTGGAAGGGAAAGATTAAAGAACACTTGAGCAGAAAGTTTGCATCACACGACAGAAAATTGTTAAATAACGAGCCATCATTTTTTTTCTTTCCGCCCAAGTTATATTCTCTAATCCATTTAATCACTGACGACAGCAAACTCATCGAAGCAAGGCAGGCAGACCATCTCCGCGGGACAGCCACACGGGAAACGAGCAATCCAGGTACATAACCAAAACCGAACGCCAAGCGACAATACCTGGGAAGCGGCGGCCATGATTCGGGAAGCGAACGGGAAGAGGTTCTTGTGCGGATTCGATCGATGACGGGAGGTATGTCCCAGCACGCTATATGCCGGAAGGGTCCCGATGCCATGGGTGCGGTTGCAACCATCGCCGATATTACTTATTGGAGAGGAGAACGAGGAACTGGCTGGGCACCAGCAGCGAGTCGTTGGCGTGAAGGAAAAGCTGATAGACGAGTTCATCTTCCCCTCCTCTCTCTCCTCTCTCTCTCTCTCTCCCCCGGGTCTGACTATATATCTACAACAATTAAATAATAAACGGAAGCAAAATTACAACCCATGAAATAAATGTCACCTCGGGTGAAAAATCCCCTCTGCATTAAAATTTCTAAAAAGTCGCCAATTTAATTTATTAAATCGTTTATCAATATTAAAATAGATGTCAACCTACATGGAGCATGTGTGTAAACTTCAAGCTATTTGAATATATAAATATCAAAATGATATACGATAAAAATATTTATTTTTTATATACTTACAAAAATTATATCGGATCGCGTCAATTATAATATAGATATATACAGTTTTGGTGACTGATTTTTCCCTCCTTTTGAGGGGACAAGGTCTTACTTTCTTCGATATTTTTAGGGAAACTAGGCTACTCTGGAATAATTAGGGGGAAATTTTCGATTTTATTTACAAAAAGTTGCGTGGCAGCAGAAACGTGGTCGGTTGATCGATCTACGAGAGAAGGTGCCGCTCGATAGATCGATCGAGCAGTCGTGAAGGAAGAGGGGACGACGAAGAAATCGAGCCACAGAAACCAGGATTATAAAAATTATGCAGACTGTTAGCGCAGGTGTTCTACAGATTGGAGGGGAAGAGGAGGTGGGGGGCAACAAAACTGCAGATTTCATGGTCTCCTTCAATCGGAATCGCTCTCGATGGAGATGGCCTTCAACCCTCTTCTTCTCTGCGGTCACGGAGAGGAAACCCAAATCAATGGAAGAAGAAGATAGGAGATAGAGAGAGAGAGAGAGAGAGAGAGAGAGAGAGAGAGAGGAACAGGGAAGCGCACCTTCCTGGAGCTCTTCTTCTCCCTCACTTCGTATCTCTCGTGTGAAACATCCGACAGCCCTGAGCCAGGGCTGACCAACTGGATTTTTTTCTCCACAAATTTAATGGCGGTGATGGAAAAGATGCGGGAGGAGGAGGAGGCGGTGGGGAAGAAGGTACCAGTATCGTCTTCTGGATGAACTTGGCCCGCTTCTTGGGTCGCTGGGGGAGCTTGCAGCCCTTCATGACCATGAAATCCTCTTCCTTCTCCTTACTGGAGAGCGAAATGAAGAACCTGGGAAGAATCCACCTCCCGCGAGCTTTCTCCTCTCCCACGCCGCAGCCGAACAACATCCCTCTCTCATCTCCGTGGCCGCCGCCGCCGTTCCCATTCTCCTCGTGCCCCGCCATGGACCCCCTCGTGGTGTAGAACCTGCCGTCCTCCTTCTCCGGCGACAGCGGCAACTTCCGGTTGCTCTCGCAGGCCCCTGATTCCGACTTCCTGATCAAGAAAAAAAAGAAAGAAAGAAAGATGGTGCGTCAACAGATCCGATCCATCGGACAGCCGGATTCACAGGGATTGCTTCAATCTGGCTTACCTGGGGAAAAGCCAAGCGGATGGCAGCAAGGAATCCTTGCCCGATTTGATCACCCGGCGGTTGACCCGGACTCTGATCCGCTTCAGGCCATCGGATTTTTCCGACAGGTTGCCACCGCCGTCGTCTTCCCTCACCTTGACGCGCCTCAGCCTCTTCCGGTTCCCCCACTGGAGGAGCAACTCCGGCTCCGCCGGCCGCGAAACCCTCTGGCTCTGGTTCTTCCCATCTCCATCCATCTCCATGTCAGACAGAGTCTCAGCCACCCGAAGAAATTATCCAAAAGGGGAGCACAGGCGGCGCCTAATCTCTCCGCCGCCTCATACCATCCCGGCCGCCTCCGCCGTCGCCGGCAAGAAAAATATCCCCCAAACACAGGCCGAGGAGACTGCCACAGCCGATGAGCTCCGTCTCTCGAGTCGAGATCTGCGAAACCCCTGAAATCTCTCAGCGCGGAATGGGAAAACCTCAGCGGCCGCACCAGAAGAAGACGGATGAGGGACGAGATTCCGCCGGCAGCGCCGGCAGCAAGGCAGAGTAAAGCAATGACCGAGGGAGGAAAAGGAGGAGGAAGAGGAGGAGGAGAACGCTCACCGGAAGGATGATGCAGCGAACGACGGGATGAGTTTCTCCGCCGCCGAGGCCTGGCCTGCTCTGCGCCTCCTCCACTGACATTCCCCACTTCCTAATTTCCTTATTAACGACGCAATATATATTGACACATTTTTTAAAATATACATTCGACGTAAAGTAAGGTAATTAAAAATATATTATATATCCGAAATTGCTATGGTGCCAGTGAGGATGAATGGTTTAAAATATTTTTGGGAAATTACAAAATAGAGGAAAATAAAATATCTGAGCTTGAATCATTCTGGACCGTAGGTTTCGGGATGAAAGGATAGGATGGAGAGGCACACCCCCTCGGGCGCCTGTTTAGTTGCGCTTTAGACTCTTTTACCCTTATATAGAAAAAGAATTACGGACCAGCAACTCCGTCACGCGTTTGCCGCCCGCCGTTACCGGAGAAGCCAACCGTCTGTGACGTCGAACGGCGCCACGTCGCGCACCCCACATGTCACGTACTTCTTGGGAACAATGCGATGCTGTGCTACGCACCGTTAGGCTGACGCACCGTTAGAAGATGTCAAATGAGGCTTTTTATTCGAAGCCCTCTCTGATATGTACCAGCACCGTGAGTACTTATACGTACTTTAGTTTGATCGCCCCTGCCTAAAAAACCGTCGCCTTTATGGTATTGGACAATATTGGGCACGCTTAGTAGGCCGGCACTTGTACGAGAGACTCCCGTGGGCCAATCTGTGTCCAGCTCCATGGGGGTGGGCCGGCTTTAGGACGATGGGCCCCATTATTGTCCCCGATGGGACGGATTTATCTTTTATTGGATATTGCGAGATTATCTCACAGCATCAGTTTAAAAATAATAACGGACAGATAAAATATTTTGATGGTCGGTTTTCCATATCGAGCACTGTCGATGGTATTTCCCAAAATATATTTAATTGAAAATCTCAAGATTTTAAATGTTGTACATTGCCCACTGTTTTCACCGTATATATGGCAATCCTACTATTATTTATAATAAAATAAATAAAGTATGAACCCAATGCAGAAAACTATCCCAAATCGTCCCAACATTACGCAAATATTTTAGTATTTTTCCTGAAATTATGATTATTACTTATTTTAAATTAAAATACATGGTTGAAGAAATGGCCCATTTTTGGAATGGAATCCATTCTTCAACTCTTTTCAACCTTGGGAGATGATCGAATATTGCGTAAATATGAGGGGAAAATAATATGCAAATTTCTCTTAGCTAAGCAAAGCAATGGTCAGTGCTGTTAAATACCCTGGAAAATCTTGGGTTGACTTATCTTTATGTCATATCTGAGGCCGTAATCAGAAAAAATATATATCATTGCTAAGTTCATATGCTTGTATAGGCACAATCTTGACTAGTCTACACAAATATCTCAAACAATAGCATTTTTGTTTTTTTCCTCATAATAATTGGTTTTTGGGAGAGACTACTCATCATGTTTGACAATGGGGATATGTAAATTGGGAGAGACAACGCGTGTTCCTATTGTTGACTAATTCAACTAACGTAATCCATAAATTGGATGGGGTACATTTATTTCCCCGTTGATTTCGTCAATCATCATAATTTTTGTTATGAATTTCACCAAGTTGTCCATTAAGTTGCACATTGTAAGCTCTCCACTAAGGGAATTGTCTTAAGGTGGACATTGATATGTATGGAGACAGATGGATTTGATGCTCTAACCCCCCATGCCAAAAAATGTACAATATTCCGTCTTATACATAAAAAAAACATGCATTAAAATTCCCCTAACAATGAAAAAATAACCATTAATTTCCCCAAAAAAATCAAAATATTAATTTATTGGTCGACAGCCCATAAGCAAGAGAGAGAGAGAGATATATATAGTTTTTTCTTCTATTTTCTATTGACGTTTCAATGATACATAGTTAGAGGACAAGGATTTGATTTTGAAAAAATATGCCAAATAAAACGGGAAATAATGTGGACCCAAACAAGGCACTTACTAGTCCATATGCGCATTAATTGAATTAAATGTGGATTGAAAATGGGGACCAAGGTTTACGTAATATCTTATTATTTAAGTTAAGTTAGGATACAACGTTTTTTGTGGATTGTGAGATATTTTTTATTGATGTGTGTGATAATTAACATGTGATGTCATATACAATTATATGTCTACCGGAGGAAGCCTTTGAAGCGTTCCCGGAACCGTCAGGTGTTAAAGATGATGTGGATGGATGACGCAATAGGGGGTGTAGTTGGTCTGAGGAAGCACCTTGGAAGCGAAGTTCGAAGCTGATGGCGGTCTTCCCTTCGTGTAGAGGTCACTGGATCGGGTCCCACACAGATAGAACAAAAGTAACCAGCTCCCGGGGGGGAGGGAGTTCTGATGACGTCGCACAGACACACCCTAAACACTCTTAAGATGGTGAAAGTCGTATTTGCGGATGCCTGGTCAGCATCGTGGGTCCCACAGCCAGCGCAAAGACAGCGTGTCTCTCTCTCTCTCTCTCTACTGGAGGGATCTTAAACTAATAATAATATGGTTTTTCAGTAATAAATATTCGGGGGAGGCCGGAATGGACGGAAAATTCCAGCGGGGACCAGACTGGAAAACTCCAAGCTTCCTATAAAGTCTCGTCCCACCCTCTTCCTCCTTACCCAGGTCTCTGCTTCTGCTCCCGTCTGTCTCTCTCTCAAGCGGATAGGCCTCTGCCATCCTCTGCCGGGGGGAGAGAGAGAGAGAGAGAGAGAGAGAGGAGGCACACTTCTTCGCCGGCAGAAATGGAGGCAGGTTTGAAGATGAGGCTCCTCGCCATGGCCGGTGTGGCCGTCGTCGCTGCGTCTTCGCTTGTGGAGATGGCGGCAGCCGCCGATGCGCCTGCTCCCCCTCCTTTTTCTGGAGTCGGCGCAATCACCGGCCCTGTGGCCGCCGTCGCCGCCTTGTCGGCCTTCGCCTTCGGCTTCTTGATCTGACCTGATAGATCTGGATGCCGCCTTCCGTCCTCCGCTCCTTGCTTTGTTATTATTTCGTTCTTAGGTTTTGCTCCTCTCTTTCCCGCTCTCTCTCTCTCTCTTTCGTTTTTCGTTGTGCCGTGAGACGGTGTTCCTCTGTACGTACTGTATGAATGATGCTTCCTGAATTTTCTGTCTCAATCACGGAGTTTCTCTTCCTTGATGACGACCCCTCCTCTGAGGGACTTGAAAGCCTGTATGAGCTTCCCGCTTGATGACGACAGTGGTGGTGATAACGGTGGCGGGGGGGGCGGAGAGAAACTCTCTTCGGCCGCGTTCCAACCTTCTCCAGGAAACCAGTCAATTCAACCGGAGAAAGCATCGCCTGTGTAGGTTATCTCCTGTAGGGCGGGAGGAAGCGATTAAGTCTATCAACTTAATCGGATTCCAAGTCGTGCTCCGACGATCGCGCCGATGAGTATAGGGACCAGTACCAAAAGCGCCATAATTATGAACTGCGGATCGGGAAATGAATGAAGAGATCGTTAGATAACCAGTAAACGGAGTTCTCTACTCTTCTTTCTACACGTGGGAACTTGGTGGTGCGATTAGAATCTCTTTCGATCGATCAGCAGTAGCTCAGGAATCACTTTTTTTTTTTTTTTTTTTGAGATTGTGATGTGATGTGGGGCCACCCGCTAATAGTCAGCAGTCTCGGATTGAAAACTACAAAAAGAAATCGTTGACGTCTATGGAGATGAATGAACACGGCGGTAGGAGTTGTTGATCTACAGAAGATCGCCGATGAGCCGGACGACGCTGCTCATCGCTGGCCGCTCTTCCGGATTCTCCTTGGTGCACATCATCCCGATCTTCACCATCCGCATCACCTCCTCCTCCGCCTCGCCGTCACCAATCTCCTTGTCCGTCACCACCTCCAGCATCACCATCCCGAAGCTGTAGACGTCTGACGCCTGTGTGGCCCGCTTCCCCCTCATCAGCTCCGGTGCTCTGTACCGCTGCCATCCCGCCGCCGTCGCCGGAGAACCGTCGGTCTCCGGCAATGGTGAGAGGGAGAGCTGCTGCCGGGAAGGAGACGGCCGCCGGCGGGAGCTCCTGGCGATCTGCATCAGACCCCAATCCGAGACGCAGGCGTCGCCTCCGCCGTCGATGAGGACGTTCGATGGCTTGAAGTTGGCGTGAACCAGCGGCGATCGCGAGGGAAAGCTGTGGATGAACTCGAGCCCCTGCGCTGCGCCGATCAGTATCTTCTTCCTCGAATTCCAGTCCAGAGGACCTCCAGTCCTCGCGTATCCTCTTCCTGCGAAGCTCCGATCAGTGCAAGCGATCTCGTCAGAAAGTTTTGTGCGGAGATTAATCGAAGGAGATCAGCAGGAATTTTGAGTCTTACGGTTCTGCAACAGGGAGTGGAGGCTGCCGTTGGGTAGGTAGTCGTAGACGAGAAGCTTCTCCTCGCGGGCATTGTAGTACGCTCTGAGGCTGACCAGGTTTCTGTGCCTCACCATGCCGATGACGCGCATCTGCTGGTCGAAGGCCTTGCCGGCGGGGAAGCAGGAGACGTCGAGCCTCTTCACGGCGACGATCAGGCCGTCGTCTAGGGCAGCCTTGTAGGTGCCGCCGGCGTCTCCTTCCCCCAGGACCTCCGCAGAAGCCTTGAGAAGACAATCCAGCCGGAGATATTCCCCTCCTTCGAAGCAGACCAGTCCGGTGTCCCTCTTCTGGCCGTCACCGGCCCACACCTCCCGCTCCGTCTCCGGTGGCCGGGAAGTGTCTACAGTTCGCCGATTGGCGGCGGCGGCGGCGCCACCTCTCCCGGAGATCCACAGGTACATCCCGACGACTATGGCCAGGAGTACTGAAATGATGATCGCGTCACCGGCGCCGACGGCGAAGACGACGACGGCACGAAGCTTGTTCAAGGCCTTCCTGATGCAGACGCTGGCCATGGAAGGAGTTGGGGAAGGAGTAGCTCGGGTGACGAGCATGGGTGACGTTGTGGCGCAGCTGGGGAGAGGATCCCCGCAGAGAGACGGGTTCAGGCCAAAAGCCGACGCCGGAAACCTGGAAAGGTAACTAGGGATCTCGCCGGAGAGGGAGTTCCCGGACACGTTGAGGTCCTGCAAGTTCGGCAGCCGCAGACCCCGCAGGTCGCCGGAGAACCCATTGCCCTCCAGCCTCAGAGAAACCAGGGCAGGGAGGGAGATTTCCAGGCTCCCGTTGAACTGGTTGTGCGAGAGGAAGAGGTATTTAAGCCTAGCGTTGCTGAGAGCAGTCAGCGCGGCCATTGTTCCACTGAGCAGATTCCTCCTCATACTGAGGAGCTCGAGGTGTGGCAGCCGAAGAAGGGAAGAGATGCCGCCGACCAGGGAGGCGCCGTCGAGGACGACGCCGGCGACCCGCCCAGCGCGGCATCTAACTCCTCGCCAACTGCCGGAGCAGGGATTCGTCCCCTCCCAGCTGCTCAGGCTAGCGCCCTGAGCATCGGCGGAGGACTTGAAGGCGAGAAGAAGACGAAGATCCTGCCCAACCCAGGCCTGCCCTAGTGCAGGGACTGCAAACAGAAGAAAGGGCAAGAAGAAGGAGAAGCGGAACCAGTGGAGTCCCATCTCCCCTCCGAACAGCGGCGATCGAGGAGCCGAACGCGCCCCATCGGATTTAAAAGGGTACTACGGGGGGCGGGAACTGGTTGAAGCAGAACTGTGTCCGTGTGGAGGAAGACGAACAGAGGAAAACAAGAGGATGAGGTCAAGCCCTTGGGGTGAAATGCTTGGAGCACAGCGAAAGGGTCGATAATATCCATATATTCTACCATCGGTAATGCTTCTGGCTCCCTTTGTATGCGTATTTTTTTCCTTGAGCCCGATGCTCATGTACTTTTTTCAACTCAGTTGCTTAATTGCTGCATTGATAAACCACAAAACCAGCACACGTTTCGAGGATGCTCCCCGATTTACTACTTCCAGGAACACAAATCATGCGTCACTAGCTCCTGCTGTTTTCATTTGATTGACCGCAGAACTTCCAGGCCTTTGTGTTGATGATGTCTTTCAGTATAACTAGAACAAAACTTGTACCTTGGCTGTCGATCTGATTTCCTAAACCCAAGAGAGTGATTTTTTCTCAATTAGTCATCTGATTGATGGTGACCCTGTGTGTTGTCTGGTTGATTTCTTATCTTCACAATGCACGAAGCTTCCGTTTTTAACAGGAGAGAAGTTTCTTGAAGTAAACACAGACGGAAGAAGACAAGAACCCAGATCAAGGTCTTATTTTATATTCTTCATACTATGACCCGCCAGGATCCATTCCAATGGGATTGTCCCAACCACGGCATTGCATTTTACAATGTGCACAAACTAGTCCTATGGGCTTTCCCCCCATTTCATCTATATTTTCTACCATGTACAAAAGCTATGTAGATCTTTCTTCTGAATGTGACCAGTGCGCAGGGTTGTTCGCAGTAGTTGCCGCTGCTGGCTACAGGCCATCGTAGTACCCACCAAAGGATATGTGTGCTCTTGTCACTGGAACTCCCCTCACCACCGAGATCGCCTGGTTCAGCCTTGTAGCTTGCTGCACCACCTGCTTGATGCTCTGCAGCCAAGGTCACGAAGAACAAGGTGAGAGGAGCTTCGTGAGGCATCAATTCTCTGATCATCGTCTCCAGTCCATGGTGTGTGTGTGTGAGAGAGAGAGAGAGAGAGTTTATTATGAAGAAGAAATCAGCCAGCCATGCGTAGCGCCTCAACCAGAGATCTGCAGAAAATTCCGTCAAACTGGAGAGAAATTAAGACGTTTGGATTTCTTTCTTCCAGGAGGTTTGAGGTTTGGATGGTAACCTTCTCATCTGGGTAAACCTGGAACTGGATCTTCTGGCTCTGTTGTTGCTGCTGCCTCTGGCGCTGCGGCCCGCTCAGTATGAAGATGAAGATGGTGGCCGCTGCCACGCCGATGGAGCAGAGCGCGCCGGCGCCGGTGATCTTCCACTTCCAGATGCCGAAACCGAAGTTTTCCCAGGAGCCCTTGCCGTTGTTCCCCGACCTCACAAGTGAGTTCCTCTCTTTTCCCTCTTCCTCCTCCTCATTCTCTTCTGATAGGATCTTGTGAGTCTCCCCTTTGCCAGTCTCCTCCCCCTTTCCCTCGAATCTGCCTCCCCCCGGAAGCTCCATTAGAGGAGGCTTGACACCCCTCGAAGTGGGGGATTTCGGGGGGGAGTCCAGTTTCATGTCGACGAATTCGTTCTCTCCGAGCTTCCGGAAGAACACCTGGGAGATAACCTCCTGGTTGGCGAGGGCCGCCGGCGGCGCCGCCACCTCGATCTCCCTAATCTCCTTTACGGAGCCCTCATCCGGGTCCCTCCTGCTCTGATATTTGTTCTTGGTTGCAAGGATCAGATCCTCCGTCGCCCCAATGAGGAGGTGAGGAGGATGATGCGGAGGGCACACGAAGTAGTTGACATCGACGAGGCCCCCTCTGCTGCTGAACCCAGAACCCTTGGAGATCACCACGCTCTTCCCGGTCTCCTGCTGCCCCAGATCGAGGAACCCATCATCGCTGAGGAACTCCCAGTCCTCCAGGTCCCTCTGAACAGACGATTTCTCCATGACGAGGGCTACCAGGCATACAGGGAAGGTAGGGTTCTCATATAAGCGGAACGACCAGGGCGACTGGTTTGCAGCCCACCCTGGCACATGGAGGAAGGGGAGGGAGAGGGGGTGGGTTCCTTCCTCAGAGGAAGGGAGAGCATATTTATCCTTCCAAGGATATGACAGGAGCGAAAGGGACACCTTCCACCGCTTCGCTCGGAAGATCTGCTCGCCCTCCGGCTGGGAGATAATTACAAGCGAGAAATCACGCTGAATTCAGGTAGGAATCCTTCCCCACTTCGTTAATGCCTGCAAATATCCCCACTTCTGTACTTCCCCTATCTTTTCCAGGAGACGACACTCAGCAGAACCGACATCACTCCGGAAGAAGAAAAGAAAGCAACCCAGGATTAAAATAAAAAAAAGATCTGCGGTTGCTTGCCGGAGGTGGCCACCGGCGGACCCACAGAGAGAGCGAGGAGGTGGATGACAGGTGTCGCCGGAAGGCGTCTTCTCGCAGCGGCGAGGCTCGCGGTGGTGGCCGGGGTGGCGGGCGGAGGGCCGAAAGCTACATGCCCGGAAAAGAACGAGGACAGTTGGCGGCGCCATGGCAAGCAACGGTGGTTTTTCTCCCGTGGACCTGGGGAGTCCCCGTATAGCACGCAAGACCAGGAAGAAGCCACTCCTTGGTGGGCTCCTCCTCCTCCTCCAGTGGTTGACGCTGAGGGGAGCGAGTTCATCGCGTGCCCAGGTACACCCGACGGGAGCCGCCGCCATCAAGGTGAACAAAAATCTGTTTTTTGGCAGTTCGATTACTCTCAGTCTCATGAGACGTACAGAATTGAGGGTCCGTTTGAAGAAGTCAAATGGATGAGAGAGGGGCTGAGATAACCGGAATCTCTCTATCCCTTTCCTGGCTCGTCGCGTGGGCCCAAGGCTAAGACCAAGCCTAGAGAGAGCGAGAGAGAGATATATTTATTTTTGTTGAAAATTGAAAATTCCAAGTCAACTTAGCTTAAATACGAGATATTTGGAATATTCAACAAAGAGGTGTGGTTTGTTCCTAATCGGAGATGATTGCAGGGGAGAGCTCCCAAAGGGACGACGAAAGCGACAGAAGGACAGGAGGCAAAAAGGCTCCTCCACCTGGCCTGGGGAAGAAGAGGGGAGAGAGAGAGAGAGAGAGAGAGAGAGAGAGAGAGAGAGAGAGAGAGAGAGAGAGAGAGAGAGAGAGAGAGAGGCCTGTGAACAAGAAATATACAGGATTCAGCGTGACCCACCACCTGCAACTGCAGCTTCAATTCCAGGAGGAGAAACCAAGGAACCAGAGCAGGAGCCTCAGAGGAGGGGGGGTGGGGTGGGGGGGTAGACGAGCTCCTCTGCGATCGCCCTCGGACAAGAGCATGTGAGGAAGAAGAGGATTTACGAGTCTTGCGGGGGCGACCTCGAGGAAGAAGACGACTCACCCAGTGAGGAGACCGAGGTGAGGGAGGAGGCCCACGCCCGGGCATTATCCGCCCCTCTGCGGAGATTCTTCTTGTTGCTGAGACAGAGCTTGCTGCACATCCTCTTCACTTCGATCATCTGCAGGGCCCGCCCCGAAAGCTGGCTCCACTCCACAAGGATCCCCTGCTTCACCGACCGGGCATACGACCAACAGACGGCCCTCAACCGGAGCAGGATCCCCGGGAAGAGGAAGAGGAACACCCTCAGGGAGAGGAACAGCAAGGAGAAGGCAAGATACGGCTCCCTGGTGACGAACTCCCTCGCAGACGACGACCACCACCAGGGGACCGACGAGCTCTCCCGCCGCAAGTGAACCCCTGGGTCAACAGATAGGTCGGCAACCGGGCGCAGACCTGAAAAGGCAACGCCGAGAAGTCAACCGGGCTCGCTCACTCGTACAGCAAGGATCGGAAAACGAAGAGAAGTCAACCCATGTCGGGCTGAACCAGAGATACCAGTGCTTCTCTCGTAGAAGGCCACGAGGGAATCGAGATCCTTTCCTCCCCGGTGCTGCACCATGATCTTCCCGTTGACCAACACTATGGACGGAAGGCTGTGGGCTCCAAATCTAGAAAATATACTGCAGATAAGGGGTTGCAGCAAACATCAACACGAGGAGTTCTGCTCAATCTGAGCACAAGAGAATGGAAGGAGAGCAGCAGCCGGAGCCAAACCTCGGCATGGCGGAGGACTCCTCCACCGCCAGATGCCTTATCTGAGGGAACATGGTGCTGAGGGCGTCGAAGGCGGGCCGCGCCGCCCGAGAGAAGGGACACCAGGAAGCATGAAGCAGCACAGCGTAGAGGGTCTTCCCCCGGCCGTCGCTCAGGAGCTTATCAAGGGTCTCACCAGTCACCTGCAACCAGAGTAATTAGAATGGAAGAAGAAGAAGAAGAAGAAGAAGAAAGGATGTGAAGGCTGACAGAGGTGGGCTTTGAGGTTTTTCCTGGATGGAATTCTTGCGAGATGCTGAATTTCTATGGAGCTGTTATCTCACCGGTGATCGATTAATGGGAAAGGAGAATTCCACGAGGAACGGCATGAAAGTCTGAGAAAAATATGCACCAGGGGCTCACTCAGTTCTCCCTACAGATTTGTGAGACGACTCAGATTCATCTGCCCAGAGGCGGAGAAAACATGTGATCAATGGACGAGAGAGCAGGAATAGCAAAAATTAAGGAGGATAAGCTGGACAACGATGCGATGATCGGCAATATATTCCATTAAAAGGCATCTAATGGAGTTCGTCGCCTTCAACCACACGGCAGATTATTCTATGGCCAATTAGTGGAAAAAAAAGAAAAAAAGGAGAGCCTTCCCGACAACGTTCTTATGAATCTATTGACGTTCTTCGCCTGATTGTAGCCTCGAAGGCGGCATCTGAATGAGCAGCGCCTGCTGGAGAATTCAGAAACAGCCGAGAATTCGGCACAAGAATTAGGCTAGGAATTTCAATCAGATGTGGAAATCTTCATGGACATTTAGATTATATCGCCCATGAACAATCAGATTCGACCGAGCTGGCACGCAACGGAGCAGCGCCCGATCGAGAATCAGAAACAGCCCAGAATTCGGCACAAGGATTAGACTAGGAATTTCAATGAGCTGTGGAAATCTTCATGGCCGTTTAGACTATGTCGCCCATGAACAATCAGATTCGACCGAGCCGGCACGCAAGGGCTCTTCAGCGTTATTGGTCATAACCATTTCCCCTCGGATTAAATAGCGATCAAAGGGGAACAGCCCTTGATTGCTTCAGAGGGTTTGTTGATGATAACCAGGGTGCTCCCCCTCATCAGAGATTAAAGGGGAACGCCAGTGTTGTGGGGGGTGGACAAAAAGAACTGGGGCAATAGTCAGATAGAGGCTGAAGATTTCACCGAACAGATATCATATCAGGGTATCTGGATCCGTCCATCATCCGCACCATCGTCGTCGCGAAAGGGAGAAGGTAGTTTGATCACCAGCGTAGGACACAGAATGAATAAAAAAACAGCAAGTAGCCTTCGAAGACGGAGGAGAACGGAATGAACCAGGGTGTTTTCAACCCCGCCTCTTCAGGGAGCCAGGAGACGGAGGAAAAAGAGGGGAACCCAAAAGTCCTGTTCGGAGAAGTAATCCAAGGAACCCAGAAACGGAGGACGCCGGATGATGAATCCGAAGAAGAAGACGGCCGACAAACCGTACCTCGACGGGCGACGACTTTTCGATCCAGAGGGGGCATTGCGATCGAACGGCAGCGTCGAGGAAGGCGCGCTCCTCTCTAGGGCAGAGAGCAGACGCACCCGATGACTGGGTCGGGGAGGGCGCACAGTTCACCGCGTGGAGCAGCACCAGCAGGTAAAGGATCAGGGTAGGCGCCATAGCCCGCGTGAGAGCGAAGATCGTAGAGGAGGAAGATGATGGCGGGGGAGGGGGAGGAACGGATTGGGAGTGGGTACGGAATTTCCCAAGAGGAACCCTTTTGCAGAAACTCCCGTCCCTTTCTCCCTCCCTCCCTCCCACAGGATTCCCCTTCCCCTCCGCGTCTCGTCCCGGCCGCTGATTTGCTCCCCCCAAGTCCCCCTCTTTTCTCACCAATTAGTACATACCCCATCTCTCTCTCTCTATCCCGTTCTCTCGTTGACGAAACAGGGAGAGAACCGGTCCCCGCGACCCATCACGATAACACATTAATCTATCCATTAAACCGGCTGAAGGGGTCCCATCCCCATCGCCCTTATCTGAAGGCCCCTTCGAGAGACACCATTGACCTCCCTGACCGGCGACCAGAAGTTACCCTTCATCGGCTGCTCCCTCTCTCTCTCTCCTCTGTGCTTAAAAGAAGTGAAGAGTTGGTGAGAAACACGAAGAGGACAGGACACGAGAAGGCGGCGTTCAGAGAGGAGATATAAAATTCTAAGCGATCCGAGAGTACAGCGGGCGGTTATATCTCCGCCATAACTTACAGTTGCCTTCTTCAACAGTGATTAATCTTGCCCATGATTCCGCGAGGGAACAGATAGGTTGGTTTGTTTCAGAAATAAATCGATCAGAAGAAGGGAGAGATTTCTCACAGCGGATCAAACTGGATCGCATGCCGCCGCCTGATCTCGTGTCCTGTAAGCTTGTCACTGAGGGATTGATCGACTCTCATTCTTTAGCCCTGTAATTAGTCAACGCATGAAACAAGATGAGAGTAGTGTTATTCGGGCTGATTGAATGAAGACATAAAAAATAAATAAAGAAATAAATTCACGAACTAATTCTGAGTTGTTGCAATCATTTTTTTCCATATCATACAAGTTGAGCAAAGTCATGACCGGATAAATTAGGGTTCATGTTCTTGGCAATAAATACACCTCTGGCCATAACCTTGCGATTTATTTATTAATTTATTGAAGAGATCTATGGCTATGGAAAATTTCCAAAGATGAGAAATGATTTTTAATCCTGGCATTAAACAGATTGAGATGCCAAAAATAAATAAATGAAGATGCATGCAAAGTACCTGATGATGGTGGTGGTGGATGGGGCAGTAGGTGCATTGAAAACTGGTCATGACCATAAAATCTGAACATTAGGAATGGCCGTGGGCTGCCGGTTAGGTCAATCCGATGCTACATGAGAAAAGCTCCTGGGTGACCCCATTAACCTCAATTCACAGCCCTAAATACGTTCACTATCCATTTGGGAATTTCTCTGTTAATGCACGTGTTGCCACAACAGAGATGGATGCGGTAAGTTTCCTTAAAGAGAAAACATTTGATGCAGAGAAGGGGAAATAAATTGAGAAGTTGGGTAGGTAAAGATAACGAAAGAACGATGTTAAGTGCCAGGGATAGAAATTTCCAGGAATTGACATCTCTTTTAGGGATCAGTAGAAATATTTAGATCAGAAATGCCTCGGACTTTATTGAGTTCACAAATTTCAGTACCATCTCCCTGTCTAGTTCTAACGTCTTTTAATTTATGAATAAAAGTAATTTAAGAATTTTATGGAACTAGAGAGTATTTCACTAAAAGTAGAAATTATACGCTGCTGATGTAATCATATGCGCATTAAGTACTACACAAAAATCCATGCAATGAAAACTTTGGTCACATATTTCGAACAATGCTCTGAAATGAGAGACCATTAAAAAACATTTGGTACCATCTGGAGAAAGACGCCTCTGTGGCTTCCATCCTAGTCAAGTTTTCATACTCTCCTTTTAAATCAAAATCTAGGTTCAAAGGTTCGTGAGAGCATAAATATTTCAAGGATAGAAAGTAGTACCTAGTAATATACGAGTCATCTGTTGTGTTGATGATGATTTCATCACCGGTTGTGATGTGAGATGGCGCCTGAAAAGCATATGATTGAGAGAAAAATTAATGAAAAACATTGGCTTATCAGAGTTTGCTTCTAGCCGAAAGAAACCGATACCATAACATCACGAAAACCCTCCTAATATATCATCGTCAAGTTAAACTGAAAATTGAAAATACATGAGATATTGCCCGGATTGTAATGAAAATCCACCACGATGTTCTTGAAGGATGAGGTATTCTGTCTTGTCTCCAGATTTTTTCCTCCCATTTTTCAAAGGCACTCCATGCTAGGCCAAGAAAAGTTCATGTCCTTTCACCACTTTTCCCAAGCCCTTCTATACATTTACTCTTCTAAAAGGGAAATCATAATGCCAGGGAGATGGCGATTAAGATCACGTGTATGGATGATTGAACATAGTCACATCATCAATCATGCCAAGTGAGAGTGAAGCCGTTAGATTTGCAAATACTGGGCTCAAATATAAGGGTCAGTCCAATGAAGAGGCGCTTTCAAATGACTGGCAGTAAGTCAACTTACGAGAATGGTAAGTCCATTGTCCACCATGACCCTTTTGTACCTATAAAACGATTCGTAAGTCCAAACACATCCAGAAATTACAAGCAACAGAAGCTGAACACATTAAACTGAAAAGCAGTATAGGGAGAGAAAAAAACAGTAATCAACACAAAGATATCAAGATCCAACAAACGCCTACCTCACAACTCATCATCATTTGTTAATAATTAACGTATAGGAGAGAAATGACCAGCTCTTGAATAAAGACAAACTAATTGGATTTTTTTATATTTTTAGTACAACCCTTCTCCCAGGGAAAAGGAAAGGCAATAGGAAAATGAAGACGAAACAAGTGATAGTACTCAAACCCCAATCAAGCAACCAAGCTCAGGATACCTTTTTCAAGAGTTAAAAGTCTACCAGCATGACAAGCAGCATGCTATTACATAATCTCACAACGTTGTACCGAAATGGCATTATATTACATATCAGCAGGAAAATAAAAGAACAAGAAAATGTTTGCCAAGATGAGAAGTAATGTTTCAACACATTTTTCCATGAATTTGACATTAATTTTAAATAATATTGAACCACTTCATGTTGACATTACTAATTTTACGCATAGTTTTTTTATTTTCTTATTAGGTTCTTGTACAACAATAACCCATAAGAGGTGACCATATTTGAGGAAAGAAAAGTTCGAGCATGAACGAAGACTTGTTGCCCAAATTTTAGGTGAATCCATAGACTCTACATGAGCTAAAGGACTATGACAGCTCTGTTAGTCTAAGAAACCTTTTTATTATCATGGGCATGACAACATCAGCATAAATTAATTGGAACAAAGTCTATTACATGTCTTACTTCTATTTCATACATGCAGATGCCATTTGGCTTCAAATTCGCAAACATAGAGAGACAATTTTGCACATCTAAAAAAATACGAGAACATACCAGTCATCTATTAATCTGCCATTAACTCAGTGGGCATGATTTGAGAAAGAAAAATAAAAGCATTGTATTGCATAAAAAGGCAAGTAACAACAATACATGGATGATATCAACACATGCTATCGATCAGAACTCTAGGATCTACTGTTCAAAGGTAAGTTAAATGAAAATTGATAACAGAAATGATACAGATGAAGAAGGTTAATATCCAGTGTCTTCAGAAATGTGATAAGATGATAACAAATTTGGATATTTGTATCATCACGGAAATGAATTTTACACAAAATAATGAACCCATGTCTAAACGTATAATTGAAAGTATAGTAAGTCATACTGCGGAGTGGCCGTCATCCCCTTGGAATAAGGTGGTGCTTCAACAACTTTGCATGTCACTCGTTGTGGAACTGATGCTGACATGGGCTTCCCATCAAAATATTGCACTGTCACTGTCATGTTATCTGCTTCACAATATATCAAAGTTCAAATTCCAAGACCAAACTGTAACGTTAAAGCGAGATTATCAACTATTTTCTCGCCACCAATATTGTCAACACGAGTCATATATGTTCAATAAATTATCAATCAATCGAGCCTTGAATCAATAATGCACGAATTTCCTCAATCCTTTAAACCACAAGGATTCATTTTTAAAGGATACTTGAATCTACAAGGATCAGAAAACGTTGAATCCACAAGCACATAGAAATCTCAAAACGAGAAAGAAATTCGTATTATTGGTCATCTCTGAAATTACAGCGTTCAAGCCTTTAAATAAATCAAAATCTATTCTAACCGTGCTTAAAACTCGAACCAATTAACAAAAAAAGATTAAAGAAAATAGAAAAGGAACAGCTACTACCCTACAAATCTGACGCATTATCCACGTGTTTTTGGGTCGAACTGTTTGAATACTGGTTCAAAGTTATTTTGGACCTTCAAACATTTTGGTCCACGTTTGTACGTTTTCGGGTCACCTGGGTCCAAAAAGCTTCGCCTTTCTCGTTTCTTGAAGTGATGTCCTACAACATTATATCATCAATCTGACGTCCACTAGAATCCTGTATAGTTCCCAAAAAGTCGACCAGAAAACTGATTACTTATAAACTTGACATCAAAACAAGTTCCTCTGAAAATATGATTAAATCATTAGCACATATGGCATTGATATTGACAAAAGCCCATGCAGTGCGCTATTATTCATGGACCGCCAAAATAAGAATAATATTACTTACCAACCTGACATCAACCCAAGTTTCTCTAAAAGACAGGAGGTAACCATCAACAGCATGTGCACGTATATCCCACAGGTAATGCCAAAAGGTGAATATAAAGTGCTAACGGATTCATGAACTGCGAAGATATTAGGTAAGTTACCTTTCAGATAGGCAACATTCTTTCCAAAGAAATCCTTTGGCAGTTCCAGCTGCTCATACGTGTTAGGTCTGTGAAATTAGAGATAAAGCTTAGCTTAAGAAAGAAATTATTTACGATCTATGCAATGACAAAAATAACTTATGAAAGGGAAGATTAATAAAGTACACCAGAAAACTCACTCCATAATCATCACAGAGTCACCTTCTTGGTACAAAAATGTGAAAGACTTCTCTTCAACAAAGACTTCTGAACCATAATGAAAGAGTGAGTGGTTCTATTAATTAGAAATCTCCACATTTCTGTGCAATTTCCTCTTTAAAAATAAATCCAAACATGAAACAGACAAGATGTGCATTCTTGCTTTAGAATGATAATGCATCAAAATGATTATAGATAGGTAAGTTTTGCCAAAGTCAGAATGTCGAACGACTGAAATATCAGGTGTCCTATCAGCTTTCGTAGACAGTTATGTCAGGTGAGACCAAAGAGTACTCTTTGATGAAAAATCTCCATTTAGACTTTTAGAGAGTGGAATACTCATCTCTTAATGACAGTGTACTCCAGGATGTTTTGAATGAGCAATAAATAACATTATTCACTTTAATCAACACAACTCCACCAAAGTATTTATTCCAAAAGAAAATGCAACTAAAGTATTTATTACATATTGGCCTTTGGTTGGATTTTAGGGCTTTGAAACTTAGCAGACATGGATCAGACTGATCCATTTCGAGTCTGACAAGCATGGTCGGGAAGAGGGACTGTCCCATCGGAAAGTTCAGGTTCAAATAACTTGGAAAGGTCTTCAACCTAATGCGTTGGATCACATTGCGTAAGTTGGACCAGACTGAGGGAACAGTACATTGGGCGTGCTAGTTCTATCCTCTCACGACACCTCAACCACATCGAATGATCTGGTGTGGCCCAACAGCCAATCCAACACACTGTGGACCCATCTCAGAGTTGCACCAGTTTTAAAGGATCGCAATGATCCATGGGACAGGATAGGGTTTAACGCTATAGGAGGCCCCCATCCTCATGTATCAGCTTATTGTAAATCCCATAGCCAACATGACCGGATCTGGTGCCCCAGTGCCTACATCATTATGCAGAAGTATTTTTTATAAATGCAATAGTTTCCACCAACTGTTTCTCTGATTAGGCCAGAAAGAGACTAAATCGTAATTAGTCACCACGGATGCTAGTTGGTCATTTCACGCAGTTATTTAGTTTTTAGCAGAGGATAACAATTCGTAAAAAAAGTTCTGATGGCTCATATGCATACTCTCAATAGCCTCATCTGTGCGGAATCTTTCTGTTACTTTGTTTCCAGTGTCGACATCTCGAAGTTCAACCTGTTAAAAAAGTGAGTTTGATACTGCGAGCAAATTAGTGATCAAACAAGCGGACTAAAAATGAAGTTCAATGAATAAAACACATTAACGAACGAAAATCAAGACGCATAATCATCAAACAGTGAAGATACTAACACAAAAAGCAATTAAACTGCAGGACAAAGACAATAACACTATAGAGATGATATATATCTAGTGACATTTATATACTTTTCTGGGGATAATACATTAGAGAAAATGCATATCTAGTAATCGCTATACGAAGTAACTATGCATCATCTTCAAAGGTTGTTATGGCAACGTTACATCTTGAATCTAGTCCTACGTGCTAAACTGTAACACCCGAATTTGTCAAAATGTTTCCTGAGCAGAGTGATCAATGGCTGGAACGATAAACACTCAATAAAAGAATTGGAAGTGTTTGCAAGGAAACCTGTATGGTGGCTCCACCTCTTCCATGCTGCGTGTGTTGTGCCTTCAGTACCTAGAAACTGGTTCTTAGTCAGATATTTGATAAAAAGCTTCTGCACTGTAACCACTTGAGATTTTTTGACACATCTATATCAACCAGAGTACAAGTATGAGACCATATTCTGCACAAGACCAGACTTTCAATGACGTTTCGGATTGGTACTAGAATACGGGATTAAGTTTCATTTTTGGACGTGATTGATTGAAAAGCCAGAGTAGCGGCTACGTAACCTTGGAAAGGTTTGGTTGATAAAGCAACCTACCTCTTACTAACAGAACAAGAACAAATAAGTAGAATAATTTATAAATAAAAAGCCAGTTAATTTTTTTTAATGAAGTGTTTACCTGAAATATACGCCCTTCAAAAAATATTGCAAACCCCATTCGTTCCAGAGGCAAATGGTTAGTTGCGAAAAATCATTAACCAAGGGTTCTGTCCGAATTTCATAATAAAATTGATCATTGAGACTTTACACCTTTCCTCTGTATGATATTTCCAAGACGCACCTACAGAAAGTCAAATTATGATTATATCGTGAGCTGTTGAGTAATGGTCGCCACATACGAATATGAATGGAAAAATATCATAGAATAAGGGATGCACGAAAATCCAAGGCAACATTTGAAGTTCAGTGGCAGACAGGAACGTCACATGAGAATGCTTCGGAATTTGAGGATTTTAGCACGAACCTATGGAAAGTAAACGACGTCCTAGTGATGTTCAAAATTATTTAGACAAAAGATGGCAACAGCAGAGCACTTAATCATCATATATTACTTCGAACTTTGGATGATATCCCAGGCGTGCGGAAGTATAGAACTCGCAGAAAATGAAACTGGGTTCTGATGCTCGGGTACTACAAGGCAATCATCAAAAATTTACCTTACGTAACTATTTGGCCGAACATGGAAAATACATAAAACACCAACAAGCAGAAGAGGAGGTCAACATCTTTCCAACCTAGAAGAGTTTCCATCTCTCTACTCACATCTGTGCCAAGGACTTTCGCTCCTCGCCGCTGGAGGGCGGACCAGGGAGACGCGAGAGTGCCGCCAGAATCGTCCAGTGGCTGCTTCACCCTCCTGTAGTACGTGAGCGAGCGGACTCCACACACGGACGCAGGCGACGGACGAGCGGCGGAGTGAGTCCAAGAGACGACACCATTCGCCAACCGCCTCCGCAGCGAATGCATCCCTTTAGTCGCCCCACAGAAGCAAGCTGAACGCCGTCGCCAAATCTGCACAGCTCGTCCCTCCCCTCCCCTTCCCGGGCTGGCAGCCGGACACCACGGAGCGCGACTGGGCGATCCCCCTCCTGACTCGAACAACCGGAAGGCCGCAGGGCTGTCACACCTGCTGCTCGCGCAGTGACCCCTCCGGAAAAACCGTTTTATACCCACCACGTCCCCAGGAAGCTCTGATCTATTATTACGTCATCACGGACCGTAATTATATCACTTGGATCCGCCAACTCATTGACTTTCGGATTCTCATTGCTCTACCTCGCATGCACGTCGACTAAACTTTTTCGATGCGTGTGAGTGAGAGAGAGAGAGAGAGAGAGAGAGAGAACCACTATGCCCATATTAGTAAAATCAAGGACTATATATCCAAATGTCACATTAAAACGTAAATGGCACCTCACACATGTTAATAAAATCAAGGACTATATCCAAAATGTCATATTTAAAGTAAATGATGACATTCCCATATTAGTAAAATTGAGGAATCTATCCAAAATGTGATATTACAAAGTACATGTCAACTTATCCATATTAGTAAAATCAAGGACTACATCCAAGATGTCACATTGTAAAGTAAATGTCACCTTACCCATATTAGTAAAATCAAATATTTTAGCTAAATGAGTCCTTACAGCTTGAACATGTGTATATATATATATATACATTTATATATGTAAATTAACAACCTTGCCCATATCGATGAGAGCTGACTCTGCCAAATTACAAAAACACCCATTTAATGAACGAGATCGTCAACATAAGTAAAAAATCAAGAACTTTAGCCAAACGCCATCCTGAGATCTACCATATCAATAACTATATATATATATATATATAAATGAACTAACTTTGCCTACATCAGTGAGATGGTGGACCATGCGAGGGGGAGTGCATAGATTTGACGAATAAACCTGTCCATAGAAGTCAAATGAGGGGGTTTATCCGAATGTAACGTGAGAGACTGAAGGAAATGACGAGGCAGGAGAGGAGCTCCTAACTCGGTTTGACCGGAGATGGTATAGGCATTCAACACGAGTGTCCAAAACAGCGAGAGAAATCAACCCAAATCATCTAGAGGTAAACAATCGCCTATGCGGATGCCTATCAAAAAAGAACCGGCGGCTCGACGTGGTTTCCCAGAGAGCGAGCGCCAAAGAGTATTATTTGTGAATTATACTCGACTGGACGAGCCGGCACGACCCGGAGCCCGCGCCCCAGCCACAGACCGAGACTGTCAGGTAGGGAGATCTTATTGGACGAGGTGATCGGCGTCTACTCCTCAGGCGGCGGGTGGAGATTACTACAAGCCCAGTTGCTTCTCCACCTTCTGGATTTGGTTCAAAAATATCCACGTCATCTGCACAGAGAGAGGGAGAGGGAGGAGTCAGGGGTGCTGAGTTGGCGGGCAAAGCTGGAGATACGGGGGGGTTTTCGGTGGGGGTGATTGACGGGCTTACCATGACATGTGGCGCGATCCTCACGCAGTAAACGGGGAAGCCGGTGTAGAATTTTAGGGGCCCACCGCTCTTTAGTGTCTGGAGAGCGCAGTCGAAGGAGCCCGTGTAGGGGAACTTGCCGGAGGCGTCGGGCTGCATCTTCTGGATCTGGGTTTTGACGTAGTCAAAAGGCAAGCTGCAAGCTGAGGCGAAGAATCCGGAGACAGCACTTGCTCCTGTAGACCAGAAAGGCGAGCCGCGTCAGACCAATCTTCGGATTTTCTTTTTTTCATATATGAGATTTAAAAAAAGAAAAAAGAAAAAAAGGACAGATCTTCGTCATGAATGCTGTGATTATCATCCATATATATAACAGAGATTATGAAGGCTTTTGCGATGTTGTGTGACTTACCAACAACTGTACTATATTCACCCAGGCCGAGAGAATCTCTGAAGAACTCGACGCTCTGATCATATGAGGCAAGCATGCCCATGTTTAATGCCATTGCTCTCACTACAGTAGGGCCTGCGCCTTTCCAGAGTGATAGAACGCCTTCATCAGCAACTATGCGATAGAGAGCGTGGAAGGCATTCTTGTAGTTGCGGCGCTGTGCCAGAGGCAAAGTCGCATCGGCCTGCATACGGATGAGTGCCAGATCAGCTGGACTGCCAACGGACGCTCCAATAGCTCCAGCTGTCAACCCGATGAATGCTTTCTGAAGAAGAGGAAGCGGCTTCCCCTCATTAGCCTCAATTGCCTTGTTCGTCAAAACCCTAAAGGGAAAATAATTGTTATTGTTTATTTCTTAGTCAACTAATCAGCTGCTCACCCACCAAACAAACAGACAAACAGCGCGACCACGGAAGGGAAAAAAAAGATCTGATGAAAGGTATAGATGGAAAAGAGAGATGCTGGGAATAATGAATTTCAAAAACAAGGAAACAATCTATAAAGCAAAAAGAAATCTCATCCAGATTAATAGAAACATGTACTAAATGTCTCTATGACATCCAGAGTTAACAAACCGCCGAGTCTGGACGAACTTGACGGGCACCTCAGCGAATGTTGGAATGGATTCGGCCGGGAGATTAGGTTTCATTGGAATAAGCAGCCTTCCGAGAAATTGCAGGTTGAAACGAAAAAAAGGCAATTCTGCTCATTACTTGCCTTTGAAAACATGAGTTGGATATCCCATCGAGTAGGATAACCCCTTGGAAACAAGAATGGCGATATATTCTCCTTTACCGTCAGTGAGAAACAGCGTGCTAGCATTCATTCTGTCTGATTTGACCCCAACAAACTGCAGACGTAATGCCCTAGCATTCTGTACAAATCAAAGTTCTACTCTGGTTCTTCTGTATTGACAATCATCTCATTTAAATGGATGGGACCAGTGAACATATACGGGGAAGTAGTTTCCAACAAAGATCAAAATTTCTCACACAAAACGTCACAGGGTGAGACAAATGATTTGGAAAATTAAAACCTAACTAGGATCCGATCATAACAGAAAGTTTCTTCACCCGCCGAATATTAAATGGATCGACATGTTAAACAGATTAAATGTCCCACATCTACTGTAGTTTTCAGCGTAATACAATAGAACATCTGTTGACGAAATGAAGTTATAAAACAATGTCTAACTTTCTTCCCTTCATAAATAATCATAACCAGTGATGGAAATATACTAAGATTGTTAAGACAGAGGCACTATTTCAACCTAGGTGACTATGTTTAGTAGAAATGAAACTCCTCACAGTAGAAGTGATAGGGTCTTTTTGAAGAAAGAAACATGAGTTAAGTCCAGGTATCCTTCAAGTCTATTGTCAAGAACATTGAGGGCAAACTCATTCTGGTATCGGAATGGAGTATTTCCACTAGTATGTGGAATTCTCCGCATACATATAGACTTTCTTTTAGGCAAAAATTGTATTAGCGTAAATGCTCCGGTTTAAGAGCCAATCGTGTTGAAGTATTTCAAAGATTCAAGTTGATGGACAAGGTATTATGAGTCCAGTCTTCAAAGCATGATGAAAGGATATATATATATATATATATATATATATATATTTAAAGTGAAAATTTGCAAGAACACTTCAAATCATATAACACAAATGCTTAATATTCTTTGGATATTGTACCGTATAGAATTTTTTTTTTAATGTGAAAGTGTGCAAAGAAAACCGTAATTTAAGAAAAACAAACTCACCTGAAGGATCCAAGTCGTGCAGTCGTATAGGTAGCTTGCCTCAGCAACCCAGCTGACAAGCCCTACACAAAATCACTGTCTCAACACATGGGCTTTTCCCAGAACAGTGAAAGATAATTTTGAATCAACTTCAAAATACGTAATATTTCTTAAAAAGTCACAATTTTAATGATTTTATTATGCACTGCTCATTAATAATTCCAAGGATTAGACAAGACATTTACATTGGTATAACACACTAAGTTTAAATACCTCATGAAATCAATTAGCAGAAATTAAATAATACCTCATACTGTGGTCTTTTCCCAGCTTAAAAGCATAATCATCACAAACATCTAACTAAAAAATGAAAACAATCAACAGTCGGGTTAAAATTGTTGTTCATCCATCCATGTCGGATGTCCTTTTCAATGAATCTCGGATCAGAGCTTTGGGGATCCAGAATTCACGAGTTACGAAGAAAAATTCTGCAAGCTACTAATGAGACTCTCAATCTACCCCTCCAATCAACGACAATATGATCAGTCATGCCAGATAATAGAGCATGCAAACAGGTTCATTTATGAGGATTTTTCGAGTTTCCAAATGTAACTACCTTTTCCCAGTAAAAACTAGGAGAATCGACGTAAATTGTTCTAGAGTTGAGTATATAGGAGGGTAGAAAAATATCCGATAAACCTGAGTCTGTACTTCGAAAAAGAAATCAACATGTGTGCGGGAGAAGAGGTATACTAGAATGAGTGTGAAAGAATCTCTCAGATGCAGACATAACATTAAAAAATGCTTAGAAAAATAATCTTTCCACACAGATAAAAGACATGACGATAAAAAAAGTAACTTTAGCACATATTTCTTTGGCAGTGTTCTTGAAAACAAATGTGAATGAAATTGTTCTGTCCCAATTCATATCCTAAACAACAAAAACGCATGCTTAACGGTACCCCATATGAACTACAAGCTAGATCTAATAGATCATCAATCCATACACACTCAAAAAGAGTCACAATTGTTCACTAGCTAGATTGCTTGTAGGAACAAGATAGAACAGACAATAAGATCATGGCATTGTTTGGGGCTCAAACCTTGTATAAAGAGCCAAAGCCCTCTTGGGCAACCATGGTCTTCGCAACGTGAACAGCTGATCCCTGGCCCAATTGGATTCTGACCTGGAAAACAAACGAACAAAAAAAGATCGTTATCCGCCCAATTGCCAAGAATACATGACGAGACAGTAAGCAATAAAACAAGAGTTTTCGTGACATCACGAGATGCACCACATATTGTGGATTAACATACTATTTTGAGTTATGGAATCAGATTATTCTACTAGATCTCGACAAGACGCCATTCGTAAATTATAAAGGAAAATATAAAATGATCAAAAGAGCCAGGCATTGTAGAAACAAATCTCAGATCTCTCGTACGACATTGACTGTTTCGACGGAAAGCTAAGCTCATCCAAAAACGAAACGCCCCACCACCCTGAAATCCTCCAACGGACGAACAGAATGAATGAAGGATCGCTAGCCTCCAGTCATCAGAGAAATGGTATTCATAGATCCTGTCCTCAACAGGACCGGGAGGTTGGGACCGAAGAACAACAAAATAATATCAAACGAAAGAAGAGGAAAGACCTGAGAACAAGATCTAAAGAGGTATACCTTAACCATATCGATGGGCTGGATGACGCAGGTGGCGAGCATTCCGGAAGCCCCACCATTGACGAATGGCTTCACCGTTCCCCACACGCCAGAAGGAGCTGCAGTCTTCGGCTTCGCCTCTGCCATTCCGTCCGACGGCTTGATGAACGACGACCACTACGACGGAAGATCGCGGCGGTAAGGGAGATGTGATGAAGAACCAAGTGAAGCCCTACCAGCTAACTGCGCTCCTCAATAAAAGCAGACCCAAAAAGGCGAAAATAAAGGAGAGAGAGAGAGAGAGCGCAGTAGGGTATCTTCGTTTGTGAAGCAATTACCCTCGCATATCCAATAATTCACGATCTAACCATCCTGAGCCGAAAACAATCATCACACCGTGGATTACCCTCTCTCCGAAAATCTTGTCCGTCCATACGATGAACCACAAAAAGGAAATTTTACCGCGGCCCTGGACGGCAGAGATGAGCTGTGTGAATCCTACGGTCGTCCTTCGTTAGCAGATGCGCATTGTCATCCTGTCCATCGAACAGGTGAGACCTCGGATGTTTCCTAACCATCAACCGATGAGATCTTTAATCTGACGGCCATAATATCCTGGAGGCGATTCGATTCCTAAAGTGCACGGTTACCGGACAGTCCGTGAGCCCCCCGAATCTTCGGTGCACCTTGCAGGGTCAAAGGTCACTTACTTTCACCGCAAACTTGGACGACCCCACACAGTTCTCTTCAACAGGGGCATTTTGGTCGTTTTAATGAAATGGTTGCTAATTTTAAGTGGGCCCCACCCATTGACCCACAATCTTGAAGCGGTGTGTGGCCGGGAGACTCCGACCGAGACCACCTTAACCGCCGCACGTCCACGAACGTCGGGCTCGGGGGGGGATAAAAAAACAGCGACAGACAGCCCACGTGTCAACAAACGACAAGAACCATATCTGACGTGGGATAAAGAGTCATGTTCTCTCCGCTGCGGACGGTGGGAGTGTACGTGACGATGTAGACTGTCTATTAAGGGAGGTGAGAGGACCTTCCCGCCATCTTCTTCTCCCTTAATCTTCCCCTCCCCCTCTTTCCTGCAGAATCCAATGGCGGAGACGGGCGGGGAGGCAGCGGAGGGCACGGGCAGGCTGGAAACAGCTCATCTCCGTCGGCATCCTTCGAGAAGTGGAAGCGGTTGATGGCCAGCGCCGCGGGGCTGGCGTTGATGGAGGAGGGACCCCACAGATGCCTATTCTGGTCCGGATTCTTCTGGTTTCTGAGCGGCGGACCAGGGGCACTTCGGGGATTCGGCGAGGAGACTGCCAGAGGAGGAGCAGGAGCTTCGGGATTTGTATCTCCCCCCCACCCCCCCTTCTCCATATCGTCCTCTCAAATCCCGGAGTGAGTGAGGATTTCCTGAGTCTGTCGCCGGGAGAGGAGGAAAATGAGGGAGATTATCAGCATCCACATCGGCCAGGCGGGGATCCAGGTGGGGAATGCCTGCTGGGAGCTCTACTGCCTCGAGCATGGCATTCACCCGGACGGAATGATGCCCAGGTCTGCTCGAGCCTTCTCTCGTTCTGGATTCCCGATGACAATCTTTTGTTGTAAATCGCATGTCGTCGTCGTCATCGTTATAGTCTCCGTGCTTTCGCTGTAATTGTGCTTCCTCATTCTGCTTTCTCACAGACGTCGTGGAAATGGAAGAGGTCCTGGCGTTGCCGCGGCAAACCTTTTTCCGCAATGCCTCTTCCCTTCTACCTTCCTGATCTAGTCTCTGTTCCCGTAGCTCGCATTCTCTGTCAGATCTCCAGCTTAGCGGCTTTGTTTGTTCGATCCGTGCCTCCCAACCTTAGATTCATTCCCTCAACTAGCTCGTCGCTTCCCTTCTGCTGCCACTAGATAGATGATCGCTGGTGGAGTTCCGATCGATCCTGCGTTTTTTCGTTGGAATCCCCCGGCTGACATTGCGAAAACCTCCGATTCTCTGAAGCGACACGACGGTGGGAGTCGCGCACGATGCTTTCAATACATTCTTCAGCGAGACGGGCGCGGGAAAGCACGTACCACGGGCGATCTTCGTAGATCTGGAGCCCACGGTCATCGATGAGGTTCGGACGGGGACGTACCGCGAGCTGTTCCACCCGGAGCAGCTCATCTCCGGCAAGGAAGATGCCGCGAACAATTTTGCTCGCGGCCACTACACCGGTGAGAAACGAGAACGATCTTCCTCCTCTCATCACTGTGGTTAAACGACGCCTTCCTGGATCTGAGAGAACCTCCTCTTCTTGATTCTGCTGCAGTGGGGAAGGAGATCGTGGATCTGTGCCTCGACCGCGTCAGGAAATTGGCGGACAACTGTACCGGTCTCCAAGGGTTTCTGGTCTTCAATGCCGTCGGCGGAGGAACCGGATCAGGCCTGGGATCCCTGCTCCTGGAACGCCTCTCTGTGGATTACGGGAAGAAATCCAAGCTCGGCTTCACCATATATCCCTCTCCGCAGGTACGCATCTCGATCTTCCTCTCCTCTGCTGCCGCCGGTTGTTCTGAGATCCTCGATTTCTTCCACATCCAGGTTTCCACGGCGGTGGTGGAGCCGTACAACAGCGTCCTCTCCACACACTCCCTGCTCGAGCACACTGATGTCGCCGTCCTCCTGGACAACGAGGCCATCTACGACATCTGCAGGAGATCGCTGGACATTGAGAGGCCGACGTACACGAATCTGAACCGGCTGATATCTCAGGTCATCTCCTCGCTGACGACATCCCTGAGATTCGACGGAGCCATCAACGTCGACGTCACGGAGTTCCAGACGAACCTCGTGCCGTATCCTCGGATCCACTTCATGCTCTCCTCCTACGCGCCGGTCATCTCCGCCGAGAAGGCCTACCACGAGCAGCTCTCCGTACCGGAGATCACCAACGCGGTCTTCGAACCTGCGAGCATGATGGCCAAATGCGATCCCCGCCATGGAAAGTACATGGCCTGCTGCCTGATGTACCGCGGGGACGTCGTCCCCAAGGACGTCAACGCCGCCGTCGCCACCATCAAGACGAAGAGGACGGTCCAGTTCGTCGACTGGTGTGATTCCTCTGCTCTGATCTGATCTGATCTGCTTTGCTCTGCTCTGATCTCTATCTCGCTGAGGATCTCGTCGGAGTTGCAGGTGTCCGACGGGGTTCAAGTGCGGGATCAACTACCAGCCGCCGACGGTCGTCCCCGGCGGCGATCTAGCGAGGGTGCAGCGTGCGGTGTGCATGATCAGCAACAACACGGCGGTGGCGGAGGTGTTCTCCAGGATCGACCACAAGTTCGATCTGATGTACGCGAAGCGCGCCTTCGTCCACTGGTACGTCGGGGAAGGGATGGAAGAAGGCGAGTTCTCGGAGGCGAGGGAGGACCTGGCCGCCCTGGAGAAGGACTACGAGGAGGTCGGTGCGGAGGGCGCCGATGACGAAGACGACGGGGAAGACGAATACTGAGACCTTTACCATCACCATCATCGTCTTCTCCCATCAATCCTTCCATCCCCCCTCGATTGGCTTGTGTTATCTTCATCCCTGCTGTTTATCGTTTGTCTTCTAGTGCTTTCCCGAGTTCGCCGGAGTGGCTAACCTCTTCCGTCGCCTCTGGCGGCGCCGCTGCTCTCCTGAGATAGTTATCGCCGCCGCCGCCGTAGTCTTGGGTCGCATAGGCTGGCAACTCTGTCAGAAAGATCATCAGAAAAGTGTCCATGGGAGCCAGAAAAATTCCCTCAACGCCACCACCTCGGCAATAATTTACAGAATACATACACCCGGAAAAAAAAAGAAAAAGAAAAAGAAAAAGAAAAAGAAAAAGAAAAAGAAAAAGAAAAAGAAAAAGAAAAAGGCTGCAACCTCCCTCAACGGGCAGCCAAGCAGGAGGGAGCCGCAAGAAGCAGGAGCCCGCTCCGAGGAGGCCCGATGCATCTATAAAGAATGATTGGTGATAACGATGGTAACGAGAATAAAAGCGGGGGGCGGGGAAGGGGGGGAAGAAAAAGGCCCTGAAGAGCTCTCTATTGGGTTGAGAGGAATGATTGCAGAGTGAGCTGCTGCTGGGGCTGTAACGAGGACCAGGTCGAGGCCAGGACCGATGGCGGCAGTGTCTGCTGAAGCTGGCGAAGAAGATTGATCACCCGGCTCGCTGTCTGCTCCGTGGCCAGATCCTTGCCTGCGCACAAGACCTGAACATCCACAGCCACCCCGATCAAAGATCGGACTTATCAAGATCTAGAAGAGCACAAGTTTCAACAGCGTCGATCTTGCCATTCACATAATTACGATGAATAAAGTCGCCGGAGCATCTATCTAGAAATGGGCTTTCATCAGAAAGATTTCTGTACCTCAGCGAAGACTTGGACGATCTTTGGAAGATGCTCGTTGTTCGGGCCCAGAAGCTCCCTGTCCCACCTGCGAATTTCTCTCATGTCATACATGTCGGAATGTACACCCGTATATGTACCAGAGAGTCACCAAATCAGTAGAAATGATGCTCGTAATACGGTCATGGGTTACCTTTCAACCATAGTACAGAGCTGCTCGTGGACCACTTTCGCCTCGATCAGATCCGCTCTAATGGGTAAGCAATTCAGCCAAGCTGGAACAACCTGCGCGAGGTGAAACCCAGCAAAGTCAACGATCTTAGCAGAGCCAAAGGTAACAACATCCGCACTGACCAAGCAGGTGAAGAAGAGGCATTACCTGAGCTGCATCGATGCTGTCGCGGTGGAACAGGCATATCTTACCGAGAGCAGAGACAGCGTTGTCATAAGCCGTGACGTTTTCTGACTTGAGTGCGTCTGCGTGCCTTACGACGACATTTAGCCGTGAAAGAGCCTCTGCAAGATCGATATAATCAGGAACCTGGATATGTGTCTAGGGTTTTGTAGTTCTACATCTGGGTTCGAGATCAACCTCCCACGAGAGGTTTGAACACCGACCCACCAAACTCAGCACAAACACCAACTCCATAGACAGCAGCCTGCGAGTGAAGTAGATGAGCTTATGCCTTTCTTCTGCAGGCTGGATCTCTTCAACCAAAAAAGAATAAAAAATAATTCACAACAATTTTGAGGTATATTGGATATGAGACCTGTCGGACATCTGGATCATCGTCGTTGCATGATTCTAGAAGGAATGGTAGATAGGTGTTGTAATATCTGTTTAGCGAGGAGAATAATGTGTTATTCACAACAATTTCTGTAATTAGAAAGTAAACATTAGCGTGATAAATGCCTTCAGAGGGAATGCTCACTTGAGAGCTGCTTCTCTACACTGTTCTGCAACGTCATCGAATAAGCAAATGGCAACCCTTCTCTCCTCAGGTGTTTTATCCTTGCCCTAGGAGAAAGAGAGACGCATGGTAAGCAATAGTTTTGAGGAGAAAGAAATATGCATCGTTCATTCACTATAGTTTTGAGAGAACATATGTTTGGCAAAGACCCAGAGAACAGAACAGATAAAATGAATAGCGCAGGAACAGAGGTGCTGCATATTTGGGAATCTGTAAGGGCTTACCCACATAGCCATTATGAATGTAGAGAGCTCGTCAAAGAAAGGAAGAAATGAAGCTTTGAAAGTCTTGATCAAAGCACCCAAGCAATCACCAACCTATATCAAAGAGTTAGTGAAAAAATGAAACAAAAAAAATTTCATATAAATAATCAATGCATCTCTGCGTGAATAATCGAGTTCAAATCAGATTTATGCAGTATAACACTTACATGGTCAAGTACTTCTTCTTCTTGCTCATTCTCTTCTCTAAGAAACTCTCCCTCGTCCGCATCAAAATCTTCAGCCTTCGTCCTCTCATCTCTTTCTCTCTTTCTGGTTGAGCTCGCTGTGATCACATGTTTTATCTCATCTACAATGCACCTGACCTGAGATTCACTGAGAAGTGATCCCGAAATCTGAAATATCAAAGATAAAAGGTAGACGAGATACTGTTATATAGCTGCTTTCTTGTCATGTGAATGAGCAACAAAATGACTTTAAAACAGGAAATATATTTTAGTATACTTGATCCTGAAACTCAAAGATATACTTCACCGTAATGTATAATCAACTACCAATTGAATGGGAATGGAAACAAGAAGAATACAGATAAATGATCGCTTTCAGATTTCGGCTTGGTTGAGCCAACCTTGCTGATTAATGGAGTCAACCCAAAGCGGTCCAGTCAAAAAACTTATTTGACATAGATATTCTCCAACTTGGAACAAGCAGTGACTAATCAAAACAGAAGTCTAATAAAATCCTGACTCAACGAAAACTTCAACTAGTAACATGCCAGCCTATGCATGCGTCAACTTGATCTAACCCCTAACCTGATCTATAACATCACATAATAAATTTCATATAGCTTATATTTTGAAATATAATAAATTTTAAAATAATGTGTGGGTTCTCCTTCAGATGAAAAGTAGAATCGTTTACACCAATGACAGCTGCACATTCAAACATTCGGGTGAATGAAAATTCTAGTGTGTGAACATTCATGCTTGTGTGGACAAGTTCTCATTTTAATTTTATTCACCAGGCAAAGCTTACCTAGTAACTTATTTCACGTGATTAAGTAAATCCATAGAGAGCTAGGAATAAAGCAGATACAATGGATTTACCCATAAGAAGAAAAGCATTGGCATCTAAATGGTTCTTTCGTTAAATGGCAGCCCGAGAGGATATAAAAGGTTGACGTTAAGAAAGAACCATACCTGTATGCACTCATTCAGCGAATCCAACATTGTAGCACAAATTTCTGTCTCAGGCTCCTATAGTTTGACGTCATCGAAAGACATTGAAAATCTCAGCACAAACAAGTTACTGACGCTAATGATGTGTAAGTAAGAATAATGTGAAGCTAAGAAATTTGCATAAGAAAAACAGACCTTATTTAATGCGTCAACCAGAGCTGGAATTATATAGTCAGACAACTGTTTCACGTATGATTCATCTCGTCCTTGTGCAAGTCCTTTCTCCACTGCCAACTTAGCTGATCGTAAGAGCTCTGGCATCGCTACAGAAGCCAAAGGGATGCACGCTGAGAGGAATGTCTTCCACAAATGAAAACGGATAGATTATCATCATAACATCGTTTGAACCTGACACAGCTGCTTTTCGAACTTCTTCGTGAAAATAGAACTTGAGAAGAGGAACTAAAGTAGGAGCGACCTACAAATCATGAACAAAAACTCTTCTTAAAAGACGAAGTCAAAGTGAAAAACTACCTATGCAAAGGTATAACTAACCTGATCAATCCAGGGATAGAAACCTTCCTTGAGTTCATCTGCATAGCAGCAAAGCATATTACAAGCAGTAGCTTTCTCCTCCAGGACACTAGTCTTAATTCCTATTCTCTTATCCCCAAGAGTGATGGTTTCGATGCTGCAACAAAAAAATAAAGAATAAATAATAGTTAAATTACTAGATCGTTTTCTCACACTTGGAACATTGGTTGAAGCGGCTCACCAATGCGCAGGATAGGCAAACGCACTAAGAAAAGAAAAATTATTAAAGCAATGGCTTGGTTTAGAAAAATCCTGGAAGAGCTTATCCAGAAGAAGCCACAATACTATACCAGAAAACAAAATAGGATGATATGGATCCGGACCAAACAACGAATTTCTGTTTCTCCACGCTAGTTTTGGGGGAAACGTTGAAGTCAAAGATGAATATTCTCAGCAACTGTTGACCTTTTCCCTGGGTTACATAGTAATCCTGAATTCTTAGAAGAAGAGATGATCCTCAGGAGTCACGAGTTATGTAAGATAAAACCCTTACAAAACGTGTTCTGCATATATTACTGCAAAAGTATGAAAAAACTACAAATTCTTCAAATGAATAAAATTTAGAGATAGTTGGTAATTGGAAGTGCAGAACAAGATGACTACAACAAGAACACATTCTTCTATTTTAAAGAAGATGATGTAACTTCAAGAAGAATGACTGTGAGGGGATAATACTGATCCACAGGAAAACATCACCGGGTACCCAAAAGCGAAAACAAACCTTTCATCATCCGACTCATCAATGTCGTCATCTGAATCCGCTGAGGTTATAGTAACATCTGGTTTTAGTTGAGCAGACTGAAGCAATGGAGGCATGACGACACTCATATAAGGAAGAAAATCCTTCCCTAAGCATTTGCAAAGCCTGGCCCACGCCTACATTTTATATCTTCTATTAGAACTGCACATCTGAAGCAATAATTGTCAAGTAGACAGATATTAACACTTACTTGTAGCATGTAACTGATTGTTGGGTCATCACTCTCCATCTGAGATCCTTGCAGGGTCATCAATACTTCCATAACCTAGATAAGTAAAACAAAAAATATAAAATCATTCTAACGAAATATGAAATCATTTAATGCCAATACAAGAAAAATATACTTGAGAGAAAATATTTATGATAAAAAATTGAACCAAAATTATAAAAAAAACCGAAAAAGAGCAAATGCTTCATTTAACATCATCTACAGAGTCAAGAAAAATAAATGGGTTAACAAAAAGCATTAGGTTCACGTAGAACCTATATCAGGGTGACAGACTAACGCTCCAAGCTGGAATACTGAAGAATGTTAGAATTGTTTTGATAGTTTTTGATGAAATGAAACTGTTCTCAGAAAAGTTGAGAGACATTGGCAATTAAAAAAAAATGAATGCTGTATTTTCCTGTTTCTTGCCAAGATTAACCAAACTAAACGTCAAGGACAGAGGATAGATATTGTTGTTGTTTTTTCATTCATCACTAAACATTAAAGAACCATAGTAAGCCGACCCAATTTCATTGAAGAAAAGGCATGATTCGTCACTGTGTCGCAGCTTAATCTTCACACCCAAAAAAACCATTTCCACATACAAATTTCAGCATCTACAGAAGAAATTATCTACAACTCAAGAAATCACCACCCACCTGATAACAAATATCCATCCACTAATAGACATCTACACATCCAATTTATCTCTCACCTCAGAATCATAAAAACCACCAGTCATCCCTCTGTTTTTCTCTTCAAGATCAAAATGTGATTTAATAATACTACAAAGATAGCGAGATATTTTCAAAGTCCTTCCATTATATGAATCTACTCATCATCAACCCATTTTCATGATAAATCAAACGTTTTTTCACCTTTCTTTCTCCTTCCACTCTCATTCTCATTTCCTTCTTTTTCTTCACCAAAAGATGCAGATAGATAAAATGAGGGAGAGGAAAATACAGCAAGAGGGTTAGAGTAATAGAAAGATATGTTGGGGGGGGTGGGGGGGTGGCGGAGGAGGAGGCATAAAAATGATGAAATAAATTTTCCTGAGAAGGCATATACAAAAGAAATCACTCACTTGCTTGGCATCATCCCTAAACTTCTCCTTGCCCACAGCCATTCCGACTAAACTGATGCATTCCATAGACTTCGCACGAAGCATTCGTCGAGACTTGTCACTGGCAGTCATCAATATACTCTTGAGGTATGGCATAACAGCATCATAATATTTCTGAAAATGCTCCTACATTATGATATGAAGGTAAACTCAGTCAGGATCATCATCTATTCAAATGACTGATTAAGCAGAAAACTCGAGAATACAAAGCCACCTGAGATGAATCTGCAACTGATGCTAGTGCTGTTAAGGCCCCCTCCTGCACCATCTGCTTTCCGTTCTGTACACAAGGGTTAATATGCAAGACATATTAAATCAGAAGGATGTACCAAGAAAACATTAGACTACCCACAAACCGAACTCCATATTGACGTCTAGGAAACATCATACCTGAAGTAGAACGAGTAATTTACTCACTATTCCGTCCAAATATGGTGTCAAAATCTCTGGAGTGCAGTTCTCACTGAAATTTAGAATTGCAGAAGCCGCATGCGCCTATAAATATGGTAGGAGCCAATTAATCGTAAGGATATCTATTATGATAAAATTTCTTCGGCACCAAGGAAAAGAAAAGCAATACAAAAAATTTGCAAACGGATACAACAGCACCAAGCTAGGTTTAATTATAAGTTTTGTTGATGAATTTTGTAAGCCTTCGAATTCTCGTTTAAATATTCCACAGTTCCACTCCTTCTAAATTGTAATAGCATTTTAAAATACTTAACATCCTCGAGCAGGAGTATTATTTCTTGCCAATGTGACGAGACAAAAAAAAGAGGTCGGATTCAGTTGTCAAGTCAGGTCCTTGACATCCATATACCAATCATTTCGTTCTTGATATATGTACTGGAATTTTGGTAATCACTTGTCCATTTACGCACGTTCTTCAAGATGTGTAATACTGTATGTTTGTAACTATGAGATTTTCCAAATATCAATAAGGATTGATGCATTTATTTCATGGATACGTTGCCGTAAGAAGGATGGAAATTGGGGATGTCACTGCATACTAATGTTGAACTGTAGTCCTCGAGGTACGTTTTTTCCTTTTTTTTCCTTCTTTTCCACCTCACTCCTTTCTACACTGTTTTACCCTAACATTGTCTCTACTTTATTATTTCTCTTCATTTTTTGGGAACCATTAGACCATGGTATGCTTCACCATAATTTTCCAGTTTCCATGAAGGATTGGAGTGCAAGCTGGAACTATATTTTTGCAAACCGCAAGCAAAACAAAATCACATGGAAATAAGAAATAGAAACACAACTTTTCCTCAACATAAATTATAATAATTACCTATATAATTTTTCCAGAAAAATATTTTCACCAAAATCGTTCTGAATCCTATCCTATGGTGTGACATGTAGTTATTCATCATCTGATGCAGGCGAAAATCATGGTACCACGAAAGCTGATATTCAAAGTTACCGGTGCTTAAAGACTATTTATCATCAAACATGACCCAATTGAAAGTAATGCCATCCTTAGCATTTCGTTGGACAGTAGCCTAGTTGTATTTGAACTGAACATGAATATATTCAAATAACATTGGCAACTTCAAAATAATTGCTGACGCCATATGCAATCTGGAGTGTTCCAAATAATGGTCTAAATTGTGCTTCCTAGAAGTCGAATGTGAACTTAGAAAGTGAAAATCAATGGCACAGCATCAGGTGATCATTGGGCATCTTACCTGGACACGTGGATTCTGGAAATCGTCCATTGCTGATGCTAGAGCTGGCAAAACACGCTGATGATATTGAACTTGTAGGTCCGGCCCCAGATCGGTAGACAACTGTCCAATGGCATTAATTGCTGCCCACCGCACACGGGGATGCGGATCTTGAAAACAGCTCAAAACCATGGACACAACTTGTTCGAGATTTCTTATCATGACCTGCATTAGCACAAAAGAAATGCCATAAAAGGAAACCAAATAAGCACTCAGGCAAGGAAAATATCAACAATAATTGAGGCAATTGAACAACGGAATCCTCATTCTCCAAACTGATAATGCCGGAATGTAAACCATATGAGCTTGTGAATCGGAACTACAAGATGTCTCGTCGTCCAATTACAGTGACCCGACCAATTTATGCTATTTACCCACAAAATAACCCTTTTTGAAAATGAAACAGCACATTAAAAATCGGCGGGCAAATAACATATTCCATTACCTTCGAGCAACCTTCAGCAATTTGTGCAAGGGTGATCAAGGCTGCATGGTGCTTCTGCCACTCTGGAGCAGCAAGGTACGCAGGGAGGAGCTCAGATGCAACGGGAACAATTGTGTTTCCGCCAAGGGCGATTGAAAGACGGTCCAGGCATTCTTGCCCCACACTGTAGTTGCTGGTCTCCCCAGCATCCTCGTCCTCTGACTCTGCACTGTGCCAGGCCTGATCATCTTCAATGTCCAGCAACATCTTCATCAGGACTGCAAAGAGACGCCCAACAAACTGGGGCAGACGGCGCATCATGCCAGGGGCACGCTCCCTAGCCTCAGCAAGAGTAATGACGAACTCCACAGCAAGGTGCCGCGTCCCCTCTTCGAGGCCATCAGCCTCAGCAATCTGGAGCATAGAGCCGACAACTTCAACTAGCTGGCGGCGGAGGAACTTTGGTTCGGTCCCAGCAAGCTCAATGAGTAATTCAAGGGCCTCCTGAGCAGTGGCCTCCTGCCCAGAATTGAGTGCCTCCGTTAGGGTGCGCATCATGGCAGGGAGGAGATCCTGGAATCGGTCTCGGTCGGAGGTTGATGGGAGGCACTGAATGAAATTAATGGCAGCGCCGAGGGCAGCAATGCGGACATCAGGTGTCGACGTAGCGGAGGATAGGGCATTGAGAAATACGGTGTGGAGTGTGGAGAGGTGTGGAAGTAGAATGTCCCCAATGTACTGGGATAGCTGAGAGAAGATGAGAAGGGCGGACTCCTGGAGGCGCGGCGAGTCCGAGGTAACGGACTGGAACATGAAGGGGAGGATATCTGGCCAGGCGTTTTCGAGAAGGAGGTTGGAGGCAAGCTCCGAGACGGTGTCGCATAGCTTTTTACATATTGACTTAACCTCCTCGCGCTGGACGGAGGCAAGCAAGAGAGACTTGATGTCAGACTGGGTGGATGGCGCCAAGCGTGGCCAGAGGTACGCAGACGGGGCGGACGGCGGCGCCACCGTGGACGCCACGGAATCATCGCGGGTGAGTTGCTTCCGAAGGAGGATGGCTGACATGGCCCGGATCTCATGGCGCAGCGAGGAGTGAAGAAGCTGGGCCAGGCGAAGGACGAGCACGTCGGGGTGATGGCTTTTGCAGAGGTTGAATAGCCCCTCCGCCTGGGAGCGCTGCTCGTTGGCGGTGGACATGAGATGGGACACCAGTGCCTCAAAGTGCGATGGGTCCGGCCCGAGGATCGCCGCCAACTGCTGCTCCATCGTTCTCGCCGTCGACCAGCGGCCCCTATCAGGAAGGATTAGGTTAACGAGGCGGCGGGGGCGGTTGGTCGCTGGCGAAGGCGACTGCGACGGGAAGACGACGACGAGGGGGCGCTGCCGCAGCAGGAAGGATGCTCTGACGGGGTTTTTCTTTTGAATTGTTCTTATTCTTAACCGTAACATTAACCTGTATTATATTTTATTCTATATTCCCATAATCTTTCCGTTTTGACATTCTTGTCACTATCCATCCGTGAATTATATATTCATCCTTACCCCCCACTAACTACGCAACAAAACCTATCTTAAAATAACCAATTAAATATATGAATTTAAAGGGTTGCTCGACAACAATACTAATATTATCTCCAAAAACAGGTCTATTTTGCAAGGTTTTAACCTTTAGCTCCCGCATCAGTATTATTTGAATTTTTGGACCCGCCGTAGGTAAATAATAATAATAATAATTTTCTATTTTTTATGCCCCATTGGTTATTGAATACCTAATTATACATATATGATTAGTTCATTGGCCATTTAAATCTAATAAAAATAGAGCCCATAATTTTGGATTACTTGATATTCCCATATCAAGTAAAATAGTAAATAACATTCCCTTAATATTAATTTTTGGCTTATAATTTTGCATAGTAAATGGCCATATTAATGGTTTGAGGGCTTAGTTGATGACAATAATAACTCATTAAGTTTTTCATAATATATATTTATTTTTACTTCAGCTTCCGGATTAAGTGGATAATACAAACACTATCTAAAAAACTTTGCTTCTAGCAAACTTTGGTTCATACCCCATATTTTAGGGACACAAATATGAGGGTAAAACTTTGTGGAAAGTTATTGAAAAGTTGCAAAAGGGACCCATCGTTCAATAATTCCACCAATACAAACAGAAACAATATTTTCAAAAGTTAGATTACATATATATCATGAAGATCTGTACTTATTACTAAACATTACTTCATACATTATTAATATTAATGAGTTTAGAAGTATAAACATTAGCCAACCTATTTGCTCCCCCTAGTTGACATGTGTAGTATACTCACTCCCCTCTCCCACAACATACCCACCCAACTCTCTAGGCATTCCTCTTTCTATTGAAAAACAGAGGGTCATCTTAACCAATATCAAAACATAAATTAAAGTTAACATTTTTATGACGTATAAAGGTATATGAACTTACTATTAGATCCAATGAATTTGCTTGAAGGCAATGCACTTCAAATGAGTTGACTCTCTATAGATCATGAATGTGATTATGAAAGAGAGACATACAATTTGCAATGATTCAACTATTGTAGCTTATTAAAGATATATTTAGTAGATTCTACTATCTATAGATAGTACAATAGTTGAACTCTAAATCACTTATAAATTAATTATTTTAAGTGGCCAAAGTGTAGAATTTTGGGATTAGTTTTGGCATTCAATATTCACCTCGATAAATATAAGTGCATACTAGTAGTTGCTACTATTGATGTCCTTTCCACCACCATGAGTCAAATAACATTAAGATGCCTAATTAAATATTCTAATTGTTGGTTTTAAAGCTTTCATTGACCTTTAATTCATGATTTTAAATAAATTCTTCTTGCCTCTTCAACATCTTGAAACATTATTGGAGATTCAGCTTGATAGCATTCACTTGTCATTACCAAAGTGTATAATTATTTTAGAAGATCTCACTACTTGACCCTTTTGATTGAGTTTTCCATGCCGACTTTCTTGTTGCCTCTTTCTTATCACAAGTTTTTAATTTCAATTTTTTCTCATATTTATTGAAAGCTTGCTTTGACTATTTGGTATTCATTACTCATTAGAACCACATTTTTAATTGTTCCAATGATGATTTGTAAACATTAAATGATGGCTTTCACTTTGTTAAAACATTATAGTTTTTCTATTTTAAGTTCTAGATTGGTGTACGATTATTATGTAGATAGATTATAGTGTTTGTCTCATACTATTGCATGATTCAAAAGTGTAAGCATATTTGTTATTATGCTAGATGTAAATGCAATATAGAATCTAAGTAAGAATATTCAACTTTAAATATTGATTTATAGTGGTGTAAATGCTATATACTAAGATATCGTGCTTCATATACTATATTATTCAAAAATATAATTCTTATTTATTAAATTATCAAGCTTGAGTAATGAGTTGATGCTTGTATTTCATCAAAGATAGACATATTCCATGTACTCCGCTATTTCACATTCTAAATCTAATGTATTCAAATATCTTGCTTGTTTTATTGCATTATTTATGTATCACTATCCAATTTGACACATGTTTTGCAATATAATTTCCATGTATTGAGATATTAAGCTTGATGTATATAATTAGTTTGCAATGTAACTTATGATATGCTAACACATTAGGATTAATGTGCTATATTAGTTCACAATATAACTTGTCACATACTGAAATAACAACTTCAATATATTATGATATTTTGCAATGTAAACTTTAGAAATTAAAATATTTACCTTGATGTAATATACTATTTTTTTAATTAAAGAATGTGGACGGTGAGTTTTGGTGTAAGAAGTTTTTATTAATTTCAGAACTTATTTTGGGTTCTAAAACTCAATGGTTACAGAGTTGAGTTATACATACAATATGAATGAATTCAATAAATTTATTAGATTGGAGATTGTGTCAACTAAATTATTTAATGCTAGTGAAGTTACATTTATAACTTTAGTTTGATTTTAAAAAATATGCTACAATAGATGATATGGACTTACCCAATAACTTTATTTTACTACATATTTAAATAACTTATCAATTGATGTATTGGAAGAGTATAAATGACTATTGAGATAATTTATTTGATTTATATATCATTTGAGAATATTTTCTCTAAGGTAATTATTGAATTGACAACTTATGAGTATCATTTAAATTTTCTTATTCATATATGTAGTTTTTCTAATGCTTGGCATCTATTGTGTTTGAAGGATTAATTATTCTATTTTCAAACATGTAAAATATTATGTGGTTGAAATAGTTGAACATCAAATGGTTGAAGTCATATAAATTGTAAGAAGCTTAAAATATTTTGTGCATCATAAGGGTAAGATGTTTTGATATTAATATTCTTCAAAACCTTAGATTAGTTTAATATAGTATTTGTTACTTGATAGCATATTACCAAAAATTAATATTCTTTAAAATTTATTAAAAATATATGTTTAAGTTATATAAACATTAATATCAAGAAAATGGTTTTTTTTTACAATATGAGGTATTCTTGTCGTTTAAAATACTTACTCAAGAGGTATTCAGACTATTGAGCCTAAAAATAAGACTTTGATGATTAAAATAAATCTTAATATTTACAGAAATTTGTGATTATCTTTGGCATTGATTTTAGGACATTGAAGTAAAGGTTTATGATTTTAAAATACCCAAAAATTGGGTGTAAGAAACATAACATTAATTACCTAAAAATATACAAGTTTGAACCAAGAGTGCGGCCTCTATCCTTGAACTAAATTAATGATCCTCAAGACTAAAATCAAAGAAATGAGACATAAGTTGACTCTTGAGTTATGATTGTCAACTCTTAAGAAGAAAATAGAAGTCAACAAAGTAATGGGCAAATATTGAGAAAACAACAAAAGCATAAAAGATATGAAGACAAGCTTTAGAATTGTCACTTATATGAGAAAAACTAGAAAACACATGCATGTGTTGACTCTTGATAGTAAATGAAAGGTCAAGATCAACATCAACACGTTAACTAAGACATGTTGAATATGCTAGCAGAATGGAAAGTAGAAAACACAAATTTATCTTTATAAATTGAGAGTGAACCCAAATTAGTGTTGACTTTGTATCCAGAAGGTGTTGACACTCATAACTTTTACCACACCAATCTTTTTAAATAATCATGTAAATTTTTTGGAAAATAAAGTTTTAGAAAGAATATGTTTTTTAAAACATATGCTTCCAAAAAAGGCAAAAAAATAAATCCTTAGAAGGTACTAATGACCAATCTCTCAAAGAAACCAAGGTTTTTCATATAATCAAGTTGCATGTATTAGTTTTAGACAAGATTGCAATTGAGTAATATTTAAAAGGTCTAGTAAGTTAATGCAGCCAAATTATTGTAAATGGCTAGTTGGTACCTCATTGAAACTAATATATAATAAATATGGTTTAGAGGTTGGTGTAGTTAGTTTAGTATTTACTGAATATTATAAGAAATTATTTCGTTATAATGGGTGATTTTGTATTTACTGCCATTTATTTTGCACATATTTCGACTGAAAATGGGGAGCCGAAGCCAACTAATCTAACTAATTTTTTAAATAAGGGAAATTTACTGACATATTTTCAAATAAGGGATATTTACGTCCTCTTAAGACAACACTTCCCGAATATAATGCCCAGTATTATTATTATTATTATTATTATCATCATCATCATCTAACGTACCCTTCAAAGTTAATAAAATGTCAACAATAGCCTTTAGAAAAGATGTAAGAGCCCAAGTGGAACCGGGTGGACGCGGTAACAGACCACCAGCTCTGCTCCGGGGGGGGAGCGGGATGATGAAGACCCTGCTGCGGCAAGTTGCGCCACGAGCGGGGATCGCCAGGCGTTGTTTCAACACGGCCATGGGCTTTGCTTCTTCCAGGGACTCGCCCTGTCCTCCTTCGACTAGTCCCAGGCCCTGGCTTTTCGTTGGCCTCGGTAATCCAGGCGAGAAGTTCCGGTCCACCAGACACAACGTAGCCCTCTTTACCTCTTGAGTTTTCTTCCATCTTATTTCCAATTCGGTTCTTCTGCTCACTCGTACGTTTGCTATGGCAGGTCGGTTTCGAGATGATCGACTCTTTTGCGCAATCCGTGGGCATATCTATGTCGTCTGTCCACTGCAAGGCTCTCTTCGGCCAAGGTAGCTAATCGCTCGTTCCTTTCTTTACCCTCTTGGACGTCTGAGGTACCTTTTTATACGAACATTACTCTGATTCATTCGGTTCTCCCGTTCTTCTTTACTTCCCTTTTCTCAGGGTTGGTGGATGGCAGTCCGGTTTTTCTCGCAAAACCACAGACTTACATGAATCTGAGCGGTGAATCTGTAAGTACTTAATCTGAATATTTATCTAGCTAAGTGAAGCAGAAGGCTAAATTCATTAGTTCAAGGAAGCATAACTGCGAGTGTTATGGTGTCTTATAATGAAATGCTAGAGATCAGATCACCTAATAGTTTACTTGTGAATTTTTAACATTTTGGTATGACTTACTCTTGAGAGTATTCCCTTGATAAAAAATGGCTGCCCAGTATGCATTCGTCCTTGGATGATTAGCCCGGTCAATCATTTTGGTATGATATTTTCTTGCTGAAAAGGATACGAAAAAAAAGATTCCAGTAATCACCTTCTTTAAATGATTAGTCAGCTGCTTGCTTTTTAGAGTACACATGGATTATGCCAACAATTTAAAGATGCAATTAGTGGCCAAGATGGTCGGGTTCAGATTAGGACCTAGGTATGGAAATTGAACCGGTACTATAAACTTATTGAAGCTATGGGTGACTTTGTCTGACCTGACCCTCTAAACTAATAATGCACAATGTCTAATTGGGTTGAATGGGCTTTCACGTTATTTATTTTCTTGACTGTTTGAGTCTGGGGCTGGATCAGGTTGGTCTAAAATTAAGTTAATACTTCTGTGGGGAATATAAGATTGAGAAGTATTTTTAAGTTTAAGAACATTAGGAATCAATTATTTTTTTTTTTGTTGGGATGGGAAGTAGATTTTTGCTTTCTAAAGACGTACTATAGATGTATGTACTGATACATTACATCAGCCATGATCAGAGTGGTACAAGATAAATATCTGTTGATTATTAGGTATGTGCTATGCTCTTAATGTCCTTCTGCAGTGAATTATGTTTTAAATGCTAAAGCGTACAAGACTGGCTCGAGAGGCATGGTGGACACTTGATTTAAAGCCTAAGAAAGTTTTTGGAAAGTCGTAGCCAAAAAAAATTCATTGGTTAAGGAAGAATGGGATGATTTGGGGATGGAATTGGAAAGGTCTATTTACTTATGAAGACTCTTTTTTGCTTTAATTAACTAACGGTCGTTTGGATTCCGAAATTTTTACATGATTTCAACTAGAAGCCAATACCTAGAGTAAGCCAAAGGTTGGCATTTCAACTAATATTGAATTGTAGTTACCCGGGTTGCAGTATTTTCTTCAATATTACTTCTGTGGCGTTGTGAAGCTGAACGTATGTAATTTGAGGTTCAAAAATTGGTTGCTGGTTCCATGGCGATGACAGCATGCAATTTCTGCAGTGTGCCTTGTAGAAGTCCAGATTATAGGTATTAGTTAATTTTAGGACAACCTTCATCATTATTGTTAAAAATCGTCATAGCCCATCAATATTGTGTTTGCTTAATAATTCATTTGTCTTAATTTTTTCGTATGAATTTTGTATTTACTTGCCTGCTTGTCTTAATTCCAGGCTGGACCACTTGCGGCATACTACAAGCTTCAGCTGGATCGTGTTGTTTTAGTAATGCTCACTTCTCATGCTGAATATTCCATCATTTTCTTTCAACCATATTGGGTTCTTAAAGTTTAAACACATTTCCTTTCAAATTGTAGATATTTGATGACATGAGCTTGCCATGTGGAGTGCTCCGTTTACAACTAGGAGGTGGCCATGGATGTCATAACGGGTACTGCAATCATAATCCAATGTTGCAACCTTTTCTTTCCTCCGTGTAGAATTGGGTCTTTCTGACAGACCAACCTCCCTGCATGAGACAACTCATTCTGCTTGACCTCTTTAAGACCAAGCAACCCGAAAAATTCAATTCCTTTAGCTTCCTGAGGGAAACAGATTGAGTTTTAACGTTAATTCCCGAGTGTTTTAAACTTGGTAGGTTATCTGTTGCTCGCTGATTTAATTCTCATGTGGTTACATGGTTACATTGTCACACTGGATGGTATCATGAAAGATGGTCACGAGTCATTTTGATGGGGACAACTTGGTTTTGTAGAAGAATTGTGAGGGTTTTATATCTCCTAAATGTAAAACATTTCTTATAGTTTATTTTATTTTATTTTCAGCCACTGTATTTCAAGTAATTCAGGTGCCGTTCATTGATGAACATTGTGTTGCTTAAATAAGCTTCCATTTATAACGTACATGCGCTTTTACTAGGTTGAAGAATGTCATTCATCATTTTCGCGGTAACAAAGAATTTGGACGTTTGAGAATCGGTTGGTTTGCAAGTACCCAGTTTTTTTTCCATATAATATCTCTGTGGAACTAGTTTGATAAGATGAACATTTAAAATGTCGAAGGTATTGGTCGACCGCCAGGCCAAATGGATCCAAAGGCCTTCGTTCTCCAAACATTCAATGCCACTGCACGTAATCGGGTGAGTCTAGAAGCTTTTCAGACTGTTGCTTCTCATCTTATTCTCTTGCAATGTATAGAAAATTTATAGACAAAAAATTTACCCATGGCTTCCCCTGCCATCGTCTTATTTTCATGTGATGGATATTTTATGGGATTAGATCGATGCAGCGTTGAAGGAAGGTGTCGGAATACTGAAGGCCATTATACAGGAGGGGCTGACAGAGAGCTCAAGATCTGCCAACATGGAGCAGAAGTACAAACACTTGAGACCGAAGACTTTGCCACAGTAGCTCCAGCCTTCATATTTTACATTTTTATTATTTTATTTTATTTTATTTTATTTTATTTTATATGGGGTGTGTGGCGGTCTGGGGCTGATGATAGTGTAATCATCTGAAGAATAGATGAGAATGCTGGTGACTGTGCAACCCAATGGGCGATCTCTCCTTCTTTTGGATGCCACATATAGTTTTTAATAAGAATAATTATGAAATAATGAATTTTTTGGTGTTAGTCTCTACTGTTTTGCTCCTTGTATGAATTTCTGATGATTCTTTCTATTTTTGGAAGTAGAAATCTTCATGGTAGATACCCGATGAGCATCTGGGAATCGAGAATGAGAATCAAGTTTTTTGGGGTTTGATTCTGCGCAGTGCTTTTTGTAGGGGAGCTGTCTGGTCTTTACAGACGCAGAAGCAAGGAAAGAAGGGATTGGCGGGTTGGGTCAGTCTTCTACGCCGGCTGGCCCCACCAGCAGAGCCACGAAGCGGCCAACCGAGAGGAGTCACATCGCCAACTCAGCACAATAGGGCAACGTGGCACCATAAGATTATTAGGCTACATTAGATGGCATCTGAGAGGGAGTTGGTATTATCTTGTTACGTATGAATAAGCAGGTTCAGACACTGATCGCCGAGCTGGCAAGCTTTTGAACACGTCCGTACGAGACAAGATGGCCTCTTCACCCACCAACCGCACGACCAAGGCGGCGGTGCGACAAAGTGGCAGAGGGAAGATAGAGAGAGAAAACAGATATATATATATATATACAGAGAGAGAGAGAGAGAGAGAGAGAGAGAGAGGGAGGGAGGGGGAGGAGAGAGAAGAGAGGAGGAGAGAGAGAGAGAGAGAGGGGAGGAACAAGGGGGAGGAGGAGGGAGCGAAGAAGGAGAAGAGAAGAAAAGAGGGAGAGAGAAGAGGAAAGGGAAGGGGAGGGGAGGAGAAGAAGGAGGAGAGGGAGAGAGAGGAGAGAGAGAGGGAAGAGAGAGAGGAGGTTTTTGAGAGTAAGAAGGAGGAGAGAGGGAGAGGGAGAGAAAGGAGAGAGGAGGAGGGAGAGAGAGAGAGGAGAGAGAGAGAGAGAGGAGGAACGAGGAGAGGGAGGAGGAGAGGGAGGAGGGGAGAGGGAGAGGAGGAGAGAGAGAAGAGGAGGGAACAAAGGAAAAAGAGGGAGGAGGGAGAGAGAGAGAGAGAGAGGGAGAGAGGGGAGAGAGAGAGAGAGAGAGAGGGAGAGAGGGGAGAGAGAGAGAGAGAGAGAGAGGGAGAGAGGGGAGAGAGAGAGAGAGAGAGAGAGAGAGAGAGAGAGAGAGAGAGAGAGAGAGAGAGAGAGAGAGAGAGAGAGAGAGAGAGAGGTTAGCTGGTTTACGCACCTCCTCGTCACTTGGACTAAATACAAATCCTTCTATTTTTTCGCTTGGGCCTTAGGCTCTGAAAACCGCATCGATCGTTTGTTTGGATCTCGGATAGATTTAATCCTTGTTCTATTCGATCAATATCTAAGCAAAATGGCTAAATTACCTCCACATCGTAGAGGGTCAATGTAGTAAGAAGGAGAGGCTGCGAATGGAGGGAAGACGGGATGCGTCTCTCTCTCACTCATATCCTACGTTGAGGGTGATGCTAAATGAAGCTAGAGGGAGCCAACAAGCAAGAGGGGGAGAGCGAATGAGAGAGAGAGAGAGAGAGAGAGAGAGAGAGAGAGAGAGAGAGAGAGAGAGAGCACGGACGGAGAAATGGCCGATTGCTTCTACCCCTTGTCCTCTCTTTTATCCGGGGAAGCGGGACTAGACACGGATAAAGGGTCTCTCTCTCTCTCTGGTGCGCTGGCGAAAACACCTGTCTGAGACTTCAAATGATAACCTGAGGCCTGGTCAAAGACCTCCGGCGGCTTCGTCGCCGCCAGTAAGCTCCCGTCGACCTGTCATCGCTGTTTATCCGTGTCAGCACTAAATTACCTCCACCCGTCAGCGCTGTTTCAATCGGTCGCAGACCGCAGGCTCGTTGTTTCCGTTGACACGTCACAGTGCAGCCAACACACCCCCCTCGACGATAATGAGCACGACGCGTCCAGCGCAGCAGATCTCCGCCGTTTTCGACGGCTTTCTGGAGGCAGTCCAATCCGATCAATCAAGAACATTCGGTCAATCCAATCGGGCCACGCGGATCAAATTCCAGAGAGAGAGAGAGAGAGAGAGGGAGATGACTTCCGCTTTGAACGGTAGTTGAAGTACGGAGCAAAACTTCATTCCACCTTATTCACCTACACTATTATCAATCTTCTTCCAATATATTTAGACATTGAATATTCATGGTTCTTACAACAAGGTCCCTGGTTTTGGGAAGGAAACCTAGAAGCTGCGCAGTCACATACATGGGCCGCGGAGACGCCTGGGAATGAGAGTTGTCATCGTTGAAACTCGTTGAGAGAAAAGAGAACGAGAGATAGAGAGAGAGAGGGACAGAGACCAAACTCAGACCAGTTTAAAAATTGTCTTAATAGCGTAAAGGCAATTATCTATGACGTAATTCGAAATCCATGACGTCAACTCAGGGCTCACGTGGTAGAACATCGACAAGCAGACAGCTCAGGATTGGACGGGTAAGCAGTGGCCATACAACTGTTGTATACAACGAGAGAGAGAGAGAGAGAGAGAGAGAGAGAGAGAGAGAGAGAGAGAGAGAGAGAGAGAGAGAGAGAGAGAGAGAGAGAGAGAAGCGAAAGCGAGCTACCACACCCCATCTCCGTCCAGAATCTTATATACACGTCTGCCGGGGGGGCCAAAATTCTCGCCATAAGAGAGAGGGGGAAGGAAGAACGGGAGGAAGCGAAAAGGAAAGGAGATAGAGATTAGGGAGAAAAAGGCTCGAGGAGAAAAGATGAGGAATCCCTCACCAGCGGCGGCTTCGGGATCGTGGTCGGAGGCGCCGGCGTCGGGGAAACCCAAGGTCCTGGCTGGTCGGGCGCAGGTCGGCTTGAAGAGGGGGCCATGGACGCCAGAGGAGGATGCGCTGCTATCGAGCTTCGTTCGCCGTGAGGGGGAGGGGAAGTGGCGGACGCTCCCCAGGCGCGCGGGGCTTCTGCGATGCGGCAAGAGCTGCCGCCTCCGGTGGATGAACTACCTCCGACCCTCCGTCAAGCGCGGCCAGATTGCACCCGACGAGGAGGATCTCATTCTGAGGCTGCATCGCCTCCTCGGCAACCGGTCAGCATGGATTTCTCGTTCTTCTGCATTAGGGTTCTTCTTCTTCTTCTTCTTCTTCTTCTTCTTACTCTTTTCATCGTTACCCTGTAAAACAAAAACAGATGGTCTCTGATCGCGGGGAGACTCCCCGGCCGCACCGACAACGAGATCAAGAACTACTGGAATACCCACCTCAGCAAGAAGCTCATAAGCCAGGGAATAGATCCCAGAACGCACAAGCCACTGAACACGGATAACCCTTCTACCTCGTTCCAGAAGGATCATGCCCCAGCTCCACCTGCACCTTCCGTATACCCTAACCCTAACCCTAACCCTAAACCACTTACTAGGTTTCAGAACGGCGGGGGCCTCAATTCCACCCTTCACATCCGCGAAGACGCTTGCGAATTCTTCGACGGGGCCGACCTGAATCAGAGATCGGCTTGGCAGAACTTTGACGATTCTTCTTCAGGGAGAGCTTTGACGAACCAGTACGTCGAGAACGACATCGAATACTGCAGCGACGATCTTTTTGCGTCCTTCTTCAACTCTCTCATCAGCGACGACGTGTTCCAGCAAGACCCGCAGAACGATCTGGTTTCACCGCCAGATCCTCTGGCTTCCGGGGGTCATGGCTTCGGAAATCAAGCCTTCTGGGAGCCTGCATCAGTTGCATATTCGACTACTTTCATTGACAAGAACTACAATGCTCAACCAACAGATGACGATTTGGGCAAGCAACTTTAGTCTTGTTTACGAACAGAGTCACCGATAAACGAAAATCATCTGATGTATCAATATCTTGCGGGTTGTCGCCATTAAATCTTGTTATTTTGCTCCTGTTGTATCATCTTTTCGTGTCTCATTTCTTCATTCCATGCGAGATGTATCAAACAACAACAACGGATCTGCTGAATGAAATGCTCTTTCTTGTATATATCTTGTATATCTCCAGAGTTTTCCTTCTTTCTCGTGTCTTTAATATCTCTAGATTTGATGATAAGGGCCGTAGATTACTCCATGCAACCTTACCAGCAGAAGGAATTGAATGTGATGTATTGCCTTGGTTCGACGGAAAATTTGCCATCTATCTGGCACGCGGCCTGGCCCGTTGTTCTCCATCATCTTAATATTTCATCAACAACACCATGAGTTAGTTTCAAGGGAATTCCTAGGAAAAGGACTTTAGGAGACAAGATGATTTAGTAAATCCACACCCAAGTAAACCACCGCTCAGATGTCCCTTTTTTGTTTCTAAGATATCATATCCTAGAGAAATCGTAGTTTATTTTATAAGGGCCAGATCGAGAAATCAATTTTTTGTGTTGGGGTAATTCTTCTTTACAGACAATAACTCAATTTATGATTTCTAGTCTCTCTTCTCTCATTATTTCGAGCATCATAAAAAGAGCAACCATTGATCTAGTGGGGATATGCCCCATACTCCCAACAGTCAATTAGATTGAAATCTTTGACAGATTTTTGAAATCAAGATTGTGATGACCTAGCATCTTTCACATGTTTGTAGAGAGATCTTTAGGAAGATGGTGGAAAAATATTTTCGATATCAGTTTGATTTAGGCTAGTCAAGATGAATGAGAAAAAGATGTTGATGATGATTAAATGACTAAGAAATAAAAAAAATAACGAGATAAAAAATTGGGGAGAACCTTTGGTGGCGTGCTAATGAAGGGCAAGACTATTGCTTAAATGAATACAAATAAGGGGCTATGAAATCCATTTTTTTTATTATTTGAGAATATTCACAAGAGATTCAAAGTGTGATAACTGTCAAACGTGAATTCTTTTTTGTAAATATTTAACACGCTCAAGCGAAAAACCAACCAAAGCTTGATAATGGCAATATACTGCAAAGTAGATTTATGTTGCAGTATTTTAATTCAACAGCCATGTACTTCTCTATGCCCAATCTCAACTTCCATGCTCATGATGTGAATTTACTCGATTTTCTCGTAAGAGTCGCATGATGTTACTCAAAACAAATTGCAACCACATTTTTACTTTTTTACAAACATACGTGAGATTATTCTAACGTCTCATCATGCATAAAATTCATCTTTGGGTTTTATCACACAGACAATGCATGAAATGCATTAAGCTCAACACCATTGTTAGCTCAAATATCCTATCAAAATTATCATGCTATCTAACTTACAACTGACTAGCTATAAATGAAGTAGACCAATTTGCATGTAAAGAATACACATTTTGGTGTTAACTATTACAAACTGTTCTAAAAAAAATTCCATCACAAGTGTTATGGTGAATGATTCTTTAAGTATATGCCCATGAAATTCATCCATCAGATCTCAGTGAACAAAATAGTCGTTTGTCAGTTTTCACTTATCTCTTTGTTAGAAGTAAGAAATGATCAAGTTATTTTCAGTTTTCTGTTTCTTAAAATGTTCTTGATGAATGAGGAAAGATTTTTTTTTGTCTATTTATATATTGTGAAAGCTCATCTACTTGGCAATGGAAATTTATAGCTTTTTAGATGGACACACTGTAAAGGGGTGATGTTGATATGATTTCCTAGACTTGATTATGAACAAGTAATTTAAAGAAACTGAAAAGTCCAAAGTAAGTTATGATAATAGGGTTAATTTCTTATTTTGTTGATGATCTTGATTGTTGTCATTTGGGAGACCTACTTGATTAAATCTACTTGAAATATTTTTTGAAAATATTTGAAAACTTAATAGTTTTCAAAACCATTTTTCATCCATATAGACCATAAATAAGCTATTCATTTAAGCAAAAAACTTTCTTGATCATTAAATAATCACTCCATTTAACATAAACATTTTTTTGATGAGTTAAAATACATAGTATTTTACTAAATGTATTTAAAAAAAGATAATGATCTATTCTACGATTGATGCAACTTCTATTCATACAAAAAAAATGTTATCCCAAGTCTAATGTTCAATGCATATGAATTTAAATTTTATTGGAATTTATTTGATACACTAACCTTTCTAAGCATTTCATTAGCATGGTAGCTATTATTTGTAAATATTTGGAATTTTTATTATTGCCTTAATTAAACCAATGGTTATTACCAGGTTTTTGCCATCTCAAGTAATTTTTTGAAAAGTGTTATGGAAGTATACTGAGAAGTATTCCATAATGCCATTTTAATTTTATCTTAATGGAAGAGGATTTGAAAGTCAATTAGGCTAAGAGGCATTACTTAATTCAACTTTTTAAGTGAAGGATAAGGTAAGGAATGATGTCTATCAATGTGCACTTTAGCCTATTCACAATAATCAATCTGATTCAATGAACACCAATATCTTTTTCTTCTGGTGAACTGTCAAAATATCTGACTTAGTAACGAAATGGAAGGATATAGTTTCAATCACTATCTTTAATGGACAAGTGAAGTTTATAGAGAATACCAATCAATCCCTAAAGAGAGAATAACTAGCATTTCCACTTAGGTGCCCAAAATTACTTCCATTGTGTGAGATAGTGCCCTAGTTAATTAGTACCTTGGGAGGATTCCATAAATGATTATTTTTCATTATTAAACCTCAAGCAAGGAGAAAAATCAATTACTTTAAAAAAAGACATTGAAGCATTTGAACTTATATAGGTATATAATTTGTCAAATTTTAATACTGACTTGAACATTGAGATGAACCTAGGCAAAAATACAAAAAGGATTTGTTGAAGCATTCCAACTTTCATGCATATCTTATTATTCCACTAATGCTGTGATTGTTGAACAATTCCTAGCACAAAGTTTTGGTTAGAATCATAACTATTGACTAAATCTTGTAGATATTTAAAAGAGCTCTGGTCAGTCCACATAAAAAGAGGTGAATTTGGGTCTTTGAACAACTGTTCATAGGCAAAATATCCATGATGTCAGGGTTTAGTGCCATGCACTGAGATGACCACCAAATGTGAAGCATACTCTATGTGTGAAGGCTCCATAAATAAGAAACCTAACAATGAGTCTGATTATTGCTCAAAAGCATTTGTCGCACTTTTACTTTTCCCTCAACTAAAATATTGGAACCTTATATTTTTAATTTGCTTGTGAAGGGCCTCAACAGTTTTTGGGTCTTGAGAAGAAGGTGGTTGTTGGTATGGGCGTGCTGCCACCCACCTAGCCGGCTGGCCTGACCCATAATCCTGCCCTTACCTGAACCAGTGTGTCTGGCACAGCTCGTGGTTTGAGTCCATTGGGGCCTAAGCCTACTTGCGGGATAGCCTGCTTGGGACACAATCACTTTCTTAATATCATCTGGATTTCCATTTCTTTTCATTATCAAATCCCCTACTTGGAACATTATTTTCTACCGTCTTTGGCTGGTGTTAGTTTTCCACTCAATTCATATGATGTTTATCGTGTATTTTATAAATCCTAAGAAGAGAAATTCTCATTAATGGTTATTATTTGATGATTTTATGAATAATGGTTAAATACAAATGAAAAAAGAAACGTCACATAAATCTGACATGGTAAATCATGATTTCGGAATATATTGTAAGTGGGAAAAATATTTTTTATATTTCGGAATTATTAATATCGTCAATATGTCTATATGTGGCTGGTAATGAAGAATAATAGTGGGAGATCGAACTCACCTTTTAGCTCCGGCGGATGGTAGGTTTGACTAGATGGTGGACACCCCGTGGTAGATAGCGTAGTGTTCGCCATCTTGACCGTTGCATATGGCGCCGGGAATCATTTAAGGAGTGGACTTCTTCCCAGCGAGAAAGGGGCCCACATCGTCTACTGTACCCTAAGACAATACCCTAGATGTGGGTTTCCTTGTTGCCGTCGATAAATGGATAATCTGATGCATGGAGAGGAGACGAATAAGTCTCACAAGAAAAATAAATGGAGAAGAAAGGACAGATTATCAGATTCTCAGATCTCAGATTGATCCTTGGAAACGACAAGACGACCTCTTTCTGGTGCACCGGAGTCAGAGAGAGGCAGTGTCTCTAACAACGAACAAGGTTTTGTTGTCTTCCTTCCTCCGGGACCTGCGGTCTCTCAATGGATCCTCCCAAGAATGTTACCAGCGGCTTGATTCATGAGGGGTGAGCTTATGAGCTCTGCCAGATTTTGGGGGAGGATGTTTTGCGGACTACGATGGTGGTGACGGAGTTTTCTGGGCTCTGAGGCGTACTCTGAACCGTAGGGATCTGAATACGGTTGATTCATTGAAGAAGTAATATTTTTGAAAGAGAGGGCCTGCGATCGAGCTCTAGGAAAGATTGTGGCTTTCCGAAGATCGGAGATGGAAGGGAAGATCATCTAAGCTCTACCTTACGCATGCGCAGTCGCAGAAGAGCAAGTTCAGAAAGATGAAGGAGCTCACCGATATCGGGTGACACGCGCTCGTTGTAGCTCCGGTGCCAAGGAAGAGGCGAAGTTCCGTCGTTGGAGGTGAATTGGCAGCTTCATTTTTTCCGACAACAGAAGAGAGAAATCAGGCGAGAGATAGACGGATAAATAGACAGATAGAGATTGAGGAGGAAACCGAGGACCGCATTTGCACCGGCGCCGGAAGGGAGTGTAAGGGGTATCCAACTTTGTGCGGATCAAGCACAGAGATGTGGCTTTCTACAAAACTCCCCTCGTGCTTCTTAGAAACTCATTGAACGCTAGTCTCCGGTCACTGTTCTGATATCATCTCGACTGCTGACCAATCTTTTCCGCGTTTCATCACCCTCTTCCCACTCCCCCTCCTATACTCTCTCTCTCTCTCTCTCTCTCTCTCTCTTCTCAGGCTAATGCTACTGCCGCCTTTGGCGTCTTTTTCTTCTTCTTGCTGAACCGGTAAGGCGGCGTTTTGACGAGAAGAACTAGTCTCCCTCTCGCTCTTCTCTCAGTTGAAGGGGGGAACGGCCGACGACCAAACGTTCAAACCGGAGGGTCCCATGCGTTGTTCTGGGGTCCCTCATTCACAAGCCAGACCAACCTTTCCCTCCCTCTCTCTCTCCCACCCCCCAAAAAACCCACCTTCATCTGTCAATCTCCGACGCTGGGGTTGATGATTTTAAGCCCCCTCTTCCTTTAAATAAAAAACCAAATATCTTCGTCAAGGGGCTCATCGTGACGGGATGGCTGACGGAGTCGGAGTTAACGAATTTCATTATATATAGTTGCCCCATTCGTAATCTACATATATATAGCAAATATCTGCATAATTAATAAACTCATGGGTAGATAGCCCAGAGAATCTGAGATTAATAAATTAATAAACAGAGATGATACAGCGGAAATAAATTAATAAAATAAAATCTGTAAAGTCAATCCAGCTTCGATCGGAGGTTACCCGGAAATCCAGCGCTTTAGGTATCGCGTGATTGTTCTACTACCATCTGTTCCACGTCTGTCCCCCTCTCTCTGTCCCTCTACCGTTCTTCTCTGCGTTGGATTCAGGACTTCATACAAGTCTGCCCTAGAGCTCATTATCGACTTTCCTCTGAGCTTGACAAGGTCAAGGCTTTAGAGACACCTAATTAAGGCTAGTTTGTCGAGGCCATAAACAACCAATATATACGCATTTACATTCTTATAAATATGCATATACATGAGACATTTTCCATGAGTTTCATTGGCTAACCCTTCCTCTTCTTTTGTTACGTGGCCCAATGGCAACTCGGGGTTGACGTCGGCACAGACACATCTGCCGGTGCCATAAAGTACGGACTGATTGGGTTGCGCGGATATGCCAGGAGCGATCTGCGTCGAATTCCATTCATGTCGTCGCCGGAAAAAGACCCATGAAAATATTCCACACTAATCTCTAATCAAATAACTTTAAATTTTATTTTCTACATATTTTAGTTTACCAATATTCGGAAAATTAACCCATGGCTCACGACCTCATCGACCACTTTCTTCTTTCATAAATGCTGTAGGTCTGAAAGATTTCCATAAACTAAAAAAAAATGAAGCTACAGAGAGGTGCCCAAGATTCAGCCTAAGGAGATAACCCCATGTTTTCTTGCAGAGCACGGGAGACTCAAGGCGGATGGATGACCCACTTTGGAGCGGCACTACTGAACCATGTTGCACATCGTCGGGTGGTTGACGCACCAGAAGGGCTGGATGGGCTCAGCACCGATGCCCCGCGCCACCATGCGGTGGCGCCACTCGTGCAGCCGGTCGGTGGCCTCCGCGTACCTCTTCCTGCCGGGGGTGCCCGCCTCCCTGTTCCCCGACCACAGCGCCTCCGCCATCGCCGACGCCCGCGGCCACACCCTCGAGTCCAGCACGCTCGGGTCCGCCTGCTCCGACCACAGCGCCACCTCCCCGCCCAGCACCAGCCTCGCCTCCTCAGCGCTCAGCCCGTAGGTGATGTCGTAGTCGTAAACCCGCTGCCAAGTCTTGAACGGCGCGCACCACGACCCGCCATCCCCGCCGGCGAAGTTGAAGGGGCCCGTCGCTGGATCATCGGCCACCTGCCGGTCGTAGCGGCTGTCGTTCCCGACGAACCCCCCGTGGCCGCAGTCCAGGTAGTAGAACTCCGACGAGGACACAATCACGCGGTACCCAGCGGCGGCGATCAGCTTGGTGTTGTTGGGTCCCTTGCTCCATGTCTGAATAATGGTGGTCTCCCTGGGGAGCACCTCCGGCCTCACCTTCACGGCGGCGTCCAGCAGGACGTCCTCCCAGAACACGACGGTGCGGTTGAGGGAGACGGCGAGCCGGTTGGTGGCGTTGACGAAGATCTCGAGGAGCTGATCGAACGTGCCGCCGAAGGCGAGGAAGTCTCGCACGGCCGGTTCCGCTCTCCAGCAACCCGGGACGACCTCGTCGGCGCCGAGGTGGAGGAAGGGCTCCGGGAAGAGCTCCGCCGCGTCGCGGAGCACGTTCCCGACGACCCGGTAGGTCTCCGGGTTGAGGGGGTTGAGTTGACCCGGTCCCGGCTCGGAGGCCAGCCGATCTGCCCAGCTCAACCCGGGCGGTAACCAGAACTCGTTCGCGCAGGTCACTATCCCCGGGTACGCCTCTCCCCACGAAGCCGCATGCCCTATATTTAATACTACCCCATAAATAAATCATTCGTATTATAATCTCCAACTTATTAGAATTTCATAGGTGTGTACCGGGCGAGTCGAACTCGGGGATGACCCGGACGCCGCGGCTGGCGGCGAAGTCAACGATCCGCTTGACGTCAGCGGGGGAGTAGATCATCTCCTTGCCGTAGGAGCCCTTGAGCGCGAGCTGGGGTTCGGAGGGGAGCAGCAGGGGGAACGACTGGGAATCAGAGATGTGCCAATGGAAGACATTGAGCTTGTTGGCGGCCATGGCGCCGACCGTGCGCAGTATGTCCTGCACAGGGTAGAAGCTCCGGGAGGTGTCGAGCAGCAGCCCGCGGTGGGGGAAGATCGGCGCGTCGGAGATGTTGATCCCCACGGGTACGGCGGGGGGATCCCCCCAGACCAGCTGGGAGAACGTCTCCAGCCCCCGCATGGCCCCCCACGGGGTCGCCGCCGCCAGCCGGGCGGCGGCGCCGGCCCCCGCAGGCGGGATGCAGAGCGCGTAGGACTCGTCGACGCCGTGCTGGAGGGGGGCGGAGAGGTCGGCGATGCGGATGACGAGGGCTCTGAGCGGCGGGTTGCGCGGGGAGGGCTCCGGCGAGCGCGCCACCAGGGGGCGGTGCCGCTCGCGCAGGACGAGGCGGGTGTAGCGAGCGACGGCGCGGCGGAGGTGGCGGTGGCGGGTGGTACCGGAGGAGAGGATGCGGAAGGAGGGAGTGAGGAAGGCTGCGTCGGGTTGGGGCCAGAAGGTGTGGACAGGCTTCGGCCATACGCCGATCGGAGGGCTCGCCGCTGCGGCGGCGGCGGCGGCGGCGGCGGCGGCGCCGTACCCGAGGGCCAAGAGGGAGGAGATGAGGAGGATGAACAGCGATGGAACTACGATCGCGCCACCCATGTCCTTCTCCGCCGGCGGCGGCCGGCGTTGGGCGGGGAGGTGACGAAGGGAGGCGGGATCTGACGGCATTGGGGCAGCGATTGGAGATTCTGCCGATCGGATTCGCCCCGGGAGGAAAATAATGGAAGATAAAAGGAAGGAAATTAGAAAAAGAAATAGACGCAGGAAGCAAAGCGTTTTATATTAGTCGTGAAAAATTGACAACCACCAGCATGTAGAAAATTTAAAAATTGAGCAAAATTATATAAATGGAAGGATAATAATTATGCAGTAAATAAATACGTATTTATTGGTCTGGACGCCGCCCCGTAGAGAGCTGGGAGAGAGCAGGTTGTTGGCAGCCACTCGGAGTTCCTGAGGCTGTTGTTGCTCTCCATCTCTCTCTTCTCTCTTCTCTCTTCTCTGCCCGCTGGGAGAGGGGGAGGGAGGGGGAGAGAGAGAGAGAACGAGAGATGGCGAACGCGGTCACTCCACTCTCTTCCTCCGGCACATCGTCTCGGCTTCTCGTGGTCCGTTCTCCTCCGGCGCGCACGCTGCGCGAGCGTGGCCTCCGTCCTCGCTGCCGCGGAAGAGGTTCTCGCGCATTCCCTCGTATGAGGGCCTCTCCCATCGATACGAAGGATGCGGAGAGGCTCTCTGATGGGAAACCGGCCTTCGTGACAGTCCCGGAGGAGCCCGAAGTTCGGACAGGGTATCAGATTCATTCCCGTTCCCTTGTCTCTCCATTTGAGCCTTCGGAATTTCCGTCGTTTGTTATGCTTTTTTTTTTGTTTTCTTCTTGATTAATTCTGTGCATGCCACGTTGGGAATCTAATGTTAATAAGACGAAAAATTGTTATGGAAATCCATTTCCTCGTCAACCTTCTTTGTATGCTTTTATCCAGACTCGTATCAGATCGGTCATTGCTTTTCTCATGTTCTAGCTTAAAATTTTATTGAAAGCCAGATATTATTCACTTTTTAACATAAGAACTAAAGTTCGTCTTAAGATTTTCTTATTATCTCACACTTCTCTATGGTCGATTACATAGCTTACCGCTTTTATTTTTCTCTTTTGTTGCAGAACTTGGAACTGGCGAGGTTATAACATTCGCTATCAATTCGCTGGAGACACTGGTCCAGCATTAGTTTTGATTCATGGTTTCGGGGCAAACAGGTAGAAATCCTGCATATTTTGCTTCATATTATTTGCTTCTGGGAACAACACCGCTTTAGACCTTAATTGGATTTTCTCTAGAAACCGGAATTACTTGCGAGAATAAGGAAATCTCATACTGATGATTCACTTTTATGGAACCATAATTTTTCTTAATTTATCACTCAAATTTATTGTAAAAAAGTACACATATTTCAAAAGTAGGTTACCAGAGGATTTGTGGGGATGGCAGTGTGCTTTCATGAGTTTTAGTCTAATGTTTTTCTATTTTCGCTAGGTAAAAAATCAAAATTTTTCTTTGACATTCTCCTTCCTGTGATGTTAATACTTGTGTAAGTTCGTGTTTCTGATGAAAACTATTTGCACCTAATTCTGGCGTCGATGAAAAAGTTTTGATCCGACATTTGAGATGCTCAGGCATTTAAATAGTTCCACCCAAATGTGTGCCATCAGTGGCTATGTTTTGATAAGGAAAGAACTGTTAGATTTTTGTAAGATCGTAAAATTCTGATGCCCATGCGTTTTTTCTTAATTATCTGTGTTGTGGAGGTGAAGTGGTTAAAGCATGTTGCAGCACTCCATTTGATACAAAATTTAACTTCCTTTTGTTTTCTATATTCCATTCTCTTTGATTCATCACTTTCTGCTCTGTTCTAATGGACTTGGATTGTTTTTTACAGTGATCACTGGAGTAAAAATATTTCCTATCTGGGAAAATCTCATAGAGTTTTCTCAATCGACCTTATTGGATATGGTTACTCTGGAAAGCCAAACCCCCGTGATATTGGTGTTGACACATTTTATACCTTTGAGACGTGGGGTTCTCAAGTAAATGACTTCTGTTCAAACGTAGTCAAGGAGGAAGCATTCTTTATATGTAATTCCATAGGAGGTATATATCTAAACTTTATTTGCGCATGAATGTTTCTTTTCACAATAATTTTTTTACAATGGGCCCTTTCCATTTTAGACAAACCCCAAAATGGCCTTATAAGCAATAAAAGAGTAGAATCACTCATATATCTTTTTGTAAGTTGTAAGGTTAATCTGAACCGAATCTAGATTCACATGCTTGAAGCTAATCCCTTGTGAACTTTTTTCATCTTTTTGTGATATATTTCTGTGTTTTTCATGGGTTTTTATTCTCCATCATCTTCTTCAATTCTATTTGCATTCAATTAGAAGTTTCATTCTATTCTCACTGACCATGCTGGCTTCATGTCTTCTTGAATCTTATATGATATCCATGATTTTTCAAATGCACTAAGATGGATAGATTGCTCTGTCTTGCTCTCCCTCTCTCTCCTTTTTATTTTCAGGACTTGTTGGTCTTCAGGCTGCAGTTATGGACCCTCAGATGTGTAGGGGAATGGTCCTTTTAAACATTTCGCTGCGGATGCTTCATATCAAGAAGCAGCCTTGGTTCGCAAGACCCTTTATCAGATCATTTCAGAATCTTCTGCGGTAAAGAAGTGATCTAATGATGTTTATTCATATAAAATTCGCCATATTTTCTATAACTAACTTTCCAGGACGGTGTCAAAATAGGAACACTCTCTTGGGCAAGTTTTTTTTTAACTCTGTTGCCACACCAGAATCTGTGAAGAGAATTCTCTCCCAGGTATTTTATCTAAGTTCTCAACGATTGTTTTATACTTTATATCCTTATCATAAGCCTCGGTTTCGTTAATATGAGAGCCTACCCCGATGTATTTTTTTCTCTAGCTTATTCGTCGATCTTGTGGTGATGAAGTTGAGATCTGTGTCTTTCCTCGACCAGTGTTACCATGACCCCTCCAAGGTCACCGAAGAGCTTGTACAGAGCATCCTGCGACCAGGACTCGAGCGAGGGGCTGCAGAAGTCTTCCTCGAGTTCATCTGCTACTCAGGCGGCCCTCTGCCCGAGGAACTGCTCCCCCAAGTGAAGGTCAGCCATCTCCTTCCTGCACTGCCCCGTGTATGTATGTCCTGTCACTGCTCACAGAGGGCTCTCGTTCTTGCCCTTCAGTGCCCTGTTCTTGTGGCGTGGGGAGATAAGGATCCGTGGGAGCCCATCGACCTGGGAAGGGCCTACGGAGATTTCGATACGGTGGAAGACTTCGTCGTGCTCCCTGATGTCGGCCACTGCCCGCAGGTCTGTCTTCCTCCTCGAGCACTAGCATGAATTCCATTGATTCTGTAGTACACAGATAGATTCTCCTCTTTCTCCCGCAGGATGAGGCGCCTGAGCTTGTCAACCCTCTCGTCGAATCATTCGTCAGACGGCATCTGAAGGTTCCCTAGAATCCCTCAATTTGATTTGTTGCCCTTGCTAAAGAAGCAGTCTGTGAACCTACCCTAATGTCTTGAAATAGAATATATATATATATATATATATATATATATATATATGTGTAGAGAGAGAGAGAGACACACACACACACACACACACACACAGACACGCAGACATACATTTCGATGCCTTGTACATTCTCTGATCAAATATGTTTACGTCTTCTCGATTGCACACAGTGGATGCCATTAGAATGGCACTTATTGAGCATATGGTTCCAAATGAAACTCATGATCCTATCCTTCGTCGCCGGCCCAGTTCCTCTTCTCCTTGGGTCCGGTCGGTCCTTCCTCTCCGAGGACCTGGGGAGGGAGGCTCTTCAGGAGCTTCTCCAACCTCTCCCGGAGCTTCCGGGGGAGCAGCCTAGTCACCTTATTCACGTCCTCGGCGAAGTCGTAGCTGACCTTTGGGCCCCACTCCCCCAGGAAATTCAACCAGGGGGGACCGACAACCGAGCCCAGATGGTCAACGGCGACGAGGCGATATTTCGCGCCGGTGTCCAGACTCCGGCCGCCTCCCTTGGTGTCGTCTCTGATGCCGACGCCGAGACCGGCGGCGGCGCCGCCCTGGAGGACGAGGCCCGGGTGGGGGTACGCGGCGTGTCCGTGGAGGGCCGCGTAGGCGACCGGCTTGTTCCCGCCCTGGAACTCCACCTCGGAGGCTTCCTTCCACTCGCCGGAGCTGTGCTCGGCGAAGAACACCCGCCGGAGCTCGCCGGAGAAGTTGCTCACCCGCAGCGTGACGTGCTCCCAGTCGCCGATGTGCTCTCCGATCCTCTTGAAGGATATGTTCAGAAACTCGACCTTGGCCCTCGCCGGCCCGTTGAAGGGGTAGAAGACCCACACCACCACGTCGGTGAACGTCCCCCCCAGCATTGGCTTCACGTGAACGTAGGCCTCCGAGCTCTGCAGGTCGCCCGTTTTGAGTCTATTCCTAGCCGCCTCATCCGCAGGGAGGTCTAACCAGCACTCGCCGGCGTTGGCGCCCTGCGGGAGGTTCGACCCGGCGGAGTCTACGGCGGCCGGCGTCGGTGCGTCCTTCTTGTACAGGAGTGCGCCGTTGTCGAAGAACCAGCCCACCGACGACGGCAAGTAGGGCTCGTCGGGGTGGAAGTAGATCCACGGAGAGTAAGCTCGGACCAGCGCCTCGATCTGGGTCATGCCCGGCATGGACCTAGACAGCGGCGCCGTGTTCTTCAGGCACCACAACGGCGGCGTCCCCACCATGCAGGTGCCCACGCATACGCCGGCGGCGCCGGATCCTCTGACGGTGGGCCTCAGACTGTACACCTGGATTCCGTCTTGGTCCCCCCACACCCACTCGTCATTCTCGCACTCGTCGGTAAGGTTCGACCGGACGCAGCGGATTTCCTCCGGCGAGGGGGCGGCCGGAGAGGACGTGACAAGTATCCCGACGGCTCTGTATCCTTCCGGCGCAGTCGGGAGCCAGAAGTAGCCGTCGCCATGTTTCCTGATCTTGGAGCTCTCGCTGGTCCAGAGGAGCGTGTAGCCCGTCGGCTTCCGGAGGGCCCCCCCGTCGATGTCTCTCCCGCAGAGGACCCAACCAAAAAGAGGCCTGTTGTTGGGCTGGGCGTAGCAACCCAGGAGAGAGAATCCGGCGGGCACCGGCGAGGGCTTGAAGAAGGTGGCGCCGAGGTTCTCCGGTCCCCCCTCGAGGGCAGCCCAGACCTTGGTCAAAGAGGAGCACTGACGAACCTCCAGGCCCCCGAGGTTTATGCTTCCCTTGGCGAATCCCCCACCTGAAAACACTAACCACCATGAAAAACGTCCAAGACGGTAGACTGCCGACGCATGCAGAAAGTGAAACCAGAGGGAATGAGCTTCACACCAGGCGGGAAGGAGGGCAGCGGGGACGGCAGAGTGAAGACTGTTTCAATAGGAAGGGCTCCATCTCCTCCAACAGTGGGCAGTCCACCATCCATGGCCACGGTGTTCATCTCCGTACCAGAGAGCTAGACGACGGAGGATATCTAGATAATAACACCAGTAGCGCATCCTTCTTATAAGCTTCCGGGAGTTCCCCCATCTGGTTCAAGACCCTGGCAGAGTAACGTGCAACGGACGATCGCCAGTTGATTGTACGCTTTCGCAATCCCACACTCACCACTCCATGCAGTCTTCCCTTCCCAGGTAAGACGGGTAGACCTCACACCACCTCGAAGCCCAGAGGGAGGCGAGACCTTTCCTCCTTGAATGGCCTCATATCTTTCATGACCCATCAACGTCATCATCCCGCTGCGTTCTTGGCAGATATAAGCGTTCTTTGAGGTCACGTTACGTAGGAACCTTACGTCCAAAGGTAGCGTTAACCCACCCTTAGCTTTCTCCCTCGTCGCGTATGGGGACGGCGGAGGGGGACAGCGGCGGAAAACAGGCTGGAGTGGTGGAGACGGCCGCTGCGACGAAGACTTCCATGGATCTTCTTCGCTGCCGCTGTCGGTCGCTCGGCATGTGTTGATCGTTGAGGAATCAAAGTTGTCTGATCCGTTCGTTGTCACGATGAGGCAGCATGGATGCGATCTATGCTACTTGTCCGGAGTGGATGAGTGTTCGATAACACGCCCCGGAGAGATTTTAGTCACAGTCCAGGGCGGGGATCGAACGGCATCTACAAAACAAAATTAAGTAAAAATTGCAGGCTGCTCATTTGACTTTAGGTCAGATATTTTGAAGAAAAATCATGGGAAAATCCTGCTATTCGTCTCTAAAAAAAGCATGGTTCTACGCACTAGTCGCTTCATTAATAGCTATATCAGGATTATATGGTCATTTTGTTTTTATTTCTCTGTCTTTAACAGGATCTTGGTTGCATTTGAGACCATTTCATTTTTTATCACAGAGGCCATCTTTATTTCTCCAACATCGGTCGTTTTAAGTGTGAAAATCTTTTACTCAATCTTGGGCTCCGAATAATTACATGGCTTCGTTTTTCTTGCCATTTCATTTATCTTTCCTAAAATAAAACCATATATTTTGATTTATTTTTTTTATTTACCTGCGAACATATATGCCTTAAAGTTAATCGGAAATGAAATTTTTCTGCCGTTTCATTTTCACTATCATAAGGAGTCGACAATAGAAAACAAAAAAAAGTATGCCATGTGACGAGGACGCTTGTCTCCCTTAACTTCATATTATTTAACCCTTTTCATTCACGAATTACCGTTTATTAATTAATTCCCTGTTATATTCACAGATGCCTTTTGACTTTTTCTAAAAAATTGGCATACAAAAAGGCGGCTCATATTGACTTAGGAAACGTGAGAAAACAGTTTTCCAAGGTCAGCAGACCTGATCCTCAGCCCATTCACATCTCAAATGTCTTTAGACTACGTTGTCAACTCCTATGCAGACAACTCCCTTTACGCTCAGGCGCACGAACAGCATAAATCAGGCGCCGGGTAAGAATCTGGCACTTTAACATCGTCTCAGATCATCGGGGAATGAGTAAAGTAGATCCGAACATGAAACGGCATACTTTTTTTTTTTTTTCCTTCTTAATTCAGTCAACGTGGGTTACCCCAATAAGATTAATGGCAGACTTAATCCCCCACTGAGGGCGAGATTCATAAGTTACAGTGCATAAAATCGTCAAATATTAATGTTGTACTCTGTATAAACTGGCCAAATCGATACAAAAAAGGTTCTGATTCTGATTTATGGTTTAACTGTTTTACGAAAAAATTAAAGTCAGAGAGTTTACTTCCAGGATTTCGAATTGTCAAATATTAATTATGCACTCTACAAACTTGCCAAATCGGTACAAAAAGGTCAAGTCAAAGAATAGACTTTTGATTCTGATGTACAGACCGACTTTGTTTCGAAAAAATTTAAATAAAAGAGTTGACTTTTAAGATTTTGAAAATGGTCGTAGACTGATGAAGGCATTGAAACGCTGTGGACAAGAGAGCATACTTCTTGAAGGAACTGCTCAATTGGAAAGTGCCGATGCATCCACGTGCAGAAAGAAACTGGCGGCGACAATCACATAGCACAGAACAAGAAGCATCCCTTTGCAGTAGTTAGAATTTCCCTCCTGAGGTAAGTTGAGAAGATATGTGAATGCTCTTGACGCTGATAAATTTCCATACACCGTAAAAGGAGATTCTCAGGCAATTGAAAGATACATTTCAGCATTATCATGGAAAATAGGTAATAAATAATAATAATAATAATAAAAATCAGTGCCCCGAATCTACAAACCTGAAGAAGAATGGCGACCACCAAGACTGTGATGAACAGCACCGCAGTCTCAAACAGCTGAAAGTTCAAGTCCATTGGGTGGCCCATAATCCATCCCACAAGTACCGCAAATGGGATCTGCGTGCACAGTAATAGAGGAATCAAGAAGGATCTAGACTTCAAAATCTTCACAAAAAAAAAAATCTTTTTTTTCCAGCAAACGTAGATATAGATGATAGAATCTGTGCAGATGATGCACCCACCCCAAACATAGATATCTGGGTGGATGACCCGATTGCAATCCCAAGAGTTAGATCCTGGACAACCAATGTAAAATGATTATCATCTAGAAACATAATTAATGCTTAAAAAAGTGTTTAGAAATTAAAGGGGAAAAAATCACCCACAAGTTTATCTTTCATGGCGAACATGATGGCAGAGGCATGCTCAGAAGCATTGCCGATGACTGGCAGCATAACCACGCTAATAAATGTGATCGGCATGTTCCATTCTTCTGCAGCTCCCTGTGGAGTGAACAGAGCACAAGAAAAGGGCCAACAAGTCAAAGCAATTCAACCTCACACCATTGAAATCATTGCTCTTTTAAGGAGTATTGTCGAGGAAGGAATTTTTAGGTCTCTGCATGCACCAAAATCAGAGGTTATTTCTGGGTTTATCGCACCTTTGATTTCTTCGTAGGAAGATCTGATCATTGTTCCTAAGCCATTTTTTTTTCCATTAAATGGTTTCCATCTCTTTCTCTGTTCTCATCTACATTTTAATATGCATATTTAATTATGTTTTTTATTTCCGCCTTTTTTGCATCCAGAGATATCAGGTCTGATCTTTATGCAAGACAGAGACATATTCGAATGAACTCTTTTTTTACACGGGATAAAAACGAAAGCCCATAGTTGCCAGAAAATTATTTCATCAGTCGATCAATTCCAAGGACCAACCCATCACTAAAATAAGTGAAAATTTGTTGCATGGTACCTCTATAGCATCCACTAGATATTCTGAGATGACCGATATCCAGGCTGTGAATATTCCAAGCCAGATGATAGTCTCCCACTTAGAAATCTCCGCGGCTTCTCCCTCATTGGAACATGAATTATCTTCGACAGTTTCCTAATATCATAAGGTTACAGAAGTAAATAATTGAAACACAGACAGAAAAATATTGAAACAGAGGATGTTTTAGCCCTGAGGAATCGGCCAAAACTTATCAATTCATGATCCTAAAGATCAGAGTGTTATAGGCAACTTGGTCAGAGGCTCACGATCTGAGAGTAGATTCAATGAATGGCCAGCATATTTTCTAACCTCATTCTCTTTATCACTCTGATTTTTGTGGCTCTGCAGCTGGAAAATGAGATAGCCGGTGTAGGCGACCAGCATGACGCAGCTGCTAAACCTCGAGAGGGCCAGTTCCGACTCCCCACTGTGAGCTTCCGTGCGGGTGAAGTGGAGAAGAGCAGGGAGAAGGAGGGCCATGACGGCCATCAGCAGCATTCCAGAATTGAGGACGGCCGACTCCTGCGCAGCACAGCCCTCAGTCAGTCGGAGCCTTCCGGGGATCCCTTGAAGACCACGGGTTGATTAAGGATGCTGCACCTTGTCGAAGAACTGGGCCTTCTTCGAGACCATGCCCCCGCAGAAGAAGGAGAATCCAAGAACCAGCAGCATGTTTGACAGGATTGAGCCCAGCAATGACTGCTGAACGATGCGCGTCATCCCATTCTTCAACGCGAAGATCGACACCACAACCTCTGTCGCATTCCCAAAGGTGCAGTTAAGAAGACCGCCGACTGCATTTTCCGTGGAGTTGAGTCAAGAATCCTGTTGAAGCCGTAAAGGGTGTGGAGAGAATGAAGAGGAACCTAGAGAGGATGGAGGAAGCTAAGGATTACCAGTTGCCCCAGTGAAGAATGAGAGCTGCCTGTAGATTCCCAGAAGGAGATTTTAGATTCTTTGCAGGCCCCTAAATTGAGTTGAAGGGAGGAACTCCGACTTACTCTGTTGTGTAACCAATGCGCTCAGCCAACGGGATCATGCCGAGCAGGCTAAGGATGAAGACCAGTCCCTGCAGCTCCGTTGCAGAAAGCATCAGCTCGAGAGATATAGAGGGACATGCAATGGGTGTTGAGGCAGATCTCGCCACCAGATGAGAGCTGAAGAGAGACAGTTACGAAGGGCCATGAAACTCACACGATTCCGGGAAAATCTGTTCGCCAGGAGGGCCCCGGGGCTGAGAGGCAGCAGAATGTTGAGCTTGGGCGTGAAGATCACCATCTTCAAGCTCCTGCAGAGACTGGTCCAGAAAGAACTCGCAGTACGTGTTGCTCGCCCGGCTGCAAGTGGAAGCTGCTGAGCTCCCCATGAACTGCTTGCCGCCGTCTCGTCAGCAGCCGCTGCGCCGGTAGCCTCGAAATCGGCCTCCGACGGGGCATCTGCCGGGCTAATCTGCACAATCCAGATAACCGAGGTCAGAGGAGGTTCACTCAGACACCAGCTGCTGCGGGAGAACGGAGGCGGAAGCCGAACCAGAGAGGAAGTTAAAGAAGCCGAGACAGTCATTGGGATGGCGAGAGAGAGCGAGAGAGTGAGCTCCTACACAATCAAACTTCACCCACCAGCGCGTTCTATCGTGAATTGGGAATCCGCCGGCCAGCAAGCGCCTATCCATTTTTGACGCTGTCAGCTGCCTAGTGAGACAAAGCTACCATCATTGTCCAGGGGTAGATCCCTGTCTGACGTCATCCAGTAAATATTTGGCTCATTACCAAATACATTGGAGATCGCGCCAACTGCATTTACGGCTCCTGCGCGCGTAATTCTATGATATTTATTAATTTAAATATTTCCCTCTTCACGAGACGAAAATGTGCGATAATATCACATGAATCAGAGAATATACACATCCAAGATTTACTGATGTTATTGGGCCGAGATAATCTCAGCAATTTTTCTAACACTGTTTGTTCGTAGAACTTTGATCGGGAATCTTTTAATCTCGACATGTTCCCAAATTAAAGTAAGGCTCGGTTTAGATCTCTCTCTCTCTCTCTACACATTCTGTCTTTTTATTTTGAGATAAAATTACGAGACGTGGACACGTAAAAATATAAACCGAGGTTTTTTTCAACGGATAATTAACTGAGGCACACAAATTTCTACAGAAAATTTCAAAGACCCATAATATTATATTCGTAGAAAGTTCCTTTTATGTGCAAATGCTTATGGATAGAAGTGTCAGTTATATATGGTGGTCATAATTCGTTCTATTTAATGTGGTTGAGTCGAATAAACATGATGAATTTTCTCTAACTCCTGCTAATTTTAGAAAAATGAGGGCTATTAATTGCATCCCATCTGCAAAGAAATGGTAAAATGGTTTCTCAAACAAGCCCTCTTGTAAATAATTGGTGACCATCGAGAAAGTTTAGATTGCTCAAGCAAAACTCCATTGTCGGATAAAAATTATGAATCAATCTAATAACCCATGAACAGCATTGAATCTCCACTGGTCAATGTTCCTCAATTTTTTTTTAGGAAATAGAGATTATATTAAACTCAGTTCATCTCAATTTCTGATTATCTAAAACATTAGATATTCAAATAACGAAAAAGATTCCTGGAAATAAGAAACCCATATTTATCCTGCATTTCTGATGCAATAATTACTCATCGGAGATGTAAAAGGTGTTTATTTTTAAATGATCTAACTTACAGATTTTTCGCCCCCATATATCTCTTCTGAAGATGCACACCTGATGAAACATGGCTCAAGTGATTAAGATTAGACAACGGGATAAGAACATCTGTCTGGAAGACGTGCTGTCCTCTCCTTGAAGAATGCATCCAGAACTACTGAAGCAAATTAACCAGGGCCATGATGTCAAATACTCACCGCCACCGCCAAGTAAACAAGATCAGCTGAATGCTTACATTCAAAGGTATAAATTAATGAGCGGAATGCATCTCAACAATCATGTAAACCAGTTCAGAGCTCTCGATGATATTATTGGCGAGTAAAACTGTAAGAAAGCCATCAGTAGTACTAAAGAAGAAAGCTTACATTTGAGGTCTAAAACAAAAACGATGTTTTTTTTTTTTTAAACCCAAGTAAAGATGTGTAAATTACGTTTTATGGTCTCTTCATCAGTATATTACAGGATATAAGTAAAAAGACGTTTCAATTTAGTTTCAAGGAAGGGACTCTAATAAAAAAACAGGGCAAAACTTAAAAGTGCCATTGAGATCTTAGATACGTTTTTGTGCTGACGAAGAGGTTAAGAAAACCTCAAAGAAAAATTCATTGTTGGCAGACATTTCCAGAATGAGATTCTCAAGATGATGCAAGAAAATCAATGTTCCGATTCCATATATGAAGCATTACCAGGGAAAGAGGTCAGAATCCTGAGAAAGAAAGGTGACCCTCTGCTACACAGCATCAAAAAAACCTCTCATGTGTGATGGGAAGTTTCGTGAACTACCCTCCCTGCGCTTGCTTGAAAGAGCATAATAATTCTACATGACTAATTCCAGTTTCTTCTTCCTACTGGTCAGCCTGCACCAAGCATTCAAATGACAATTGATGAGGTTTCAAGGCATCCAATTCTGCCCACATTCATTATAATTCTTAAACGAAACCGTCCAATAGAACTCCGACCCACGAACAAAAAGTAGGCGTGTTTCCATACTTCATTAGCGTAAAAGAAGAATGCGAATATATCAATGAAAAGAGACTGAATATTCTAGACTGATTCCTCTAGTATGTCCCCAAGCTTGAGGCAGAAGTAGGCCTTAAGGCTTGGGGTTAATGCTAGAGGCAAAGAGACGTACCTGGGTCGCCACAGTTTCAAGTATTTCAGAGTACACGATTAACATGAGAACTATTCAAGAGGATGGAGATGAAGGCCCGCTCTGAGAGTCTTGGCCACCAAAATGTCTCACGAAAGAAGAAATATGTTTTACAACAATAATAAAGGAGGTTCTTTGGTAATCCAGAGGGAGAAAGTCCAGTGCCCCTCAAGCTTAACCAATGAAGAGCAGACGGTTCATGGAGGAAAAAACGACGAAAGATGTGAACGAAAATAGATCGGAACGCGAGACGCCGGTAGAAGGCGGACTGGTTCCCATTCGAGTGGCGGGGAGCCTGTAAATAGCCCTGTGGGCCAAGCGGGAGAAGGTAGGCAAGATGAAGTACTGAGTCTTACCCGGTCTCCAAGGGTTACCAGAGTCTCACCCCCTCTAATGGTTCAGTCGACGGGTATCGCACCCCTCTCTCTCTCCAGCCAAGCAGGCTATCGTCCGCAACGGAAATATTTACTTCTTTATACCCCGGGCCCTATCAAAGCAGGAGTCCTTTCCTCCTCCGTCCTTGTCGCTCGGGCTATATGCAGCTGAGAGACACATGCTCAGATCGAACGTCTTGTTCAGAAATATCACCTCTGACGGCACACAAGAAGCTCACGGCCCGCGGATCGAGATGCTGTCGTCGATGTCGTTGTCTGCTTTCTGCTCAGGGCCCATGGGGGACCGAAAAGACGAACCAGAAGTCGGCGCCGCCTTGCTGCCGCTCCGTCTAGCGGGCGCTTGTTCCGGACCGAAACTTCCCGGCGGCGAACACTCGGAACGTGCAGCTGTCGCCGGCAGCGAGGCGGAACCAGCAGTAATCCCGGTACTTGCGCCTAGACTTCTCCTTGCCGTTGCGGAAAGACCAAGCGGCGTCGCTTGATGGGGACGTTCTCGCCGACTCTGTTACAGGTCACATCGGTGGGAACGATGCCGACGAACGTGCCGTCGCCGATGGCCTCGGGGTGGAAATAGATGAGCCGTCATCCTCCCAGGTGGAAATAGAGGTCGTCTTCGTGGAACGTGGCATTGGGGAGGGCCTGAGAGTAGGACCGATCGAAGATGACCTCGGAGGAAACGAACCAGGGGTCGGAGGGCTGATAGGTGACAGAGATGATGGTGAAGATCATGACAGCGACGATGAATAGAGAAAAGCAGACTTTGCGGATCACCTTGACGAGGTGCTGCCCTGGTGGGCTATCCGCCACCGCCCCGCCGCGGCTGAGCTCCCTCCCCTTCATACCTGGCGACAGAAGGTCTGGATTCGCAGCGGGAATCACCAACATCACAGACCTAAAACGGCTCTCACTGCTGCCGGCTGAGGCGATAGAGACGCCGCAGCGGCGGCGGATGGACAAGCGATGGATTACCTCGGAGGGCGTTCGTTGTTCTGATGGAAATCGAAGTACCTGTATTCGCCATCAATGAGGAAAATGACGAACGTCTTTCGATCTTCTTCCTCTTTTCTTCTGGTTCGATCCCCGCAATCAAAACCTCTCTCCTATGGATGGAGTGTCTCCGTACGAGTTGTGTTGTTCTGTTGCGTTGAAAACACATGGTCAGGCGTTTATATAATACGCTCCATAACCATATTACAGTTTTGCCCTGAGTAAACTTTAATATCACGAATCATTTATAATTAATATCTAATTTAATTAGAAAAGTCACCTTAATGGAGTTTGACTCTAATATGTTCGTCCTCGGGGATCAGATGAGAAGGACACAACTCTGAGTAACGGCCTTCAAGCTCCCTAGAATACATTTTTTGAAATGCACTCTAGGAAACCATTACTCCCTTCTGAAGAAAGAGCAAGTACCCCTCCTTGGGCCTCATCTGCCCATTATATCAATCAACTTATTTAACACGTAATTTTTTAAATGAATATTTGCATGCAACTTTGACCTGGATGAATTTTAAATTCATTCGGTCACGTATTTATTATCATTAAAAGGTGTTCACACGGCCCGGTGAATTTTCCCGATTTAAAAATTGATGTACGAGTCAACGTAGATGGGTGGATGGGAGATCACTTTTAGACGCTCTTGAATGAATTTTCCTTTTTGACCCCCACGAGGACGAGCACTTTTTGACTTTGACAGAACTACTTTCAGTTTAAGTCAACGAATGGAGTTTGGCTGAATCAGATTAAATCTTAGCTCCGTATTGTGGGTCATTTTTACCGTTGTTTGAGTGACATCTCAGATTCTCGAGGACCATTTATAATCCGGGTAGGACAACTGGGATGATGTGTGACAATTTTCCGCACAAAGACCACACGTGGGAGCACCCATCGAGAGTTGACTTTTTCGTCATATGAGCATGACCATCCGAAAGAGAGTTAAGATAAAAGGCTAGAATTTTACGAATGACGCTTGGTTCATAAGGTCTCAACAACGCGTCAGACATCGGAGGTGTAGAAGTATTTGATCTTATTTCTTCTCAGGATTCGCTAATCTATGCATGATCCAATTTACTTTTCTACGTCTCAACAACAGCCCATATTCATGACTACAGTAGGCATTATTGCATGCTCTTCTGGGCAAGAACGGGGACGGCAAGAAGGGGCTCGGCCTTGCTAAGGGCGATCCCGAAGTTCTCCGTCATGCTGATATCGCCCGCCGCCGTCCCCTCCGGGAGCTTCCAGTCGAAGGACCAGAGCAGGTTGGCGAGCAGGAGGTGCAACATCCTCGCCGCCAGCGGTAGCCCCGGGCAGATCCGCCGCCCCGCCCCGAAGGGGATCAGCTCCATGTGGCACCCTCTGAAGTCCACATCGCCGCATCCGCCGCCGGAGAAGCGCTCGGGCAGGAAGACGTCGGCGTCGGAGCCCCATGTGGCCGGGTCTCTCCCAATGGCCCACGCGTTAATCAGAACCGTTGTCTCCGCCGGAACTGTGTAGGACCTGCTGGAGTTGTCCCCTTCGCCGTCCATCGACAGCTCTACGGTCTCCACAGCTCGACGGGGGATGAGGAAAGGAACTGGAGGGTGAAGCCTGAGGGTCTCCTTCACTACGGCCTGCAGATAAGGCATCCGGCCGATGTCGGACTCTTCCACCGTCTCCTTCTGCAAACCCTTCGTGACCTCCGCCACTTCCCGGCGAGCTTTTTCCATCGCTGTGGGATTTCGGAGGAGCTCTGCCATTGCCCATTCGACTGTTGTGGAAGTCGTGTCGCTTCCAGCACAAAATAGGTCCTGTATAAAAATAAATAATTAGCGATGGACACCACACACACACACACGTGAATATATATATGTATATATATAGAGAGAGAAAGAGAGAGAGGTCACCACAAGGAGATGATCTATAGCGGGACGATCTAGTTCCAATGAGGCATTGGCATTGAGGAGCACGTCTAGAAAATCCTCAGGATTGGATGTAGCCGGAAAAGATCTCGAGCTCAGCCGATCGTTAATTTTCCTGTCGAATATATTCTTCAAATTTCTTAGATGGAACGTCAGTCGTCGGCGGCGGCCCTGCGGATCAGCCCACCGGAGCAGGGGGAAGTAGTCGGAGAGGTTGGGGCTCGCAGATTCTATCATGACTTGCCGCACGAGGTTCTTGAACTCAGCCGACGACTCCTCGTCATGGCTCACCATGTCTGCGGAGAAGATAGTGGTGGATAAAAGGTTGAGTGTGGTCGTGAACACCGCCCGGCCGACGTCGACAGGCTGCCCGGCTCTAGCGCTCTGCTCCACGAAGGAGACGAGCTCCCTCACCTTCTGGGAGCGGAAGCCCTGGTTCGCGTCGAGCCGCTGAGTGGCGAAGATCTTGGAGTTGCAGATCTTGCGGAGGCTCCGCCAGGTCGCACCCGGCGGCAACATCACCATCGATAACTTGGCATGGTCTAGAGCCTGGGTAGCGTCCGGCGGCGCCCGGTAGGACAGCAGTTGGTCGTGCTTCTGGAGGACCTGCTTGGCGACGGACGGGGATGAAACAACGATGTGGGGGACGAGCCCCAGCCGGAGCGAAATAAGTGGGCCATGCCGGCGCGCAAGCTCCGCGAGGGAGCGGTGCGGCAGCTTGCCGAGTTGCAGGAGGTTCCCCAACAGGGTGAGGGGGCGCGGCCCTGGTGGCAAACCCTTGGGTGGCTTGCGGAGAGCAAGCCATCCGAGGACAACCAGAAGAGCCCAAAGGAGAACCAGATACCCCGTAGCCATCTCTCTTTCTCTCTCTCTCTCGCTTTCCCTTCCTATCTCCCCTTCTATTCTTATATACTTCCTGCTCCGTGGTTTCTGCCTTATCGCCGTTTACGTAAGCGAGTGATGAAGAGAGTTCCATCATGGACATCTGAAACCATGCGAACAGGGCAATCAGAGAGAGAGAGACAGTCCAACTTGGGGAGCAAACGAGGGGGAAAGGAGAAGAGAGAACGAGTCGTCAGGAAGGCTAATCAAGAGTCAAAGGGGAAACGTGGCTAATGGATACTGGAAGATTTTTCTAAATAACGTATGTGGTGACGCAATCTCCGCATGTTGTGAGATGTTCATTTTGTCGAACACCACAACCTTCTCCCCCCTACCGCTGGCAGCTGGAGGGGATTGACTCTGTGCAGACCCCCCTGAAGTCTGCATCGCCGCTTCCTCCATCAGATAGCGGCTTCCCCGGTCAGAAAATCTCCACCTCGATCATCGTTGAAGCCGCCGGGGCAATGTTTACTCCTATCTCTCTCTGTCTCTCACTCTCTCTCTCTCTTCATCTATTATATATATATATATATATATATATTCAATGTCCACGTGTTACCGTCTGCAATGCCGATAATGAAGAGTCTTTGACTTTAAAATTCCAACGATTGGGGGTATCCACGTGTTACCTTCTGCAATGCCGTTAATGAAAAGTCTTTGACTTTAAAAAGCCAACAATGGGCGCTATCCACGTGTCATCACTTCGTCCATTTTACTCAGTCAATGTCCTTTTAAAAATTCATCAAAAGACATTAATATTTTTTTGTACTCTCCAAGATGCAAAGGGAAAATTATTGCTTTCCTCCTAAACAAAAACTTTACATCTCGAGTAAGAGAAGTTTGTCAATGAAACACATTAAATCACATACAACATCATCCAATACTATATTATTTATGGTTAATTTCGTACAACTATTATAATGTGCGTCTCTAACTTATTATGCATTCAAATAAACTAAGGCTTCAATTAGGTAGACTAAGGTAAAGTTTCCATTTGGACTACTGAACCTCAAGTCAGAAATTATTTGAAATCAAATTTACTAACTTCCATTGAGCACAGTTATTATGCATTTATTTCATAAATAGAAAACTCAATTTTGAGTAAAATGAACATGTGGTTAATTGATTTCAATTTTCAATGAGAAAAAAACTAAGCATGATATTAATGTCAATAATTATGCCCTTCAGATGTGCTTCATATTTGTATTTTCATAGGAGATGAATGTTAGAGTACTCTCAATTTAGCAAAAAAATGTAAATAAAATCTCATTCCACTCTTAAATTTACATGACTTCCACTTCCTATGCACATTAGTCAGATATAATTCAGTAATGTTCTCAATGTCTCAAAAAGTCATATGTAAGGTCATCTCGTTGAAATTTTAAATGGCAACTACTGTGAGATAAAGCCCTTTCTACTTGTTATTTCCAAATACCTGCAAAGAGAACGCCTTTGAAGGTCACAAGGGTTATCATGCACTAATAATAATAAAAAGAATGCCTAAACGTGAAATTTAGACCATGGTTTTAGGTTAGATATGTAAATCAGATAAGCTTAACCCATGGCCTTTCGTTTTGAAATAAAGACCACTCCTTCGCAATGTCTCATAGAAAGAGACAAGGAGAGGAGAGGAGAGAGGGAGAGGTTTAAGAAGCATACTATTAGATAGTAAACTTGGTTCGGCATTGAACATATTTAGTCACTTGATATTCTTAATCCAGAGATAAACACGTTCTTAATTCTTGGGAAGCGGAAAAACGTGCTTTCTAAAACAAGAACGAAAATTAAGCATTGATAAATGAAGTATTTAGCAACCTCGATATTATTACTAGCCATCTCTCTCTCTCTCTCTCTCTCTCTCGCTCCCCCCTCCCCCTTGACCTTATGTTCTTTTGTAATTTCTCGACCAGTCAACAAACTGGAGACGCAAAGTCGTAGGTACTGCATCGGGATTTTTTTTTGAATCAAGTAAACTGTATGTTTTAGGTGAAGCATCCTTGCCGCCGCCCACCACCACTGGGGGTCAACATCATGACAGCCAACGTTCTAGCCAAAAAACCGCATTCACTCATGTGCCCATGCCCCTCCCAATGGCTAGGGAATCCGCTCAACCATCAGAATCCTGTACGGCTATGTGCTGCCTACAATGAATGAGTCACATGATTGGTAAAGGACCCATTTTTTCACATATCACCAGCCTAAACCATTGCCGCATCAAATCTCAAACATCCTCACACAATTCACGTGGAAGCTGAAAAATGATGTGTAATGTAAACGAGGGTACACTGGAAAAATGGTGCCTAACTCGTACTCACCCCTCTATGTAGACATCGCACACTATTAGCCTCTTTCGCACATAACTTGCAAAAGCCATGTCAATTGTATGGTGACATGTTGTTAAATGTTCCCGTGCATGTTTCTCAAATACATTGTGCATCATTATTAAGTGCATTGCCACAACCGCAAAAATTGTTTATTCTTCATAAATTTATGTTTTTCATGCCTTGTGAGCTCTTCATGCAAAGATCTAACCTAAGTTCTCAGCACATATCTGCCTCTGTATATTGTGTGATGTCACCACAAACATCATCACTGCACCTGGTTGTGATCCCATCATCAGCGGACGCCATCAATCTTTTTCTTTATGTACATTTTGCCTCCACATGTGCCTTCAAGACCAACATGCTGTCAACATGCTGATTATCACATGATATAGTTTTTTCTTTTTTTGTAGGTGCCATGTACTTGTCCGAATACATGTTGCAATCGGATGTCCTTATTAGAAGGAGAGCAGTTAGATAGTCACGGATGAGGTTTCAAACCATTAAATATCAACATCTCACACATACGATCCACCATGATATTATTTTCGTCGCTCCAATCCAATGGTCTTTCATGCATCCGTAAACTATGTATATGCTATTATGACTGTATTTAGTGGGATGAGTATAGATTGGATCCCCTTCATTATAATTAAACGTGGGATAGCTGTATGGTGAGTTGTTAGGGGAGGCCCAAGGGATATTGCAAGTTACCTAAGTTTTACTCTCAACAAAAAATTGTAGTGTGGCATCAACCCTTCATCTTCTTCGTGATAATTCCATTATACATCATTTTTCTCGTTTAAGCAACGCCTTGTAACTAACTTGATACTAAATTTCATTTAATTTTTTGCTAGATAAGTTTGTCATACCATGTACTATGTGCACCAATACATGTCTACATCCTTGTTAGTCAACATTTATTCAATGCTACTCCACAATAACACTAAATATCATTACTGTTATTATCTCTTTTACAAATACTTTGATGAGCATCTCACAGCTTATTACAAAATTCAAATAACCTAGGTTTCAGTTCAATGGACTACTGGAAAAGTTTCCATTATGACTAACGAGCTTCAAAATAAGGAACGATTCAAAATCGATTTTACCAAAATGCAATGAGCGGGAGGCAAAAGATGAATGTACTCATTATGCATTAAGTCTTATCTGTTGAAATCTCACATTTGGACAAATACATAAATATTGTGTTTAAATAGATGAATCAGCTCTAATTATTGTTAATGAATTTCCATTTTAGAGGCAAAAGAATTCAAACATGATATGACAGTCCACAGTTATCCTTTTCAGATGTCCTTCACATATGTACCGCAATAGGAAAAACGATATCTCGTCACTTTAGAGAAAAATAACTAAAATCTCCTTGTGGTGATCTCTGGTTGTACTTATAAAGACAATTCAATATTACGCTCAATATGTCATCAAATCGCTTTCACATTAATAATTCAATGAAAATTATTTAGAGATGATTTATCATCAAATACTGAGGCATTTTTTTCCTATAAGCATCATTTTTCAGTGCAATATTATGTGAAACATGTTCTAATAGTATAGCCACCTGCATTTATGATGATTAAACGACACTGGAAAAATATATATATATATATATATATATAATTATGCTAATAATAATATGTGTTGAGAATAATGGGCTGCATTATGAGAATAAATTTAGAACTATTCCTTCACTCTAGTTGTGATCATTGTAGTGCATCATTTGGATTATATAATTATTTTCACATGAGGCTTTTCCCATAACTTTTTTATTGTTTTGATCTCTTTAAATTTGTACGTGAAATGGCTCATTTATGGATTACTTGATCTCTAAGTGTACACAACCTATTTATATTGTTCATTTTTAGGATATTAGTTAAATAAATAAGTAAATACTATATTGACACACATGGCTTTTAAAGCATGTTGAAATGTATGAAATGACAAAAATCTTAATGCATGTGGCTTAGGAGAGCGTGTTCTATCGGGAAAGTGAAGTGTGCAGGGTGTATACCAGATGGGCCTGGGAGTGCGTATGCTAGTCATTTTCAGACCTAAATCTCTGTCAAATTAGACTAAACTCCTGCAGAGGTGATACGAAATTGAGAGGAACTGGTGATAATTGGATCGATTCTTATTACTTATGCAAACGATAATAATTATAAAAGAAGATGCTGATTAGTAAGCTTTTCTGCTTAGATTTAAACAGAAGATTTTTTTTTTTATGTCGTAATAATTGAATTAGGCGTTATAAATGAATTACATCGAGTGAGGAAGATTATTGCGTTGCGCGGACAACATTGAGAGCATCTACGTGCAAGGAAAGCAATTCGGCACGTCCATCCTGATATAAGCGTGATATCTCGCCACACCATGAAGAAGCAGGAGGCGAAGTGGAGCTCCAAGTAGACGGTCCCTTAGAGGTAGACGGTACTCTCCACCGGTCTCTCATGGCCGAGAAGATGATCGTCTTCCTCCTCCTAGTCTCCCTGCCCTTCTTCTTCTGCCCTATCCTTGCCTTGGGCGGCGACCGGCTCATGCCCGTCAGCGTCGAGGCGCGCAACTCCACCGACTCTCGGCTGGAGACCTACATCGTCCACGTGCGGAAGCCGGAGCACATGCTCTCCGCCGGCCGCGAAGAGCTGGAGAGCTGGCACAAGTCCTTCTTGCCATCTCCCCCCTCGGACTCCGGAGCGCCGCGACTCGTGTATTCCTACGAGAGGGCCCTCAGCGGGTTCGCGGCCCGGCTGACCCCGGAGGAGGTGGCGGACATGGAGGCCAAGGAGGGATTCCTCTTCGCCTACCCCGACGAGCCCCTCGCCGCAGAGACAACCTGGAGTAATGCATTCTTGACGCTTACCAGTAGGGGGGGCATGTGGGAAACCACAGGGTATGGCATGGGGATGATCGTCGGCGTCATCGACAGCGGCATCAACCCCGACCATGTCTCCTTCGGCGACAACTTGTTCCCCGACCCGCCGGAGAGGTGGAAGGGACGGTGTGACCTCAACGCCCCGAGAAAGTGCAACAAGAAGCTCATAGGCGTGAGGAACTTCGACTCCGAAGGCCCCCAGGCGGAAGCTCTTGACGTCACTGGGCACGGCACCTTCGTGGCGGGCGTAGCGGGGGGCAGCAACATCGTTAACGTCAGCTTCAACGGCCTTGCCGACGGCATAGCAGCCGGTGCGGCCCCCGGTGGGCATCTGTCGATCTACCGCGCTAGCATGGCGTCCGGCCTGGTGGCCGCCATCGACGAAGCGATCAGGGACCGCGTCGACGTGATCTGTCTCGCCATGACGCTTCCCACGGGGGAGTTCCACCGGAACGACATCGCCATAGCCACTCTGTCGGCCGTCGAGAGCGGGATCTTCGTCAGCTGCGCCGCCGGCAATCGCGGCCCCCACCGCGGCAGCGTGCGGAACGACGCGCCATGGGTCCTCACGGTGGGAGCCGGCACCATGGACAGGGCCCTGAGGGTGATCCTGCATCTCGGCGACGGAGAGAAGTATGAAGGAGAGTCCCTCCACAACGCCACAATGATACCCACGGGTAGCCTGCGTCTTGCTCACCCGTCCTCGTGCTCCTCCCCGTTGAAGGGCGTCGTCGGCACGGCGGTGCTCTGCAGGAGCCAGCCGGCGGCCATCTCACCGGCGCGCCAAGCCTGGCACGTCATGGAGGCCGGCGGTGCCGCCATGATACTGATGAACGACCACCTCAATGGCTCCACCATCGTGCTCGCCGACACCGCGCTCCCCACGGTGGCCATAACCTATCGCGACGGGCAGCAACTCGTCTCGTACTTCGAGTCGGCACGCGGCAGCGCCACCGTCGAACTGCTGCCGATGGGAACCACATACCAAGCCGCTCCCACTCCCACGGTGGCCTCTTTCTCCGGCAGGGGACCGAGCTCCGCCAACGGCGGCATACTGAAGCCGGACATCATCGTATCGGGCGTCAACATTCTCGGCCCCGCCTTATCGTCGAACACGGGATTCGCGTTCTCCTCTGGCACGTCGGCGTCCGCCGCCATCCTCACCTCCATCGCCGCGATGATGAGGAAGAACCATACGGAGTGGTCGCCGGCCGTCATCCGGTCCGCCATCATGACCTCCAGCGACTACCTCGACAACGAGATGAACCCGATCAGGGATGAGACCGGCGGCGCCGCCAGTGCGTTCACCCTCGGCGCCGGCCACGTAAAACCGCACATGGTGAATGACCCCGGTCTCGTCTACGATATCGTTCCGGAGGACTACCTCCGCTACCTGTGCGGCCTGGGTTACACCCAGATGCAGGTGGAAGCCGTCGCACGGCGGGGGGTCGACTGCGAGAGCCTCGGCAGCCTCCTCCCCGAGCAGCTGAACTACCCTTCCATAGCCGTGACGCTGCGGGGGGGAAGGACGACGGTGACGAGGACGGTGAGGAACGAGGGTCCGGAGGCTTCATTCTACAGGGGTCAGGTAGTCGGAATGCCGGCGGACGTTGTCGTGGAGGTCAACCCCTCCGAGCTCAACTTTAGAGAGAAGGGCGAGTATCAGTCGTTCACGGTGACCTTCTTCTACGGCGGCGGCGCTGGCGGGAACCAAGTCTACGAAGGAAATCTCATCTGGTCCGCCGCCACCAGCATTCACACAGTGAGGACGCCTCTAGTGGTCACCGTCGCATAGCCCTCCCCGGGGTCAGACGGCGTCGGGGCCGCCACTCATTCGTCATCTCCCGAATTTCAATCATTCGATGAGAAAAAATAAGGAGAGCTGCTATTTTGCTGCAAATAATTACCGCTGTACACACAAATCTCATGGGTTTGGAGCGAGAATACAGATAAATAAATCACAGTATTTTTACACAGTTTTTAGATCATATATGAACATGGTAAGATTTCATGTCATCGATTCATCATGTAAAAACTTCAGTTTCAAAAATAACAAAAAAAAAAAAAGAAAAAGAAGAGAACAATCACCAGAGAGAAGGAACCCTCCGCTTCTCGGGCTTCACATTGATTCAGCAGCACAGACCAGCTTCTGACGATTAAATGTATATACATGCATCATAAAGCATGTGATGACTGGCTATTTATATAGCAGCAGAGCGACGGCAGTTTCGAAAAGAACCCTGGTTGACAAAAAGGAAAGACGAAAGTCAATAGGTTACAGGCCTGGAAATGTAATTTTAAAAGAACCCGGTTGACAAAAAGGAAAAACGAAAGTCAATAGGTTACATGCCTGGAAATGTAAGTAATCTGGCCCACATTATGACTTTGTAAGAAAGAAATCAAAGTGGGCATGATCGGGCATAGGGAACCAGAACCTCGAATCCGGTAGGTCATCTCAGAGCGTGGCTGTAGTCGTGGTAATAGAAGTTCTTGTGGATGAAGTGCGACAGCCACCTGGATGCAACGAAGCAGAGGACTGCCACGCAGAAAAGCCCGCTACGAGCTGTCGCTGCCGACAGGAAGCTCTGCTTCATGACGGCGAGCCCTGCGATCAGAGCCACCGAGGCGATCTGCAGAGAAGCCTCAAGGATTCTCAGGCCCTTGAGCGCCCCACGGCAGCTGCTGCATTGCACAGTATGTGACCAGTACCTGAGAGAAGGCCAGAGGGGATTGGTTGTAAAATGTCAAATTTTAGGGCAGACGAGATCATTCAGAGGGACACCCAGAGAGGAAAGGTACGACTTTGGGAATGCTCTAAGCAAACAAGGTCATCAAATTCTGCCATGAGACTCAGAACCGATGCTTAAGAAATGAAAAAACCATGATGGCCAACGCTCTGTTAGCTATGTTCATACTACTTCACCAGGCTGTGCCCTATTGAGGTTGCAGATTCATTACAGAGCCTTAATAATGGAAGTGTGCATAGATTTCATAGGCGTAAGGACTTTTACCTGTCCATAAGCTGTTCTCTTGGTGGGGTTGGTGGAAGCTGCAAGTTGGACTTCGGTCCCCAATTGACTTGATTGTTCGAATACTTCTTCAACCATTTCCTGAAGGCGACGACAAGTGCATCTGACTTTGTTGGTACAAAGCAGGCCCTCTGCCAATTAGAAATGCCGGATTCTGCAATCTTACGTTCCTAAGATATTCGTCAGAAAGAAAAAAAACAAGAGTCAATCATTTTTCATCCCCATATCATTGATTAATCACAGTACCTATGAAAGAAAAATGAAAAAACTTCAACATTTATTGAGAAAAAATCCAGAACAATTGGATAGCGTGATCTGACTAAATAACGCATCTGCATTCGGAAAAGAGTGAAACAATGGAAGAGACGAACTTTTTTCTCGATCAATGCTAATTTTCCTAAAAAGACGCGACAGCCATCTTAGCTCCACATGAGACCCTCTTCCTATTGATGACTAAAGAAAAGGCACTCATCAATCAGCTCGTCCCCCTTTCCTATTCGGCTTTGCTTGGCGCCTAGTGAGAGAATAAATCAAGTTTTTATAACATGTTGAAATAACTTCGTGTATTACTTACTCAAGGATGTTAGACAAGATCTAGTAGCAGATCCAGTGAAGTGGTAGATTCTATTTGTTAGATTTTTGGTCACAGAGAACATAGAAATTAATTAAAGGGGAAATATAATTAGACCACTGATATGTTAGTATGATAGTTAGAAAGGAGGAGCAGATCAATCTTTGGTTCCCACACTTTGTGACCAGAAACACCCCCAGTCCATGAAAAGAAAATAATCATATTCTGAGGACCATGTCAAAGACAAAGATACATATTTGTACAGTAAAACGCAAATATACAATTCATTTTATATCGCTGAAGTAATAGAATTTGCAGTAGTTAACCTCCACCACTCTGCCATTTAAGAACGTTATTTTCTTTGACCAGATAATAAGGTGCAACACACAGCTGAAGTGCACATGATATATCATCTACGTGATCGATTGAAGTCACTGACATCACTATCATAGAAAAAAGAAGAAGCTAATCAATGGATACCATAAAAAATCCAGTAATCTGTTGTTTAAATAATGATCACGAATGCTGAAACGGGATTTCTACAAGTTTTCAATCAATATCAACGAGGATTACCTCCAAGTGAAGGAGATTCAGATCTGAGTCTATAATGAGATTTTGGCCAATGTGGAAAACCCATCGAGGTATAATCCTGTCAATCCAGACAGCAAAATTTCTAGGGAACACCCAAATCAGCCGACTTCTGCCCAAACTAACTGGTATACAAATAAATACCAGAAGAAATCTCCGTTTCTTTGGCTGCAAACTAGCAGATCGTTCCTAAGTTGAAAACGCAGAAATAAGAATGTCAACATCCCGAAAATTGTCCCAAAAAGGGAATTTACAGTTGAAAAAAAAACAATTCAAACCTCTTCAGTTACTTTAAGCATCTCAAGGTTACCAATTGAACTCAAGTCAGGAAGAAAACGAAACAGAACTGGTGCTACAAAATCGCTGTAACGTCCCTCTTGGCTTGCTGTGAATCCAGAAAGGTTATGTTTCACTACTTTTATATCCAGAGGAACACCCCCTTCTCGATCTCTGATGATGAAAAAAATCAATCAGTTTAGTGTACAAAATAGGAAAACGACAAGATTTGTCGGGCATCGAGAAGAAATACGGGTATTGAAAATAACTCATATTGCGTGAGTCATCATCTTGGTTTGTCTCTAAGGAAGAAGAGGAACAATACAGCATAACAGTACAGATTTAAATCATGAGAACTCAGAGGATTTAACATGAAAATTGCATACCTCGTAAGGTTCTTTGACGCTTTTGGTATCCTCATTATTCTGTAGTGTGCATAAGGAACATGAGCAGGATCCATGAGATTTTCTACCAAAACTTCATAACTGGGACATCAAAAAAAGAACATTGAGTATTATAACCTCTAAAAGAGATTTGGTGGTTTGGCATTGTATGTTGATACTTGAAAGAAAGTACAGTTAATCAATACTAACTTCCACGAACGGATGGTTCTGTAACAAGATTTCAGCACAATGGCACGTCTAGGTATATGAAAAAACCATAGTGAGGTACAATTCTCTCGTTCAATACCCACAATGGGGAGCCATGTATAATCTTTTAAGATTCCCAGCCAACATAATCAACAAGAGCCTGTTCCAAGTAATCACTAATTTGGTAGTGTTTTGTCCTTGTCATTTGTAAGAATATTTTCGCATCTATGCTAAGATGAATATTCCTTCTGCACCAATTCAATGATTCTCCTTAGCTTACCTTGAGGCAGTGCCAGATATCATCTAAAACGTGTACAGGAGCACAAAAAATAAAACGGATGCAGCAAAGCATAAAAAAATTTAAACAATAAAATAATAAAGTATTAACAAAAAAGCTACAGAAGGAAGAATTAAAAAACTACAACATAGATAATTTTATGATACTTTATGGAAGAATATGGATAGTACCTACAAGTGTTCGATTTAAACCAGGAAACATTTTTCTGGTATTCTAATGAGAATCTGTGATATTTTGATGAAGAATACATATCGTTCCACCCAGCTTTCAATTTGAAAGAAATTTTTTTTTCACTCATATTCATTGAATCTAAGTATAAAAAACATAGTTGATGTCAAATTTTTTGACTTCCCTCTTTATCCTATGCCGGTTTTCTTTGATAATTCAGGAAGATATAACTCACCTACACCGGCCTGCAAACTAAGACAGAGTTTCCCTCATCTTGATTGAATGTAAAACCAAAATCATAGTTCAATGGCTGAAACCTTGTTTGGCAAATTTCGTTCCCCCCGTCCTATATTACAAGAGATACAATAAAGATAAAATACAGGAACACTTCAAATTTCTGAGAACCTTGAACAGAGAACATAATTCAAGAATTTTCTGCACTTCTCCAACAAAACTAGTAAATGTCAAAAAAAACCAGCGGTTAACATAGAGCCTGAAAAATGATATCATCCCCTGCAAACTCGGTTAAATAGTTTGAACAAAGAACATATGACAGTGTCACTAAAGATTATCTGGCCTCTATTGTACACAATTTCAAATAAATGCCTTCTTATTTTCATCTTTCTGAGGATTTTATCCCTTCCATTCTATGATCCCATATAAGTATCTCTCAACAGTTTTGCCACAGGAGTCTTCGCTAGTGAGAATAACCCCAAGTCTTTACTAATAATGATGGTAAAGAGAACGGATGCTGTGGTCTTCATAAGAAAAAAAAAAAATGCATTCTTAACAACTTGTTAGAACTCGCTGCTCTGGGTTATACCTCATGGTGATTATAAGCGAATTGGATTTCGAACCTATAAGATAATCACTCACTGATTCAAAACTGTGGTGTAACGTGTATCCTCCATTGCTCCGATCAAAGAATATATGAACTAAATCAAAGAATGGATACTTCTAATGAGCTGTAGTCGATCTATCTTTTTCCTCAAAGTTGAGCTTTGAGTCCATATTAAACAAAAGTCAATTATGGCGCAGAAATATAACTAGAAGAAGTTTAAAATTATCGAATGATGAACGTTTCTCCCAAAGGTTCGGAAAAGACTCGATTCTTAGAGGAAACCAAGAGTGGGTAGCATTTCCAAGTCAAGCTAACGCTGATTTCCCGTCGACAGATGGAATAAAGCAGACGATTAAAAGGCATACCCGTATGGCAAATCTCTCATCCCCATTGTACAGGAATATGATGGATCATCCAACTCTGGGACGTAAGGAGGCCTTTTCTGCGTCAAAATATCCTTGAATTGCGGATCACTGTTCGGCCAGAACCACAGAATCTTATTCTGCTCACAACTCGGATAAGGGGTGGCACAGGCCTTCTTGAAAGTGTGCAGCTGAATGTTATTGAAAACAGTTAGACGACATGAAACCATTTCCATGGAGAAATTCGAATCGATCCAGGCGTTCAGCTGCAGGTGAAATAATATAATACATCCGATGTTTTCGTACTAACAGATGAACAAACAGGGGACATGGGACGAACAAATAAAGGAGAGATACTACGGTAGGAGGTATCCAAGTAAAAGTACTCGAGAGAATACCGGAGGGCCGTCGGCTGGTGCCTGAGGGATGTACTTGCAGCTCCCATTGCCGTCGAAGCACCATCCATGGTAAACGCACTGCAGCCGGCCCCACTGGTCGATTCGCCCCTCGGAGAGCGGCGCCAGGCGGTGGGGGCAGAGGTCCCTGAACACCTGCCATTTCTCCTCCAATCGGTCCCACCACACAACCACGTCCAGCCCTAGCACGGTCTTCGCGTGCGGCACCCGCTTGTCGAGGTCGCAGACCGGCGCCAGGGGGTACCACTGGGCGTACCAGTCGAATTCCTCCCCTAAGCCTTCGTCCTCCTCCAGGGCCACAGACCGGGTTTCAACATCGAGGAATGAGGATTGATCGGGGGGCCTGGGGGAGACGGTGGGGACAGTGCAATTGAGCTTGGATTTGCCGCTGGTTCTCCCGTGATGGGAGAGGAGAGGGGGCCTGGACTGGTGCAGCAGGAATAGGCGCGAAGACCTGGTGAAGGTGGGAACTCTGGGGAGGAGCGGGGAGACGCGGAGAGCTTCCATGGCGGCGGTCTGTGCCCGCCGGAAAGCTTGGACGAGCGGAGAAGAACGTTCGCGGGTGCGTGGGAGCAGCTCTGCCAAGAGGCCAAAATCAAATCTCCAAAGCCCTGAAATGCCTTGCAAAATGGAAAATTGTAGATATACCAAAATTTCCTTATATTTTCCCTCCACATGTGAGGCCATAAATTTCAACATTTTTTTCATAAAAACCCAATAATGTGATCTTCTTTATATCAACCTCGAAATTGCATAATGCTAACTTGTATGGTAAGTTTGCGCGCTCGTAATAAACCTAGGACAATAAAAAAATATAATTTTCGTAGTATATTTTATCGAAGTTAATGAAAAAATTAACACCTAAAAAATGGAAAGACTTCTAATTCTCCCCTATTTAGCTACCCAAAAAGACTAAATCAAGTGGATCATATGGAAACTAAACATCTGCGTTATAATGCTAAATTACAAATAAGCCCATCTTGAGAGAGAGCATTGAATTTGCCCTAGTTATTGGTAGTCATCAGTGCATATCATGTCACTGATCCAAATTCTCAAGGTCGAGTGGGTATGGATGTAAGAACTTCAATAATATGAGGATACTGGATACATTTTTTTTGTCAGCAGTCCATCACAATTCCCCACTTTACCGCTGCCCTTTTTTCTTATATTTTCCATATTTTCTGAGACCGCCAAGCCGATGATTCCAGTAATTTTTAATATAATTTTGACCCTTTTCTTAAAATTAATTAAGTTATGTTTTTCAAGCTTTACTTTAGTGGAGTTGCTGGGCTTCGCATGTCAGGCCCATCAAGGGCCCACCCCAAAATAGCCCTGTCACGTGCGCGCTACATGCTTGATGAGCTCCGATCAATATAAATACACGGTTAGGGCTTTTGCAGTTTATTGCCTCCTGCTTTCTCTTGACGGCCGCCCGCTCGACTTCTCCTTGTTCCTTATCTCTGCGCGCGCGAGACAGAGCAGTCCTGCAAGGTTGGTTCCCTCTGTACGTTGTTTGTATCTTTCGTATGTTCTTTCTTCAGACTTATCGGCTTGTTTAGTCCATGTCGTCGCTCTCAACCAAAGTTTTCATCTGAAATCGTCATGGAATTTAGCGGTAAGAGAGATCCACGGTTTTGCTCCGTTTAGCAATGATTTGCCCCGTTGTTTTCTTAATGTTTCCTGATGTTGCGTTATGCCCACAATTTTATGTAGAACGGCCAAATCTAACAACATAACCGAGGATCCAATGTACCCTCACCGGAGTCGCCGCTTTTTCTAGTTTTGTTTTTGTATGGGCTCAATCGATGGCGAGCTGCTAGACTAGTGACCTAAGTTCCTGATTTTCCTTTAGGTGATCATACACCTACAGTGCAAACTGCAGCAGATGGACCACATAACGTCGGGTAGATTAGATTGAAATAATTAGTCGCGGACCCTTCAATAGGTTTACTTAAACTTGTTTCTTTCTTTTCATGCGCCTCAATATAATTGCTCCTAGGTCATTGATTTTATGCAAGATTTATGATTGCATTTTTCTAGTAGTCAGCGAGAAGATGGAAAAACTTTTCCTCGTTGCCCAAATATATTTTAGTTCTATTATTCCTGAAGCTCTGGGGATATTGTTTTGGGAGCCGAGAATTCGGCAGAGGAGAGCCTGTTGAAGTGTTTTCTTCCCTTAAAAATGTTTGGTGTTTTAACGTGTTTTTGCGTTTATTCTTGTTTCGTCATTTTTGCTAAGGTGGGAATGCTTATGTCTACTTTAAAAAATTGATTCATCGAGCTGTCTTTGAATTTTTGAGCAGGTCGATTGTTTCTGTATGTTTCCCTATTGTGAGCATATTCTAGATTATTTGCATATCTGCGCTTACTTTACATGGGACGCCCTTTTTAACTGGTGCTTTATTTCCCAGATGTCCTACATCTACCTTATTTTATTTTTATGTATCTTTCACCGAAGTAAAGTATGCTTAAAATCGAATGGATAACATTAAATTTCAGTTATTTATGTCATCAGGCCGGAAATCTCTACTTTGTTCCTTTTACAGTTTCACTGAATGTTAATCCGTCACTCACTACCTTCCAAAGTATAGATCGAATGCATCTTTGAACCCAGTTCAGAAGCAGACTGACTTGAAGGTTCTTTGACATTTCCATGATTACTGACCGTAAGCTTATTTCTTGTCAATATTCTTCATTTTACTTTCTCTAAGAGAGATAGTCATGGCATGATTTTCCCCATGATTGATCGACAACATTTGTCAATTTGCCCGATTTGCTACAACAACCTCGAACATTCGACTGCGGCAGTCAACAATTTGTATTAGAGTACCTGTTCCATTCATTTGTTTTCTTGTTAGCAACATTCAAAGTGTTTCTCCTGTGAATTGTGGAAGGGATAATTATTCCTCGTTTAGTGATTTGGCTTGTCGCTATCGTTAAGGAATTGATTTTTATTTTACTGGGTGCACAATCCGATAGAGTTCACTGTCCTGGCAATATTTACATGGAAGCCTAGCAAGTCTCCACGATTTCATGTTTGATTCATCCTTCTGTATTCGGTCTCCATGGCAACTGACCCAGGAGAGGGTTTTGGCTTTTATGCCGGTGCAGTATATCTTTGATCTTCTGGTGACGTCTTCGTCCTCTGCGGCAGAATGGACAGCCAGGTGAAGCTCGCCGTGGTGGTGAAGGTCATGGGTCGTACTGGATCGAGAGGGCAGGTGACCCAGGTGAGGGTCAAGTTCCTTGACGACCAGAACCGCCTGATCATGAGGAACGTCAAGGGGCCCGTCAGGGAAGGAGACATCCTCACCCTCCTCGAGTCCGAGAGGGAAGCCAGGCGGCTTCGCTGATTTTCCTCCCAGTCTTATTATATTTGTTTCGAACACGCTACCCCTTCTGCGCGGGCTTGAATGAACCAACTCTTTTGAGAACTCGGACGAAGATGAACTCAGGTAGTAAAAGAAATCTTTCGTATAAACCGGTGATCGTAGTGTACAGAGGGGCCCTTGTCAAGCGGTAGACCCCATAGCTGCCGGCGGCGGCGGCGAGTGAGCCCATGTGGGCCGCCGCTCTGTATTCAATATAAGAACGAAAGATTGCCATCTCCACCCCGTAAGCCATCGGTAAACCATAGACCGCCGCAGCCCCTGTTGCCGGCGCTGCCAGTGCCTCACGGTCGCATCGCTGCCGCCACCAACCACAGCAGAGCCAGCGCCACCACCGCCACCGCCATCGGTAAACCATCAACCGCCGCAGCCCCTGTTGCCGGCACTGCCAGTGCCTCACAGTCGCATCGCTGCCGCCACCAACCACAGCAGAGCCAGTGCCACCACCGCCACCGCCATCGTCGCCAGCACCACTGGCAAAACTTCGGCCGCCACAACCACAACCAGCGCCACAAGCACCACCAGAGCCGTTGTGACAATACTTCCCGCATCACAAGCTAAGCCGCCTGGCCCGATAATGGTAAAGATGATAGAGATGATCCAAGCCACTAGAAACATTCCCATCCGACGCCGGACATTCAGGTGACGGGGAAACCTAACAGGGTACATACAAAGATGAAGCGTCTCTCAGAACATCAGCGCCTTGCGTTGACATTTCTGCCCCGACAACTGTCCCTCCGCCTTCCGTTGACCCTGGTTTTCCTCCCGAGACACGCAACGCATTAACTTCATTGTACGACTGTCACTGTCTCCCTTCCTCTTGATCCCAGTTGCTTATCGCGTCTCTCGATGGAATTTAAATTATCTCCTGAGCAACTTCATGCTAGCTTTTATCTCCGAAATTCTAATTCATGCTACCACTTCTGATGGGGGGTCTACCCCTCCCCGCCATATCAGAGGGCTGGCTTCAGTTGTCCTCTTCAGCTGAGGGGCGGCATACTGTGATAAGAAGAATAAATTATTTTATTCATTATAGAAATCTTATTATCAAACAATAGTTTCTCATTGATTATGTGAAATCAATATCTTTTGCTTTAAATTCCCGAGATTAAACCCAAGAAATTGTATGATATTTCTTCGAGTAAGTCACATTTTGTATAATTAAAAATTTACCTTGAATGAAATCGAGTCGCTAAATGGATTTCGTGAATGTAATGGCTCACGTTCAAAGTTTGGTTATTCAACGATCCTCAACATACATATGGAGTACAAGGGCTCTTAAACTTCGATAATTGAAAGATTGAACATCAATCAACATAGCAAAACATTGTATAACTTTACTAATAATCCGAATATATTTTTTGCAAACGTTGAGGCCTCGCGTCAGCCACCACAGCCAACGACACAGCTATCCACGATGGCACCTAGGCGGCTCCCGCCGCCATACACACAGCTGCATACAACAGTCAACACGACGACAAGAATGATTGCTTATATGCCCCCCGCTGGATCTTGTCAATAAAGGTAACACCACCCATGACTTACTACGTCTTATGACGGCTGGCGTTGACCATCCCACCTCAATAACTTCCCGGCCAGCATCTCCGTCGATCATCATCTTCCAACGGTCATACGCTACGCGTTGTCATTTCTCCCATAGTTTGAGGTTTCACGTAGTCTACTGTGTTGTCGAACTCACAAATGAGGATAACTTAGGTTTAGCCTTTGTTGAATGACTTCACATGTACAAATTTTCCTGAGAATGTTTGAAAGTATTGTACCTAAAGATTAGAGATAGCTTTGAGCTCAAATCCAGGGAACGACAACCTCTGTATCCCTCTCTTCCGATCTCAGTTTTTTCGTTGTGACACTGACTAATGCGTACTGTCCTAGATCTCGCGTTGACTTCAATATTCCATTTCTGTTCGGATACTGGTTATCAGCTTCGGCACTTAGCCATGGGTAGTGAGAAGTTTCTTCCTGGCCATTTCTCAGACCACCACGGAGGAAGGGACGAAAGCAGACCTGCCGCGGGTTTGTTGACCAAATGATGGCTCTAAAAAGTCTGAGAAGTCGCCTGATAGTTCCACTGTAGATGCTATTTATTAGATGTAATTCAATAACTAATATATCCAAAACTAATTATTGATTTGAAAAATGCTTAAGATTAGTATCACGCCTTGCTAGGGCTATGAAGGCACGAGCATTTCATAGCGTTTGCCTGTGGAACAATGCTTATTATTTTCGGTGGAACATGTAAGTATATATATGTGAAGATAATACTTCCAAACTAATTAATACAAGGGTTGGTGGAACTTGCCACTTGGTGACAAAAATTACTATGAGCCTAGCAACATATCTTCAGTAAACAATAATTCCAAGATTTAACTTGAAATCAATTAGAAATTGGAGACTTCCTAGTTTATCGTCATAAGATATTGCCTTCTCATGATCAATTAAAATGTATGGCTTGGGATTAAGATTATACTTTAATAGAATGCTTTAATCTTTATCGTTACAATTTTCTCTTATCATAAATTTCACCCCCTCATCTAAGGAGATCAAATCATAGGAGATGCATTTTGTGATTCACGGAAGTAGCCCCCACATCATAAATGGATACCCATGCAAGTCTCATTTTGTCATTCTTCATGTTCTGGAGGACATTTTATTATCTTTCGTCAGCTAAAGTGCAATCTCGCATAGTAACATCTTATCCACCATTTTATGATAAAATGCATCTCATCCAAGCATTTAATCATGATTCCACCAAAATAAAAAACGTCTGGATTGCATCCTCTTAGAAAATTAACAAAGATGACGGTTTAGCTACCAATGCATCCCACTTCATTTCGTTTTTAGTCTCGTCCATCGCCGGCCCTACCGCTACCACAGCCACTCCCGCCGCCACAACCACCACCGTCGATGATAACATTACCCATTCCGCCACCACCGTGAATGCCAACGTCTACACTACAGCTGCTGGCGCATCCGCAGGTGAATGCCACGACTATCCAGACTGCGATAAAAACGACGGTGACGACCCAAAACATCACAAATCCATCCATTCTCTTCTGTTTCACCGCCGAGTGGGGATTTATGATAGTTTGGACCATGTGACGAAGGATACCCCTACCGTGGACAAGCATGAACAGCATGGCGTCCCCATGACGTCAGCAACTTTAGCTGGCGTTGGGACCTCCAGAACTTTGCCGTGTGCATCATGCTAGATTATGTAGGATCCTGGTCAAGGTTAGGTTACACATGCGTATGCATATCTTAAAATCGTGGAGAAGTTAAGTATTTCTTATTGATTTCAGACCGAAAAGGTTGGGCCTTTCTATTGAACACCTTACACTAAATATCTCCTAATTTTCCCGAGGGCTTATGAAAAATGTCATATGATACCGAAAAGATTGAAGTTTTAATATTTTAAGCCCAGCTAACAGGATCCACTAGTTATCACCCCAGCCCCACTGACACCTCCACTGCCTTCCTCGATCCTTGGGTCAATCCTAGACGAGATATATATATATATATATTTATGGTCAAATATCAACGATACTAATCCACCAGCTCATTGTGTTGCCGTCATTTCGTCTTGTATCCCGCCGGCGTCGTCAACCCCAGCGCTCGCCGCGGGCATATGCCCCTGATCGACGAGGCGACACGATACGAGACCGAAGGGTATGCTGCCTGGCTCAACAGGAGGTGATTCCTAGGCCGTCGTCGACAATGGACACGATACGTGGACCCATCGTGCCGCCTTCTCTCTTCCCTGGCGGCATGGGGGAAGGAAGCGAGGGTGTCAACATGGCCGTCACAGCATCAAAGAGGCCCAAAAATACAAATTTTCCTGAGAACTAGCTTCTCCTATTCGATCCCACTTCGTCCGACACCGATGTAGACTCCTCTCCTACGTCGGTATATCTGATATTCTGTCCCAAGATCCGACGATATACGACTTAAAGACATGCATTATAATTACGACTGGACCACCCCACCAAGGCCTCTACATCGTCATGTCTGCCGTCTTCCTTGTACAGAGGAGTTTAAAGAATAAGGCGTCTGTTAAGACAGTCGAAACAATAGGAAATTAGTCCCAGGCGAGACATGAGATAGGACTAGGACGACGACGGCCAGGACGAAGACGGCGGAGACTCAAGGTTTCTGATAGGTTGCATACCCTTAGCTCGCAACCCCACCTTCGGGCACACGGAGTAGATCGATTTATGATAACCGTCGGGGGGGATGGTGGACGTCATGATTGACCTCAAATCTCAGTGTTGGGAACTTTTGTATCAAGTGGAAAGAAAATTGGGGGAGAGGGGATATCCACATGGTTAGCCCCATATCGGGCATTGTTGCCCTACTCGCCGTGCCCAGTGAGCTCCTCGATAGGGTGTTCTCAGTAAGGAAAGAATATAGAAATGCATTCGCTCCCCCTCGGTTTTTCCGAGGGATTACCCGTAGATTCCGTGGGAGACAATGTTTGACTTTGACTTTAACACCAAGGCTTAGCAAGGGCAAATCTGGTAAGAGGCCATGATAATTCCGATAGAAATGGCGTGTCATGCTTTCATTTAGTTCAACGATTCTATTTATTTCTAAAATAACGTAGAGAAGCTGAGAATAGTACGTGAACCCACTAGAGGATTATTTAGTATTATATTTTCGCAACTTCTAGAATTATGCACAAAAAGAAGTAAATAAAAACCATATGCAAAACTTAGAATGCATGTAGATGGCTTCGATGAATATAATCTTAGAAAAAACAGATTGGGTATCTAAATAAATTAATGAAATAACCGTGCAGATGAAAATAGAATAATTGATATCAAATAAGCTGAGGTCATTGAAAATATTGAACAAGTATTTCGAAGTTTAACTTCACATAGTTTATCAAATGCTCCTCACCGTGAGGATCCAATTCATCTACCTCTCACTTGTGATCAGAAAGACAGAAATACTTCATTTTCAGTATAAATATTCAGAAAATATTGTTTAATATCCAAAACGTGAATTTCATATTTTCAGTCATTGGCGAGTTATCGAGTGAGCATAGAAATATCCTTAGCATGCAGATCAAGTATGAGAATTACACAAGAAAAAACTGACAAATATCTTGAAGTGGCTGCTACCCAAAAGACTATCTATTCTATGTCACTATCAAAATGTCAACGGTCTCCCGTGGGCATCGAGTATACCTTGTGAGCACCTTATTCCTTGCCCCGCAACACGACACATCATCGTCTCCTTAGCTTTCTTGCCGTCATAGCAAGAATTGATTATTCACTTGATCAATGATTGAAGTTAGAGGTTACGTGTAAGGTCTATTATAAGTGGATCCACTAAGATGAATCCAACCTATACACTATTCGATTGTGTAAATAGGTATCCATCCTTTTAAAAAAAAAAAAAAAATTAAGCATTTTTCCTTTCTGTCTTTCTCGCCTAACCCTAGAGCTCAACGGCTCTCTCTCAGACAACAGGGGACGACAGCAAGGCTTGAAGCAGTCAAGGAACTTCGACATGGTATCAAAGCAGGTCAACTGTGGTCGTTCCAAGTTATCTTGACTAATAGAACGTTCGCTTGGATTTTATTCTTTCAATTTGTTGTGGAATACGTGTCCTAAATTTTGGCTGCCTTGGTGAGAGCCTATCATGTCCTACGCTCTTCTATACAATCATTTTCTAACTGTTTATTGAGTATATTCATTGGCCAATGCCCTATTTACCTCTCCTCTCATTCTTCGAGTAGGGAGAACAGTTTGTATCGTCTTGGGTAGAAGTTGTTCCTACTATTTCTCTATTTTGTCTTGTACCTCTGTATAGAAGCCGAGAGCGTAACTTTTGCTGGTTGAAGAAAAAAAATATTACGTCAGAAGTGATCGAAATATTTTCGATTTCTGCATAATATACTCGAGCTCTAAGCTATAACTAGAGCTGCCAAATGTACTTAATGAATTCAAACTCAAGGGGAGGAATCTCCTCGAGTGGAGTGAGTTCATTGAAATAGTTTTAACAAGAACAGAGAAATCAGAACATGGTCTTGAACCAGGACTTGACCAAACAGATCAATGGTTCAAGCTATGGAAAGAAGAGGACGCGATTATAAAGCTAAGTAAGATCAACGCTGAGTACCTTCCGATAGGCCTCTCAAATTTTGTCAACCTTCTTGGGGTCCCTCTTGCGCGCCTTCTGCTGGGCCTCCGCGGCAGCGCGCCTTCGACCCGTTTCCCCCACATGAAAGCATTACAAAGTGACAGTAAAGAAGTTCAGTGAGCGCTGGACGTGTTCTCTCACCCCGCCTGAGCTAATTTAGTACACCTCTTCCTCGTCCTCCCCACGCTCACCTCCCCCTCAACCTCTTCTTCGGGGACCTTCCATCGACCCAGCTTGGCCCTTGTAGCCATGCAGCAATGTGCGCCATTGCCATTGCCATTGCCACGTCCGCCTCTCTATCGCATCATCTCTTCCGACAGTCTATGGAGGTGTGACGTTCAACGGTGTGCCCTTGGCTGCCCGCGACCTGTCCCGGACAGGCGACTTGCGCGCTTCGCCATTCAGTTACCTTTCTGTCACTTGCAATCACCCCTTGACTGTGGCACGCATTAGAGCTTTGATGAAAAACTGAAACGCAGGAGACCTCGATATTTCCCGATTTCCCAGGAGGCATTTGGAGTTATTACCGCAGAAAATAATAATGTCTGCTGCTCTGATGGGAAAAAGGGTGCCAGCGGGAGTGGTACCGTCGCATTAACGGCGGGAGGAGTCACAGAAGATAAGTTCGACGGTTCCCGTTAATGTCGTCCAGATTGATCTACCCTGCTCCCAAGCTGGTTCTGCTGGCTCTGTTACATCAAAATAAAATTATCACAGTTTATAGACTCATTGATTCTTGAGGCCACGCACTATTCGTGGGAGAATTCTGGGTCCGTTTCAGCAACTTATCATTCTCCCTTCAGAAGATTTATTTCACAGTTCAGGCTAAGCAGGAGGTGACCCCCAAAGGGACACCTACCCGTCGACCCATCGTGTCGCGTAATCTCCTCTGTCGGCTTGGGCGAAGGAAGCGAGTGTGAAAGCGAGGCCATCGGAGGTTCGGGAGGAGGGAAACGAATCGACCTCCGGCATTGTCACAAAGATCCGCAAGGAAATGAAGATATAGAAATTAAATTTTTGTTGAGGTTTTGCTTCTCCTATACGATCATACTTCTTCCGACACCGATTAGACTCCGTTCCTACATCAGTAAATCTATTTTTCTGTCTGAAGATCCGACGATATGCGACTTAAAAGACATGCATCATAACTGTGATTGCACCACCACACCAAGGCCTATCCATCACCACATCCGCCGTCTTCGTTGAAGCAGGAGTCGAGAGAATCAGGCGTCCGTTACGACAGTCAGAATAATCGGAAACTAGTCCATGCCGAGGCAAGTATTAGGATTAGGACGACGATGGTCAGGACGCAGATGGCAGAGACTGTTACGGCTTCTGACAGGTTACTCCCACATGAAATCTCTTAGTCTGTTTTGGGAACGGAGTCTCCTTGCCTGTTTCTTCCCCGAAACTCCTCCGTCCCTTATATTTAATGTCCTTGGGCTTCTTCGACTAGACATTTGTCCTCAGATATAAGTAGCTGAAAGTTCACAGGATTCCGTGTGGCACAATCTGACTTTGACAGTCGTAGTTTCAGAAAACGGATAATCTGATTAGGGGCTATGAAAACTCAAATAGAAACGGCGCCATCATGGCATTTCGTTCAACAATCCTATTTATTTACGAAATAACGTAACGGAGATGCAGAGAACTGGGATGATGAACCCACCAGAGGAACATTTAGCAGGTATCTTTCTTTGCAACTTTCCATATGATGACATAACAGAAGTAAAAGGAAAACCATAGACGAGATCTAGAACGTATGTCGATGGCTTCAATGAATATAATCCAAGCAAAAACATTCTAGGTCTCTAAATAAATCAATGAAATAACCTTGGAGGTGAGAGTAATTGATATCAAATAAGCTGAGATCATTGAAAAGTGAACGAGTATTTCTAAGTTTAATCTCCTATGGTTTATCCGATGTTCCTCACGCGGAGAATCCACTGCATCCATCTCTCGCTTGTGATCAGAAATACTTATTTTTCACATTTTCATTGGTTAGCTAGTTATCAAGTGAGCTTAGCTGTATCCTTCAGCGTGAAGATCAAATATGACCATTAAACAAACAAAAACTGACAAAGAATGGTTTAGCCAGTATCCTTTACTATGGATCGGTAAAGGCTTCCCTATGTCATGAACTGAGAGTCTTGAAACACATTGTTCGCATTTTATAATAAGCAACTTTATTTATCTTATGATGTGATGTATTATTTTTGAATCTTTGATACTTATTCCAGAAATTATGCAATTTGCACATTTTCTACTGACGTTTCACTTCTTAGGAATAATGATAAATTTGTAGACAAGGATTTATGATAAATATAAAACAATTTCAATAAAGCAGCCCACTTATCTAAGAAAAACATTTTTTGTAACCTAGGGACATTCAATCAGAATACGGATGGGCTTTCTAGCAGATTATGCATAATGACTACAAGTGCTTGGTGAGATCTTTCTCAGTCTTTCATTTTGATTTCCTTTCACTAAATAAGACTGGAAATAGAGAATAAGAGAATAGAGATTATGACTTGGACAGAAGATAAGAGTAGAGAATAAACAAGGATAGATAAAAAGACTCTGAAGGAGGGGTATGTTTCGGGAAGGTTCTTGCTCATCTTTAGACTGGCCTCTATGTTCCAGAGCAGCTCAATGTCATGGTGGTGAATAATCAATGGTTCCATCATCATCTTCAAAACCTATCATCAATTGTCACCACCGCATCCAACTCCACTACCACCATTATCACTCACACTACCACCTTCAATGTCTATGCTGCCACTAATTTCATCGCCGTCTTGGCCACAAGTTGCAACACAGACAAATATGAAGAACACTATGAAGCAGAATATGATGATAGTAGGGACAAAAATCGTATCCATCTTTATGTTCACCTATAGGAATAAATATGCAAATATAGAAGAGAAATCACTAAGCTATTAAGAATTATGATGAGAACAAAACTACCACCATACACCTCTAATTCATGTATCAATGCCCTCCAGACGACTCACACATTAGGGTGTCAATAATAGACTCTTATCTCCTTCTATAAAAACTTCACTTGTAATAGAAGAAAGAAGAGATACTAAGAAAAAAGAAGATAGCTGATGGAGAGAGATAATAGAAAGAAGAGAGAGAGAGAGAGAGAGAAATCTCTCATTGTCCATCGTACTCAAAAAAAGAGAAATATATGCCCCTATTTATAGAAAAAAAAGATAAATGCCCCTTAAAATAAGACATTTCGATCTACATGTGAAGAGCCACCTCCTGTCTCAACATTCAAAAGATGTGCAAGAGAGCCTCTCCTATCTTACTCACTTGGGAGATGTCTGAGGAGTGAGGAATGATGATGCGGTTTTCACCTCATCTTGTTTGACCTAGTTGGGGGTCATGTAGGGAGAGAAAAATAGTTGTCACCTCATCCCTTTTGACCTGTTTAGGGGTCGTGTAGGGAGAGAGAGAGCAAGAAACGAGGGAGATTGAAGCCATCACTTTTGAGATGTTGATAAATCCAAAAATCATGATGAATTATGTTGTTGTTTTTCTTTTAAAATTTATGCGATAATACTTATAATTCAACTTAATCACTCAATATAGGTAGAGTGTAAGTAAGGGGTAGAATCCACAAGGAGGAATGATAGAAATCTGAATTCAAGTTTTTCATGAAGAGAAAGGAAATTCAAATAGAAGAAAGGGGAAAATAGCTGAGAAGATAAAGAAGAAATGGAAAGATGATCTTGAAGATCTTGATCTTATTTCCAAGATCAGAATTTTCTAGATCAGGGGAGATATGAAAATATGATATGAGGATTGATGAACCACAAAATAAGTATGAGAAAAAGAAGTCTTAAACTAATTTTTATGATATTACAAATGATAGTTGTGATCAAATCCAATCAATGATGCTTATTCAAACAATCATTCAATCAAGGACTTGTATACTTTGCCCAGGCCATAGCGGTTTGTAACCAGAAAGATGAATGAAAAGAGAAAGGAAAGAATTCACTAAATCAGAAGTTTGAACACAAGATTGATCTCTGGTAACCCTCTTTCCTATTGGCCAACCAAATGCTGGGGGCAAGACTAAAAGATTTGTTTCTAAGTTTGCAGCCCTGTTATCATAAGGGTTAGGACATGGATGGAAAGAGGAGATAATGATGAAGCAGCCCACAAAATTTCAGCCCTGAACTCCTTTTGGTTCGTCAAATATCATGATTTAAACTTGGGTTAATCTGAGTCGTTGATCTTTTTCTCTCTCCTCCATGTTGCCGCCAAGTTCATTTAGGGTTCCACATTTTTTTAATCCTTGTAAGCTTCAGTGAATGGCCATGATTAGGCATAAATTTTCCACTTTACTTGCCTCATTAATCCCCTAACATGTGTCCACTGAATGAGGTTCCACCATGTGTATAGGCATCAGCTCGCATTCATTATAGTTTTAATCATCAAATTTTTTCTTCTCACCACGTGTCCTTGCACACTTGAAAATAAGAACATTAGTCCTATGCATGGCTTCATTGTGATGCAATGCACCTTCATAATGATTGGATCAGCCAATCATTGACAAAAATGAGTAAACACGATTGAAACAACATATTGAGATGACATTAAATCTCGATAAAAGCTATTTAAAACCATAAGAGCCTATAAATAAATCTGAGAAAATATATTTTGACTTGTAAATTAATTTTTTTAAGAATCCAATATCAGAAAATTCTACAAAAAAGACTAAAAAAGTATAGAAAAATTATATCATTAATCTTAAAAAATAGAATGAATCATTTTAAGATGTGATAATATGCATAGATTATCATTTAAATGTAAATATAAATGTGAAGTTTATAATATTAATATAATAATTAGTATGTTATCAAATGTGTGGGCTCACTTGCATGTAGATCGAGATGTCTCCTTTTAGGGGGTGTTATCTTTTATTATTTTCTATAAATAAGGCATGTATTTCTCCTTTTTTAGTATGATAGACTATGAGAGATTTCTCTCTCTCTCTCTTCATTTTATTCTCTCTCTCCATCAAATCTCTTCTTCTTTCTTGATATCTCTTCTCTTTTCTATTATAGGTGAAGTCCTTATAAAAAAAGATAAGAGTCTATTGATAACTCTCTAATGTGTCGGTTGTCTAGAAGGTATTGAAACATGAATTAGAGGTTTATACTAGAAGTTTTGTTCTCATTAAGATTCTTGATAGCTTGATGATTTCTCTTCTACTTATTTTTATTGATATTCATAACTTTAGTTTCTACTATTATTTGTGATTTTGTACTTGCATATTTATTCTTACAAGTGATATTAGAGTATTGATTTGATTATTAATGAATTTACTATGACTTCTAAGGTGCACACTAACATTTAGAAGTTACATAAGTCTTCTAAATTTAATCTCTAAAAGTATCATATTTATGATATGTTGTTCTAAAATGACTTGTATATAATTTTGGATGGACCAAAATAGACAAGATCAATACTAATGGTTGAGAAATAATAAAAAAGGAGGCTGAAGGTTTATTTGTATATGTTTGTTTGATTGTGCTCTTCAACAAGTCATGAATAAATATAATTCAAAGAAACTCTAAAAGAAGTTGAAGAACCAATGTGCATTAAATTTGATGATAAATAAATTGACATTGAAGAGAAAATTATCTAAATTACCCATGTTAAATAGAGATGATTTGACATCTTATTAATTATTTTAATCAATCAATAAATTACTTGTTTCATATAAAATATAATTTTTCTTATGAGAATTTTTTTTTGTTCTACTTGATTCACTTCTTAATTCATATGATCATCTCATTATAACCTTGTTGCATGGTAGTACAACACATGTTCTTGAAGATACTATTGACTCATTGATGAAATATTATCATGAGAAGAAAGATGTTGATGAGCCTTGTGGTGAAGGTTTATATTTGAAGGGTGAAAAAGAACGTGAAAGGTAGAAGGAGAAGGGATCATTAGGAGACAAGAAAAGTCAGTTCAAGTTCTAAAAAATTAGTTGAAAGACTAAACTTGTCATAAGTGTTATGAGAAGAAACACTTGTGAAGAAATTGTTTAAGGAATAAGAGTGATAAAATAGCAAGAGGTGAACCTAATTTGGCAAATGTTGCAAAGGTTGAGAACAAAGAAGATGGTGGAATCTTATTTTGGTCTTGTTGTTATTGAGTAGTTGTCAAACATATGGATTCTTACTATTGACTAATTTGACTCATACAAGAGTACAATAATAGTTGTTTTCATAAAAAACAACATAGCTTGCTAACTTGCATTAGTTTGGTGAAGGTTTGAATGTTTAACGGAGTGGTTTGAGAGTTAAGAAATATTTCTCATGTTTTAATATTGTACTAGAATTTAATTTCACTTTGAGTATTGAAAGTTAATAAATGTTACTTAAAAAGAGAGAATGAAATCCTCAAGATTATCAAGAGATTATTCATTATGATGAAGAAAAGACATCAATGAATAAATATTTATAAACTTAGAAAAATACTGATGTAGGTAGAGTTTGTGTTGTGACACCAAATGATTTAATGATTGATGATACTCTTTTATAACACGTGATTGAGCCATATGAGTGAGACATATAAAGAATAATTATATATATGAGGATTGCTAACTAATGTGAAAACTTACAAATTAGATTATTATAAGTACTGTATCATGAGAAAATAATACATGGTAATAATTTAAGGCAATGAAACATGATATAGATGGTGTGTTAAATTATATTCATTCAAATGTGTATGATTTAGTTGATGTGATGTCGATGGATAATACTTGTTATTTTTTTACTTTTATTGATAATTTTTCTAGAAAAATATTTTGAAAGTATAAAATTAGAAGTATTTATGAAGTTCAAGACTTGGTGTGTAAAGATAGAGAATGAGATGGAGAAGAAAATAAAAATCTTGTGAACTAACAATGATATAGAATTTAAAAATTCTGAATTTGATTAGTTTTATGGTGAACATGATATTCAATATTATTATACAATGAAAAATATTCCATAATAGAACACTATTACTGAGTGAATGAACTATATAATTGTTGAGAGAGCATAGTGCTTATGGTTGAATGTCTACTTGTTCAAAGAGTTTTGAGTAGAAGTTGTGAGTATGATATTCAGTGAATAAATCATTAAATTTTGCTCTTAACAGGAAGATTATTGAAGAAGTATGAACTAAAAATCATGTTGACTATTTAAATTTATGTATATTTAAATGTCCAAGATATGTCCTAACACTTACTAATGAGAAAATCAAAACTAGATCTAAAGTCTAGAAAATATATCTTCTTGGGTACAATACTAGTGTGAAAAGATATTGACTTTATGATTGAAAAAGAAAAATATTATTTTAATAGAGATATAGTCTTTGATGAAAATCATATATTGAAGTTCTTTTCTATAGAACACAAGATTCAAAAATCTAATAATACTTGTGTTGAAGATAGAGTAAGATTAAAGGTAAAAATTGTGTAGAGTCTTCTTAGTTTTATTATAAATGAAGATCGAGTGATATAATTATCAAATATTCTTGATTATATTATTGTTAGATGAGGTAAGCATAAAGTAAAGCCTCTTACTCATCTTGATAATTATATTATCTTTAAATTATTTATAAGAGATGATGTGCTAATAATTTTTTGAGAGGTAATTAGTTGTTTAAAAAAAGAGAAATGACTACAGGCCATGTCTAAAGAATGAGCATCTTTAGACAAGAATCACACTTAAAAATTAGTAGATCTTCTTACAAGAAAGTGAGCTATTAAGTGTAATTGAGTGTACAAAAAGAAGTTGTCAATAATTGATGATGATTAATCATAATACAAGACAAGACTTGTTGTAAAATATTTTACATAGAAGTAGAGAATTAATTATATAAAGATCTTTTCACCTATTGTGAAGTACACATCTATTTAACTTGGTGCTTGAATTAAAGTCTTTCTATATTGTGACAATTAAAGTGATATTTGCTTGGCAAAGAATCAAGTCTATTATGTATGGTCGAAATATATTGATTTGCAGTATCACAAGATTTATGAATTTGATAAATTTTAGAGATATCTCTTTAGAGAAAGTTCACATAGAAAAGAATATTATGAATATATTAACAAAAGTTGTCATAGTAGAGAAGTTCAAATATTATGTAAATTTGATTCATATTGTAGGTACTTTATAGAAGGTGAAGAACATACAATATAAATGAACATCAACATCGGGTACAATGATGATGGCTGTCAAGATAGAATTTGGTGGGGTGAGTAATCATTATGAGTTCTGGACCTGACCCAAAAGCCATAGATCTTGTATTGAGTAATCATTATGAGTCACTATTAAAGGTCAACTATCTCTTGTGGACATTGAGCATACTATGTGAGAACCTCATCCTTGGTCATACCCAACATGTCATTGTCTACTTATAAGTATTTTTGCGAGTGGATTATTGTTTCTTTGAATCAATGAATGAAACCATGTCACCATACATAGTCAGCCAACTTCCACCAGCATATAGTGGGCTATATTTGACATTTGGTAGAAAGACAATGGATGCATGTACGCATCGGCAGTCTCCCCTTGATATGCCTAAAGTAATGCCTCTTGTGGGCTGATGTCAACGATTGATCAATCTTCTTTCTTTGGGGAAAAACACCCGAAATATCAAATAAAAATGGGTCGTGTTTAACTTTTTATTTTTCAACAATCGTCAAAAATAGATATCAAATGCCAGGGCTCTTATGCTTCGGTAACTAGAGATTGACAACTACACAGGAATTAAACTCTAATCACCACAACATTATGTTTGCGCAAAAAATGTAATTTTTTCCCAATGTCGGGCCCTGTGCTCAGCCACGACAGTGCATACCACAATGGAACCTTAGCGGCTCCCACCGCCCTACACATCCACATCACAGTCAACAGGACGGCAAGAACGATCTCAATCAAGCCCAGCGCTGGACCTAGTCAAAAAGGTCACCCACACCAGACATAATAGGTATCCTATAACGTCAGCGGCTTGGGTTGGCAATCCCTCGGGAATTTCCCCTGGTATCTTAGTCTTCTGTCATCATCTTCTTTTGGCCCTCTCTCCGTCCCTCTCTCTCTTGCTCGCCCTCCCTCTCTCCCTCTCCTCTCTCTCTCTCCCCCCCTCTCTCTCTCTCTCTTTCTCCCCCTTTCTCTCTCCCTCTCTCTCCCTTTTCTCTCCCCGTCCCTCTCGCTGTCTTGCTCGCCCTCCCTCTCTCCCTCCTCTCTCTCTCTCTCTCTCACTTACCATTTTGGGCTTTCTTGTGAAACATCTTACTTTACAGGGAAACTAAGTAAAGATCTCCAAGTTTCCCAATGGTTTATTGGGGTTGTCATTTGGTGACCGAAACGTTTAAAACCTCGTTATATTTGAACGTGGATAAGCAGATCTATTGGTGATTTAAACTAGAGTAACCGTCATCTATAACATTTTTCTGGCTTCTCATTGGCCAGCCCAATGATAGGTGTTTCGTCTTTCTTGTTGACACTTAACAGAATAAACCGATATATAGAGGCAATATCCCCCGCTTTCCCAAAGGTTGGTTACTTCGTGCCCGGAACTACCAGTTAGTCTCACGAGACATCTTCAGAGCAGAAAGTTATCTACATTCCACTTTAAGTCACCGAGTAGTTGGACAAGTTTCAATGTATTTAGTCATAAGATTCCACTTTAAGTCTGCGAGTAAGATCTTTCCTTGAATAGAAACCTCAGTTATTCGAGTTACGAGTCTCTCTTTCCTAAACGCCTCTATTCATATGAGGAGATTAACTCATGCGATACATCACGATGCTTGACCCGCCATTTTGTCCAATCTACGCGCGCTCTTCATGTTCCGGACGAAACTACATGATCTTGCTTCACCAAAAGTCCCATTAAAGTCAGTAATCGTAAGACGGATCTCAATCAAACGTTCAATCATAATTCCACCACCATAAAAATACATTCTGAGTGCAGACACTCAGAATATCAACAAGCGCCAGGTGTGCTCATCATTGTGATGGCCTCGTCCAGCTGAACCTTCAACAGCCCCCCCCACCCCCGCCGCCCCCGCCCCCGCCCCCGCCCCCGCCCCCACCCCCGCCGCCGCCACCCCCGTCGCCGCCGCCGCCGCCGCCGCCGCCACAGCCCCCGCCCCCCCCGAAGTCAAAGCCGCCACCCCCGCCGAAGCCAAAACCGCCGCCCCCGCCGACGCCACCGGAGCCACCGCCACCACCTCCGGCTATGCCAGCGTCCACACCACAGGCTGTGGCACAGGACCTGATAAGTCCCACAACTATCCCGATGGCGATAAAGACGGCAACGACGATCCAAACTATTATAGGCGCATCCATTAATCTTCGCTGTCCCCCTGCCCCGCTCAGGACCCTGTCAGATGAGGGTAACCCTCGAAGGACACACCTATATATAGATCTCATGGGTTTCCCTTGACGTTAGCGGCTTGCGTTCACGATTCCGTCTCAAGAAATTTCCCGCCGCTTTCGGTCGAAAATCATCTTCCTCCGGCAACACGCTACGTGTTGACTAACATGACGTGTCTCCGACGTAGACCCCGTCTTCTTTGTGTCAAGCTATTTTTAATAACAAAATTATTCAATCATCTACAGAAGAAAACATCAAGACCGAATTATCTACCCCAAACAATTTATTTCCAGATTCTTCAAGTCATGCTTTTAATTGTACAAGACCCCAGTTTCCTCTGAAGAAGCCTCAGCAAGCAATTATAAATATAATGTGTCTTAAATAATAATTAATTCAAATGTGGAGTACTTAATCTCACTTAAGCTATTTTATTTGATTTATTCAGCAAAACTTTGGGAATCAAGTTCGTGCACAGTGTCGGACCCACGCTCATCCATTCATTTTTCACAAACAACCTTTCCCTACTGTTCCTTGTTGTCGTACCCTCCTTGCCGATAGCAAAGTTGCATAAATAGATGAGCAGAAATTTTACCGGTACGCCCTCGAGGCTTCCGCAGAACATGAGGTGTCTCGGATACTTTTCCTATTTGAAAAGTTTAATGGTACAAAAGGATTTTTACAGATATGCAAGGATATTGGAGCGAGAGTAGTGAGCCTGCTGTTATCCAGGGATGTCTTATCGGCTTCCTCGAGCTGTTTCCCCCTCATGAAAGTGGTACGAACCAACAGGGGAGAAGCTCAGTGAGCGTGGTGGCGTCCTCTCTCATCCCGCGGGAGCTAATGGAGATGTACGCCCCTCCGTCCTCCACGCTCACGCTCACCTTCACCTCCTCCTCTTCCTCCTCTTCCTCGGCCTCCTTCCGTCGCCCCAGCTTGCCCTGCGTAGCCAGGCACCGCTGCTCTCATCCAGCCAGCTCCGCCGCCGCCGTTGGCACGTCCGCCTCTCTATCGCACCATCTCTCTTCCGCCAGTCTATGGAGGTGCGCCGCCCAACGGCGTGGCCTTGTCTGCCCGCGAGCAGCACCAGACAGGCGACTTGCCCGCTTCGCCATTCAGGTACCTTTTAGTCACCTGCGATCACCCCTTCACCGTGGCAGGCAGTGGAGCTGTGATGAGCATTTCGAGTGATACCGTAGAAAATAATAATTTATGCTGCTCTTATGCAAAAAAGGGTGTCAGCGGCCGTGATACCTGTCGCATTAACGATGGGAGGAGTCAGGGAAGAGAAGCTCCACAGATGTCGTCAATGACGCCAAAATTGATCTACCGTGCTTACAGTGACTACCAAAGTGCTTCTCCCCGAGGATGATCTTGTTTACCGCAGGATCATAAATTCATTGTCAGACTTTTATCAATCTGACTGGGGAGCCAATTTAGATATAAACTCATGGTTATGATTTTACGTTGAGGATAAACATAATTTAGGATAATTCAAGATGAATGCCTGAAAGATACTAATGTTAGTCTATTGACGCTCCAATGTATCATGTCATTCAAGAATCAGCACATGAGTACGTGAGGCAATGCTGCTTGAACTTACGTGGCAGTTTCTTCGGGAAAAGCTATTGTGCGTGTATGCTGCGTGCATACATACATACATACATACATACATACATACATACATAAAATTTGGAGGGTGACTAATGTTAGGAAAAAGTGGCTGAGAACGTGCTAGCTATATGTGAAGAAACCAGGAATCATGGTCCTTGTCTTTGATTAGGATATATCTTCCTTCTGATTAGTTGCTGGAAAAGAATGTAGCAATAATTAATATTTATACGAAGGAGAAACGTTGAAGAAAAATATGTATAAAAATCAGACGTCATTCACTTGTTGTTTTTCTTTCTGAAGAGCAATGGTGATGTAAATGGGCTGAGCCATAGCTTAAAATAAACTAGATGGGTCATGGAATCGTGAGGAGTTTTTGGTGACTGATAGTGTACCGTCTCTATTATCTATCCCCTTATGCCCTTGACTTTTCAGCAAGACCGAGGTTCCTGAGGTTTAAAACTTTTGAAGTTGAATTCGCATGAACTATTACCAGTATAGTTTGTGCAGAGTTTTAGATCGGTTGTAGCCAAGGTTCACCCAAGACTCAATCTCAGTACTAGAAACGATATCATCATCGCTGCTTACATAATGGCTTGCAATAATTCATGAAAAGGCGAGAGCAGTACTATCATAACTTTTCCATTATCATACAGCAGCTGGAAAATTTTGTCACACAACTTCTGCATGGGTTTTAATGAGCCATTATTATGCTACACTTGAGAAGTTAAATGACACTTTAGATCCATCTTTACTTATCTAAGGACGGAGTATATTTTTGCAGTAAAACTCCTGCAATTCGTTCTTGAAACATTTTCTAGGCGTAAATACTGTAAAAAAAAATTATTATGGGAAGGAATATAGGCCTTATTTTAATTTCTGCGCCACAATCGGGTGGTTTGTACTAAAAAATGATTCACATTTTTTAGGCTTCATATTTTTTTCTTCATCTGCTATTGCTTTTTTTTTTAAGCCTCAATCATTGTTCTGCAAATCTTTGTCTCTTCAATCATGCTTCTTCCGTGGACATCCCAGGCCTGCTCCCAAGCTGGTGCTGCTGGTGCTGCTGGTACTGATCCTCCAAAAGGAAACTTTTCAAAGTTTTTGGAACCCGTTTGGAGATTCTTGAGACCTCACACTATTCGTGGTACAGCTCTGGGTTCCTTGTGAGTTTCTTATATCATTCTCCCTTTAGAAGCTGTATTTCACGGTCCTTCATGCATTTATAGCCTACTTGATGACGAGGCCAGAGTACAATTTTCTCCATTTTACCTTCATTGTTTATTTCCTTTATTGGCAGGGCTTTGGTTTCACGAGCTTTGATAGAGAACAAAGATTTGATAAATTGGTGGCTGGTATTCAAGGCATTTTATGGTCTCATAGCACTTATATGTGGGAATGGATATATTGTCGGGATCAATCAGATATATGATATCGGAATTGACAAGTAAGCTCAAGTCTAACAACTGTATGACTCATTTCATATTTCTTTCTGACTTTTCATCTAATTTAGTTTCTAGGTGAGTTTTTGGGTCGCTGATGTTTGAGTCTTGGTTATCATTCTGGGAAGTTGGCATAGGAAATCTTACCATTATTGTGATTTTTTAGTATTAACCTTTATCAGTTTATCTGCAGAGTCAACAAGCCCTACTTACCTATTGCTGCAGGGGATCTCTCAGTTGACTCGGCATGGCTGCTGGTGTTATCTTTTGCAGCTGCTGGGCTTTTGATTGTTGTCTTAAACTTTGGACCGTTCATCTCTTCTCTTTATTGCCTAGGGCTCTTTCTTGGCACCATTTATTCTGTGCCTCCTTTTCGATTAAAGAAGTATCCAGTTGCAGCATTCCTTATCATTGCCACGGTTTGTTAGTTGTCTCTTTTATTCCAATTAAAGGTTATCTTTCACAGTCATTTATAAATATATATTTATATATATATAATCATTTATATTTTCATGATGACCGTAATGGATATGTATTCATTTATCACCTTGTGTGAAACAGTAATGTTGGATTATCTTTTTGAGCTATTGGGTCATATCTATCTGTGAGATACTAATAGGTGCATCGGTTCTGTTACTTTGAAATGAATTAAATTTATCCATTTTTCATGTGTGAGCCTAGGAAAGAGTTTCAGAAGAGGGTATATGGAATAAAAGAGAGACATATTCATCTAACGTGACCCTTACATTTCTAAATAGTTTACGTGTATGAGTCCCAGAAAACTGTTTCAGAAGTTTTACGGGTGAGATATATTGAATCAAGCTTTTTTTTTATCCTGCATCAGTGATGTCGAGTTATTAATAAATCGATGTAGTTTTCTTATCCCAGGTGACCAGTCATAATGATCTTGTATTTTATATGACAGCAAGTTCCGAGCTGAACACCAAACACAAATCATGCTTGTGCGTAAAATGGTTAAAGACGAGTAGAGAAGATATACGATTTAGTGAACTAACCATTATGTTATCTTTTCCGACCGACCATCTGGTTCTTTAGTTTTGTTGCGAGTTTGACTCAGCCGGATTACTTTGTGCTAGATTTTCAGATTATTCAAAATATTTGGTGGGGCTAGCTTAGGTGGTGTTCAAACGTTCCTCCCAAGCCTTATTGTCATTTCAACTACTCAGCATAAGAGTTTTTATATCATACTTGGATATGTCCTTGTTACGTGCTTTGATACTCTCTTCATTAAACTGACATTTTCAGGTACGAGGATTTCTACTTAATTTTGGTGTGTATTATGCCACCAGAGCTGCACTGGGTCTTACCTTTGAGTGGAGGTGAGAAGATAATATCAATCAAATATAATGGGATTCTAGTTTAGTGGTATCCATCCACATGATGGTGTCAATAGATATTAGCCACCCTGTGATAAAAGATCTTTGTTTGCTATTATCACAATAAAACACAAATTCATTGTTAGAGATACGGAACTGAGTGCAGGCTTCGTAGTGATGTCGGTATCTGATGCCAATTAAACCTTTTTCTACTCTATATATTCTCATCACTTTCTTTGTTTTGAAATACGAGACCAACATCCTTTAGGAAGTTTCTCGTGCTTCATTATGAACCTGGCGTTAATTTCTAATACGAGAGTGGCATTTCCTGCATGCAGTTCCCCAGTTGCTTTCATCACGGCCTTTGTGACAGTCTTTGCTCTGGTCATTGCAATAACCAAAGATCTTCCAGATGTTGAAGGAGACCGGAAGTGAGTGGCACCAAAGAATGTCCTATGTTTGTTGAACTTTGTCCCGATCTCTTTTTTATTTGTATTTATACGCCTGTGTTTTTGTATGTAAATAACTACTGAAAATGACGCCCTTCACAAGATTCAAACTAAATCTCAGTTAATGGTGTAGGCACATCTGTATAACCGCATGTTTTTTATTCCCTACTTAGTAATATTTTTATGTGATTGCTGTATGGAAGCCATCTTTTGGGCTTGGTCACATGGACAATAGAAATTTGGTACGAAATTCTGAGAACTGCCGTTGGCTTGAAAGTCATGTCATGTTGAAGTATTCAACCAATTGAATTCAAAACTAATGAGTTATGGATATAGCAATGCCGTTGGCAAACCATGATGTCATACTATGATAACAGAAGGGTAAAAAATTAATAATTTGAAATAGGACACAGATTGGCTCTAGGCTTTTTCTGATTCATACTAATGCTGGCCTTCATTGGACAGAAGAAAAACCTTAAGGTACGTTTACATCGCATTGATAGATATACGTCTGAAATGATTTAGCTAAGTTTATATTCAAATGGGCTCGTACTATTGTCAGCCATAAGACACCTCTGCTTAGGGAATATTGACAATCTACATGGTGGGTTACATTCATCATACTAGATGTCCCAGCACTTTTGAGAATCAAAGTGGGACCAGATTAGGTGAATTGACTGATTTCTGGTTTGTCATGGACTGAATCTCGAATTAACTTTTTTAAAATGTTAACAATAAAATTTTGAAAAAAAAAATTCAAAGTATTAGAAGAAAACCTTATACTTTCTGGAAAATGTGAAAAAATGTGCTTACAAGGAAGTAGTAGGTTTGAATATAATTTTTAGGTCACTGATTTGGTGAATTTTGAGGTAATGCTGGGAGTCTTGGTCGGTGGCATGAACATAAAAACCCCAGTAAACCAAATTACTCATTCAACTAGAAGATGGCGTAGCCAATTTATATATTTTATCCAGAAAAAAAAGGCCAATACTTTATTCCTCTTATTTCCTACCCATTTTAAATAGAACCATATTTCTCTCCTCATGACACCGAACTATTTTCAAATAATAAATAGTTTCTGGGCGCAGTGGTTCTTGCATTAGGACTTGTTTTTCTATCAATGCGGAAATTATCACACTATTCAGTACCCTTTCTCATGCTTTATATTTTCATCATAGGTTTCAGATTTCAACATTGGCAACAAAGCTCGGGGTCAGGAACATTGCCATCCTAGGTTCTGGGCTTTTGTTGGCGAACTACCTGGGCGCTATACTTGCTGCTGTTTATATGCCTCAGGTGAAACGTATACCAGTAGAGGCCCAGTGCCTTTAGTTCTAGTGTCAAGATGCCTCTGATCTTCTTCTCAATTGCTTGTTGTCCATGGTGACTCTAATATCTGATCTTTTTTGGTCTGAAATCGATTCATTCTAAAAGCATTTCCGCTAAAAAGCCTGCTTTATTTCACACTTATATTCTACTTAGATAAAATATTTTCTTCCTATGCAGGCTTTCAGGCGCAATTTGATGGTCCCCGTCCATGCTGCTTTAGCTCTTGCTTTGATTTTCCAGGTTATTTGAACCATACAAATTGTCGCCGTCGGAATGATATTTATTTTATTTTATCTATCTGCGCATTCGTCCTTGCATGTGAGAGGACGGAGAGAGCTAAAGGGTAGTCCACCTCTTTAATCCTCTCTTATTCGAGGCAATAACCACTTCAACATAAAAAATAAAATAAAAAATAGATAAATTTTGGTTACTTTATTCCTGGTTGATATTTGATAATCTTGCATCGAATAGTAACCTAGTCAACGCCCTTTCCATAGGAGGAGAGAAAAAAATCTCTGATCTAAGGGAAATGGGAAGCATCTGGAGATGCAAGACATTGATTCAAGCATGGTGTCTGTTTGGACAGATGGATCTCTCTGGCGTGCTGCGCCTCAAAATGATGGACTAAGAACTGTAATATGTAATGGGAGGACAATGGTTAGATGCAGATTATGATCTTCTTTCAAACAAAAAAACAAACAAGTGGATCCCCATTATTTTCCTTCATCTTCAGTGTATTACATTAATTTTCTGATGAAATATTTTCTGAGCACGTGAAAAAAAAAAAATCCCAAAATAGTCTTGATCTTTTGCCTTCATATATTATTGAATATCTCCTACTCTCTGAATGAATAAGAGACATTTACTTGATGCTATGTTGTTGCAGGGATGGATTCTGGAGAAAGCAAACTACTCAAAGGTAGAGTATTTTGTTCTAATCATGTTGATTATTGATTCCAATAATATTTTCCAAGCGGTTTTGTTCTTGGGAGCCATTCTACTATTGAATTCCCTCTAAGAATATTCCTAGGGGAGAATGAATATTTCATGTGACATCTGCAATGCTCCCAATGATGAACTGTGGCTCCGAAATCAGCGCTCATGGAGAACAGACCCTGCAATGCTCCTGGCAATGGCGGCCCTCCCATGGCAGACCTTTTGGCCCGATCTCCGATCATGATCAGGCTATATGGACTACCCTTTATCATAGTTCTATGGAGTGTTTGCAAGCTGCATATTTTCTCTAATTTCTTCAATCTTTCTGTATGAATGGCATTGCAATATCATCGGTCGCTTCTTTCTGGTTTTCGTTGTTTTGATCCTCTAAAGATGAAATTTTCATAGAACAATCTCACTAGTTTAGTCATGATTTGGGTCTGGTCTAGGATCGATAAATTTTGTCAGAAAAACTTTGAAGTATATTCATTGTTCTTGGCGAAGTTCTCACCTTCTGATCCTAAGCTTTTTTTTTTTTTTTTTCCTTGTGTCTGCAGGAAGCGATCTCGGACTTCTATAGATTCATCTGGAACCTCTTCTATACCGAGTACATCATATTCCCCTTCATATAGTCATATCCGTACCCTTTTGTTTCTTTTCCATCTAGTGTACATGCATCTCTCTCTCTATCTCTCTCTCTCTCTCTCTCTCTCTCTCTCTCTCTCTCTCTCTCTCTCTGCCTGCCCAGTTGAAGAGCGTCGCCTTTCAACCTTTGTCAAAGTAATGTGCTCTGTAAGAGCCGCCAGGACCCGGAATGGAGTCCAATCTATTCACAGGCGATTTCTATGTACATTGACCATACAAAAACGAGGCCATTACGTGTAAAACTAGCCTCCCCATCTCCCTCCCTCTTCCCAGAGGAACCCCTTCTTCTTCCCCTTTCACAGCAAGGGCCAAAATCTCCCCAGGAGACGCAGTCAGCTCCAGGATCTAACACTATGTATACAAAGGAATCGTCAGTCTAGTCTCTGCTCGACGGCGCCGCCGCCGCTCGTGCTGGCGGCGGGTGGCCGGCGCCGCCCCTGGCTCCTCCTGGGGACAAGTAAACTTGCTCGAGGGCATGAAGCTGGACCTCCGATGGGTAGTCCCTGACGCAGCCGATGCGAGGGCCTGCGCCTGTCGTCCACTTGAAGGACAGCTGCTTGCCCAGTTGGTAGGATCTGAGGCCCTTCTTGGAGCTGATCCTCCTCAGAATCTTCTCCGGCGGAACCGGCGGCGCATCGTCCCCTTCGCCGCCGTGCTCCTCGAAGAGGTTCTTCTTCTGGTACACGGCCAGCTCCTCCTCCCCTCCCTTCTTCTCCTCGCCCTCCTCCTCGCTGTCCCCCTCGAACTCCGTGAACAGCCCCTGGAAGCTCTGCGGGTCCTCGCCTCCTTCTTCCCTCTCTGGTTCTGGCGGCACCTCCGCCTCCTCCACGGCGCGGTTGCGCTCAGAGAATGAGCTCTGGCCGCCGCCGCCGCCGCCGCTTCTCTCCCCCGCCCACGATTCCTCGTCCTCCTCAGTCGGGTTTTTCTGGATTGTATTGTAGAGAGAGAAAGAGAGTATTAGTGAGAGTGATCCCAGCCAGGGGTGAGAGAGAAAGAAAACAGAGGAGGGTCAAACCTTCACGTCGGTGAGGTCCACGTTGTTGTCGGTCAGGAAGCTCACGAGCTCCTCAAAGTTCTCCTCAGTCGGGCGGTAGTGCCCGCTGTGCGGCCAGACAGCCTGTTCAGGCAAGACGAAGAGAATTACAACAAAGATTCAATCTTTCCATATCCTTTCTCTCTCTAGGTTCGATGACCATGATCCCTTACCTTCAGGGTGCCTCTCTCTACTACCAGTCTCCCCGCGGCGGACGTGGCCCCTCCCGCCAGGAAGCTGGAGTGCTGGAAGGTCCCCTTCATCTTCTGCACACCACGGAGAAGAACAGATGAGGACGCCCATTACTTTCATGGCGGGATTATTCTAATCTCAGTGTTCTTCCGGGATTACCTGGCCGACGTACAGAGTCTTGGATGTGCTGAGGACGAAGATCCACTTCGAGTCTCTGCAGCCCGCAGAGGTATCCACAGGCTCCCGGCTCTGCCTGTAGAACAGCTTCCCCTCCTCCACCATGACCTCGTAAGCTTCCCTCTCATTCTGCGCCACGCCCAGGCCGACGACATTAGTTTCAGACAGAGCGAGATTAAACTAATTGCCAATGGTTACAGAGGACCCACATCGCCGAGGTACTTGATGCACTGCTGCTGGAGCTTCAAACGGGGGCAGTGTTGCTCGAGATTGACGTCCTTCCCCTCCCCCACGTCCAGCCTGGAGAAATCATTCATCGGGTTAGAACTAGAAACGTGATCTTGTTCCCCGTATCGGGAAGAAGGAAGCGTGATTACCAGTAGAAGAAGGGCTGCCGGCTCTCGCAGTGAAGCCAGCGAAGATAGTAGAAGTGGAGGTTGTGCCCGTACCGATGGCGGGGATCGATCTACCAAAAGGGAATCATTGGAGAAGGATTAGTTCGTGATCGAAATCATATGCTGCAGAAATCGGAAAATCTTTCATTTTTTTCCTTCATGAACTCACCGCCTCTAGCCAGTGCTGCAAGGCCAGCTTCTTGGCCTTCTCGTCCTTGGACAGCCCCTTGCCCACCTTCGCAGCTCTGGTTCTGGCTCTCGACCAGCGAGAGACGACGGACTCGGGCTGCTCGACGTCGAAGAAGGACACCGAGCTCCTCTTCAGAAGAGCGAAATCCAGCAGCGTCCACCTGCAGCAGATCGCCTTATCAGCCCCCATTCTTCGGATTCATAAGCCACAGAAGAAAAGTAATCCAAATCAGGGTAAAAACGAGTCTCGTACCAGCGCTGCTCCGCAAGAACAGCGCAATCTGCGAGCTTCCTCCTCGTGCGGAAGCTCCTGTAGACCTTCTGCAGCTTCACGGCAGCATCATGCTTGGGGGTGCCCTCTGTCGTGGCGTCTGCTATCGGGAGCTGGGGCTCACTGATCTCGGAAGCCCTGAAGGAGAACTTGGTCTCTAACTGGAACGGGGCCGAATCTCTCGCCTTGAAGCTCAGGGACCCCTCGATGAGCATCTTCCCGGAGCCAAAAGCTCCGAGAATGGAAGGCTCCCTGTCCCTGCTGTTGAAGCTGGCGGAGCGGGGGGAACCCTGAACGTCGTCGCACTGAAAGCTGATCGACCTCATCAGAAGAGCATCGAAGCTCTTGTCGAACGTGGAATCTGCGCCTGGGCAGGAGAACGTTATCCCCATTCGGAAGATCGCCGCGCTTCCTGTCGAAGGTGACGGCCCTCCGGTGGATCAATCCTCGGTTCCTGCCAAGAACGAGGGAAGAAATTAGAGAAAAACAAACATCCAGGAATGAATGAACGGACCCACGATCGAAACAAGAACGAGCGCCAAGAGGGCGGAGGCGAGAGAGCCTACCGAGGCTACCTGCTCTCACGGGAAGGGAGGAGGGAGATTGTCAATCCCCGAACAGAGATCAAATGGCGACGGAGAGAAGAAGAGGGAAACGGAGGTTGCGGGGAGCCCAGAATCAGAAGGAACTGCAGGAACGAGGACGCGACGGAGGAAGAGGAAGAAGAAGAAGAAGAAGAAGAGGAAGAAGAAGAAGCGGACGGAGAGAGAAATAACAGGGTGGCTTCCCACCCCCTGACCTGCCTTCGGTCAGACCTTAGTAAAGAGAAAGGGAGGGGAATAACAAAATCGTGAACGAACCCTCGGTATTTTTAGTCACTGGCCAAGTGGGGGAGGACGAGGAGCGAGGGGGATGTTCAGGGCGGGGGATGGTCTCCTTAAATAGCGCCCATGGAGAAGATCCCCTCCACTGTAGATCTCAAGCTTTCCTCCCACGTGTTCCTGGAATTGACCTCCCTCCCCCCTCCCCTTCTTTCACACCCGATCGCCGTCAATTCGACCGTTGGCTGTGAGCACCGCCGGCGGCGGTTTGAACTCGCATCAGATCATAATCAGAGAAAAAGTCATAAGTTACGCATCTCGACTGCCGCAAGATTTGGTCTGGTTTTCATTAATTGACTCATAATCGCATAAGAAGCCGTGGGGATCGTGTGATTACGTTGCTGAATAGTTCTTGAACCGTGGTTTAAGGATTTAATAAAGTCAACGCGGGGCCCAGACAAGGGCAGCTTTGTACTCTGTTCTTGAAGATGCTCCGATCTTGTCAGATTTTCATTCCCCGATGACGCAATCAATTCAACTGTGCCCATCGAGAGAAGATCATCGACAAAAATGGCCAGTCGAACTTTACCCGATCCCCCCACAGTAAAAATCTGCCACGATCTGACGTTGACCCGGTCCAAGCGGAGATAACTGCCTCATTTGTCGGCCCCATCCGTTGACCTACAATGCCAGAGCCACCCGCGAGAAGGGGACTCGCCTTGCCAGGATGGGCGTCCTGTATTCCTTGTCGGGCAAGTTTGGAGGAATTGAGACGGTCAATTTGTCTGTTTTCCTCCCGCAACCGAGAAGAGAAAAGCCGTTCCCGCCGCGCCGGAGACTGCGGCGCCGTTGCCGGCGGTGACGGGATCCATCCGAGACCGGGAGAAACGACCTGGAAATTTCTCTGTAGGCGTAGAAGTAAACCGACCGGTCTGCTGACTTCCGTCACTCAGCAACCAAAAGTCAATCCATGTACTCCTCGGAGGTGACTATATAGGAAAGAAAGAAAGATCAAGAACACCTTTTTGCGGCCGTGTGAACGTAGGAGCCCATTAATGGTGAACGTGTGTGATTATTGTTCTCCAGGTCAACTGTGCATTGCAGACCAAGACCACCACGGTACCTCTCTCTCTCTCTATCTCTATCGATCTATATCTATCTGGTTCGCTCGGCACTTTGCGGCAGAGATTCCTGGAAAATGCATGCAGAGGGGAGAGAGGGTGGCGCTCGGAGAGAGAGAATATACGGTGGCCGGCGGAGCGTCACCTACTGCGAAACCGCGTTCAGATGCCCGAGCGGGGCAGGCAACGGGACGAAGATAAACTCTAGTTGACTTTCCCTCTCCTCTACTGAGACCCCTGGAAAGTCACGGATATTAGTTCCACAAAAACAATAAAATATACCGACTCCAGGAAATCGGTAATTCCCAAAATAGGAAATTTCGAGGAAGTTCTTCCTAAATATCAGCTTCTGATTTAGTTTGTCGGAAGGGTTGGTGTTTGCTCTACGGTTCCATATCGAGAGCCCAGTAAAGAGGGGGGAAATTATGTGGGACGGTCAACCAACCCACTTGCCCCATTGGGAGCTGACTCGTGGCCGCAGTGTATTAGCTATATGATACGTGACCAATAAGGTTGCGACGTCCACGCTGGTTGACTACTTTTTTTTTACTATGATACGTAATTTCAAACGGGGTGGACCTGGACATGGAGCACGATTTTTATTTCGCCGTACGAAAAATAGCCCGTACGGACGCGTCACTCGTGCCCCCCAGCCCCGCTCGCACGGCAGCCGCCTCTCGTGGGGCCCGGCGGGGAAAGACCGACAGACCCAGGGACTAAAGAAAGGTAGGCAGAAGGGGATCAACAAGAAAACTCGGGGTACGTTTGACCTTCTTTCTGTCCTCAAATTCTCTTTCTCTCTCTCTCTCCCTCTCTCTCTCCTCAACGAGAGGAAATCCTCCTGGTCGATGTATGACCTTCTTTCTGCCCTCACCAGCTCTAGCTCTCTCTCTCTCTCTCTGTGTCAACCGGAGGAACTCCTCGTGGCTCGTGTTTGACCTTCTTTCTGTCCTTCCTAGCTCTAGCTCTCTCTCTCTCTCTCTCTCTCACACACACACACACACACACACACAACAGGAGGAAATCCTCGTAGCTCGTGTTTGACCTTCTTTCTGCATTCACCAGCTCTCTGTCTATCTGTCTGTCTGTCTCTTTCTCTCTCTCTCTATACAGGAGGAAATCCTCGTGGCCCCTGTTTGATCTTCTTTCTGCACTGACCAGCTCTCCTTCTCTCTGTTTGTCTGTCTGTCTGTCTGTCTCTCTCAATAGGAGGTGAGGCGTCTGGTGTCACCGACCAAATAAGAGCAAGACCGTCGGTTAGTTGAGGAGGCGGACAGAGTTGAATGAGCTGGGTGACTTACTAAAATCGCATTACGCGGTATGTATCCGACTGTGATTAATACTGGTTAGCTGAAGAATAAAATAATCAAAAGAAGGGGAAATGAGAGGTGATGAATGAGGAGAATAGAAATCACTGGCAAGGAGGGTTGTGGAAGATGTTCGAGGACACCAGCTGTTCTCCAACGTGACCGCCAGCTGTTCTCTTTCCCCCATTAATTCTTTTTAGTGATCCCTGCTCTCTCTCTCTCTCCTCTCCCCTCTCTCTCTCTCTGTTTATATAGAGATATGCACGGGTATGTACATAGAGTATCCTATATAGTTTACCAGATGTATACAGAGATATATATATATATACACATATCAATTAATATATGATTCTTGTGGGTAACTCTCTCTCTCTCTCTATGTTGTCTTTATCTATCAATATATCCAGTTATCTCTCTCATTAACTCAGTCTTGGACTTACGTGGGCCACGTACAAGCCGGCAAAGACGAGGATTCTGGGGATGATGTGGGGACGGGTTTGTTTTCCTGAAAAATGCCACACAGTCAACGTCACGTCACTCCAACTCTAGAGCCGCGTTGTCGTTGACGTTTGTTCCTCTCGTCAATTGTCTTCCGGAGAAAACCCTCTGAAAGTCACTCCGTTTGCGTGTGGGAAACGCTTCTCTCTCTCTCTCTCTCTCGCTGACTATAAATGGATAAGTATATATATATCTCAGTCTATACTCTTGTTGTAGTATGACTCAATCCACGCCCGTCTCATCAGAAAGTTCAAAAATAGGGAGAGAGAGAGAGAGAGAGAGAGAGAGAGAGAGAGAGAGTCAAACCCAAGAAGATAAATTGACCAAATCCCTCGCCACCAGCCGAAACCGTTCATCTTCTTCCGGTTCGGAATTTCTCTACTTTCTGAGCCACTTGGACCCTTCAGAGTTTCCCCGTTATTTCGTCTTCTTCATCTTCTCCTGAACTTCCTCTTTTCTTCTCTTTCGATCCCTGTAAACTCGTAGAATGACGCGAAAGCTCTCTCTTTGTTTGATATTTTAGATGGGACCCTCAAAAAACAGAATTTTCTCCAGTAATACGATTCACTCTCCATGCGAGGGGCCCGGTGGGCCGAGATATGTTGGGGGAAAATGGGCCGATCACTTTACCATTGGGCCTTCGCAGTATAGGCCTTAATTAATGACGGCAGATTATCCTCAGCTTGGTTGAGAGTCCGTACAAGTAGGGGAAAGAAAGAGGATGGGGGGCTGACGTGGCATTTACTAGTGTAAAGAGCCGATTTATCGTTCTGGAATGCACGCTACAACGTAAATAACCGTCTGATCTGACCTCGCCCGCTTCTGAAATTCAACTTCCCCCGCCGCTTTCACCCCCCTTTCTGAGCTCGAAAGGGAGGAGGGAGAGGGGAGGGCCCAGGGAGCTCCTCCGGTGAGGAGACGGGAAGCGAGGAGGAGGTGGCACATCGAGGGAGACTGGGGAGTGACCATGATTGACGGCGAGGCGGAGGTTGCGGGGCCGTCTGCGCAGGAATTCTCCGCCGGCGGCGACGGGGGGCATTACCTTGCCAAGTGCGTGGTCAAGGGCGGCGCAATTCTTCAGGCCGTCCGCGGGCGCCTTCGATCTCGATCCTCCTTCGACATAGTCTTCGGCAAGGTTCGCAGAGCTCTTTTTGTTGTTACCCGTCTCCAGCGTCGATCACCCAACCCCCTTAGGCTCCCTTTTCTCGAACTTTCTGGGTGGCCATGGTCCCTATCATCGCTTATTTGATGCACCGACTAGGTGGGGAGACGATACCGGTCTTGCAGTTCATCGGGAGGACGAGAAGTCTGCTTTTTTTTCTGGGGATTACTAGAAAGAAAGGCTTGGAAACATTTTTAGGTGAATGCTCTCTTGCTCGCAGTCGACTCTGTGGGCATTGGTGGACGGTTTTCCTTGGAGAATACAGCAGTAAAGGAGATGTCTGGGCTGTGTCGCGTATTGCTGTTTATGCTTAACTGTATTTAACTGATGCAACGGAGTAAACAATAGGAATTTGCGATCGATTAGGATTGGATATACGACGGTGTGTTAATATCGGTTCTTCACTCTTACTTTCCAGGAAACGTCGATTGAACTTCTGGTTATTGGTGAAGATGGCACCCTACAATCCGTCTGTGAGCAGAACGTATTTGGCATTATAAGAGACCTTGCCATCTTACGTGGTAATGATAGATTACAAGCATCGATCCACAAGGTTAATCAACTCTCTCTCTCTCTCTCTCTCTCTCTCTCTCCCCAGATTGTTCGACTCATATATGGACAGCTCACCGAGATCAGTTTGCTTTCTAAAACAATCTGTCATTTCCTCGTACTGATTTAAGCTATTGCTAATGTCTTTTTGCAGACACAGGGCACAGACTTGTTAGTTGTCCTCTCAGACTCCGTGTTCCTCTCTCTTCTGGCATTCTGTTCGGAAATGCACAGGTTGGATAGTTAGTACCTTTTGGCTTTTTTCGTTGAAAACATTGTCTTAAATATTTTAATTTAGTTGGTTACCCTTAATTCTAGTATGAATTGCTGTTGTATATTAACAGTTTTATTTTTTTGTCCTCATTTTTAACAAGGTTTGTCCCAATAAAACTTGTGCAACTATCCAGACCAGGGGACTCAGGAAACCATCTGGGAAGAATGCTTGCTGTGGACTCCAAGTAAGTCCTAGACATGATATGCTTAAAGAATGAGTTTTTTAATGTCATAGCGACGGTTAAAATTTGTTTATTTTCAAATGTTTTATAGCTAATGTCCCGGATTTTTTAATGGTTTCATATTAGTTATGTCACGAAATATGGCTGTGACTTTGCCTGACTCTGCTCTAATTTTGTTTATAAGCTGGAAAGATTATCTGGATGGTAGGTTTTAATTTTTACTTTTTTCTGTGTACAAAAATAAGTAGACATTGAAACTGACACATGGAATGAAGCTGTGGATAAGTCTGTATCCCCAAGTTCCTCATTTCTGTTACCCAGAAATCAAACTTCTTAGTTCGAACTCATTGTTCAAGTAGGCTAAAGGACATAAATTAACAAAGCAGAATGCTGATTTCCCGAGGAGTAGGCCTCTTGGAAGATAATTCATGATATCGTACTGTGTCCATTTTCGTAAAGAATGTTGTTCAGGCCTTATTATTCTCGTTTATTTTGTTGTAATTAACAACCATATTTTTAGACGAGAAAAGAATTATGGTTTTCATTGTATTTTACTGTAGCTTCTGTTAGGTTGTAGTTTTCCTGCATGCATTTACTTTTTTTATAAAAAAAAATTGTGGTAGTGGCAAAACACCCTGAAAAAGCACAGCATGTTTTATTCACATGGATACTTCTGACTAGAGATGTCTGAAGATTAAACACATTAAAAGAGTAGGACAGATGATAGATGAAAAAAAGAAGATCAAGAAATGTTTGTATCACGATTTCAGAATTTTTTAGCGGAAGAAATTAGGAGACAATATTTGAAGGAATATCTACCCTAATCAACCAAGAAGAATGTGGTTTAATGATTTTACCCATGTCGTGTCAGTTTGCCCCAAATTTAAACTTAACTGGAAAGATTGTGTTTATCAACTAAAATATAAGCGTGCAAGAAATTAATAATGGTTTTTAAGATAAAAAACATCAACTACTACTCTTCATCCACCACCGTCCCCCCCCCTCCAATCATTCCTCACCCATCTCCAGTTTATTCATCGTGGCAAAAAGCACTAGGAATATAGACGTCTTCAACTTAGGGGATGGTAAGAGATGAAGGTTCAGGAAAGGGGAAAACTAGAAAGGGAAAGCACATTCAGCAGCAGTGATGGGAACTGTTGGTAGCAGTAGTAACAATTGACTGTTAAGTACCAGCACACAGGTAGCACCACCAGGACGTTTTATGTTCCTCTTCCATTTCCTTTATTTAGCGAACTGAAAGAAAAACACATGAAAGCCTTTAAAAGGATCTTCACCTTGTACTAAGGCTCAGAAATAAAATCTTCATGCCATGATGTCTAATATATCTTGTCAGGCCAACTCGTTCCATTCATTAGAGCCAGATGTGAAGGCAGAAGATTTTTAGAGGTGTAGGATAATTATATAACTAATTCAAAATAGATAATTTTTAATTAATTGGATCATTTTAGATATTGTCGAGTTAATAATTCAAGAAAGTTGGATTTTTATTTTATGCTTGTTGAAGATGTGAAATGAAGACCTGACCAAAGGAGACACGGACAGATGTCTCAAGAGCAATCGCCTAATAGACAGCTCAACCAAGGAAGATATGTTTTTATTAAAATGGTCGGCATTGTTGGGTAGCTGACTCGATGGGGCAAGATTAGCCCCAAATTCCCATACCAAAATTTTCCCCGAATTATGTTTATTTTCATATTTCTCCATTCAAGTTTTGGTTCTGCTAATGTGGAGTGTGTTTTTACACTCTACTCTGACTCATATTTGAGAGATTCTAGGTTGGATGCTTTGCCCAAGTTGCTAACCTGTCGGTGACTCTGCCTGCAAGAACACATGCATGCACAAATGCACATTTACTCATATAAAAAACTACACGCATGATGTATACGAAGATAGAACTGCTACAATTCAAACTGACTTCGACGCTACGGCTTCTGTGTGAAATTGTGAATTAGAGCCAACATAAATTGCCAAATCTGCATGCAAAAGAGCACACGTGTGCAAGCTCACACAGAATAAGATGCATTCAAACATCAAAATGATTCTCCATCTAACCTTTGTGCTTATTGGCAGTGGTTATTTTCTTGCCGTGAGTGCATATGAGGACCAATTTGCTGTGTTGTCTGTCTCTCTATCAGCTGGCAGCGATATTATTGACAAGGTACATTGATATTCTTGGTTCAATTATTCAACTACTCAATGTTTACGGTTCAACTGCTCATGGAAAAGTTTATGCCAACATTGATTTCTGCCTGATGTCTCACCGGTATTTTTTTTCGGATTTTGATGTCATAATTTCAGATAATCTACTACCCATCTGAAGATAAAGGAGGAACACACATCGGGAAGGCTTCACCAAGGGTGAATCTCTGTGGTACGATTTGGAGCATGTCCTTCATTTCAAAAGGCAATGAACAAGTTGGTGGAGATGAGCACGACTGTCTATTGGCACTGGTTGTGCATATGTAAGCATTCACTTTATTATTCTCTGTCCTGATTTTCTTTGAGTATTTCTGAATTAGATTGGACGAATCACCTGGTGTTATTATCTTAATGGAATTGAACATCTCTTTGGTTACTGATGTAAAGAATGACTGAACTTGTCGCCGCAGGAAGGGTGCAGCTCTTAATGAATTATTGCTTTTTGGATGCAACAGCTCAGAAAATACTATCGAAGTTATTTCCTTGTTCTCAGAAGCTGGAACTTTAGCTTTAGGCATAACTGAAGTCCCTCATCTTTCTGGTTTTGCAGTTCTTTTTAGACTGGGTGATATTATTTTGATGGATTTAAGGGACCCAACCAATCCCTGTTCGATTCAAAAAATTAGTTTAAATGCTTCTGTGGCTGACGATCATAGTTCTGATGAGTCATCGAGAGGTCTGGATGTTGATGACGAAGGTATGTTCGAGGCTGCTGCTTGCGCACTCCTAGAACTAAGAGATTCAACATGCAAATTCGTGTCATCATGGGCTTGGGAATCAAGTGATTCGATTCGTCCAAAGTTGGTTGTGTGTATTGATACAGGAGAATTGTTTATGATCGATATCCACTCTGATTTTGAAGGAGCTAGAATGATTTTGTCTAATTGTTTCTTCAGCGTATCACCTTGCAAGGTTCTTTTGTGGGCTGAAAGGGGATTCATCGCAGCAATTGTGGAAATGGGAGATGGAATGATCCTCAAGTTGGAACATGGAAGGCTTCAGTGCACTTATCTCATACAGAATGTTTCACCGATCCTAGATTTATGCCTTGCTGAGTGCCATGATGAAAAACAGGATCAGATGTTTGCATGCTGTGGAATGAACCCTGAAGGATCAGTGAGGATAGTAAGAAGTGGTGTTAGTGTGGAAAGACTCCTGAAGACTCTTCCAATATATGAAGGAATAACTGGTACGTGGGCGATGCAGATCAGTGAGAATGATTCTCATCATTCTTTTCTTGTGATATCGTTCGTTGAAGAAACCAGAGTACTTTCTGTTGGTCTGAGTTTCTCTGATGTTACTGACGCTGTTGGTTTTCAGGCTGATGTGTGTACTTTGGCATGTGGCCTGCTGAGTGATGGAATTCTAGTGCAGATTCATAGGACAGGAGTAAGAATTTGTTTGCCTGTAGCATTTGCTAAAGGAGAACGTTCTGCACCCGTATGTGCATCTTGGTATCCCGATGACATGACAATCAACTTGGGTGCAGTTGGTCGTAATTTGATTGTTGTGGCTACTTCAAACCCTTGCTTCATCATTCTCCTTGGCATTCGTGCACCCTCAACATATGAATACGAAATATATGAAATTGGAAATATGAGACCGCAGAACGAAATATCTTGTATATCTATACCTAAGAAAACATTCAATCAAGGATCCTTGAGGCCAAACATTAGTCTTGCAGAAAAAATTGTTGAGAGCGCCATTCCTCCTGGATTTGAGTTTGATATGACGTTTGTTGTCGGAACCCATAAACCATCAGTGGAGATTCTATCAGTCATACCAGGTAAAACATGCAGGCTCATAGCTGTTGGAAGCATATCAATAACTAACACGTTTGGAAGTCCTCCTAGTGGGTGCATACCTGAAAATGTAAGAATCGTGGTAGTTGATCAGTTCTATGTGCTTGCTGGATTGAGAAATGGAATGCTTCTTCGCTATGAGTGGCCCGCAATTTCTTCAGTGTTTCAGTCAGGTGTTCCAATTCTAAGTCCCTTCAGTCAAAGTCATCTGTATAACCCTCTTCCAAGCTCTACAAGCTCGTATCATGCTGGGTTATTCCCTATGAATGTAGAAAATATGGATGCCTCTTTTCCTCTGTCTTTACAGTTGGTTGCTTTCCGGCCCATTGGTGTAACCCCCGTCTTTTTAGTTCCTCTTCATGATTCACTTGATTCAGATATAATTGCACTCAGTGATAAACCTTGGTTATTGCAAGCTGCACGGCATAGCCTTGCGTATACATCTATACCGTTCCAATCTGCTACCCATGCAACCCCCGTGAATAGTGATGCTTGTCCTAAGGGAATTTTATTTGTTGCTGAGAACTGCTTACATCTGGTAAGTCGGACCGATCATCCTCTCTTCTATGAAATTATCATTTCTCTCTCAAGCCTGTTTATGGATTGTACATATGAATACACAGTATTGTGACTTTAATATAAGCAGTCAATATATGCTACGTTTTGATGGAACTTCTTACTTGTATGAAGCATGAATTATGTTCGCACCATGAGTAGGTTACTGGTTTTGGTCATAGCCTCTGGCTTGTCATAGATATTCCCCGTAATAAACAATTTTCTATCGACCTATTGTTGTGACAGATTTTTTATGGCATGTTTTTAGTATCACACTTACACATCACTTGAGCTACCTGACAGTCGGAGTATTCTTAAAATCACGCCTTCTCCTTGGTGTCAAATAAAATGTTTTCAAATGTTTGTCCAGAATGTAACGAATGGATCACACGTTTGAACTTTAGGCTTATAGGTACCAATTGAGCTTCATATCCATCCTCTCCGCGAGCTGATATTCCTCATTATATTATTAATTAATAAGATAGTGAATCAAGAGTATATATGGGATCTAGAAGATTGGGAGGACGAGGACCGTGATTGGTTGGATCAGGCTAGTAGGTTGGAAACTTCCTTTTTATTCTCAGAATTGGATACAACTACAATTTTTAAGATATATGTATAGTTAGTTAGAAGTGTGCAATCATTAAACTAACAACAAGGGACCCTTATACAAAATTAACTCTTCACTCCCTCACTTTGGTAAGGATGGTGAATTGGTGCGCGGTCGATAGCCAGCAGCTCCAAGTTATTTTGTCTTCCTTTCTTCTCCTTTTTCCTTCTTCCTTCCAAGGGCATGTTGATAAGAATGCTGCCTCTGGAAACTGGTTGTTATGAGTCAAATGTGGTGAATTCATACGAGATTCAGTTGATCTGACCTGATTAGCTGTCTTTGATATCTTGAAGGTGGGATCAGAGGTCCTTTCTGAATTAGATTCACTAGTGATGATCCTGTTCCGTATCCACTGATCCTGTATAACATGTTGACTTAGTATAATGTTGAACATGGACGTTAGAGTAAAGGTTGCGAAAGGAAAATGATTACAGTTAATACATAGTGGACATAATGAGGGATTCACTGAAGGGGCAAACGATTTCTATAGGGAGTTGTGCAGTAATGAGAAAAGTTGCCAAGATTTGTACGAGTTTGAGGGTGCCTCATAGGTATCACATGGGAAAGCATAGTGACTGTTCAGAATAATTCACTGACGTTGTAGCATAGTCTACTGTAGGGAAAACCATGGTGGATTGTTAAAAAATGTTTTCCTTCTAGCGTTCTTGGATTCACAAGGAGGGCTTTCAAGATCGTTTTGATTCGTTTCATGAAATAGATGAGATAACTCATTTGTCAGAGGAACTAATTGAACCTTAGGCAATCATTTTGGTGGGAAACCTTTGTAAAATTGCTTTGGTTATCGCCTATGACTAGTCACTAGAAGTAGCTTTTTGTAATTCAGGTCTATTGTGGAAAACTGCCAGCTTTGTGGAAGATCAATTTTTATAATTCAGGTTTATTGTGATATGAACTCAAGATTGAATGTAGGATCTACTTGTTATCCTATGCTATAAGGTCTTTTCCTGTTGCCTTTGTTGGCCCACCGCTGACTACAGATCAATCAGGAAGTTGAACTGAAAAATCCAGATTGAATGAATTATGAACTATGATTCAGGGAGACCTCTTAATGTTTAAATCAACCCCATTGGTATGATTGTTTGTCAAACATCTGCTTTATATGCGGTTTTCAATAAACTGCATGTAGTGAGCCATGCAAGTTGCAAAATTAATGACTTTAAAATAAAAAACTTTTTGGGTTGGGGGGTGGGAAGTCATGGTCACGTTTGGCGCTTAACTGATCCAGCCACCCAACTTGATTCAGGTCAGCATTAGGACTCGACTGATCCGACCTCCTAAGTTGATTCAACTACCATGGCTTAGTTCTGTTGCTGCAATATGGGTAATTGCATGGCCCTTTTCATCTTCCTCCCAATTTTGTGCAATTAGTGAATAAACACTATAAGATATATGTTCAAGGAGACTGTACAAGCCTAGATAAAAACTCTTTTCGCTCATTTCTCCAGTTCTAAAAATGGATGTAACTGGGAGATTCGTGGCTAGAGATGATCAGCCTTCAAGTAATTGTCCAGATCCCTTGGAACTAAATCTATTTTCCAGGCGTGGCAGAGAAGATAATGCTGCAAAATCAGGGAACAGAAGACAACGGGAAAGAGTTGCTATGGCGCTTGCTGTAACCATTCTTTTGTCAGAGGAAATGTGACTCATTCCAAGTTGACACCAGAGCGTTACACCATTGTGCCATTGCATTCTGCTCTTGGTTGAACGTTTCCGTTTTTCTCCCATCTCCTCTACCCTTCTCTCTTTCATCTTATTTCCTTCTATCCCTTTATCTGTTCTCTCTGTTATTTCTTGATTTTTCTGGATTACCTGAGTGGACTGATTTTTGGCGCATTGGTCCTTACAGAACCATGAAACACACTTGACACCTCATTATAAATTCTTGGAAACAGGTTTAGATCACCTTAGAAAGCCAGGAGAATCTTTTTTTCTCTCAAATTGGTTTCAAATGAACTAACAGTCCTTGTTACTCTTTATTTGCTTGTAAGATATGTTTTTGTGCAATTCATCTCTCTATGGATATTGATGGTGAAAGGTCTTCCTTATCGACTTTTAGCTTACTAGTCAATTTATTGTTTGCTAATGTGGACCTGACTCATCCTCTCTGCCTGCTTCTCCTGAATGTAGAAATCATGGCCTGTGCTGTTTTAGATAACAATGATTGTTTATGGAAGCATATTTGAATCATTGATAGTTAGCCATGCAACTAATTTTCTCCTATGTCTAAAGGTAGAAATTATTCACAGAAAGAGGCTTAACGTTGGAAAGTTTGGCCTTGAGGGGAGCCCTCGCAAAATTTTATACCATAATGAGAGCAAAACGTTGTTAGTTATGAGAAGTGGACTCTGTGATGATTCATGCTTGTCAGATATCTATCGTATGGATCCGCTTAGTGGTTCAGTGCTTGCAAGGTTCAAATGCGAAAGTGGCGAAACAGCAAAATCCATGCAAATAGCTAAGGTGGGAAATGAGCAAGTATTGGTTGTTGGAACTAGTCGAACACAAGGAAGAGTTATTATGCCGAGCGGTGAATCTGAGAGGTTTGTTTCCGTCTTAATGTTTGTAGTTTCCATCGTGATTATGATTTCAACTAGTATGGTTAATGTTTTAGATAGTGGTTTATGTATAATACTGATACCCAATTTGTGATAATGTGGACTTTGCATGCTCCTTCGAAATTTGACAATCATGTTGCCTTTATCTTGATATTTATGTTTTTAGAGAAGTAATTCCCCTCGGACAGCTCAAGTTGATTCAATTAAGCGTTTTTGTCACAGGTTCTAGTAGTTCTACTGGATTCATGTCTTTTCTCATTTGAGCTGTCATTAATACTGATAATTCTCTTAACAGTACAAATGGACGCTTAATCGTCATCAGCCTTAGGATGACAGGAAGGTTAGATAACAATTCTCCCACGTACTCTTTGGACATTGCTTCTTCTTCCACGTTTCGGTTTCCATTTTATGAAACTGTTGGATATGCCACTGAACATTTTTTTTGGCAGCAGTCTTTGTAGGAGCCCAGACAACACATATGACGAAGTTCAACTAGACAATATGGAAGCAGAACAGTTGCAAGTCGTCGCCTGTCTTTCCATGCCTGGTGTTGTCCTTTCAGTCTGCTCCTATCTCGACCGCTATATCTTGGCGTCTGCTGGAAGCTTTGTAGGATTTCTCTTTCTGTGGACCTCAATAAGTATACAAAATATTACATTAATAAATCCTTTGTGATTAGAGCGCACATTGTTATGATTAATTAAAATCTTTTTTTATTTAATCAGCTGTGTGTATGTGGGTTTCTCAATGACAATCCACACCGGCTAAGAAGGCTTGCCACCATGAAGTCACGGTTTACAATTACTTGTTTGGCAGCCCATTTTACAAGAATTGCTGCTGGTGATTGTCGTGATGGTATCCTTTTCTATACTTACCAAGAGGTACGTTCCGTTGCCATCTAAAAGTACTTCATCTTGTTTCTGTTTGAGGTAGAGTAAATTTTAAACCTTTGGATTCTGACTTCACTTTTATGTCCTCCATGGGTTTCATTTAACTTAGTTGAGTCCATATATCGTTTGCTACTGATTATTTTGTTGTCAGACCCTTAAACTTACAGCAATGCTTCATTTTGTAGGACCTTAAGAAACTTGAGCTGTTGTACTGTGATCCAGTTCACAGATTAGTTGGTGATTGTGCCCTTATTGACCTGGACACAGCTGTGGTGTCAGATCGAAGGGGGAGCATATGCATACTTTCATCCCCAAATCATTTAGAAGGTGCATTAACAAGTCTTCAATGGTGCCGTGCCTTTTAAAATTTATTGAGATAATCCTTGTGCGTATGGTAGATTTTAAGCTGTCACTCCTCCGTCTGTTATTATGGCAACCAGCCAATTTCACATATTCGATAATTATGATTTCAAACACTCTTCCTTTTAGTAAGTTTTTATATTCCAACTGGACTGGTAGTAGCCAATTCAGTTTATAGATATAAACATATTGGAGCTCTATACAATGTTTACCATGCAAGATCCTAGGCGCATCTGTTTGCGTCCTAACCACCGCTAGACTAGACTCCTCTGTTCCCAAGCATTTTCAACATTTGCCAACGAGGACAAAATAGATAATTTTCTAAAATGAAATGGTAAGCTTTGGACTGAGGTGATATTTTGTAGATTGGCATGCCGGTCTTCAGCTGATTCGTAGTTTATTGGGTTATGATTTACCTGTGCAAGCTGACAAATAGTCAAAGTTGTGGCTGCATGGACCAAAGCGATTTCCTGTTAAGTTCTAGGTGTGTGTAAGGTACATTCAAGCAAATGTCAATAGTATTTATAGTTTTGTGCTGTCATGGAATATTAGTAATGAGTGTCAACCAGTAGCCACTTTTTTTGTTATCGTTCTGAACTCATGTGATTGCTTGTCTTTTTCATTCACTCAACTCTTGATGATCTTTGCATGTTATTTACTTTATGTTAAGAAGATGAAGAAATTTCTATATGTTTTCGTCTTTAATTATTTATTATCTTTTATACCAAACATCCAATGTGGCGGGGTATTTTTCTTACTTATTATATTTTGGGCTTCCCCTGCTTATAAATAGAGTGAGGTGCTGACGCCCCCAACTTTCTAGCTGGCTATCTTTACCAACAAGACGCCTATGCTGCAAGAGAAACATATATTCGGTGTAGGCCATGATCCTCTTCTTTCTCGATGTAGGCCTTATTTCTATTTCCACCCTCTAGTCTAATTGACTCTCAGTCAGCCACGCTTTTAGCCATTGTGGATTTCTTTATCTGCCCTTGCTCATTTTTGTTGATAGGTTAATCAATTTAGTTGTATATACATCTGATCTGTTTCACATTTCTTGACAATTCTGATTTACCACCTAGACAGAAATTCTGACGACAAATTCAACCCAACGTCTGTTTTACTCTAGCAAGTTTTAGTAAACGTAAGTCAGGACACTGAATCCAGTTTTCACACGTAGCCATATTTCAAGGAAAGCGATGGTCAAAGTTAGAGTTAATAAACTGACAGTCCCCCCTATTTATTAGAGTGCATCATTTTCCATCTTACATTAGGTCTCTTTGGATAATGAAATATCCATCTTACTTATTTGCCTTCGGGGCATATATTTAAGTTCGCATCCCATTAGTTGCCTAAAGACATAGCGTATTGGGAAGCCTTCTGTCAGTCATTCTTCCCCCCAACTCATGAGCAATGTTCCCATGCTAGGGGTGAATTCCTTTGTCCGTTAGCCCTCGGATCACCATTAATATGACTTGATGTTCAGATCGAAGCAAGTAGACCTTTATGGCACACTTTAAACTTAAAATCTATCATGTGTTTCGACTAAAATTTAATTAGTTGAATGAAGTTTTCATTCCATTTTTGACGTTTAAGATTCTGTGGTATTATACCATCTCTGATTCCCTTTGACATCGTAACTGCTCTTTTTGCTGTAGATAATGCAAGCCCGGAACGTAACTTAAGAATTAGATGTTCGTACTACCTGGGAGAAACAGTAATGAGCATTCGAAAGGTAGATTCCACCTCTCTATTGGTCATGAACAGCCAGTGGTATCTTCACTGTTACGGTGTGAACTTTTGTCTGTAAGGAAATATCTTCTTCCTTTATGTCAAAGTCCAGAAACTACGCGCAAATTATCATTTTTTCTCGGTTGATACTGTTTTGTGAATCCTGCTATTGTGAAATCAAAAGAATTGGGCTTCTCACACCAGAGCAGGAAGGTTTTTTGGTCCTAGTGGGCATGCATGTGCTGTGCTGGTTAAGGGATGGAAATAAAAGTTGGCGAAAAATTAGGAGAGACAGTTGTAAGATCTCCAAATAGTCATGGAAACAATTTAGAGATTCAGAAAGCAATTTTCGATTGCTCTGGGCACCGTGATTTGGAGAGGGAAATGAGGAAAATGAAAGGCTGTCGAGACACTGTCTTTTCTTTATAAAAAAACCAGTTTTAAATCAGAAATCTGTAAATATACTTATTTGGTTAATTTTAACTGTTGCGTTAAGATTTCAGCTTTTTTGAGTAATGTCGCAAGCTCTTATTTTAAATACAATTTTTAGTCTGCAGGAACCAGTAGATCAAGTTTGATTTGGTTAGATTCATATTAATAATTCTACTAGGCAATTAAACGTAGTAGGACTCATATACATTAGGACCATTATGTATTGATGTTCACACTCGGGGCCAACCATCTTGAAAACTCTATCACCATTAGTCTGATAGGAGAACCTGTCTTTACCTGCTGACCTTTCCTTGATCTGAACATGCCTCATATCATCAGTACAATGATAAAACCTGCTGACCCGGTGGCAAATAAAAGTCCATATTAGTGCCAAATGAGTCTTTTATTCCATTTTTTTTCTCTTTTATGTTTTCTTGATTCCAGTTTGATACAGAATGATATGAGGGTTAGCCGGGGCTGCACATAGAACTCTCAGTTTGATTAGAAGTGACAAGCTGTTGTCTTTGTTGCGCGGAATTTTTATTCTGATATTGCTTAATTTAATATCCTGCACGTTGACGTAGAAATGATTGAAATTCTTCGCATTCTAGTCTGTCTTCTTTTGATTTAGTGGCATTCTCGGTTAACCTTTGGTAATTTTTTTCATTTGTGGTTGCGGGGTGGGTTACGTTGGAATCTTTCTAGATCTTTATCAGATGTGAAGATATAATAGAAGAAACTTGTTATTGCACATGATCATGCCAAAATAAGAGGATAACAGTTGAGATTTATTTTCCGTGTTCCTTGAGTTATAGGTCTTTCAATTTAAAACTGATTACCTATGAGTGAAGTAGACTCACCTTTCTAGGAATACTATACTTTGTGTCAACTAATGTGAGAACGTTCTAGTATGCCTCCCCATGTGCAAGCTGACTTTCAGATATTTTTTCACGTGAGATATCATGTTAATTTGACAGAACCATCAAGCTCAAGACGAATTGACAAGTAATGGAGTAGTCCTATCTTTTTAAGCACAGGTTTACCGTTTGTATCAATGAAATGGGACTATTCAAACATTTGTAAAAACAGAGATCATAGATTTGTAAAATCAAGATAAGTATTCATTTAGAAGGGTACTGATGAGACTGTGATAACAGATCTGAAAGAGTTCTCATGGTCAAAAGTTCGGCTCTTGATGATATTTTGGTGAAGAAATATTAAGATTATTGATATTAAATCAAAAAGAAAATATTAGTATAATTTTGTGTGAAGAATTAAGGTTTTTTATTTCCGAGTAATGTTTAGTTTGATTCCTCTGGGTAAAATTCTATTATGTCCGTTAAATGTATTTTTTTTAGTACATTTGATGCCTTTGCAACATTAAGAAAAGAAAAAACTCTAGAATAGAGCAAAAAAGGGGATTGCACAGGGATCCTCCAAGCATCGAAATTCACTTTATTTATTCGTTGGCTGTTGATCACCGGAAACATCAACTATTTATTGCTTTATGCTTAAATTACGACAACATCAAAAGACAGAAAACGTGTGGAATATTCCCCAGTCTTCTTTAAATCATGCTAGATATTTAGGAATGCCCAATAACTCGTTGAAGACTTTGGACTGGCCATCTTTCCAAATGACATTTCCTTCTCCCTGTCTAGCGCCACACACCCCCTCCACCTTATTGGGTTTTCTTCCCTTGTTTGGTGACCACCTACCCTTGATGTGCTCCCAGTACAAACAGTCACACCCCTGTGGGGGGCCCACCCTTCTCATCCACCAGCTCACCAGGCCATCCCCCGTCCCCCTTTAAGGTTAATGTCGACGTTTGTTCTTCTAGTCAAGGCCAGAAGAATCTTAACTTCAGTTTAATTGATAAATGAGAACAGACTGTGAGGGACGGACTAAGTAATCATGGCTTTTGTAGTTTTGGCTTTTAGAAGGCAAAGGAAAAATTGGAGCTTATTGATATCTGAAAGGCATTATTACATGGACCCAAACCCAAATATAGTTTTGTTTCCTTTGCAAGTTGATAAAGTTCGTTGGAATGTGCATCATATATCATAGTCTGGTGAGAGAAAAGTTGTTTTATTCGAGGCTGAGTAGATATTTCCTAACATATAGCTGCCTATAAGCATCTAGAATGCACTGTAAAGATCTGCACTAGCAGTCAACTTTCCTTTTGATCGTACAGAATTTATTTATTTTTTACTTTGAAATGTTTTGATGGAGCGAATGCTTATGATTTTTTTATTTTTTTATTTTTTGCTTCCAACTTTAAAAAATGAAAACGATTCTGACCATGAAATTCCCACAGGGCTCAGATTTATACAAACTTCCGGTAGATGAGGCATCCAAGGCACACAGCAATAGCAAGACGAGTCCCCATTCCGCAAAAGGCAGCATTGTGGCTGGCACAATGTTAGGAAGCGTAATCGCCTTTGTTCCTGTTACCAGGTGAGTGTCGTAAATCTAAACCGTACAACTTCAACATGTTAAACGAGTGGGTTTTCTTTCTCATCTTTCTGAAGACGTGAATTTTTATAAGAACTGCTAATCTAGCCAAAAGTCATAATTTCAGAGTTGGGCCAACTAAGGCCCAAACTCACCCCACCCATTCGATTGGTAATCTGCCTGTTCTGAGGAGTATCAATCAATCAATAAATAAATAAAGAATAAAATATAGAAAGTAGGAAATAAGTTTGCGGTTGTGTTGTCTCTAAAAACTGGAATAGTCCATAGGAGGGTCCTCCCCTTATAAGGCTACAACAACCATTTTCAAGAAATGATGGGAAGAGAAGGCATCTGGATCATCCTTCTAATCCACCTTCTCTCCTATCCATGGAACTGTGAGACTCGGTTAACTCTTATAGAAGATGGATGGATGCTTGTCGAAACCTGTGTATGCCCCTCACTGTGCTACGACGCCCTCCAAAATCTGGATGACTCTCTGTCATCTTCTTAGTTTTGAAATTTATCAGATATTCCTCAAGAAAACTATTGTTGGGGAGATGCCCAAGAAAGGTTATAAAGAAAAGGGAACGATTGACAGAAGAAGAAGAAGAAGAAGAAGAAGAAGAAGAAGAAGAAGAAAAACAAACAAGGAATATAAAACAAAACGTTTGGTCATCAAAAGTCCAGTCCCCTTTACTTCCGGGCTTGAGCAGAAGAAATAGTTCGAAACAGATGATCTGCCCAGGACTGCCCTTGCGATGGGCAACTTTGTCAATGGAGTTTAACAAATATGTTAGTCTTTGAAAACCCTAAAATCATATATTCACATGCTTTTCACATTTACGGCACAGACATTTCAGTGCGGCTGATTCGAAGCTTAAAACACTATCCTAAATTTGCCGCAGTATCATCAGTATGTTTTGATGCACGAATATTCTGTATGATTATCTTCCTTCAAGAGTACAGTGAGAGATGTATAGGATTTGGCTTCATCGAAAAAAATCTTCACAGAGTAGAGAATGAGTTAACAATTAGGCATCAACTGTTTTCGGTGCCCTAATCTTGAGATAGAAATGCGACATCTCCTATGCATGCATTGAACCAGCTTAAAGAAGGAAAAGATAGAAACCAGCTTCTTTATGATCGATGGGTGTGTATTTGATGATTGAATCAGTCAGTTGCGCATTGACTTTCTTCTCGATGGTCTTGGTGCCTTTTAGCGTGATTATTTGTCAGAGCTTCATCAGCCTATCATCTTGAATGAAGAATCTTCCTAAACCTCCGGGGGCTGTGATTATATTATATCAAAGCCTCATTACTAACTGTGCTCTTCAGAGCTCCCCATTGCTGATAAAATCCCTGAAAATATCGTGATTTCTTGAAAGCTAACTCTGTGATAGGTAATCCACTAGTGGTATGTATAGTGATCATAAGATGCTATTCTGGCCTTCTGATCTGTCGAAACATGTCATTTGCATGAATTTCCAGCGAAGAACACAAGCTATTAGAAGCTGTCCAAGCTAGACTTGCCAATTACCCGCTGACAGCCCCCATCCTTGGAAACGATCATGCCGAGTTTCGTGGGCGTGGATTGCTGGTATGTGACTACTTCCAACCTCTTTAATCCCTACCGAGGATATTCAGTGCTCGTCTATTCTTTTCCATTTCGTCTCTACTGCGTGATATCTAAAATCTGCAATCTTATCTGTGCAAGCTCTTACTAAGATCTCATCTCCTTTCCCACTTGTTATCGAGATGAGTAGATTATTTGGAAACATGTGACGGAGGTACGTTCAGTTCTATCTAGCTGCAAGCCGATGCCAATAATGGTAATTACGAACAAGCAATTTTAAACCCTAACAATGCCCGCGAGGATCACTAATCATGCTTCAGCTCTTGGCTCTATTAATTTCGGCCCCTGATTTCCAGGCATAACAGTTTTTTTTTTTTTTTTCCTGAAATGGTTTTCATTTATGATGAGTTCTCATATCTTTCAGCTGACTTTCCGTTTATTTTCTTCATTAAAAATACGCTGCCACTACCCCTGTCCAAGCCCTCTTTCATTCATTTTGACATTCTCGCCCCTTCCACGGGGAGCGTTGACCGAGCTAAGTCCACGGGCCTGGCTATTGGCTGTATGGAACTCCGGTCAAACCTGCCAGAGATAGATTCTCTTGTTTTTTTTTGTTTTTTTTGGGGGGGAGATATCAAGATGGATTATGCCAAGTTGATATTACATGTCGCATCTGTCCTTTTTCTTTTTTTGCCAATCTAGGGTTAATTCCTGAAATTACGTTCGGGTGTGCGAACGATTGACTGACTCCTTCGCCGGGGCGTTGTCTTCCCGATGCAGGACGGAGTGCCCACAATGTTGGACGGAGACATGCTAGCACAGTTCCTAGAGTTGACCAGCAGCCAGCAAGAGGAGGTGCTGGACATTTCCAGAAGCAGGCAGGCGGCGGAAGCTTCTTGGAGTCCGAATCCTCCCGGGATCTCCGTCGACGAGGTCGTACGGTTTCTCGAGCGAGTCCACTACGCCCTCTCCTAACCCTTCCTTGGAGCCCTCCCGATAAGGAGGAGGATCTTCCTCCTCTTCTCCTTCCTTCCTGTGTAAATGATCAGGCGCATTCCTATTCTCATTCCTGAGACTTAATTTGCTTGAAAGAGGTATCTATCTCATCACGATCTTGCCCAAACCTCCGACAAATCCATCAAAACTGTCTTTGACCCGCCGGGTAAAGAAGTTGACAATCTTCCGCGCCTCAAAAATCAACGCTTCCGAGGTCAAATCACTCATTGAGGAGAGAGAATGCAGCTCGTCACTTTCCTTAGCCTCTGTCAATGCCACTGACACGTTGACATGGCGGCGAGATCAACTGAGAGAAGACCGACTAGCTTGCCCAAGGCCTCATTCAAGCTACCGTCACTCCCCCTACAACTCCACGGTTTCCCACTTCTCCGCTAATAGTACAAGCAAACAGTGTGAGAACCTCCAAAAAACCAAAAACTCTCTCTCTCTCTCTCTCTTTCCAAAGCAGCCCCACAGCAGCTGAGCAGATCACTCGCTCGGCGAGACGGAACGCTCCCTCCGCAGGGCTCTCCTCGAGTTGTCCTCAGCGGGCGGCGGGGGGCTCCTGCTCCTCGACCCGTAGGGAGAGCGCGAGAACGATCCTCCTCTGTGGCTCCTCCTGCTCGGCGAAACCGACCTGCTCATTGCCCATTAGAACGATGATGATCAGAGAGAAACAAGAGCGAGAGAGAGGCGCTACAAGCTTTGTTGAGGATGGGACCCACCTGGAGTGCCGTCTCCTCGGCGAAGGAGAGTCATAACTGCGGCTGCGGGACCTCCCCGCGCGCGGTGAGCGAGAGTACCGCGGGGAGCGAGACAGAGAGCGCTCCCGGCGGCTGTCTCTTCCTCTGCTGCTGCTGACAGAGAGAGAGGGAGAGAGAGCGAGATGAAGGAAGATGGTGGGTTCAACGTTGAAGGGTGGGTGGGTGGGTGTGCTCACCTCACTCTCTCTCTTGCCCTCATGTCTGATGGCTTCTTCCGGTTCTCCTGCGCGAATACGACAGTCAGCTCCCTCCCGAGCAGCATCTGCCCGTCCATCTGGTACTTGGCTTCATTCGCGTCGGCCGAGTCCACAAACTGGACGAAGCCGAACCCTCGTGGATCTCTGCAAAAGGGGAACGGACGAAGGTTTCACGTCAGAAATGGAATAGAAAGTCAATACAACTGCGAAACTTCAGTGAAATGAGGAAATTGACGAGAGCAAAATCATTCTGCGGGGTTCATGATTCGGGCCAAGTCAAAGCGGAGAAAAAATGCCTTTTTTTTCGCCGGGGGGGGGGGGGGGTGTATTTTCTTGGTGTAATTCAAGTAAAGCAAGCACTAGGCTGCTGACCTTTCACTCTTCAGAGATTAAAGATGACTTCAAATTCTTCAAGACCCGAATCTCTTGAAAACGTACAACTTCAAACCCAACTTCTTCCCATCTCACCGGCCAATATCTTCTTCACAAACACATAACATCCTCTTCAAAAGGACCCTTATACTTGATAGATGTCTTCACAACTTTATTTCGGCTGTTAAATCTCAAGAGCCTTAATAAATGAATCCAACACACAATTCAAAACAAAAAGGCACATACTGAAGAATGTTACATGTCGACAAATTAAAAGAGCTCATGACAGCGTGAGAGCAAGCAGATTAACCATCTCGTAGAGCAAAAAACAGGGAGTCTGCGCTGGACAACAAATATCAAAGCTTGCAGGTACGTCAGCAGATGCCAAAAGCTAGGCCAAACCAAGCCTGGATTGTAGACTGATGAGAAATCGCCTGGAGTCGGCTTCGGAATCAAAGACCAAATCCCGCAGGGCAGGGCAGGGCAGGGCAGGGACAGGACAGAACAGGTTTATCCCTCAATGTGGCCAAACACTGACCAACATCAGCTATACCAGAGGACAGAGAGAGAGAGTTGGGTAGGAATGCAAGCGTTACCATCTGGCCCAAAAATCTAGATGCCACTTGCTAGTTGGCATCGTGAGATTATAAAATGCGTTCAAATCCAACATAATTCTAAGTTATCAAAGGCATCAAACATGTGAGACAGGAGGGCATAATACGCTTGGAAAGATGGATGCAGTGTTGGTGTATGCTACGAGCTGGGTGCCTTTCTGTTCTGCTATAACAATGATCATCATCCACTTTATGCATAATGTAATGCTTTCAACAAGGGGCTGATATGCACTTAACAAAAAGTGAAATAGAAGATGATGAAAACAAACGTCGAATCCAAGAAACTGAGAACCAAACCTAAGATAGCGAATTTGGAATTGCAATTAAACATGTGCAATGTACTCAGCAAAACAAGCGAGCTATATTGGGGAATTGACACAAATGTCAACTGCGAAAACATATATAAAATCCTAACAGAACCGGCATCACATTAAATATGGAGAAAAGAGGAAGGTCATTGTTTCAGTAATCAGACAATAAATTGCCGATAAAACAGTCAGCGACAGAAAATAATTCCTGAACATCACTGAAAGATCGCACTACCCTGCAACATGGTGCCATCAGTGCTACTCACCCGGTGTAGTAATCACGTGGCAAATATATATCCTTAATAGGACCAAACTGACCAAATGCCCTTCGAAGATCATCAGGCCTGCATGAGCATTAAAAAGCTTAGACTGTACGCCACAGATGATTTCCAAAAATCAAAAGACAATCTTCGCATCTATGAAAAAAAGCGTGTCTGATAGAAAGCTTGAAGTCCAGCATAGAAAACATATCACAACCGCCAAAAGCATTGCCCGAGGCTAAAATTTCCACCGACAGTTGGAGAAAATAGTTGAATAATAATCACTTGCATAAGTTTATGTTATATGGTCTACAAAAAGAGGCGTGTAATAAGGACCTACGACAAACCAATGCACGATCAACTATGAGATCAAGTAATATAAAATAAACATATTGGGAGAAAAATATCCCAATCATGTAGAGAATTTTCAACAGCAATCCCCTAACGTCAACTGTATGCCCGTCTTGATTCAAGTTTAAACATTCACAGGCGGAGACACCTATCTGAGACCGGTAGTTTACGACGCATATGCATCTGACCGAGAGAATACATACGAAGACAAGAGACTATTGGGTGCGGAAAGCAGTAGCCAAAATAGCTTACCTACAATCGTGGCGAAGGTTTCGGACCAGAAGACTAGTAGGAAGATCTCTTCCACGCCCTCCGTAACGTCCTCTAGGGCTAGGGCTACGACCTCTTCTTCCGTAACCTCTTGGCGGAGAAGGACTGTAGCTGTAGCTTCTTCCCCTCATTCTATGACTCAACTACCAAACCTGTCACAGAATAAAACGATGAACCCAATGCATATACAAATTCAAGTTTAATAAGCAACTAAGAAAGGGATCCATAATCAATCAAGATATCAAGCACATGATTAGAAAAATAGCTCAAAACACTCATCAGTCGGTACAAAAAGCGCAAACTTGACCAGCCAGTACAAGGTGAAACGAATTAATGAACACATTTTTTAGATGCACCAGTGCATATGATAACGACGGCGTAGATAAACATACACTTGCGAGTGGACAAGCCCCTGAAAAATTATTGAAACATAAAAGACCGTTCCACAACTAGACTCAAAATGTAGAACCACCAAACCAAGAGCCGCCCGTCGACGAAAATATTGCGTGCAGCGACAACAAGAGAGCCCTACCAACTCAAGAAACGGAATCGGGATTCTTGCGATCCAAGCAGGAGCCACCCAAACCCTAGGAGAGTGCCAACGAGGACGAAGAGCAACCAAGAAGCGACTTCGAGGGAACGAGGACAACAGCGCTCCCTTGCGGACAAACCCTAGGGCACAGAGTGATAGGGAGAGAGAGGAAGAGAGAGAGAGAGAGAGAGAGAGACGAGAGAAAAGGTTTATCGAACCAGGTATATACACGGGAACCGCGGCGCTTTCTTCTAGAAGGTTCCAGCGCTCGCCCTCGGCTTCCACATCAAGACCGTAGATCAGCCTCTCATTAAAATCGGATCGTAGGATCCGACCTTCTTAGTGTCCACTCGGTATCAACGGCCCAGATGAGCCGACGATGACTCATCCCTCGTGCGCTGCTTTTTATCGGATTTAGCTATTTAAGATATTTAAAAAATGGGCCCATTAGTGATTGCGCCCCATCTGGTCGTGGGAAATTAGCGTTTTTACTACAGCATATTTAAATATTTACATTTAATTTTTCCCTGTATTATTTATCAAATGGAAAAATATTATACAGGGCTTTATTGCGTCCAATTCACCTCGCCCCATTTGTACCTATACACAGGCGCACACCTAGCGAGAGAGAGAGAGAGAGTTGTTGAGTAAAATAAATATCGGTAATTGTAAAGAAATTATTTTGGTGAAATATATATAATTAATTAGTTCACGTCCGTGGCTTTGATGCTTGGAATACATGATAAAACGTTACAAAATTATATATTTCTGTTTAGTTAAAATTAAAAACGGGTTGCGAAAAAATATACTTAACAGTAATTTTCCCCGATTTATTTATCCTCACATTTTGAGAACCTTTTTTTAATAAATAAAATTACGATGGCTGAATTTTTAAATTGGTTTAATTGGTTTTCCTGTACAGTGGTGTCTGGTTCAACGTCACGGGGCCAGGTCTGGCGGCTCGAGTTGTATTACTTTTTTACCACGTACCGTTGTTTTTTTTTTGGAAACAACATCAAAATTTCGGAAAGACTCATGTCGCGATTATGTCGGTGGGCCCGCCGCCATTCTACGTCACCTCGGTCTCCCGTCGATTCACCCCCTCCTCCGCGACGGAAAGTGGAGGGGCGGGGGGTTATCTCCGTCTCCAGGCAGAGACAAGTTAGAGAGTTGGGGGTGACAGTATCATCTGGGGCCCACGGCAATTTATAGTCGGGTCCAGCTGGGGAGGTGAAAAGGAAGAGTACACAAAAAAAGACCGGCTTAGTCGGCGGAAAAGGACCACCCAAATTGCTGTGCGATGAGGCTACGCACTCAATGTAGGGGTATTTTAGTCAGATAACATCTCTAGAGGGGTATCGTGGCCTTAACGAATGGAAACACGACGGCTCGACAGTGATGCGAATCTGAAGGCTCCGGCTACGCCTGTGAACCAGCTGTTCGCTTGTCACTGCGCGCGGCAGAAGTGCAGTGCACCCTCGTTTGGAATTCCTCTCTCTCTCTCTCTCTCTCTCTCTCTCTCTCTCCATATCTCACTTCGGCCTCCTCGTTCATCCCTTCCCCTGCTGGCGGAAACCCTAGCGGTAGCGGAGCTGCAGCACAGAAGCGGCGAGGGCCGGGGAGGTGGCGGCGCCGCCGGCTGTATCTGGGTTGCCGGTGAGTTCCGCGGTTCCTCTCTCTTTCTGAACTGGGCTGCTCAAGAACAGCCACGCAGCTCCTTTTTCGAACTGGGATTCTCTCCCTGCTTCATTTTCTGCGCAAAGGTCTTGATCACTGCCGGCCTTCCTGTTCATGGCGACGGGCCGTAATGGGTTTGAGGCGGTGTTTCGGCGCTGTGATTGTTCCCGGAGGGGCAGCAAGTGGACATCATTCTTGCAGGCACAGCCGAGGAAGAAGCTGGCTCAGTCGAGCCCTCCGGATTGTCTCTGATCATGCCGCACTGATTCTCCTTCCGTGGGAGTGGAATCATGCTGAACTCGTGGAGCTCCAAGAGAGATTTTATTTTCCATTCTTTTTCTCGGCCTTATTTCTGTTCATGATTGATGGAAATATATTTTTTTAAGTTCTTGGTAGTTTCAATCCTTCCAGAAAAATATTGGGCTGTCACCTTCTCGGCGAGTTCATATGTTATAGAGCTGAATTCATGTAAAAATGTGTTTTTTTCCATTTTTTCCGTGACAATTTATTCGATAATTGGCAGTTCATAGCGCGTTCTAAGCGACCTGTTCCGGGCTTGATGTTTCCCGAAGAATGTCGACTACCCGTGGTCCTGCCGATGATCTTCTTCTTCTTCTTCTTCTCAGCTGTTTCAGGTACCTCGATCCGTTCGTGTATAAAATCTATTTCTTTCTTGATGTCGGGCTGAATATTTTCTTAGCTCGGAGTCAACCCGCTCTGCATTAAATGATGTCCGAGTCTGGCGATCGTCAAGTTTTCCCTTTTTCTTTTTAGTGATGAATCATCGTCGTCAACCTCGCGCAGGTTCATTCGTGGGGTTCAACATCGGAGGAGGTTCCTCTGCAGCGGCGGCGGTCTCCCTCCTCAAGGTGCAGGGGATACGCCATGTTCGCCTCTCTGATGCAGACCACCGGCTTCTGAGCGCCCTCGCCGGCACCGGGGTGGAGGTCATCGTCGGCGTTCAGAACGACGAGGTCCTCCGCATCGGGCAGTCGCCGGCGGCGGCGGCGGAGTGGGTCAAGACCAATGTTGCCACATTCGCTCCGGCGACCAACATCACCTTCATCGCCGTCGGCGACGAGGTCCTCACGTCGATCCCCAACGCCGCCGACGTCCTCGTCGCCGCCGTCGAGCACCTCCACTCTGCCCTCGTCGCCGCCGATCTTAATCTGCAGGTGAAGGTCTCGACGCCTCATTCCATGGCAGTGATCCCGCGGCCGTTCCCCCCGTCGGCGGCGGCGTTCAACTCTACCTGGAGCTCCGTCATGGTGGAGCTGCTGCAGTTTCTGCAGAAAACAGGGTCGTTCTTCATGCTTAACGCCCAGCCCTACCATGGCTACATAGAAGGCGGCGGGATCTTCCCTCTGGACTACGCCCTCTTCAAGCCGCTGCTCCCCAGCAAGCAGATCGTCGACCCCAACACGCTCTCCAGCTATGGCAACATGTTCGACGCCATGATCGACGCCGCCTTCTTCTCCATGGAAGCTCTGAACTTCTCCGGGGTCCCCGTGCTGGTGACGGAGACGGGCTGGCCGTGGCGCGGCGGCGCCGCCGCGCCTGACGCCACGATCGGCAACGCGTTGCTCTACAATGGCAACCTCCACCGGCACGTACTCGCCGGCGCCGGAACGCCGGCGAGGCCCAATGCCACCGTCGGCGCGTACATCTACGAGCTCTTCGCCGAGCCGGCGGCGGAGGAGGAGAGCTGGGGCCTGTTCTTCCCGAACGGGACGGCGGTGTACTCCATCAACCTGGGAGCTCCGGGTTCGCTTCCTGCGAACTCGTCGGAGCTGGCCGGCGTGTTCTGCGTCGCCAACTCCAGCTCCTCCGCCAGCGAGCTGAAGGCGGGGCTCGACTGGGCTTGCAGCGTGGGGCAGGCCAACTGCACCGCCATCCAGCCGGGGCAGCCCTGCTACGACGACGAAGACGTTCCCGCCGTCGCCTCCTTCGCCTACAACGATTATTACCACCGCATGCAAGCCACCGGCGGAACCTGCAACTTTGGCGGCACCGCCTTCCTCACCACCGCCGATCCCAGTGAGTGAGCTCTGGTTTTTCCTCCAGGGAGACATTTCTTTCTTCTCTTTCTCATCGCTGCTGGTGGTGGTGGTGTTCCTTGCAGGCCATGCGGCGTGCGTGTTCGCCGGAAGGTGAGTTGTTGTGCCCCGTGGTTTCTCCTCTCTGCAAGCTGCTTTTCTTGGCTTCTCCTCACCGGCGGCGCCGCCGTTGTCTTCTGCATTGTGCAGCTCGGGGTCGAATGCCAGCGGCGGCACGACATCCCCGGCCTTCGGACCCATCAGCCCCGGCAATGACGGGCCACCGCCGCCGCACGCCGCCGCCGCGGAGTTCAATCTTCTCCTCCCCCTTCTTCTTCTTCTTCTTCTTCATCTCGTCAGCTGACCCTTGAGCCGCCTCCACCGCCGTCCCCTGGTTCAGTCTTCTGCTCGCATTCCCCCAAGATAAGCTGCGGAAATGCAGTGGCTTCTTGTCCTCCCCTCCCTCCTCGCTCCCTCTTTTCTGTAGAGAAGAACAACCCCCTAAGCTTTCCACCATACTCTTCCCTTGATCACCTCTCTCTCTCTCTCTCTCTCACTCATAAACGGAGGGGGGTCTCTGGTTTCATGTAGATTTCTCTTTCTAGGAGAGCCAGCTAACTGGTGTTGCTGAGGAAGACGAAAGACTGCTTCAACGGAGGAGCGGATTCCGAGTCTTACCGAGTCACACCGAGTTTTGGTGTCGGGATTGTATTGAATCGGTAGAATCAAGAATCAATATCCGTTGACTGTCGGGAAGTGGGTCGAATCGGCTGAGAATCCGGTCTGAGTGGACCGATTCGGACCGGATTGACCAAACTAGGCACATCATTTCCGACTCGGACCGGTTTTTATTGGAATACGTGGTGAGCTATATACTCTATTACGTGGCAAGTTTTGATTCGGCTAAGTTCGTGACGGGTACCCTTTCTGCTCCTCGGGGGTCTGGAGTGTTGGGATTGAGAGAGAGAGAGAGAGAGAGAGAGAGAGAGAGAGAGAGAGAGAGAGGGGGGGGGGGAGGGGATGTCGTCGGCGAACCTCTTCCCAAGCTCGTCGGTGGGAGGGAGCTCCGGTGGGGGCGGCGGCGGAGGAGGTGTTCGGGGATGGGCATCGGCCACGTCAGTGTCGGCGTCGGGGAAGAGGATACAGAAGGAAATGCAGGAGTTCAACGCTGATCCGCCGCCGGAGTGCTCCGCAGGCCCAAAGGGCGACAATCTCTACCACTGGGTCTCCACCCTCATCGGTCCCCACGGTGATTCTCTCCTTCAGTCCCGGTGACATCTCTCTCTCTCTCTCTCTCTCTCGTTCACAGCCGGCCTTGAATCGTTCCTTACCATTGATTATCTCTGTCATTCCTAGGGTTTTTCGGTTTCCGCTCTCTTCTGCACACGACTATCAGAGAACCACTCAATGAAATCTCTTCTTCTCGGGAGTTGACTTTTGTAACACCCAGCTTGGCTTTTCATCGGCCGCCAAATAAAGTCTGATCAATCGATACATCTGTTAAATATTTGTACTTCTGTGCCCTAATCGATGGAACTGCCTCTTCTATCTTTGGATCCATCTAAGAATCTATCTAAGAACAACTGGGTGAGGTGAAGAATATTATATCTAATTATAGAATCTGAAGACGACGAACCCAGATGTGCAAGATTCTGTACGAACTTCTGTTCATCTCCATTATTTTTCTCCTCTCATTTCCTAGTTTCTTAGTGGCTTTATTTTATTTATTGTGCCATTTTCTTGCTCAATTATACGAGCTATTATGTTTTCACTTGTAGGTTCGCCATACCAGGGTGGTGTGTTCTTCCTCGACATCGCATTTCCTAATGACTACCCCTTCAAACCTCCCAAGGTACGACATGAAGAAGCTGCCATTTTCTGTATATAAAAAAAGGAGATATTCTATTTCCGGAAACCATATGCGATGGGAAGTCAACGGCGTTTTATGATACAGCTGAGAAAAGTCGTACAGCATCCAGGGTCTGGAGCTTGGTGGAGTTTCCTCCCAATTAGATATTAAGGTTCTGATTCCGGTAGAAGCTCATAGAAGCAGGGAATGATTTGCAGGTGTCGTTCAAGACTCGAATATACCATTGCAATGTGGATGCAGCGGGCAATGTGGGGATCGAGATCTTGGGAGCTAGCTGGAGCCCCGCGCTGACCGTCTCCAAGGTTCTTCTGGCGATCAAGTCTCTCTTCACCAAGCCCGATCCCTGTCCGTCTCCCTCCTCCTCATCATCGTTCTCGTTCCCTTTTCTTCGCCTGCCCTCCTCCAGATCTCCGTCTTTGATTCGTCCTCTGTACTGGTGCTTCTGGCTCTGGTTCTTGCAGATAGTCCCCTCGTTCCTGGTATAGCAAGACTGTTCTTGACTGACAGGCATCGGCACGACGAGATCGCCGCGGAGTGGACGACGAGGTTCGCCAGGTGAAATCGTTCTTCTGCTGAGTTGTGGTGAGGAGCCCATCACCCGAGCTCTGTTTCAGGGACCTCCTCTTTTGTCTGCAAGTACTCGCCCGTTTTGGAAAGTATCCAGTTTCTCTCTCAGCGGGTGAGATCGGGTCTTCTTCTGAGATGGGTTCGATCGTTTTGTCTGAGATAGGGGAGCCGGATGAGATGCCCCACTCCTGTGCTCTGTTTCAAGTACCTCCCTGTCTGCAAGTACTCACCTCTTCTGAGGCCAGTATTCCAGTTTCTCTCGGCGAGTGATATCGGGTAGGACCCGAGAAAGAAGATTGATAAAAGGGGTCGGCGGCGCCGCCGGGGTACGCATGCATGAGGTATGGTTCTCTTCGCTCAGCGGTGGCCGGCGGCATCGCCCGCCGCAGTTTCTCCGCACAGAATCTCGCCGGCCATCCTGCCCCCGACCGCGGCGGCGTGGGGGACGACCGTCGAATCGCATCGGAGCTGCTGGAGTCGCCGGACGTGGCTCACGCCTTGGCGGTCTTTGAGAGGGCGAAAAACCGGACGACGTTCTTGTGGAACTCGATGATCCATAGCTGCTGCAGGCTGTCCTCACCGGAGCTGGCCGTCGCCTTCTACGGGAGGATGATGAAGGAGGGCCGGAGGACCAACTTCTTCACCTACCCATCTCTCATCAGCGCCTGCTCGAATCTGGCCACCGCCTGCGAGGGATCACAGGTCCACTCCCACGCCATGAAGATGGGGTTCGAATCTGACAGGTTCCTCAGGAGCTCGCTAATTCACATGTACTCGAGCTTCGGCGATATGGGCTCCGCACGGATCCTGTTCGATGAATTGCCCCTGCGAAATGTCGTGGTGTGGACGGCCCTCATCAATGGGTACGCCAAGCAGGGAGATCTGGAGAAGGCAAAGCAGGTGTTCGACAGAATCCCCGAGAGGGATTCCGTCATCTGGAGCGCCATGGTTTCCGGGCATGTTCAGAATGGCAAGTTCTCCGAAGGACTGAGCTTCTTCCAGGAGATGATCTCGGAGGGGGTAGAAGCTACCGAGGGCGCCATGGTCAGCGCTCTCTCTGCTTGCGCTCATTTGGGTGCTCTGCAACTGGGGAGGTGGATCCATTCTTACCTGGAGAAGAAGAAGAATAAGAAGCCCGGGCAATCCATGGGGATCAACCTGGGAACCGCCCTCGTCGACATGTACGCGAAATGCGGCGCCATGGCGGCGGCGTTGGATGTCTTCGAGGCCATGCCCAGCAGGAACGACTGGACATGGAACGCGATGATGGGGGCCTTCTCCCTGCACGGGCATGGCCGAGGCGCCGCCGGTCTCGTAGGCAGGATGCTGAAATCGGGCTTCTCCCCCGACAAGGTCACCTTCCTCGGCCTCCTGGGCGCCTTCAGCCATGGCGGAATGGTCGAGGAAGGCAAAGAATTTTTCAAATCCATGAGCAGCTTCTTCTCCATGGAGCCCTCGTTGGAGCACTACGCGTGCCTGGTGGACCTCTTGGCCCGCGCAGGGTGTCTGCAGGAGGCCCAGCAGGTCGTCGGGGACATGCCCATCGAGCCAGACGCCGGCGTCTGGGGAGCGCTGCTCGGCGGCTGCAGGGTCCACGGAGACGTCGGCCTCGGCACCGCCGTCGGCCGGCGGCTCCTCCGCTTCGATCAGGGCGGCGCCGGCCGGTACGTTCTTCTGTCGAACATCTACGCTGCAGCGAGGCGGTGGGAGGACGCAGGAAGAGTGAGGGCTCTAATGGCGGCACGGGGGGTGAAGCCGCAGGCGGGGATCAGCTCCGTGGAGATCGACGGCGTGGTCCACGAGTTCGTCTCCGGCGACCGGGGGCATCCTCTGGTGGCGGAGATCTACAAGAAGATGGAGGAGATGGCGGAGAGGCTGAGAGGCCGCGGCCACTGCGCCGCCACCGGGGAGGCTCTACTTGATCTCGACGAGGAAGACAAGGAGCTCCAACTGGCCAGCCACAGCGAGCGGCTGGCGATCGCCTTCGGCTTGATCGCTCTGCCGATCGGAGCTCCGATCCGCGTGGTGAAGAACCTCCGCGTCTGCGCCGACTGCCACGCCGTGACGAAGTTGCTGTCGGAGATCTACCAGAGGGAGATCATCGTGCGGGATCGTAAGCGCTTTCACCACTTCAAGGACGGCTCCTGCTCCTGTTCCGATTACTGGTGAGAGAGTGATCGCCGAAAAAGTAAGAAAAAACAGGAAATATAATTTTTAGTGTCTCCGGATTAATTAAAAAAATATTTAATATATTTCTGGCAGGAAAATCGGAGAATATTTCCTCTCTGAGCTTTTCATGAATATTTATTTTTAAAGACGTAGAAATGTTTTTTTTTATCACACGAACCCGATGAATGCGATTGGAAAATATCGAGGAAGAAAATATCGTCTGCAGCAGAAATGGCGGTCGCCGGGGGGGAGGGAAGAAGTCGACTCCCACACTCCAAGGCTTCTTCCTTCCCTGTCCGCCGCCCCCGTTCAGGCACCAACCCCTCGATCTTGTTTGTTCGCTTGCTAGCTCTCCCTGTGCCGCTGGCCTCGAGAGAGTTCAAGCTCTCGCGCGAGTCTCCGCACCAGCCGATCTCGAGGTGATCCGTTTGATCTGGTAGGGTTTCACATCCTTTCTTACACTGTTAGGTAACCATCTATGTCGAAACTAGAAGTAGAGATTGAGGAAAGAGACGGGAAACTGTGGCAGATCTTTTGCTGGTTTCTGATTCCCGTTCTTGCTAAAACCCTAATTCTATTCGGTTTCCACTACTCTTTGATGAGTTGATTTCGTCTTGATGCCGCAGGGATGGCTCTGCTCTCCACTAAGAGCTTGGCTTCTTCGGTTCCATTCGCAGCTCGGCGCCGCCTGCGTAATGGGTTGTCCGAAGGGATTTCTAGGGTTTCGCTGAACTGGAGAGGGGGAACCGGCGGCAAATCTCTGCTCATTCCCCGATCGAAGAAGTCCCCCTTTCAAGGTTTAATCTTCTTTTTTGATCCCTTGTATCATCTTCTCCCTGCGGTGAATCATACGCGCCTCATCTTCTTTGGTTACAATAATTGAAATTTCTTCCAGTTCATCTCGTCCAGATTCAACTTCTTCGAGTGTTGTCGGGGCTAATGTACTTCGAATTATGAGGATATTGATGCGCAGTCCAATCAGATTTTCAGAGGTTCGCGGAGCCAGCGAGACTTCTACCGTCCAGGGAAGCGATATTCCTCGGCGAAACCATGGCAGGAAGCGTGCTCGATTCGGCCAATCTGGATGAGTCCTCATCGTTCTACATTCTGCAGATAAGAACGAGCGGTGAATTCGGGTCTTCTCTGAGCGACGCCGACGCTGCGATACTGCTCTCCTTCATCGACGTTAATGGCGATTCAGTTCTTCAAAGAATACCAATGGTCTCATCCGGACCCAGTCCCTCTGGAGCTGAGGAATCTTCCTCTGTTTCCGAAGGGGTCCACTTCCAGAGGGGCTCAGTCGATGTTCTAGGGTTTCACGGGCCCAAGCTAGGGGACATCAAAGCCCTCTGGGTGGGCCTTGAATCAGGTTTCTCGAAACATGTCGTCATGGTTTTGTGCACTCATCATCTGATCAACTGTATCCGATCTCTGAAATTTATCAATTTCTGTGTTTTCAAGGTCAGGCTCGTGGAGATTGAGCGGAATTCGATTGACTGTCGTCGGCGCCGACGGGTCATCATCCAGTAAGCTGTATGAAAGCCGTCGGTACGATTTTGAAGCAGATGAGGTGTTTTTCGGGGGGAGCGGAGGCTTGTCCATGGCGGAGCTGAGGCCTCAGCTTGTCGACGGATTCTCCATGGACGATCCATCGGGCATCATCAGCGGCGATCTCTTCCAGGAATCGGGAAAGCCTAGAGTATCGATGGAGGAGAGCATGGAGGAGTACTCAGATCTGAAGCTATCCCTGCTGGTCTACGACTTGCTGTCCGTCACCGGCGGCGCCGCCGCCGTCGCCGCCGTCTCATCGAGCGAGGAGGCGGCCATCGCCTTCGCGGCTGGCGGAGCCTGCGGCTTCCTGTACCTGTTGCTGCTGCAGAGATCGGTCGACGGGTTATCGGCTTCTGCGTTGCCGGTGGCCGGTGGTGGCAATCTCGCTGGAGGAGGAGGGTTCAGGGGGGCCTTGTGGGGTCTGGCGTTGACCTTATTGGCGGCTGGGGCTGCCGTGAGGTTTGGAGCGGCGGATGGAGGGTTGGCGTTGACTCCCCGGTATCTCTTCCTCGGGCTCGCCGGGTTTCTCACCTGCAAGGTGTCTGTGGTCTTGGCCGCCTTCAGACCCTTGAAATCTCTGAGAGGGAATGGAGGGGAGCCAACCAGAGGCTTGTAAATTGTTCATGGCTCGTGCCCGTTGTTGATGTCTGATACAATTGAATATACGTCGTCTGCTGGAGCTCCATGGATTCTCTCTCTCTCTCTCTCTCTCTGTGTGCCCCGCTCTCTCCATAGAGTTTGCACCACGCCATATCTCTCTCTAGCCCTCTCTCTTTCTCTCTCTCTCTGCGTAGGGCTTTACTATCAATGCATGCTCCTCTCTCTCTCTCTCTGCCCTGCTCTCTCGACAGAGTTTGGCCATCACTCCATCTCTCTCTATCCAGCCCTCTGTGTGTAGAGCTTTGGTATCTATTCCTCCTCTCTCTCTCTCTCTCTCTCTCTCTCTCTCTCTCTCTCTCTCTCTCTCTCTCTATAAAATGGCCTCAGCTTGATGGACAAAGAGGTCCTCTTCTCTTGCCCAGGCGACGGAAAATCAATCACAGGCTGAAGGTCGCGCGATGGCCTCCGTCGCCGGCGCCCTTCGCCGCTGGGCATTGCGGAGGGCTCGCTCCGGCGCGACTCGGTCGAACTTGCCGTGGTCTTTCCTCTCTACCTCCACGACCGGCGCCGGCAATGACGCCGTCTCGGAGCAGATCGGCCAGGGCGCGAGCGGCGGAGAGAAGGCGAAGACGAGCGCTGGATCGATCCCGCCGCCGATCCGCGTCTCTCTCACGGATTCTGCGGGGAGAGGCGTGTTCGCCTCCCGAGCGATCGGCGCGGGCGATCTCATCCACACCGCCAGCCCCGTAGTGGCTCACCCTCTTCCTTCGCTCCTGAGCAAAGTCTGAGTCCCCAGCATCGTCTCGCTCTGTGTTTCTTTCCTCCATCGCTCCTTCCCGCCGACGGATGGCTGAATTTCTTTCTATGTTTCTGCTCAATGCGTAGGTATGTTACTACTGCCTGAGGAGGAGCAGTGGTGACACTTCCGTCCTCTCTGATTCAAGCTGCAGCAGCGCTCGATACTTCTGCAGTGATGAATGCAAAGAGAAATCTAAGGTCTTTTTTTACTCATCCCTTTCATGGGTCCCGTAAAAATCTCATTTTTTTCTCCTTTCTGCGTCGCTTGCTTTTGAAACTGGTTAATCGCAGTTCCTTCGACGAGATTTTCTGTTTCTTCTTGAAAGTATGGAAAAGCCTGTCTATTCGTAAACCCTAAGGTAACATCTGTAAGACTAGGAGTGGCGAAGATGATCATCCTCTGCTGTGTTCAGAATCCATGGTCTGCAGATCATGCTTCTGTACTGGTCCCCAGCTGGCCATCTGACGATCAATTGATGCGTTTGAGTCGGCATCGATGCTATTGTCTGCTGCCTGCAGCTAGTAGAAGCAAGAAATGTATCACAAGGTTTCGAAACCAAACACACTACTAACATTACTTCAGATATATGATCCTAACTGCAAACCCACTGTGATTTGATCGGTAAAAGATGCAGTGCTCCAAAAAAAAGTATGGCACACACCAATCTGTAAGGCATTAGGCCTACTGCCATCTCATTCGTTCAAATCAAGCTAGAGATAATTCCAGTTTCTCAGCTATGAACTTTGAACACTGGTGCATCAACGAGTTGTTCTTTCCAGTAGTCCTTGGATGAAAAAGATGAAGATGTTATGAAGATCTTCTCCAACATGGTCAACTACTTGCCGTGTCTCAAGGTGGCATTGTTCTCCCTTAATATCAATCTCGTGATACGGAATGACAATCTTTGAACACTGCATGCGCATTCGATGATATTAGAAACCCTTTTTTTCGTATTGGACTGGTTCTTTGACAGTAATGTCGGATTGCATTCCATCTATAGTAAAGGTGTCCTGGGTTTCTTATAAGGATTCAAAAATTCAATATGGGTTCTTGATGCTGTGGGCCCTCGATTCGGATTTTTATCATCAAAATGGAATTTGATGAGAAAATCATTTTGATGATTGCCCTTTGATTTAGAGTGCTTACTTTCAAATTTTCATCAACCATCCTTGGTCAAACTTGATATCTAAGATTAGGGAATCAAGATGATTTTGCGGTCTGATGTTGGTGAGTTTTAGAACCCTAAGCAATGGGCTTCAATCCTTTTCTTTAAGTCGAAAGGGAATACCACTGTGTTTGTGCACTCATCGCGCCTTCAATGTAGAGCAGATACTTGTATTTTTCCACTGATTTTTTGTAGAACGCATTGTCACTCTGAGGTTGGATCCGGCTAATCTTCCAAAGAATATTTTTCAATGCGAGTTATTATGATCTGGAAGAGTTTCACACAGGCGATCAGTGTACCAGCCATGTCTAATCACTCTTTTTGGTTCCATGCTCTGACTTCTTCTTTTCCTAACGTCTGTAGGGTTTTCTGGAGATTGAGAGCACATCGAGCTGGTCAGCTTATGATACCCACTGCAAGTATGTGAAGTATCCTTTCATATAATGCAATGATTTCATTATTCTATTGTCAGCTCTTATAGAAATGTTATGGTTTCATATTTACACCCACAACAATGATATCATGAATATATATATCGTCTTTGTTGGGTCCACTCTTGTTGCCAATTCATTGAAATTTCTATTTTTGCCACCTTTCACTGCACAGTGCTACCATTACAAGATAGAGGTCAAGGTATGACTTTGTTCGTTTTTATCGTTTGTGGCCGGTCAGATTTTAGAAAACCCAATTTAAATTTAAACCCAAGAAATCTAGATGGTAATTTCTGTCAGTTCTTGACGATTCATATAATAACTTATTTGATTTTTTTTTTTTTTTTTTAATTTGACTGAAGAGAACGGGGGTTGAAATATCCATTTCTAGTAAAGCGGTTGGCTTGTATGGTCGTAGCAGGAACAGTTTCTGCAGACACCCTCGATATCCTCCAGCCAGCCAGTCTACACCCCGACATGCTTCCAGAGGTAGGCCCTAATTCTAACCTAAAACCCAGATGCTGGAGAGTCGCCTGTTCTATAGTGATGGTGGCTAATGCCTGGTGCTGTATAAAAATCCTAGATGGAAGCGGAATACGAGCTACTGAAGCTCGCATTCGTGAAGGCAGATCCTGAGGAAGCTCTCATCTCATGTATCCTCTTCTCTCTCTCTCTCTCTCTCTCTCTCTCTCTCTCTCTCTCTCTCTCTCTCTCTCTCCCCTGGGATACATGTTTATGCACAGGACACGGCATGCATTGGCCATCAGTTTCTCTGTCATCTTTGACTAAATTAGTTCTCACAAAGCAGTGGTTTCTTGGAGTGATGGCGCGGATCCGCATCAACGCGTTTAGGGTTGAAACAGTTGGAGGATCTTACGAAGATTTGCTTGATTTGGCATCTTCCTCTGTCGTAGCTGACTCTGCGGTCGGCAATGCTGTTTACATACTTCCATCCTTCTACAATCACGACTGCGGTTTGACTCTTTTGCTTTGTTCTTTATGTGTTTCCTTCGTTATGGTTGACTTTATTGCCTCCCTTATCAACATGGGTCTTTCAGGCTACTTTATTTTTCCTCGGTCTGCTATTGTTTTGACTCTTTTGCTTCGTTCTTTATGTGTTTCCTTCGTTATGGTTGACTTTATTGCCTTCCTTATCAACATGGGTCTTTCAGGCTACTTTATCTTTCTTCGGTCTACTATTGTTTTGACTTTTTTGTTTGCTTTTATATAAATATATATATATATATATATATATATATATATATAAATCTGCTGGCAATTTGTGGCGATTATCTATTATTGTCATGGAACATTTTGATAATAGATAATGAAGATAATGAAGATTTCATGCGGCTGACTGGGCTGATCTTGCCATTCTTCAGATCCAAACGCCCACATACTGTGGATCGACAACATGGACGCGAAGCTGAAGGTCCTCCGCGACATTGAACCCGGTTCGTTTTCGTTTCATTCATTATCTCTCTTCTACACGATGATGATTTCTTCAAGCTTTTAATTTTCATCGAATTATTACTATTATTAGTATTATTATAAAAAAATATTATTATGATTATTGTTGTCATCAGGTGAGGAGCTCCGAATCTGCTACATCGACGCCAGCATGGATTGGGAGGCTCGGCAGTCTCTTCTGTATCACGGGTTTGGCTTCCAGTGCAGGTGTTCTAGGTGCTTATCTGGCGACTGAAGGGCCCTTCGTCTGGATAAGTCAACCAAAGGGTGGGTTATCAGCCAAGCAGATCCTGTCAAGTCAAACTCTCAGTTTATTGCTTTAAATAGTCTGTGTTTATCCTAATCGCCTTTGTATACCAACAAAAAATTCATTTTTTTTAGTCCTCCCTCTCTCTCTCTCTCTCTCTCTCTTTTGACCCCAGTGAATTGAGGGGAAAATCTTGACCGTTTGACTGGCCAGGGTCTGGGGTATCCGTTATCCATTATCCCGCCGACGCCAAAGTGGACGGAAGGTACCAGCCTTATGAAATTTGTCTCGGGGCTGCGCCAACCTGTCGGATGGTGACGTTTGGCTCGACCGTTGGAGAAGGATTCGGAGAACCCTCTCCGGATCCGTTAGGAGGGAGGAGACACGTGGAGAGAAGTTGGGAATTACTGTGGGGCCCACAGCGGCTTGACCAGACGGACCCGAGGGCCCCACGCGGTCAGAAGCTGGCCACAAAATTTATAATATAAGAAAACATGAGCTGTAAGGGAAATCGTTGAGTGAGGGAAATATTTTTCGCATAAATTGCGTGAAATAATTAATAAATGAGGGAATTTGAGAAATATGTGTACAAATGAGGGAACCAGGAAGAAGGTGGGCTAGAAGAGTCAACCCATTCTAGAGAAGCTATTCTTCGCCTGCTTCCTCTCTCTCCTGGTTTTTTTCCACCAGTGGAAGGGAGCTGGGGACACATTCGTCAACGTTTAGCAGCGCGCGCCATTAGGACACTGGAGCATCGCTGGATCACCTCCCTATAAAGCGAGGAGATTTTGGAAGATTCCCACGCTTCTTCTTCTTCCTCTCTCTCTCTCTCTCCCCCCCTAGCCCCCCTCTCCCTCTCCCTTTGATCTCGTAATTGCGGGGATTTCCGCTGCCTATTTTTTGTTTCGTTGGTGTCGTCGTCGCCGCCGTCCGTCTGGAGCTGGAGATGGAGAGCGGCGGCGATGGTGAGGGCACCTTCTTTGGTGTCCCGGGGTGGCAAGGTCTTTCGCTGTGCGCGATAATGGGTTGGATCCTGCTGTCGTCGGCGTTGGGGCTGACTCAGAAGATCAGATCGCTGGTTCAGCCCTGGGTCTCCCGCCGCGTCGCCTCCGAGACCCCTCTGGTCCTCTTCATCCAGGTAATCACCATTTTCGTTCCCGGTTCCTCTCCCCCTCCCTTCCGCCTCATTCCCCCTTTTTTATTTTCGATTTATTTAACATTATTTTCTCTCGATATGATGAATATGATGATAATCGCGTTGTTGATGTTGCCGTTCGACGCAGAGTGCGGATCATGTGCTCCTCGATACGTTCTTCTCCGTGCTCTCCTGCATCGTCTCCGTTCCTTTCTACACGGGATTCCTACCCTTGCTCTTCTGGGTAGGGCAATTTTCCTGCCTTGTGATTCTTTACGTTGCTTCTCCTTCTCCTCCTCCCTTTCTCTCACTGTTGACGAGTATCACCAGGCTGTATGTCATGGAGAGTGGGGTTGAAATCGTTGATGAGGCCTCTGGGTTTTTTTCCGGCATGATTTATGCGAGATTTTGATCCTCCTCCTCCCTCCAGAGTGAACACGGGAAGCTGGCCAGACAGATGACGCTTTTGATGGCTTTCTGTGATTATGTCGGGAATGCCATGAAGGTAATTCCTGGTTCATCTTCCTTCTGCATCTTCGTTGAGTGAAAGCTATCCTGCATCAAGTTCACCATATTTTTACTAGTGATTTTGCCATGCTTGAAGGACTTGGTATCAGCCCCCAGACCCAGCTCTCCACCTGTTAGAAGAATAACAGCAACCAAAGATGAGAAAGAGAATGCGATGGAATACGGTCTGCCTTCCTCCCACGCTCTCAACACCGTGTGCCTCTCTGGGTACGATCCACATCCCCTCTGAAAATATTTATTAATTGTGCATTATGGGATATTTATAATGTTAACTATGTGCAGAAGAATATTTCAGCCGAAATAATTTTATTTATAATGTTTTGCTTGTTTCCTCATTGCAGATTTTTGCTGCATTATATGATAGCGAATGGCCTCCAGAAGGATGCTTCCAACGTTATTTATATTGGGATTTCTCTCGTCTTCCTGCTGGTTGCGCTCATCGGCCTTGGTAAGGTTAATATTTTCATGTGATGGATCCATCAATCTTCGGTAAGACTTATTTATTTTATTTTTCAGGGAGGATATATCTCGGCATGCACAGCTTCATTGATGTCGTGGGTGGGATAGGCTTGGGAATTACCATCCTATCCTTTTGGATCAATGTGTATGGATATGTGGACGACTTTATCATCTCTGGACAGAACGGTATTATGCCAGCTCCCACCCACCCTCTGAAAGTCCTCCATTTCATCTTCCGTTGACCCCCCTCTGAGGATGATCGAGCTTCTAACGTTGTGTTGCAGTAACTTCTTTCTGGGCTGGGCTATCATTACTACTGTTATTTGCTTACCCAACGTCAGAGCTCCCGACGCCGAGCTTCGAGTACCACACAGCCTTCACCGGGGTTGCTTTCGGGATAGTAAGCGCAATCTATCATCCTTGTTCATCTTTTTCACATGTGATCGATGCTGCAGCAGCGATTTGTGTGTGATGGGGTTTTTTAGTAGATTTAAAATGCCTGATGTTAAGATGAAGATAGTTTCTCCCAGCTGCATAATCAGTGATGTTCTTGAGTCTTGAATCTTGCCCGGGCTGGCAGAATCAAGACAGTGGAAGATATTTTGACCAGGATATATTTTCTTGAAACAATGATTATGACCCATTCTAGGAAACGAATCATTAGAAGATTTGACATCTCCTTTCTATGAACAGATTATGTACCAAGTGATAATGGAAAAAGGTGTGAGAGTTTTCTGACTGGTGTTCTATACTAGCTTTATGATTCTCGTTGGAAGGTTGCTGCTGGGCCTCCCCATCATCCAATGTTGTGAAGCTCTGGGCATCCCAACAGATGATGATTTCTCTGCTCATGATTTCTGACACAAGCCCTGATGATTCCTACATATTTATATGTATATATATATTATTTTTCTGTCTCCTGATTATCCTTAAATTCCTCATCAGACCCAGGCAAATGGCATTTCATGATCGAAAAGAACAGAGTGCATTAACCCACCCGTTGCCAGCTTCTTTTGAACGATGAACGGACTCAGCTATTGCTTCTGTTTTCAGACGATTGCCCTCTTCTGTCATTCAGGTCTCCGGCGTCCAGCAAAGCTCCCTTCACCTCAGCTATGGGGGCGCTCCTCGCATGCTTCCCTCGGAGCTAACCCCTTCCATTCTCCTCGGGAGGTTGCTGCTGGGCCTCCCTATCATCCTCGTTGTGAAGTTCTGCAGCAAGGCGCTGGCCAAATGGTCACTGCCCATCTTGTGCAACGCTCTGGGCATCCCGATAAGATCGTCGTGCTACGTTCCCGGGTTGAAGGCTCCGGGGAGCAACGAGAAGCCTGAAAGCAGGCAACTGAGCTCGCTCCATAAGATCTCAGCTCTCTCACCGCAGGAGCCTTTCGATGTAGACACCGGCATCAGGTTTCTCCAGTATGCCGGCCTTGCATGGTCAGTCGTCGACTTGGTCCCATCCCTGTTTGCTCACCTGAGACTGTAGATTGTACCTTGGATCACTGCATGTTGGTGGCGGTCATTCCATCTTGTATAAAGTTTTGACTTTATTTTACTTTGAGTATCATTCCGTATTGATTAAAAAAGGGGGCTGGCTGGGCTCCCCAGAGTGGGTGAATCCTGTCGATTTCAATCCCAAGATTGTTTTTTTTTTTTTTTCTACCCAGATTAGATCTTCCTGGGAACATTTTGTAGTGATCATGGCGTGTTGGGTAGACGGTAAGTCAACGGATAGGCCCACAGCCGATGATCTACATCCTCGAGAATGGGAGTATGAAATCCGTAGCTGAACGGATCAGGTGAACGGTGACCCCAAGTCGGATACATTTTCTTCGGAAGCGACGGCTGCGGGTAACCGATAGCTGATGTCTGACTGCATCAGCTGTTCTAGTCGTCGATAAAGACGGCGGACCATTTGGGTCGCCGCGGAGCAAAGAAACGCCGTAAAGGCGCTACAATCCGTCGATTTTCCACCCTGCTTTTTTGTTTCCTACGGATGAGTCGCCGGCGTTGACTTTTCCTACCGATTTCAACAAGTTCCTCGCTCCTTCGTTTCCCCTCTCTCTTTCTCTCTCTCTAACCCCATTCAAGAGAAGCGGTGTGACACAGTCCAAAGCCATGCGCAGCTGGAAGGAGACGATCTATCATCAATTAGGAGCTGGATTACTAGAATTAATTAAAAGGGCACAACACACACTAGCAGGATCATCATCCTCAAACCCCATGGAACAGAGAAAGAAAGATGGGAGAGGAAGAGAGGAAAACATAGACGACAACAAAGGGCCCAAAAAAAAAAAAAAAAAAAAAAAAAAACCGTCATCTCTTGATGGTACAGGCTGATGAAGACGACGATGATCCATGGTTCCCGGCAGCATGGCCTCCCAGCCCAAAGGAAGAGGAGGAGGAAGAGAAACAATAGAGGTCCCATAACCATTACTTTCGACTTAGAAAAATGAATAAGGGCGCCGGCCGGCCGGCCTTTGTCTTCCTCCACATGTCGTCGTCGTCGTCGTCGTTTGCTTCCATCTTCAGCAGGCCCGAGACTGCAGATCCCCCCACTCGTCAGCAGGCAGCTCTTGCGGCCACATGGCGGCTGGGCGGGCGGGCAGGCAGCCTCCTCTGGAGCTCGCTCACTCATAGGAAGTAATCAGGCGTTCGCCGGGTGACGTCGGGCTCCCCTCTTCTTGGGGCCGGCTCAAACTGCAAAGAAGCCCATTGCGTGAGATATATATTTATATATATATATATACAGAGAGAGAGAGAGAGAGAGAGAGAGAGAGAGAGAGAGAGAGAGAGAGAGGAGACCTGGATGAAGGTGTGGCCTTTGGAGTCGTCAACTTCCAAGATGGATGCCATGTTCCCACAGCGGTAACAGTAATTTGGAGCACTGAAGATGGTTACCACCTTTTGTTCCTGCGGCATGAACATGTTATAAATCCACCGAACCCATTCCAGACTGCAATAATGGCCGACTCATAGCCAGGAGAGAAGAATTACATGCCCCCAGTTGTATCCATCCATGACCAATTGATGCGCCCTGGCAATCAGGTTCAGATTATTTGTATGGTTAAACTGCTCCGAAATGTCCTGCAATTTAATTAAACAAGTCAATAAATAAATAAATAAAAATTTTTAAAAAAAGGAAGAAGAAGATCAGTAGTGGGCTTGCTGAAACCAAGGAGAGGAGGAGCTTTACTTGGCCAAATGTATATCCGGCGCCACGCGGTGATATGCCCCAACCACAGCGATCATCAGGATCTGACCATAATAAATCACACATGGGTCCCTCGTGAGGGACCTCTTGGACCCGATCAAAGCTTCTTATGTTGTCTAGGGTTTCAATTGACGGAGATAAGCCGCCGTGCAGACAGAATATCTCTGATTCAACCTTTGTGCAGAGAAGAACAATCATCGTTTAGAACAAATCAAAGAAACGCTGCATCTGCTTATCAGATATCCAGCAGGCGACAGCCATCGGCTGAGAGGGTCGGTCAATAATAATCACACTAGTTATTAAATCTTATTATGTACTGAATATCTTAAAATAAACAAATATCACAACCCAACAACTAATATTTTTATCCCTGGGTTTTCTAAATCACTTGGAATCTCACGAAGGGTTTAGCCAATTTACTTCTCGTGCAAGTGATTTTCAGACTGATGATGGAGGCTCTCAAGTTGTAAGAGTAGAACAAAACATTTGGAAAGCATGGTATGGAAAACTGTGCTAGTTGAGTTGGTGAACTAACCAATGCTGTCAGGGGAAAGTAATCAAATAGATCAGTAAATGTCTTCCACACGCTGGCATTTCCATACCTGTAAATGAGAATTTAAAATGAGGTCATTGAAACACAGAATAAGATAGATGTCGAGCTCCCGCATCTAATTCAACAAATGGCGACAAACCTTAATTGGATGGAAACATTAAGAAACAACATCTAAGGTAGAACAGTCACTTCAGCACATTCCAGCAAACTGAAATATAATCACTTTTGACATAATTGTTGACAGACCCTCAAAACTGGTGATACAAGACTAAAATATTTGGCTCAGTAGAATAAACGAGAGAGATCATCATATGTTATCAATCAGCTGAAAGGGTAGAAAGATAATGCCTGATGAAGAAAAAGATACAAACCCAGCAACTTCCACTGAGAAATACAAAGTTTGAATGAGTCATCCTCCCCAAAAAAAAACCCAGGAGTTTGAATAAGGCCTACAAAGGTCGTCGACTAATCACAAGAGAGAAGTCACCATGTTACATCCTTCACGACAATGTGTAAACATTCATAAGAATGTAGAACCTTGAACTTGAGAAACTGCCCCGGGACTTGTACTTCCACCTTCTCGGATATAATAATCCGAGCAAACTGAACTTATTCAATAGAATCGAGTCTTATTTTTCGTCCGGATCTTTTAACCTGTCTGCATCAATCTCTTCTTCTTTCTTCCACTTTCCACTTTGGAAGGCATGAGGTCTTATATGACATCAGCATGCAACACATCAGCAGGTGGTGCTGCATGAATGCCCAATACAACCAGCTGCAGCGGTACATTGGTTCACCCGTGACTGAATAGCATTCTTAAAATGTGGCCATTCTGATCTATTGTCATTAGTTATATAAGTCGTGATCACATGGAAACACCAAAAACAATTTCAAGCTCTACTTTGGTATAAAAATTGAGAGGCATCCGTACTCACGAGTAAGTCAGTAATTTTAATAGGTTCTAATGCTTGCCGTATCGTATTTTTAATTGCAACAACATTTTCGCAAGTATCTATGTTTGAAATCAACTGGGAAAACATTTCACAGCTTGATCACACATCATAAAAATCATAATAACTGTCGATACATTACCATGCAGACAAGCCGCAAGTATCTTTGGAGGGACATCAAAGAATCGGTTTCTTTCCTCATCATCAAAGATATAACCTATTTAGATATGTCACCCCCTAAAACTAAACGTCACGTAGGAATCTCACCTTGTCAGTTATACAACGGGGCAGGGGAACATTGCCTCAGTTCCCACAAAAATAATGATTCATAAATAGTCCAAAACAAAAACAAGCGAAATCAAATTGGAGCTTCATTTTGATTGCTTTTGCATGGTTAATATCCACGTGGCATCAATGCAATAACTAGAGTTCATTGACAAAGAGACTTATAGTACAAACAGGCCCAAGAAGCTAAAAGAGGCGGAAGATCATTGGGAGGGCAACCAAAAATAAAATTAATAAGTGATTGGCTAAATGAAAACATGAACACAATACTTACTTCCGTAAGCATTCGTCGTAAAACCCATAGACTTGGGTAATCTGCAGACAACAAAGAACATTGAGTCAATTAGACTGGAAAAAGTTGCGTGCTTAATCAGCATTGATCAAGGGTTCTCGAATAAATAAATCTCACATAGAAAACAAATAAAGCAATTATTTACTGCCAACAGTAATATCATTGATGCCAATAAAACACAGGCTGTAGATATCATAGAACGGCAGTTACCTGACGACTTTCATGATTTCCCCTAAGAATTGTAATTCGCTGAGGATAACGCACCTTTAGGGCAACAAGAAGCTGAACAGAAAGGAGCATCGGGTATAATCAATAGGTGAATTCTTATACAAAAAATAAATACAATTAAGACCATAATATGTAAGAAATCGTCGTTTTATAAGCTTCAAATACAGGGAAACTGAAGAAATAAAGAACAGCCACAGACCAGAACAATGGAAGCATTCTGTATCCCATGTATAAAACATGTTCAGAGGTATTTTGCTCTTCAGCTCACTCCATTCCTGAGCTTTGTATGATCCATTTTGGTTGTCTAGCTCATGTTAGTCCGCCATTCTCAGCAGTTATTCGTTTTCCCTCCATATTTGCGAGTGCTGTAAATATCTCCCCGTCATAAACAGACAACATTAGCCCTTCTTTCCGCATTAGTAACTAGTGCGGAATTTCTGGTCAAAGACCTTTCAGAATCGCAAACGTCCTCAGCACATTCAAAATTCCCAGCCGTAGGCTTCAACTTCTCCAGCCCTTTCTGCTGTCTTGTCTGCACCTTGTCCACCTTTTGAGCTCCCCTCCTTCCTAAGCATCATTACATGCACAGACTTCAATTTCTACAAATTCACCTGTACATCAGGCAACGACAGTTCCCACAGTCGTCCTGATCCATCATATCCTACACAATTTACAACTCGAGTGTCTCCTTCCCAACTATCTTAGTTTATCTTCTCGTTTTCAATTAGTCTCCAGGGTACTAATCCACATATTCCTAATCACTGCCCTCTACAGAAAACCCTGATCTTGGGGGTCTATTTTCCTCTAGACCCCAGTAACAGCGTGTCCTACAGCCCTCTCCTCAACCATGTGGCTAATGTTTTAATATTCCTCTGGGCGCATACTATTTTTAATTGCCACAAAGATAAAACTGAATTGCTTTTGGATGGTTTCGTGAAAAATCAACTGAATTACTCCAGAATACTATGATTTATCAATGCGTACTGAAAATTCATAAAGATTTTATAAGAAAAGTAAGATATACCTTCAGAAAAATAAACGTAACAGAAAAGTATTTTCAATTATAATTTTAATATTTCAGGATACAAAGAAGAATATAAAAGTTCATATACGAATGATACACATCAACAAAGATCAGATCCACTGATCTTTAAAAAAACACATTACGTCATAAAAAAATATGAAGCATAACATCCAAAAAAAGTATGAAGCACAAATGAAACACACTAAGGAAGAAGTGTTCCAACCCTTACCGTAACAGTTTCAACAGAATAGTATCCACGATCTACATAATCTCCCATGAACAAGTAATTCGTATCTGGACACTAGCAGTCAGAAGAATAAAACACCCATGATTCAAAATATATCCATGAAAACAAGAGTGCTTATAATTCAAACCAAAGTAAAAGAGAAATAAAACAAGGAAGTGCAATAACGGGTATGTAAAGCCAATAATCATCATCTCAGTATTCTACAGAATGATACATAACAAACGGAAACACATACCATATATGTTAGACGCTGGCTCACTTATTAGCATTTAAAACACCAGTTTTCTTTAGCAGGTTTCAGAAACCAGATATATTTGACTCTGATTAGACACGTTTTAATCATAATTCAATTTCAAACTCCAGTAAAGAATGTTAGGATAATTTGTTGCTAAATAAGAAAGTAAATAATTAGAGGAAATTGGATTGGTCAGAATCTCGAAAGTTGAATAGGGATTCACTTGCAAAATTTTTATCAGATTTGTCAGATTCGGGCCATAGGGAGCTTGAGTTGAACGAGGATGGAGCACAGAAAAATCAACCAGATTCTAGCCTTTCATAACTTGTTTGTTAACCAACCTCAGTATAGAAATGACATGAAAATCTACCATGGCACGTCATTTATTTTTTCAATTGTTTCGTCAAGATTGCAGAGAGCATAAAAGTTAAATCTACAACAAAACTGCAAAAGATTAAAGTAACATCATTTCAGATGAAAAGTTCGCCAGTCTACGAATACTGTGAAGATGAAAATGAGATCAAACAAAAAATCAGATTCTTCTATGTAACTCATAAAATAGTTAACACATCATAAAAAGGATGGGTTATTTATATCTGGTCTGCTAATACTTCGGCATTCGACATCAAAGGGCATTTTCTCAGCTTAAAATTATCCATTCAATAGTACAGTTACGAAGGAAGCGTTGATCTGACTGAGAACAAAGCAATTAAAAAGTGCATATATTAGAGGATACCTTGCCACCAATTCGGAATAGTTCTGCAAGGTCATGAAATTGACCATGAATGTCACCGCATATTGTCACGGGGCTCTTCACAGGCTGCATCATGAGAATAGGGAATCATTGCCATGTTCGCAGAAAACTTGCACATAATAATGAATGAAAATAAAACGCTGAGATTCCCTGACCACAGACAAAAAAAGCAAAATAAAGGCAATAGAAACATCAAATATTGCTCTTCACTAGATCATTACTGTTGGTACCGCATGTATTCCAGCAGAAGAAGCGAATAGGAATCCACTCTGATGTCAGCGCCATGCTTTTTCCCGCACCAGATGCCTAGTTATCTCAAAACACATATTTTTTTGCCTCTTCTTGCTCATTAACAGACAGTTTTACAACTTACAACAGCACTTTGATCATCTTTGAAAAAAATAACTTATAAAACTACTGCGAATTCGATACCTGAAGAGGAAAAGATATACCATTTCCACAATTTCCCGGTTATCCATTATACGAGCAGGTCTAGCTATCCTACCATTGACATCAGGGTTTTAAATATTGAGATTAGACACGTGGTAGTGAAACAAAATCAAATGGTTAGTAAAATGCACATAAATATCCCTATATGCAGATCCTCATATAAAGATGGTTCATGCAATTGCGCAAATATCTCAATACATATTGTAAGGAATAAATAGTACGTTCATGCGCTCTGAAGAACATGCAAACCTACCAATAAACCTAATGACCGCCCAAGAAAAATAAGGATCTACTGTGCACACGAATATATATTTTTAAATAAGTATATCTACCCAAAAAAAAATGTTAAATAATAAAAAACATATCCATTTTAAGTTAGCGTAAACTGACTGGATTCACGAGGTTTCCTAGTCAAATAGTTTACCTATACTGGGCACTGATAAATTACATATATAGGGTGACAGCATTTGCTGAAGGAATTAATGAGCGTTCATACCATAAAAGGAGTAGCACTATGGTCCACATCAAAATTATAAGAAAAACAATTTTCTACGACTATTATTGTTCTAATCTCACTTTGGTACAGCAGCTACAATTCTTTGAAATAAAAAGGGTGTTTATAAGATCAGAAAAATTTAGAAGTGGCAACATGAAACAGGAAGGCTATGCAAACGAACTAAATGTAGTCCATAGGGTACAATGAAATTAGTTGCTGGAAACAGATAGCCATAAGAAAAGTCCAAGTGGCCAGTCATATCGTGAATTGAAGAAAGAAAGGCTGCATAAATTCTTTGGCGAAAACCCCGTTAGAATGTACTATTAAACCATAAGAATCACAAAACCATGCCAATGAACACCCAAACCAGATATAGAAAATCATAATCAATGTAAAAAAACCAATTGTTAATAGTACAAGAGGAAACATTACAGTAAAAAACAATCAAGGGGTCGTCAACATTTAACTACTCATAAATCGACTGTAACGACACCTAGAATGACAATGATTTATTAATGTTCAACGGATTCTTGAACCTTTATTTATAAATTTCTGCGAACCCTATATCCCTATGAGTGAAACCAAAAAAAATTATGACGAACAAACATCCCAGAAAGTAACAAAGGTAAAAAATGTAACCAACCTGAACGTTGCTTTCTTGCATCAATATCTCTTTAGCCTTGTCGCACAAGGCTCGAACCTGATCATAAAAACACAGAATAAAAACATGCTCTGTGAAGTACAACAGATAGATTATGACATAGAGGACTACATAGTCATGCCAAACGAAAAATCAATAAAATCTAACAAAGCTACACCTTTTTTGAAATTTTACACATTCCACCACATATGTGCCATCAAAAACTTGAATTTTCTTAAGAAACGTTAAAAAAACCTTTACCCCGTAAAAAGGAATTTCCTAAAGTAGAGTATAACGCAATCGGGGTATTAATTTCAACTAGTCAAGTTTTATCTGTCACTATCTTTCTCAAGACACTCCGTAGATGGCCAATGACAAAGTGACGAAAAATAGAACGTGCTGATTCCAGATGTAAAAAAATGTGTTCGTTTCTCTCCGACAAAATGTCACAATTCGACAAGTATATTTCACAACAAAGCAAAAAGGCAGCAATACGTAAACACAATGCGTCCACTGAAAAAAATGTGCATCCCATCCCGCAAATTTCGAGAAAACACACTACTTTATGAATAACTAAGATAGATCGTGGACATCAATAGTCACGTCGAGAGGCGAAAGGTGATATCGCCGTAAAGAATCCAAGACCCTTTGCAGAAGAAACCCTAGCAACGATTGGATGTCCCCAATTCGCACTCACAGATCACGGCTCGAGGACGAACAACGATAACGAGACCCTCAATTCCACGGAAAAGAAAGCCCGAACAAGCGATAATACGCCTCATTAATAACCCGATCTGCGTATTCTGAAATTTCGTCCACCCAGAAATCGAGGAAAAAAAATAGCTATGGTGGCAATCAAATTGAGGCAAACCCCCTAGCTCACGGAGAAGTGAAAAACAAAAGGGAGAAACATGGGAGAAGCGAATGAACCTCTGACTCGGAGAGGGGCTTGCACTGCATGAGCTGCGAAATCTGCTCGTCGACGTTGCCATGGGAATCGGGCGCCACCCGATTCGTCACGCTCATCTTCTCCGGTCTCGAAAAGAATTATCCACGGGGATGGAGAGGAAGGCAGCTTCAGCGCGCGCCGGGCGAACCCTAGCACTCTGTCTCCTCTCACTCTCCCTCCTCCACACCCGACGCCCCCTCCGCTCGCCAGAAGCTCTCACTCCTGCCCCTCCGCCCCCCGCCCCCACCACCACCTGCCCTCCCTTCTCCGCCGCAGGGCTCGCGAAAACCGGGGAGAAAAGAATGCGGCAGGATCGGAGATGGAGAGGCGAAAAGGAAAAGCACGGAGATGATGTTCGAGGTCGTCGAGAACCGATCTCGACGAATCAGAGTTTTTGTTATTACACCATTACACTTATCATATTTACTAAACTATCCATAACTATACGCCAATAGCTTCCATACCCAAAATTGCACTGGGCCAAATTCTATGAATACCCAAACCTCGTCACCTATTTAACATATGACCCCGTAAATAATTAGCCAACTGACAAAAAAAGCAGCTTAACCATCTCTTCTATTAATATATTTCAATTACTTCGGCCTAAATTCGCAATAATTATATTAAACTGACTATTTTACAATTACTTTATGTGCTCTGGCACTTTATTCATAAGACCAATGTTGGGCCTCTTAAGTACCCTTTCATACCTCTCTCTCTCTCTCTCTCTCTACGTTTCTCCGGCACGTGCAAGTTAAAATGTCTTCACATTGGTCAATACGTGTGATTATTTGGATAGTGGTATATTGATTATTTCGAAAAATGTGGTCCAAAAAGACAATCTAATGCACTTTATTTAATTACCACATTTTTAAAAAATATAGGCATGGTGATGATAAAAATAGTAACTATTACATAAAATTCATAAATTAATTATAAATTCAGGTTGGGAAAATTCATGGAGCCAGCCCGAATACTTGGTTACCGGTTGGGAAAATACAAAACGGGTAAACGGGTCTGGACGGGAGAACGAAACCCGATAAGAGGAATTGGAATCGGAAGGGGTCAGCATTGTCGGTTTCGGAAGTGCCAGAGAAAACGCTTCGAAGGTCGGTTGCTGCTGCATACTAGTGATTAATCGGTGAGGTTACCGCGGAAGACAAATAGGAATTCGGATCCAGCGTGAAGAGAGGAAAAGGGAGGGATAGCGGGTCCCGCGCACGTTTCGGAGTGGACAGGAGATATTTTGTCCAGGTCGGTCTCTGGTTTTTCTCTCACGCTTTTGCGCCGTAGGCGAGGGGTTTTCTTTTCTCGCCTAGAAGAGCGTAGAATCACAACGAGGTCGATTAGCTCTCGCTCTCTCTCTCTCTGTCTATCTTTCTCTCTCTCTTTCCCTCATTTCTATTTTTAGGGTTTTCTCTTTCTCGGCTTGGGTGGCTCTTCGTTCGGTTCAGAAAGCTGCGATTCTCGCTAGGGTTTCCTGCGTCGGCCGCGTTGTCTTCAGGTGGGTGTTCTGGGCGTGGCTTTATCTCCTCACAGCTTGTCCTCCAAAGTATCCGATCGAAGATCTCCTTTTGGCCGTTCGTTCTGCTGCAGGGTTCGTTGTTGTTTGTTTGCCTTCTGATGGGACCGCTGAGATTTTAGTTCGTGGTTGCCTAGAGTTCTTACTGTGCGAATTTTTGCGGGATATGTGGTTTTCTTCCTGAGTTGTGCATTGCTTTGTGAGCTGCAGGAATTGTTGCTTTGGATGGTGGAGAGGGTTAGGGTAGTAGCTCGTTTTGGCCGTTGAGTTCGTCTTCGTTCCTCCCTTCGCTGGTTTAGATATTTGGGTAGGGTTTCGGCAAGGTCATTCAATTATGCGCAGCTCGTGGGCTGATGCAGTTGAAGGCTCCGGCTCTGGCTCGGGGCCCGGTTCTTCGGGCAACACCAATGTACCCGTCGGCTCCAGTCCTCAGCCTTCTTCGGCAAACAACAGCGCTCACGGTGGGTCCGCACCCCCGCGCGCCGTTAAATCATCCTACGTCCCTCCCCATCTGCGCGGCCGTCCTCCGCCTTCCGATGGTCAAGGTGCCCCTCCATCTACTGCCGATACATTTCCGGGGCCCCCAAGGCAGACTGGATATGGTGCCCCTCCTGTGGGGGGCCGCATGGGTGGTGGCCTCAGTAGGGACATGGACCGCATGTCCCTTGGCGGACGCGGCGGTGGAGGTGGAGGTGGAGGGTGGAACACAAGATCAGGTGGGTGGGACCGTGGTAGGGAGAGAGAGGTCAACCCCTTTGCAAATGAAGAGGAAACTGTAGAGCCCGCGTTTGATGGTGAGAACACCGGTATAAATTTCGATGCATACGAGGACATTCCTGTCGAGACAAGTGGCACGGATGTGCCCCCCCCTGTGAACACTTTTGCAGAGATTGATTTGGGCGATGCACTGAATGAAAATATAAGGAGATGCAAGTATGTCAGGCCAACACCAGTTCAACGTCATGCAATCCCGATTTCTCTAGGTGGTCGAGACCTGATGGCTTGTGCTCAGACGGGATCAGGCAAGACTGCAGCTTTCTGTTTCCCTATAATATCTGGAATAATGAAGGGGCCTCCTTCACAACGGGCAAGAGGCATGCGGACTGTCTACCCACAGGCTCTTATATTGTCCCCTACACGGGAACTTTCAGTCCAGGTAGGTTGGTTTTATGAACCCCCCCTCGGTCCATCTTGTAGTTTTTTGTTTATTTTTTCATTTGATATATGCATCTGTATTGATTCAGATACATGAGGAGGCGAGGAAATTCGCTTACCAAACAGGTGTGAGGGTTGTGGTAGCGTACGGAGGAGCGCCAATTAATCAACAGGTATTTTTCTGTCCCATTTATTATGCCTATGTATACTAGATGATTCGTATGATTGTTCGTTGATCAGTTAAAGCTGATGTTTGTGGTAAGGTGTCATTATCTTTTATTAATTTTCGGGCTGCTAGCTGTTTGCTTTCTATTTTAAAGACTGGATGCGTATTCCGAGCCTGATTATTTTCCTTAGCTCTTTTATCGTTATATTATTCATATACCATTTGGTCACATTAATTTTGTTCAGATATTAATAGCTATGAAGAAGTGTTTTCATTTAGCTTTGGTCATATAGCGTAGAAAATTGATATTCTCCATGAGATTTCAGTACCTGATGCATCCTTGAATAACGACTTTGATTTATTGTAATAGTCCTTTCAATTGCCCGGTCATCGAGTGTCAGCATCTTTTTGAACTGTTAGTTGGTCAGATTTTATCTGAAAGGAGATAGTGCTTCATTGAAAATCACCAGCCTCTTGATATCTTCTGAACTGCTTCACCGCTCTTTTTGTCCATGAATGAAATATATGCCTTTCTTCGGTCCCTCCTATTATATATATATTTTTTTTGCTTCGAGGTTTTAATAGTATGGCTAAAAAATAGACGGCTCAATTGCAAACTGACATTTTAGGCAAAGGTCCATCTTTCACTTGCTAAATAGATTTTCGCTTTTTGTCCTTTGTTTAAAATTGGTGATTATCCTTTTCCAGTTTTCTGTTCTAATTAGCGATCGACTCAAGGAAATCCGGATGCAATGGGAATATCGGAGAACTTACATATTTGAATTTGTTCCAAATCAGTTCTACAATCAAAATGCGAATTCCTACTATTTAAGTACGAGTGTCGTTTGACTTTTTTTCACCCTGTTTTTTGACACTATTGTCATTACTTCTGGCAGTTGCGTGAACTAGAGAGGGGTGTTGACATTCTTGTGGCGACTCCTGGCCGTTTGGTAGATTTGTTGGAGAGGGCTAGAGTTTCGCTGCAGATGATCAAGTATCTTTGTCTTGATGAGGCGGATAGAATGCTGGATATGGGTTTCGAACCCCAAATTCGGAAGATTGTTGAGCAAATGGACATGCCTCAGCGAGGCATGCGGCAAACAATGTTGTTCAGTGCCACCTTTCCGAAAGAGATACAGGTTTTGTAGTTGTCTCCTGTTTTTCTTGAATCTACGCGTGAGCTCATAGTTCTTTCATTTCTAGGTCACCTTTTTTAAAGTCATTATCCTTATTGTGCTCTGTGAATTGAAGTAATGAAGTTTCAAGAGTTGAGTACATTGCTTCATTGTATGCTCCTATAGCGAAGCTGATTAAACTAGCTGAATTTTGTGTTATTTCTTAATCTTTGTGCTATCTGGCCAGGCATGTGTATGCTACCTTTTTCATTATGCTGACGTTTCTTGGCATCATGGAGAAAGATTTGAATGCATCTTGTCTTCAAGAAAGCTTTGTGCACTAATCATAAACTTTCTCTTGGTTATTGGCATCCTGGAATCATGATATAATTTATTGTCTTACTGTTAGCTTCTATTCTATTACCCATGGTGTTTGGCAACAGTCAACTTTATTTACCAATTATATGTTTAGTTCCCATATATAATTCGGGTCTTTTAGTGGATTCATTCTCACTGTTCGAATCCGCTTTTCAATTGTCTTATTGTACAAGCCTGTTCCGTTGTATGATGCAAGGCTACGGCGGTTTCATCTTTAATATGTTTTTAGTCAGACAGCATACTGAGGTGGCTTTTGGCTGTTCTGCAACCAGTCTCTGCGAAACCCACCTGACACATCTTATTTCTTGCAGCAACTAGCCTCCTAACTTTGCTCAACTGATTGCTCCATTTTCTGTCAAGACTTCATGTCACTCTTCTGCGACTCGTCCATTCAGTCACTTCTTGCGAAAGTTAGAAAAACCTAATATATGTTCATCATTAGAGGAAACAAATTTATTTCTCAAAGTTGCCGAAGCACTTGTATGTTTGTGATCAAATTTCACATTCCTGGTCATTTTTTCGGGTGAACATGGGTTGTGTGGTTTTAGTGTGCTATCACTCTGGAATGCTTTTTTATTTTCGGGTACAAAATGCTATTCTAATGATCAAGATATCTTCATTTCAGTTCTTTTCTCTATATAGTTGTGGTAGGTTCTATGTTTAGAGCGTTTTAGGAAGGGTCAATTGTACTTTGTATCATGTGGCTAAAATCCACCTTTGCCAAGTTCGTAGAAGTTCCCTAATCCCATGGGCTACTTTTTGCACATTGCTTGATGTGATTGGCACCTCATCTCTGAATTTGCGGCCCTTTGGTACTAAGATTGTCCTGACAAACAAAGCGATTTTCGATGTCACTCTCTCTGAGGTTTTTCCTTTCCCCATTTTACGGCCATATTGTAGAGCAAGGAACGAAGATTGCCTTTAAGGCCACAAATCTTTCTTTAAATGGGTAGTCTACATTCTTCTGTTAGGTTCCTGATCTCTTGGTTCATTTCAGTCAGCTTGACATCCTGCAGTTGTATCTAGAGATTCTATTAGCCGGTTTACTTCTTCCCAATGATTTCTAAAATTGTGAGACGATATGATTGGGAATTGTTTCTTTTTATTTTTCTCGCAGTCTTTATTTTGGCAGCATCCAGTGAAAATAAATATCTAATTGTGGTATGTTTCCATCCTAATTCTTTGTCCGACCTCACACTACTTGCCGGTTTGCTATTTTCTCGCATCTGAAACCTTACCTTTTGTTCCTACTCATGTCTGACCCATGTATGTCTTCCTAGCTAAGAGTTGTTATTAAGGGGAATGGCTTCCTGAGTTGCTTTTCAGCTTTGTGCAGAGGCTGGCATCTGATTTCCTCTCGAACTACATTTTTCTGGCTGTTGGGAGGGTTGGCTCCAGTACCGATCTGATTGTGCAAAGGGTTGAATATGTTCATGAATCAGACAAAAGGAGCCACCTTATGGATCTTCTCCACGCCCAAAGAGCGAATGGTTCTCATGGAAAGGTTAGTCTTTTCACTCCTGACTTTTGCATATCAGTAGTCCGGGGGGCGGAGCCCTCTGGTACATTAGACTAATGACATTCAAGAGCATCGGTTTTTTCATCTGCTTGGACTTATTCTTTTGTTTTCAATGATGCAGCAATCTTTGACTTTGGTTTTTGTGGAAACAAAGAAAGGAGCCGACTCACTGGAATATTGGTTATGTTCAAATGGTTTCCCTGCTACGTCTATTCATGGGGATAGATCTCAACAGGTGACTACATCTGAACTCTGATAGTTGCTACTTCTTTTGTCCCTTCGGTTGTTATGTATGGGCTTGTCTGTGAGAACTCCCAAGTGCTGGGCAACCTGAGGACGCAGCTACATTGCTAGCTTGGATCTTCTTCATCCCATATATTTTCTTCTCTGCTTGGCATCCCCCTATTTCAAACCACCCACACCCATGCAGATGTTCACATTCATGCATCTTCGTACACTTTGAACCACAAGAATGCGGCATGCTACTTTGTGCTGTGTTCATGTTATTTCGTAGACATGCTACAGAAGCTATGGATCGTATTAAATGTCTCTATTTCTTCGCTGTGTTCACATTGTTCCTCAGAAATGATCCACCGGTATCCAGGCACCTCCTTCTTCGTCTTTTTTGTTTCTTTGTTGAAAGATGGTAATATTTTAATATCTATCCCCGATGCTATCTTAATCTTATCAACTAATCTTTTCATGCAATTTCCTAGGCGTTTACACTTCATCTGTCTGTGTTTTTCTTATTTTATTTATATATTGTCGCAAAAAAAAATTCCCCATTCGTGCTTTTTACCATTATCTTTTTATTTTAATTTTTGTTACACAGCTGTTGGCAAACAGCTCTATTTTTTATGAACTGGCATGCTCTAAAATGACATCTTCCCAAATGATTAGTCAACTCCCGTGGTCTGTGTGCGGCCACTACTTCATTGTTGTTCATGACTTTTTGAGCAGCCAACAAATTTTTCTCTGCAATTTTTTTTTTTTGTGAAGCTGACTTTTCTGCATTTTTCTTAAAATTCCGGTTAGTTGATCCATTCATTTTTTTTCCATTTATGTTAGTGATGGTGAGATTTTTGCTGCAAGAACACATTCTGTCTCTGTTTTCTCAAGATCCTCCTTTTTTTTTCCCTCCACCACAGGAAAGAGAGCAGGCTTTGAGATCGTTTAAGAGTGGGTTGACCCCCATTCTAGTGGCCACCGACGTAGCGGCGAGAGGGCTGGACATTCCCCACGTGTCTCATGTGGTCAATTTTGATCTCCCCAATGACATCGACGACTATGTCCACAGGATCGGAAGGACAGGGAGGGCCGGGAAGAGCGGCCTGGCCACTGCCTTCTTCAACGAGAACAACGTCTCGATGGCGAGATCACTTTCAGACCTCATGGAGGAGTCAAACCAGGAAGTTCCTCAGTGGCTGGGTCGCTATGCTGCTAGATCCTCCTTCGGCGGCGGCGGCGGCAGGAACCGCCGCTCTGGCGCAGGCCGCTTTGGCGGCAGAGACTTCCGTAGAGACCACCATTCAGGCAAGGGAGGCGGAGGAGGTGACTATTATGGCGGCGGCGGTGGCGGTTTTGGGGGCGGCTACGGCGGCGGTGGCGGCGGTGGCGGCGGTTACTCTTCCTACTCTGGCGGCGGCGGCGGCGGTGGCGGCGGCTCCAGCGCCTGGGACTGACCCGGCCTTTTCCTTCATTTGAAGTACTATTTTCGTCCTCTAAAAATATAATTTTGTTGGGAGCGCACGTATGTGGTGGTAAAAGAGTAACCAGTTTTTCCTCTCTCTAGATATTCCCTTCCTATGTTATCTTTTATTTCCGCCCTTTTTGTGGTCGTTTATTTTATTTATTTATTTTCCCTCTGTTTAGGGTTCCTCCGCCGCCAGCAGAAGTCAACTGCTGGCATCTCCAGTGGGGGTCGGCTACACCATTTGGAAGCATTCTGCTGACGAATGTGGTCTTCAATCTTTTATCAGCTGATCTTCCCTCATCCATTCCCATTTGTTCGGTTGTAGAGAGTATGTAACCCTAAACAGACTTCTTTCGTCTCAATCCAGATTGGATTGAATGGGGGTTGACTTGACGATCCCCGTTTGATCTGTTTGAGGCGGGCTCCATTATCTGAGGAATCAATCGGGTCTTGATACTCTGTTGATTCATCTTTGCCGAAGATGGGTCAACCCCGAATTGGGTTTTAGAAATTCTTATGCAATTTTCGATCTTGAGCGGGATTGACCCGACACTGTGTTCTTGATGATGTGATCGCCACCAAGCAGCTAACGGGTCAATCAGTATATGGTCAATCCTTGGATCAACATACCTCTTCCCAAGATCATGTTTATAGAAATCGACATGAAGATCGTCTCTCCAAAGCGCCCGAGAGGGAATCAGTCGTCGTCCCCGTCAGAGCCCTCGTAGTATTCCTCTCCTTCGTCTTCGTCTTCCTGTTCCTCGGCTTCTTCTTCTTCCTCAGGTAGCTCGTCGTCCTCGCCGGCGGCGAGTTTGGCCTCTTCGAGGCCGCCGTCTCTGTAAAGGACTCCCGTCCTCATCACGTAGTGGAACTTGTCCCGGACCAGAGCAAGCGGATGCGGGTCAACGAGCTTCCCCCTGCGGTAGCCTTCCCGGAGCACGACGGTCGTCGTCTTGCACTTGAGCGAGAGGTAGAAGATGCCCGGGTACCTGGTAAAGACCCTGGTGAACCTGTGAGGGAGATTGAGCTCCTCTCTGAGCGCCCGCAGGTAGTTCCTCTTGGTCTTCTTGTGGATGGTCAAGCTCAGAAGCTCGTGGAGCACGCCCACGACATGCTTCTCCATCAGCTCGCTCTCCGGGTCAACGGAGGAGACGTCCTCGTAGGGGGAGATGTAGGGCAGACGATGGAACTCCTCCATCCAGGCCTTCACCTTGTTTTGAGAGCCGTACCCTCTGGGGAAGCTCATGGGGAAGGTCAGGAGAGGGGATGAGATGGGCATGGCGGAGGCCCTCTTGAAGTCCCTGTAACTGGCCTCGGAAAGGGCCCTCTGGTTCATCTTCTCCAGCTCCGACACCGCGAGCTCCTCCTTCCACCCGGAGAGAGAAAGACAGAGCACCCCGTCCCGGCGGCGCCGCTCCACCCGGAAGTGGTCGGAGAAGGCGGGGACCAGGGAGGCGAGGAAGTCGTCGGGAAGACCCAGGTCCCATCGGAGAGCGGCGATGGCGGGGAGGGGAACGGAACGGGAGTTGCTCATCATCAGCAGGCGGGTCAAGCGGGCGGCAGCCGCGCCGGCTCCGGCGAGGTGGGCGCGCTGCTCGCGGCGGTGGAGGAGGTGGGCGGCGTCGGAGAGGGAGAAGGTGGGGAGGGAAGGGTAACGGGGATGGGGGGCTTCCCGGAAGAGGGTGGGGTAGCGGCGGAGGAAGCGGAGGACGGGGACGGTGAGGCCGAGGGTCTTCTGCAGAGGGGCGAGGGACCGGGCAGCGGCGCCAGAGGGGCACCGGAGGATGGCGTCTTTAAGGAGGCAGGCGGCCTTCACGTCGGTGTCTCTGTCGATGATGTGGTCGAGGCCGCGGTTCTTGACCCACTTCAGCCTCACCTTCGTCGCCGCCGCCCTCGTCTGGAGACCCAGGTGGGAGATCACCGGCGACGCCGGCCCTCTGCCGCCGAGACCCAGAATGCCCCCGCGAGCTCCGACCATCGCCGCCACCGGCGAGGAGGGAGTGCTGGGCTCCCCCCTTGCCCTCTCCATTGCTCCTTTCGTTTCCACTCTGGGTCGGAGAGCCGACGGCGGGCGCTGCTCTCTGAAGGGTTTCGCCGAAGGTTTCGCATTTATCATTTCCAGAAGGCACAGGGGGAGAGTTCTTGAGCAGAACTTTCAGAGGAAAGAAACCAGCATTGCGCCCCGCAAAAAAAAAAAAAAAAAAAAAAAAAAACCCATATTACACTTTATTTAATGATAAGAAACCTACTTAGTTTAAATAAAATATAATCGGATGGGTCGATTTCAGCAGGGAAAAAAAGAAAAAAAAATGGCAACGTTATTTAGGGGGAGAGCCAACCCTCGATCCCAAGAAAAGAGCATCTCAGAAACCCATGATTTACATATTCCCAGGAAGTGATTTCCAGGGCGTTTGGGCAAAGACAAGGGGGTGGGGGGGGGAGGGGGGGGAATGGACTAGAGCTACTAGGAATCCTATTCTTCAGTCGAAGCAGCCTGGATGGGTTTCTCCGCCGTTCAAGGTGTCTTGAACGGTGCGGATCTGTGCAGACGGCTATTGCCAGCAAGCTTCATGAACTAGACGAGGAGAGGCTCAACCAGAGGCACCGGCTTGATATCGTGAATCTTCATGGTGTAGGCGACGATGGCTCCCAGAAGAGCGAAGAACGCAGGGACGAGACCGGAACCGTATCTGGTGACCGACTGGCAGCCTCTGATGTCGTGGCAGCCTTCAGTGCTCGGAGAACCTGATGCCAGAAGATGATCAGGGTCATGGAGAAAATTAATTATTAAATGAGGGAACGAGGGTAATTAATCCAAATTAATGGGTCGATCAAGGACGAACTTTGGAATGATTCGAGGAAAAATAAGGCGAGCCCACAAGATATTTTGTCCAGGAAGCTCAGAGATCCGTAGACAAACGCACATCCCTGGAGGTTGTTGCCCACCAACACGCTCTCCATGCTGATTCCTGTAACCTGCTCCCCAGAGAAATGCCCAGAGAAAAATAACCAGTAAATAGCTGAAAATGATCCGAATATAGTAAACTCAAAGAGCATGATCTCATGGATAGAAGAAACATACAGTCATCAGGGCATTGGCGATCCCAGTGGTTATTGATAAAAGATACATGAAGTTGTGGATCTTGCTGGGAAGAAAGAATATTCCGGCACCAGAAAATATCCACAGTATGGCTCCAATCGTGTAGAAAAACTTAAGACGCCACCCATTCCATTTCATCTCCTGCATGTGAGAATCATAGCCTCAATTTGATATCTTTATCAAAGTCAGATAGCCATTTAAGTCATATCAAAGTACCTGCAAGACGATGGATACCACAAAGCTGCATATGTAGATTATGGCAGGTATCTACAAACAGAAGTCAGCAAGTAAATAGAGAGAGAGAGAGAGAGAGAGAGAGAGAGAGAGAGAGAGAGAGAGAGAGAGAGAGGAGTCTCACAGAGGCTTTTGATGATTGGGTCATTTCCAAATCATTGATAACATAGAATGCCAGCAAAGACTGCATAAATGAAAACACAGCTATCGAAATTATGTAGATGACCGGCTGAAATATGCCTGTCCAACCAAAATTTTCAGGAAGCGATATCACGTTTAAACTCAAAATCAAAAGCCTTAAACCCACCCTTGTTTCTATTTTGCACTAACAGCAAGGTGAAGAAGAATATTCCTCTAGGAAGGAACATATTCTTATTTTCTTACCGATTTTCATAAAACCAAGCAAAAATAGCAACTTTGAGAATTGGGCTCAATTAACTTGATAAGAAAAAGGTAACCCAGAACTTCCGGTGTACAAGAAAGAATGTGGAAGGAAAACCAACCTGAGAGATGTTCGTCACCAATCTGGTAAACATATACACTAAGGCGACTTGATAATACAACAATTTACTGAACCAGTATGTCCATGAAACTCTTTGGTAGTGCTTGCACTGTTGTTGCTTCAACCTACACGGCCAGAAATGTGAAACATAAAACAAGAATAAATAAAATAAAAATATGATGCATGTTTTTCCGCCCAAATGGATCATACTTACTGCGGTTCTTTGGTTCCCAAAAGGAATATGCCCACGAAACAGGACCCAATGAAGATCGACACATAGGCAATCCAGCGATACTGATCAGAGATAGATGATCCAAGTTCAGATATGGGACAGAACCCTCGGAAAAGATCATAAAATATAGGATTCCTGTTGGTATATACCTGGTTTTGGATACCTGAAGATGATTTCGCATCAAATATACTGAAAACAACCAAAGCAATAGCATAGAGGCTGAGATTTGCGACCTTCAAGAATCCAAAAGTAGTCAGTCAGAAAGCAAACTAGCTATAATGGGATTGCAAAAATATCATTAATCGATATCAGACCATCGTGAAGGCATTGCGACAGCTGGCAAGCGCCACTCTGCTTGTATCGTTTAACGTCATGCAATTCACCATCGCCCTAGAAATGAAAAATAAAAAATAAAAAAATAAAATTCAAGTTCATGTTGGAAAAAAAAAAAGAAAGAAAAAGGGGACACAGAGTATATCACAGACTTACATATGTGAAACTTGGGTTGCAGCCCAACCCACGTTGAAAATTGCAGCGAATATGCTGTACCCAATCGTTTCTAGCAAATCAGTATTGATCCCTAGTAACTGACACAGGAGGCAGCCCCCGAATACTGAAGAGAACGAAATGGCAACCAGAACGGATCCTCCAACATGCCATAATTTGAAGTGTCCAAACCTGTCAATCTGACACATAGCGGTTGCAATTTTAGCAAAATATGAAGTATACCCACTACTTCAATCAAGATACATATAAATCAAAGTTACCCTATTGAAAAATATGAAAAATATGAAGAAAAAAAACCCATAAACAGAGGTAGAAACTATCCTACTGAAAGATTCTGCCCAGTTTGATGCCAACAAAAGAAAAAAACTATTTTTTAAGTGGCGGTAATTGAGCTTTTAAAAGGAAGGAGCAACGTGAATATAAAGAATCTGCTTCAACATGGGATAATTTCAGATTAATATAAGTGGGTTGATAAAATGTGAAGAACCCATATCACGAATTCTGGTCAGGCAGGGAGGGGACTTCTGGTTCACATCAGGGTGGACTTGGAATGCCTATTTGCCTCTGTTTGACGGATCCTTCTTTTTTCTCTTCCACTATATGTTTCAACCCTTTTTGTGAATGGAAATCGATCTCACTTATTCATATATAATGGCATTTACTATGCTCCTCTTTCGGCTCATCAAGAATCTATTTTTTTTACTTAAAAATGGATTAAAGACCTTTTTCAACCAAAATACGGAGTCTTATTTAACTGAAAGACGAACCTTTATGCTGTTCATAAGTAGAAATATGGCTAAGGCAATTATTCCTTCACATGGAGCGGATTATACAGGGTTTGCATGAGTTGTCTATATCAATAACTACACGCCAAAATGGAGCATACTCTCTGGGTTTTAGGATTTGCATCAGCGGAAGTGCCATCAAAATATTTTCCTATGGATTTCAATGACTAGTAGCCTCATGCATGAAAATATAAATATAAAATAATAATCATATGAAAATTCAAGCTATCGTAAAACAGCAAAATAGAAGATAGAAACAACAAATGAAATTTTTTAGTCATACCAATTCTCCAGAAAATACTGTCATAAACCCATCAGCTATTTGACCAGAGAGCATAACAATCGATGCATTCCTGAGATGTTGGAGTCGCCAACAGGAATGTGAGAATAATTATAAAAAAAGAAACTAAAATAATAGACGTTCAGAGCCAAGAATAAAAACTAGAATTTAATCCAATAAAAGTTTATTATAACATATAATCCAAAACTGAAGGATTAATTTTTCTAAGGTTAAAACGGAAAAGTCGGCGGACGTCTCAGACTGAGAGATATCACACGGAATATATGCTTTCTTGTTTCAGTATAATTTTCTAACATAAAAAATATACCCGAAAAGAAAATTCTTACACAGAAACTAGGGTGAGATAATGATAGAAATACCATGAAAAATCTGGACAAAAGGCAACTAGATAGTCAATATTCAGTTTCTAAAATATTTTGAAGGCAAAAAATCTCCAAGACTGCGGGACTAGCGAACATACAGAAATGGTCAGATACAGTAATCAAAACTGTCATTTTTTTTTCCAAAGGCAAAAGTCAACCTAAATTTGGAATAAGAAAATGGGCATTAATAAACAGCAACAGTCAATACTCAAAACCGGAGATGAAAACTCAAAATAAAAATAAAAATGATCAAGTATACCTCGGGCTAAGTCCAATATCTGTCAAGAAAAGCAACAGGTATGTAAACCAACACGCCGACGTGATATCATTGAGCATGTGACCCACGCCATATGAAAGAATGGAACATCTCTTGAGGGGCTGAATGCTGTCTTCGTCAGCTGATAATTGATCTCCCATCGTATTGACCACAACGAAGCAATAAACTGAGGAATTCTTACTAAATTTTGAATGCTCTTTTTCACCAAATAACCTGCACAGAAAATATAGAAGCATAGTTTATATATAATGAAAAGATAGCAGAAATAGGGAAATATTCTATCCCTTGTTGATTCATCTCAGGAATCAGGAATCAGGAATCATTCCCAGATAACTAGGAAGAGACTGTCACAGCTCAATTCGGGCATCAAAAGAAAATCAAATGTATGAAAGTCAACGGGCACTTTTCATATCACAGTAAAAGAGAGAAGAATGCCTCCCTTTCGGGTAACATTAAAAGGACTGACGCAGACCCAATCGTGTTCACGTCGAGTACAAGAAAACTAGTCGCCTTGTATCCTCAGCGAATCACGCGTGGAAGATTCCAACCGAAGGTCAGAACTAGGGTGATGGGAGAGCCCAGTTTAACACCCAGAGAAGGGTTAAATACAGAGACGATACGATTGTAAAAGGGCAGGCAACAGGAGGTCCGTCATGAGCACGAGCTATATATAGCATCGGAAGAACTCATTAAGGGAGCGGAGCAGAGAGATGAACAGCATCCGTCGACCGGAAGAACACGTAACTCTGAAGGAACATGAAGCAGATGAACACAGGAAGAAAAGAGAGAACGCGGGAAAGCGGGAGAGCCACAGAGACAGACAGGGTGCATACTCGCGCACTTGGGAGCAGAGGAAGAGAAGAGGACAGAACGCTGCTCATGCAATCGTTCCCCCACATCTATATCTATATATAGAAAGAGAGATATTTACGTCGGTCTATTACCAAGTTTGGCCCAGTCGGAGCGGCCGACGGTAGGGCTAGACGCCGAAAAACACCGGAGGAAGAAGCAAGGAGAAGGAAGAAGCTACAGACTATAGAGGAAGGTCTTCCACGGTGGCGACTGTGGTGGGCGTACCCGGTTTCGCACGAGATTGCATGCCGTTGGAAGAGGGGCGGGGAGGAAGACGACGACCATGGTAGCCCCCTCGGCTCCTGCCATCATCTAACTTCCAATTTCTACCGGGGTCTGCGCCCTCTCATCAATATTACCAGTCGCAATCCCATCAACATCTGCGCGTTGAAGCGATGTTTTTCGTGGGACTTGTGATCCGTCAGTCCAGGAGCAGATTCCCCACTCAGTTCACCGCATCAGGGGAGGAACAGTCGCGGGCAATGGGAAAGCAGAGTGGGGAAACGAAATGAAATCGGGTCAGAGGGCAACCGCCGCCTCCCGTCAGCTCCACCGTCATCACCGGTAATCCCTCCATTCAGTTCGCCGGCGGGGCGGCTCCTGCACTTTTAGTCGTCATTTCCTCATCTGGGTGACGACAGCAGCGAGCTTCCAGGATCAATTCAAGGTCAGGATTTTCTGCGGCGGTAGAATAAGACGAACAACTCATAGCTACACTTGGATTAATATCCCGTTTCCTTGACTTTCACTTCGTATCCGTTTAGTATGGTTTAATTTATTCCGAGTGGGCCCCGCACCGGCGGAAGAATCTTGAGCCACGTCACCAGCCACGCGTCCATCAGCCAGAGGTGCAATTGTGGACTTTGCTGTAGGTCCCACTTCGCGACTGGGGAATCATCGGTGGACCTATACAGTTTCTCGATCTGACGGTCGTATTTGATTTACTCGCCAATAATCGCATTGGGCCGTCGATTGTAGGAAGCAATCATAGAGAGAGAGAGCGACTGTCGACATGCATGCGTATTCATGCACGTCGACGTTGGGTTATGAGTTCGCTCTCTCTCTCGCTCTCTCTCTGTCGCCTTCTCTCTCTCTCTCTCTCTATCTATATATATATATATATATATGTCTCTATATATATATAGGTGGAGATAGGAATGGAGAACCACGTGGGCCACGGGAGATTGTAGCCGCCCGCGAATATATTCCCCGTCCGGAGCCATCGAATGGTACGCAAAGAACACGAAGAATCGCCTCTAGAAATCGACCCATTTGCCTCTGATCTGCCTCTATCATCCCGCGGTCGAAAGAGACTCCCTCGGGCCCTCTTCTCCGCCCATCCGTCCAGAAACGATTCCAAACAGCGCCTCCATCGGAGAATTCCCCTGCCCCGCCCTCTCTCTCTCTCTCTCTTTCTCTCTCCCTCTCTCCCCCCCTCTCTCTCTCTCTCCCTCCCTCCCTCTCTCTCTCTCCCTCTTTCTTTCTCTCTATCTCTCTATCTCTCTCTTCCTCTGTCTCTCTCTCTATCTCTCTCTCTCTCTTTTTCCCTTTCTCTCTCTCTCTCTCTTTCCCTCTCTCTCTCTCTCTCTCTCTCTCTCTCCCTCTCTCTCTGTGTCTCTCTCTTTCCCTTCTCTCTCTTTTTCTCTCTCTCTCTCTCTTTCCCTCTCTCTCTCTCTCTATCTCTCTCTCTTTCCCTCTCTCTCTGTGTCTCTCTCTCTTCTCTCTCTTCTCTCTCTCTCTCTCTCTCTCTCTCTCTCTCTCTCTCTCTCTCTCTCTCTCTCTCTCTCTCTCTCTCTCTCTCTCTCTCTCTATCTCTCTCTCTCTTCCCTCTTTCTGTGTCTCTCTTTTCTCTCTCTCTCTATCTCTCTCTGTCTCTCTCTTTCCCTTCTCTCTCTATCTCTCTCTCTCTTTCCCTCTCTCTCTCTCTCTCTCTCCTCTCTCTCTCTCCCTCTCTCTCTCTCTCTCCCTCTCTCTCTTTCCCTCTCTCTCTCTCTATCACACACACTCTCTCTCTGCCTCTCTCTCTTTCCCTTTCTCTCTCTCTCTCTCTCTCTCTCTCTCTCACACACACACACACACACACACTCTCTCCCTCTCTCCCCCCTCTCTCTCTCCCTCTCTCTCTCTCTCACTATCTCTTCTCTCTCTTCCTCGGGAGAGTGGGGGATGGCAATAGGGGGCAGCGCCTTGTTCTCCTTCGCGAGAGTGAGTGGTTGATCCGACCATAATTTAATCTGTGATTGCGACCGAGAAGTAACAAAGAAATCCGGTGGTATCAGGAGGGTACTCTCCTCAGCAGACCAGACAACAGCCTCGTTTCCCCGCCTCTCGCTCCTCATTCCCGCTGCGCCGCCGCCACCGGAGTCCTGTGGGCGGAGTGCAGTGTGGCCCCCATTGCACTGGGAGGAGAGAGAGTCCTGAAGGGTTGACTAATGCGCGACGGAGAAGCGAATCGAGCGGGGTCAATCCAAGCTTCGTGGTTCTCTCTTTCTAATTATGTCACTCGAAGAACCCGTCAACTCGTGGAGCATTCTCGATCCACATTTTATGCCCAATTGAACATCTAAAAACGGATGAGAAAATATTCTTTTGCGGTTGGTTTGAGCCCATGGCATGCGGCGGGAGGAGGAAGACGGCCGACCTCACCGCCCCTCCCCTCATCCCAAACTGCTCTCCCACCGCAGTCGCCTACCCAGCCAGAGAGATAGAGATAGAGATAGAGATAGAGAGATAAGGAGAGAGAGAGAGAGAGAGAGAGAGAGAGAGAGAGAGAGATGTCGACGTTGCAGAGGTCGTCGGTGTCCTTCAGGAGACAGGGCTCGTCGGGGAGGATATGGCACGAGGCGGTGCACCAATGGGAGCTCAAGGGCCACAGTGGCGTTCTCTCAATGCCCACCGTTTCGCCGCCGGCGGCGGCCCCGGTGGGCGCCGCCCAGCAGGAGAAGGCCTCTGGCCGGTGCAGCTTCTTCCCTTCCTGCATGAGGCCGTCGTCTTCCTCCTGAGAGCGGCGTTCTCCTCCGCCCTCTCTGCGAGCCCTGTGCATACCCCCATCTCCTCTCCTTTGCCTCTTCAGACTACAATCCTTGATGATATATGTAATATACATACAAACATATAAGTTGTGAGGGATCGCAAACTTATATCGATGATCGCTCATACTTATGAGGGATCGCTGATACTTATATCGATGATCGCTCAATCAGACACTTTGACCTGATCGAAATGATCTATGCCCATGATAATGATGAACCCAGATCAATCGAGTCAACGGACCAATGACACCTCTTTCTTTCATGGAAATGGCCAGTTTGCAGATCACATCAAAAGAAAAAGAAAAAAAAATGGCGATCTGTACCGCGCTCCATCAAGAGCAGCTTGTGAGAACTGTTTGCCAATTCGGCAATGCGTTAACGAAAGAACCAAAAAAAAAGAAAAAAAAGAGAAAATCGTTTTCCATAAATGGTAATTTCAAGGTGATGAAAGTCTACGGTAGCGGGAGTAATCGATCCCGTTTAATCTCATGCAGCATAGAACCTGCTCTGGCAGCTCTTCCGGCTTGTTTCCCTGTTCAGCGAGCTGGTTAGGATCCAAGGAGTCAAAGGAAAGAGAAAAAGGACAGAAAGGGTGGGGGCATACCTGGATGGTCATCCCGATGTCGAGGATGCAGACATTCAACCTATCTAGAAATGCTTCGAAGCCTTTCCTAGAGATGTAGCTGAATCTATGCATATCTATGTCGATTTCAAGGTAATCTTCTCCCTGTAAGATACAAACAAATGAAGAAAAATCAGTGGGCTCCTGAGAATCTCATCCGTGTTCTAGATCTGACGCAGAGCATGGCCTGTGGGCCGAAAGTCAACGGAACTTGCCAGGTAAAATTCGTGTTGGGGGCGAGAAAGAACAGGCTTTTCGTTGTAAGCATGGATCAGTTTCCTCTCGGCTGCAGTAAGATGAAGGTCTTCTATGTTCGCCACGCGACCCAGTAGCTTTAGCCTCTCACGAGTGGGCAGAATTGTGTCCACGGGGAAGGCTTTGACCTTTTCTACTTCATTAGAAATCAACTTCTGTTCATAGAGAAGGCGTTGAAAAAGGCAGATTAAGGATTACAAGATTTGATTAAATATAAAGAAAATCTCTTCTCTCGTATAACTTGGATTTTGAAAAAAATATTGCCTCAATATTATTATGCATTCATTTCATCAGACCAGTACTGTAAAAAAAAATTAAAAAAAAATAAAAAACGAAAGAAAAGTACTACGAGAACAGAATAGAAAGGGATTTCCGGAGGAAACCCTAGAACAGTTGGGGACGAATTCGAGAGTGCCCCACTCTCCTGTTGACTTCTTCCAAAAGTCTCCCATTATCTTCCCTCGTACTGGGCCCATGGCCCACTATGTCTTAGCCTTCCCCTTTCCCGGCATAAGTTGCCCGGACAATGGGCCTGGTATCAGACCCGACAAACGGGGCCTAACAGACTGCTGTGGAAAAGGTTCCTGTGTAGCAGATGCAGTTCCATAATCTCTTCTATGGAAAAGGATCCCTGACAAAAGTCAACTCCACGGCGGTTACCCAAAATTCTCTCGTATTTCAGTGACCCAAAATTCGGATTAGGGATTATAAGAAATATAGATTGAGTTCTTAGTAAGTCTCAACTATACAATACACAAAAAGACTGCAAGAAAAAAAAAAGAAGAAAATCCAATGGAAATAAATATGCATAATCCTCCATTTCCTGGAAAATCTGTTTCTAATGTTCCATAACCGGAAAGGAATAAATAAATCCTCATACGTTTTATTGGTCGCCACTCGCATCTGATCAAGTGCTATTAATGGCATATTTGAAGCAGTAACAAGCCTCAGAAAACTAGAAGCCTAATAAAAATTCAGCAGATCTCTGGGCTTCATAAAATCGAGAAATTGATGAAATATGAATCAGCATATGGTAGAACATTGCACAACATGAGTAATGAAGCAGGTAAACTAATGAAGCAGAAACTAGTGACTACGAAGTGAATCCCGAATCATTCTCACCCTCAGATTATCCTGGAAATGTGATGGAGAGTCTTTCGAGAAGCTCTCCGAGATCCTAAAATATAGAACGAAACTCATTCCTTCTCCGTCAGTATTGCTTTGAAAGAAGGATGTGGGATAGAGTGGAATCTGAAAAGGATAATTTTCAGTTAAGAGCACGGAAAATGCGGCATGAGGAAAAAAACTGTAAGCACACCATGTTTTCTTAATAAAGAAATACGTGGGCCTTGGAGATGCAATAGGTAACAGAAAGGTACTTAATACTTCTAGTTACACCATGCCAAGTGAATCATACTGCTACTCCAAAATACTATTCATCTTTTAAGGTCCTGGCTTCAGAACGCTTGGTTGGAGGAATGTTAAAAATAACTAGAAAGATGCACATAAGGTAAAGAACTGAAGCCCAATGTTGAAAAATATTATTTGCCAAGAGCCAGAAACCCATTGTTTCCACAGTGAAATGGTTTTGATTTCTTCCATAGGAAGAGATCCACTTTGGTCAACTCGTTGAAAAATCAGGATACATTTACAATTTTCTGTCTGTGCTCTCCTGTGGAAGCGTCCATTTTAACGATCTCAATCACGAAGCAAGCAGTAGCAAAACTGAACCCTTTTCTATCAGGAAATATGACAACTATGGTGGGTTCGAAAATTTCTCTCTTTGAAGCCCAGAACCGCAAAAATCGAAGAAAACATGTCTACTCTGAAGTTTTCTTTAAGTTGTTAAAAGAAATTTTCAGTAGAAAAATAGTACTTTATGCATTAAGTTTTCTAATTATTTTTAAGCTCAAGTTGGAGGAATAGTACTTTTCATCTCAAGTTAGTTTTCTATAAGATGGTTGCATTAAATAGTACTTTATGCTTTCTCATTGAGCACCTTAGAAGCGCAGAACCTACAATGGGGCTCATTGAGAGGTGGTCACTTGTTCATCGAAATAAGTCACTTAAGCTGCAGGCTGTCATTCGTCACTACCTCAGTCAATGTGGAGACATTAACATTGTTTACAGATACCATATTTTTGCGTGAATGTAGTTACATGGTCAAGAAAAACCATTCAAGTAACAATTACCCAAAGAAGACGTATAAATTACCTGCACATTTACTATAAGGGTAGATGGAAATTTTCCTGACGAAGTCACACTCGGGAGTTGCACAAAGCGAGCAAAATGATCGATTTTATACTGGCATAGAAAGACATCCATACCAAAAGGATAGTATGCTGCAAGCTTTGGAGCATACACTTTCTTTTTATCCCTGTAAGAAAATCAAGATGCTTATAGACGTCAGATGATACTGTAACTTGATTATGATGTATGTACACTTAAGCGATAACTTGATTAAAAAGTTATTGCTATTAGTGTCCTAAATAAAACTTACTAGAGGAAAAATAATCATACAGATAGACATCCTGGTACCTAAAATAGTTCTCTCCCCGAACCTTGAAAGTGGAAGGCTCGATATAAGACCAGGTATCTGGCATTTTTTTCTCTAGAAGACAGAAAGGAACTTGGCAACCAGCTAGTGGTCTTTCAAGGAAAAACCTTGCACTAACTGAGATGAAAAATAAAGATGTCAATTATTTATTACTAATTGGAAAAGTAGGCTTCATCTTATAGTTGTCGGAGTCATGAATATTTTCAATGTTTGACAGTTTTCAACCGTTGTATGATGTCACTGATGAACTATGCATAATAATACCCTCACATAAGTTCATAAGAGCCAAAAAACCAATAAAAGACAGGAAGGAAATGAGGTATGCATTATAAGCACAAGGGACAGACATATTGAGGAAATGTGTTGAGACTAGTCACTAGTTATGACACAAAAGCAAAAAAATGGACTAGAAACATGGTACACTGCATAGATATTTTATCCGGAGAGAACATACCAAACGCAAAACAAGTTCAATCCATAGCTCATACTTTTCATACTTCGTAACATGGATAAACTTGGAACACATCACGTATTCCTGCTCTCTATGCCATAAATGCCTTTTGCATAACTAATGTTTTACATAGAGTAAATTTGGTCAATAAAGATGCAAGTGACTTTACAACCAAATGAAATAAATGATGCAGACCTGATATGGGTCGCCCCCTGACCTTAGTACTTCTCATCACTCGGCCGATTGCACAAAAAAAATGGAAATTCAATAAGAATAGAAAACTATGCATAAATCGTCGCACTTATTTTGATATTAAGTTCACCTCATAGTTAACCTAACATAGCGGCAACAACTGTACAAGGCTTTAGAAGAATGAAGGAAGCATTCCCTCCACAAGATTCAAGTACAAATATTTTCTTTTTAAAAAAAGTAAGAGACGTCCCAGTCGACACTTTTACGAATTCCTCGTAAAAAACTCGAAAAGAATGAGGGATAGCATTCCAATCAATTTCGTTTCCGTGATTGGAATATAATTGGTTAATAAACTAAGAAGATGAAAGATACCACAATTGTCCATTGAGAAAACAACAAAAGGACACAGAGTCCTTTCCGTGATTGCCAGTTAAAAGATATAGTTCACGAATATTGGCATTATAAGTAGTCCAATTGAAATCAAAGCTCGACATTGATAGGAAAGTCAGAACTCACTGGAAAACTTAGTTGCTGCTTTTTTCCTTGAGGTAGGGGCGCTGGAGCTAAGAGATCCTCTCGTTTCGATTTCAGATGCTGTAGGGGGAAGACAGGGCGAGCAGATGTTTAGCAGAATGCAACAATTGTCTAACATCCTTCCTCTATCTTCACCATCCATTTCATCCACACTGGATGATTGGCTACGGTTTATAGAAGTTTTTTCTGTGCCCATGACCACGTTCTCGTGGGTTTACATCACTTGCTGTTTTCTACATCCGTCTCTACTACCCTCTGGTCTTTTTGCTTATAATGAGCAGAAAAGCTTGAAGAAACAACATTACCACTATTCTCTTCAATGTTTGGTTCTCCGAAAGATGAAGCACTTGAAACAGAAGCATCTTCGAAGGCATTTAACGACATTGCATCTGCAAGAAATTTCATGTGCACACGTTCAAGAGCGAAATTACATCTTCCATGGAATATAGCATTATGCACGAAAGCGCTTCAGAAACATCAACATCAAGGTCTTCAAAGCCACATACCATCCCGTACGCTAAGAAATTCTTCACCACAATCCGATTCCAAAGATAAAACGGTGTCGAACCAAGAGTCTTCTTCAGTTCCTGAGAACAGCATTTATAAATATTGTTAAAAAAGAGAAGCAACTAATCACTCGGACATATTTAAAGATGAACTATCAAAAGATTGCGGCTGCGGTTATGAAACAGCGTGAGCATTCGCGCTTCGCCTAAACACAGAACCAGAGATCAGCAATCAAATACCGACGTCCAACCTCTCATTGTCGTATAGACCACACAGATATATGGGCATGTAAATCTGAAAATGAATAGCCATACCTCACGGCAAAGCCAACCACAACGAGGCAAAAGATGGAAACTATGACGGGAATGGTATCATCTCTTTTTCGTTACCTTGAATGGAAGGGATGCTGAAGGGACGACGGCCGTCGCCGCCATTGACCACGGGGCAGCCGCCATCATCCGATCCCACGATCTCCGCAATCGTCATCATAGTGGCCGACCTCAGCGGCGTCGACCGCCGCCTGAACACCCTCCTCCTCTGCCTCCGCAAACGCCGCTGGAGCATCAGGCGTCCTCCTGTGCAGCCCTCCTCGCGCCTCGACATGCACGCTCCCATCTCCCCACCTCTCTCTATCCCCCTCCACTCTTCTGCAGCCCCAAGCTGGTTCGATGGAATCGTCAGAACAAGGCGATTCAGATGAAAAGGAAGAGACGAACGCCGATCAGCTGCAGGTGGAAGAGCCACACACCGTCACAGCGAGCCGGAGCATGAATAGGCCAGAGGGAGAGAGAGAGCGAGAGAGAGAGAGAGAGAGAGAGAGAGAGAGAGAGAGAGAGAGAGAGAGTAGCTCACACGTCATGCCGGTTGATTTTTATTCGCGTTTGGTCGCCGGTCTTCGATCGTTCCGACGAGATGAGGTGGCGAAGTTGGTGATCACCGACGCGCTCTCCGCCGACCGCAGAGACCCCAGATCCGCCTGCCGCCAGCCCAAGGCGACCTCCATGTTCCTTCCTTTCTCCCCCTTCGCGCGCTGCCCGTTTTGAACGCCTCTTCTTATTTATATTTACGTATGTATCCTCGCATAAATAACTCTTGCTCTTTGGCTGGCCCAGCCCGCGTATTTCAAATGGGAAAAACCAAAATGCGGCAACGGCTCCCTGCGGCTGGTCCTGTGCACGCATTTCGAAGATGTAGAGAGAGAGAGAGAGAGAGAGGGGATTTCGAACTAGTTTTTTAGCTTTGATTTTGGAGAACAGGACCCAGCGGAGAGGTAGAACTTCGCTCCCGTCCTGGCAAAGGGGTTTTCCTTTTGGCCCTCGTCTTCCTCCCCTTTCCTGCTGCTGCAGTTTCTTCCTCTGTGCAGTGAGCAATGGGCTCCTGCGTGTGGGCAGCCGCGGCGACTGTAGCCTTGCTAATCTCTTACTCCTCTATCTCATTTGCCCTAACGCCCGACGGTATGCCCCTCTCTTTCTCTCTCTCTCGTTCTGCGGCCTGTCCCCCATTTGTGGGGTTTTGGCGGACTGAGTTAGCTGGAGAGTGGAATGGGAAGTAGTTTGTGAGTGGAAGAATGGAGATTGATGGGTCTAGGGTGTGAATGTGGTACTGATCATACTGCTGCTGGTAATTAGGGCTAGTGCTGCTCGACATCAAAGAGGGATTCCTCCGCGCGGCTGGTGCCAGGCAGATGCCGCAGATGCTGGATACCTGGAAGGAGACCGACGCCAGCCCTTGTAACTGGACTGGGATCTCCTGCCACCTCCCGCATTTGACGACTGTTCGATCCATGTACGTACTGTCACCGTCGCCAATCGACGCGATTCCTCCCCTCTTTGCTCCGGCTTATGCTCATACTTTTGTGGTTTCTGGTCTGCTCTCCTCTTCGCCTCAGAGATTTGCCCTATATGAAGCTGGGTGGTCTCATCTCTCCCAGCATTGGCAAGCTCCAGAGGTTGCAGAGGCTGTAAGTAGTCTCGCGACCCCTGCATTGTCTGTCCCAAAGCATTACAAAAAAAAACTAGGGCAGATGGTTACTGACTTTTATCGGATTACTGGGGGCAGTTCCCTTCACCACAACAGCTTGCACGGTTCCATCCCTTCGGAGATCGGCAGCTGCCTCGAGCTGAGAGCATTGTGAGCTCCGTTTGCCCTAGTTCCCGTTGATTCTTTCTCTAAGTGAAGGAGATCAAACGATTTTTATATCTTTATCTTGAAAGGTATCTGAGAGCCAACTACCTCAAGGGTAGTATCCCTCCCGAGATCGGGCACCTGAGCCGTCTCATCATCCTGTATGTTGCTCGAGCTCATTGTTCTCTGGTTTAGTTCTCCACTCTTCGTCTCTCTCATCTCTTCTTGCGACATTACATCATGGGATGCAGGGATCTCTCAAGCAACTTGCTCAAGGGTTCCATACCAGCATCTATTGGCCGCCTCACACACCTCCGGTTCCTGTGAGTTCTATCATCCTTTGTCGATGAGATCAATCCAGCGAAATTCTTCCATTAATGCTCTCTGACCAGAAGAGCTGGCGCTTTATTATTTCTCAGGAACCTTTCGACCAATTTCCTCTCTGGTGAAGTCCCAGACATCGGCGTGCTGTCTACCTTCAGGAACACCTCGTAAGTTGACTGATCAAACTCCAGCTCCCCCTCTTCTTCGGTCAACAGCTGAACAACACTCTGGGATGTATCTTCCATTGAGTTATGGTTTGATGATGCTAATGGACGCAGGTTCATTGGGAACTTGGATCTGTGCGGTCGCCTGGTTCAGAGGCTTTGTGGCCGCCCACTAGGCTTCCCTGCAATGCTGCCGCAGCAAGAGGGAGACGCCTCTCTGGGCAAGCATTCCTTTGGATATATTTTTTTCATTCTGTCCTAGGTGCTACTATTTTATTCATTAATTCTTGGTGATGGTTGACCTCTGCCAGGGTCTGCGCCAGGGTCATCCAAGAAATCCTCACATTATCTCAATGGGATCCTGATTGGCTCTATGTCAACCATTGGGGTTGCTCTGCTTGTGGTGCTCTGCGTTCTTTGGATCTGCTTGCTGTCAAGAAGTGAGAAACTGAGTGGAAAATACTTCAAAGTGGACAAGCAGCTCGCTGAGGATTCGAGTAAGTGGTGGCTTCTCTCTCACTCTACTGAAACCCTCGGGGATCACCCACTGACTGGTCCTGAGTTCTGGGTTGCTAGGCACCAAGCTCGTCAAGTTCTTGGGAGATCTTCCATATTCATTATCTGAAGTAATGAAGAAACTTGAGGTCCTTGAAGAAGGAGAGGTGCTCGGATCCGGTGGAGTGGGCTGCGTGTACAAGTTGACCATGGATGATTCTGCCATATTTGCAGTCAAAAGGATTGAACAAAGGTTCGAAGGATCTGGGGAAATTTTGGAGAGACAGGTTGAGATCTTGGGCAGCGTCAAGCACATTAACCTCGTCAAACTCCAAGGCTACTGTCGGCTTCCCTCTGCCAGATTTCTCATTTACGACTACTTAGCTCTGGGTAGCCTGGATCGCTATCTGCATGGTGCGCACTGTGGCAAAGGAAGCGGGTTCCGTGTCCTCAATCGCATTAGTTTAGCATATATCTCTTATTTAATCAAACTTAGAACATGGGATTTATTATTTCATGCCATTTTATTATTTCCTGATTTATTTTTAAGTCATAGCCATTTTCATTTAATCATATGATATCATGGAAAATCATATCACTGCAATTGTTTGGCGGTTTATTGCATTTTCTCTGTTCTCATTTGGATGGTCTGATTCGAAAAGGTGGGGAAGAAGAGCCACCATTGAACTGGAATGCACGTCTGAAGATAGCCTTGGGTTCTGCGAGGGGTTTGGCATACTTGCACCACGATTGCTGCCCCAGACTACTGCACACGAACATCAAATCCTCTAACATACTCCTCGACAGAAGCTTGGAGCCCCATGTCTCCGACTTTGGCCTTGCCAAGCTTCTAGTAGATGAAGATGCCCATGTGACAACTGTCGTTGCAGGCAGTTTTGGCTATCTTGCTCCAGGTGCTTCTAATCCCCTTCAACTCCTTCGTTAGATATATTCTCTTGCATGATCTAATTATTTTATAATTGGAAAGTGGCTCATATTTACTATTTCTTTTGTACTGTCTCATTGTCTTCGACTCTGATAATTTTTTTTTCTATCTAACCATAAAAGGGAAAGGTTGTTGAGTCAACTCGTCAATTCTTGCATCATATAATTATTTTCTGATCGAAAATGGCCATGGTCAACCTTTCTTTTGTTTATAATATCAGAGTACCTCAATGATGGTCAAGTGACTGAAAAGTCAGACGTCTATAGCTTTGGGGTGCTCCTCTTGGAGCTGGTGACTGGCAAGAGGCCCACTGACCCATCTTTCGTGAAGAGAGGACTGAACATTGTCGGCTGGGTGAGTGTGGAATGGCTTCCTAGAGATGGATGGTTTTTTTTTTTTTTCATTCTTTTTTTTTTTCAATTGTGTTTATTCTTCTAAGTGGGGTGGGGGTTGGATTTACTGCAGATGAACACGCTCTCAGAGCAGGACCTATTTGATGATGTTGTGGATCCGAAGTGCAGCGGCATTGACATGGAGTCAGTCGAAGCTGTCCTTGACATAGCTGCCATGTGCACGGAGGCAGGGCCAGATGACCGCCCAACCATGGGCGGGGTCCTGCAGATGCTTGAGGAGGTGGTGCTGTCGCCCTGCCCCAGTGACTTGGACATTTAGGCGGCTGCACTCTCCCATTTTTTGCTTCTCCCTTCTCAGGAGATTTTTTTTTTTTTTCCAGATCTTTCTGTCATGTACAAAGCTTTCTTCTTCTGATTTGAATCTACTTCTGTCTTGTTGACATTAGCCCTGCTCTACTCATCCAGGATTTATTACTACTGTTGATTTGAATCTAATTCTGATTTGAAGATCTTTGAAACATCTGTGCACGGGGAAATCCATTTTTTGTCATGCAAGATGGGTTTTTGGTATTCCTTTTGGAATAATCATTGCAAGATGAGTTGGTAGCAAGATTATGCACTAGATTTGGTAGCACATGTTCACAGTTTTGCAACTAATCAATAAATAAAGCAAATTATATATTTCAATGGTGATCTACTGTAAACTGCATCATGGTAATCAACTAATCAGATGAAGACTTTGCAGCCAGGGGTTACTCTTGCAAGACAGTATAATTATTCATGACTGCCAAAGCTGTATATGAGTACAACCAGAGTTTAAGCAGATCTTGAATCGGAATATGAAAAGCAAGAGCATGTGAGATCCATGTCACTGGCCTGTCTTGAAGGAGACGGTACAAAAGAACAGAGGAGCATTGTGTGTACCGATGTGGAACGATGGTTGCCTTTTTTTTATGTACCTAATATGCAATGGGTACATTTCAGAGAGCCGCTTGGTTGTGAAGAGGAACATGCCCATCACCAGTGATCAGCTCGTTCACCTCATACTGGGGCTCAGGGAACTGCGAAATGAAGATAATGCAGTTCAAGTTGTACTCACCTTGGAGGGGATTATTCATTGGCCCATAAAAAACTTGCTATAAAAAGAATTCAAGAGCAGGAAGAAAATGGTCAGCGTACCCACTGCACACACAATGCCCACCAGTTCTACAGCATTTGGCATCAGAAAATCAACCAGTCCTAGCCATTTTTGGAATAGGATATCAGCATGGGTACAATTGTACAGGAATTGAGACCGGCGGTAAGATTGATGCTATTCGCTGAGTTTCAGTCAGGCTCAGACCTTTGATAACGACCGTAAGCGCCTAGTTCCTAGCAATTTCAAGTGTACCTGAAATAATCAGTACGAGAGCATAGAAGCCTGTAAAGTCAGCCTCAGGAATAGAGGAGAGAGAAAAATATAACCAGGCCCCTTTGTGCCATTAACACACTCCAACAACATAGCCACGACCTTCATTATGCTTTCACTTGGATGACAAGCCACCTCTTAATATCAGGTTCTAACTAGATAGCCAGAAATGATGAATTATTTTGGATCTGTAGAGGCAAGACATAAACGTAGGCTTGTTGTGGAGTTGACTTCCAGCAACTTACAATCGGCGATGCATGGAAAGGAATAAGTGGGGTTTAACCAGCACCAATATTTCCCCTTTCCTCCGTTCCATCACATCCAGCCCAGTCATGACCTCCCCACTTCCTGAAGATTTGCATGAATGCATTTTTTTTTTTTATTCATTCAATTCCAAATTATACACGTATGGCTGCTGGATTTAACACGGGATGAGAAACTACTCCAAGGATGCAAGGTTCTCAATGAATAAATCTGTTACAATGATTTTAGCAGGTATATAGAAAAGTGATTTATGTCTTTTGTGCAAGAATAAGGACATTCTGCAAGGCAATCAATACAAAATTCCGAAAATGGAAGTGCGTCAATATTTAGCACCATGTAATTGACCAAGGATTTCATCTTCTCCTAAAGAAACCGCTTCTCGTGTACAGCCAGGTCTGAACTTCTTTCTCTTGCTAGGGTAAGCAAAGTCTCACAAACTATATCCCTCCAAATCCTTTGTCCGGTGGACAAGTACTACCCCATTAGCTATTTTGAACACTAGGAACATTCTTCATATTACCAACCAAGACGAGTTTTCAATGATGGTTTCACTCCAATTCTGACTCCGTTTTGAGGGATTATACAACCAATTAAAGCATAAAAATATGAGCAGGGTCTCATTGGGGGATTCTCATAAATATGAGCCTTTCAAAGCGGAAGCTCGTCTTTGGGTGGGGGTTCTGGACAGTTGCAAATGCGTCAACAGAGTTTGATGTCGTCGATGTTGAATTCCTCTTTGCGATTATTGAGCGGGAACCATGTAAGTACGGTTAATTAGGAAAAACCCCTGCATGTCCCAATCCAAAGGTAAGATTTCAAGCTAAATTTTTCCAGACATCATATAATAATAATGATAATGGAGCATGAGCTATGCCGATAAACGCACGGTTTCCTACCAAGCCATTTAGGTTATCGTTGATTGATATGGTAGTATGAAGGAAATATCCAATCCATGAAAAAAAAGAATGATTCTGAAAAAAAAAAAACATGATTATAGGTTTGATCTTCGGTTAATATGCTTAAAAATCGAAAGGAAATGAAGAGGAAAAAATGAGGCTTGATTCCACGAGATGAGAGAAAAATCATACTATTCACAGTCATCATGACTATAAAAAACGGAGTAAATCATATGCAAGCCAATCATTATATATTTCAAAAGAGCAATCTTAATTTCTTCCAAGGTGAGGAAATTTACGGTGAAGTTGAAAATGAAAGGAAATGGTCTACAAGGGAAGAAAAAGGGTCACCCATTATCATCATCCATACCAGTCCAATCTGATCCCGGTAGGCAGCCCGGTCCTGGCAGGAGTGGACTTCGCGGAAATCCTCAATGGAGAGACGCTTGCTGATCCATCCGACCTGGAAGTAGATGTAATCGGAAGGGGGGAGGTCGACCTTGATCTCATCGACGCCAAGCCAAAGGAAGAGGCGCTGCACCTGGACTCCCTCGAGATTCCGGATTGACCCGATCTTGAGCGTTCCAGTAATCCGGCGCTCGTAGTACACAAGGTTAGAATCGAATTGGACGTAGCAAGAGGGCCGATCGAGCTCCACAGTAAATCCCCCATCCTCATCCAGCGAGTAAGACGCCACCGCGTCGGGGAGCAGGCCCGCCGGCAGCCCGAACTGGGGGAGCACATCGAACACAGTCGTCCCGTTAGAGCCGCCGCCTCCGGCCGCCGCAGCGGCCGGTGAATAGATCAGAGCAAGCATTACAAAGGAGATGAAGACAAGAGAGGGGAATGATTCCATGGCTCTGTTGGTGCCGACGGCGCTTCGTCGCCGGCTACTTCCTCCCCGGCTGGATCAGCGATGAGGCCCGCTGAGTACCTCTTAAGTGAGGGTAGCGTTAGCGGACGGACACTTCACGGTCGTTGTGGCTACGTGCAGACAGTGACGCAGAGAAAGAGAGAGAAAGAAAGAGAGAGAGAGAGAGAGAGAGATGAAAAAGGGTATATTTTATTCGGCATTTCTCCAGACGATGAAGAGGCGCTAGGAAGGCCATAAATACAATTAAATTATTTTAAATATTAATTGACAGAGAGAGAGAGAAAGAGAGATGAAAAAGCGGATATTTTATTCGGCATTTCTCCAGACGATGAAGAGGCGCTAGGAAGGCCATAAATACAATTAAATTATTTTAAATATTAATTGACAGAGAGAGAGAGAAAGAGAGATGAAAAAGCGGATATTTTATTCGGCATTTCTGCAGAAGAGGAAGATGCGCTAGGCAGGACATATATACGATAATGAATGTTAATTAGCAGAGAGAGATCAAAAAGCGGATATTTTATTCGGCATTTAGGCAGAAGAGGGAGATGAGGTTGTAAGGACATATATACAATTAAATTATTTTAGATGTTAATTAACAGAGAGAGAGAGATTAAAAATCGGAGATTTCATTCGGCATTTCTGCAGAAGTGGAAGATGCTCTGTTAAGGTTATATATACAATTAAAGTATTTGAGATGCTAATTACGTTTAAGGGTATATATGGGATTATCAACTTGCTCATTATTTGTCTGGCCCCTCGTCCATCATCTATGCCTCTTGCTCTGGCGGGCTCAGCATGGCGGGATGTCACTCCCTCTCTTCTGCTCAGCTTCTGTTCTCATCTCAGCGCCAGAACGGCCGTCCTCTAGGACGAACCTGCGCGTTTCGAAGGGATTCGCATCCCTTCATCGTCTTGGCCTCGCGCTCTTCCCGCGTCGGTGAGTCTCCATCTCCGATCAACTCGCACAGTAGGAAGAATCCGAAGAGGTTTATCTTGTATTCTTTTTGAATTTAGCCAGACATTCTTCCTGCTGTAATGGTTATTGATTTGACGCCTGCGCTCAGATGCCTGGAAGGGTCATGCGAGGGGAGGGAGTGAACAGGAGATATTGGAGCGATACGGTCTGGAGCCGTCTCAGTTGTCGACAGAAACCTATCGGAAGGTGAGAAGTAGATTAACCCCGTCGCTCGAGGTCATTTCCTTGTTCTTATGCCTACCAAATCTCTCATTTTTGTGAAGTGGGGAATCTGATTTAGTTGGCGTTTGGTTGTAGTCGGGGAGAGGGAAAATGGAGGGGACGAGGACCGGGAGAGGGAAACGGGCACCACTGACGCCACAGGAGGAAGAGCCGAGGCGGAATCGCGCAACGCATAAGTTGCTTCATGTAGTACCTTCGTTATCCGCCTCCTGTATCTATCTCTGACCGAAAGCTTGCCGTCTGATTCTACGCATGTTCCTCTCATTCTATAAGTCGCAAATTCAATGCTTGTTTCACCTGATACTTAACGTCGTTCCTCGGTGACTTGCTTGCATACTCATAGTGGTATAATTCCTTCACTTCCGAATTCCACGTAAGAATGGATATCATAGGAACAAATGCTGCAATATTTCATCAACTTATCGGTACAAGTTGAGGTCAGTGTTGATGATATCCGTGTACAGTTGTTTCCTATTTCATGTAGGCCCCAGATGTGTTTCTCAGAGTACTCCCCTCGAAAATCCAGGGTTCTTTTCTGCTTTCGTGATGTATGCTAACACCCCTCCCAATCCTTTAGGGAATTTTATGTCACGTTTTCTTCCTTCTATCACGGGGAAAACCTCTCTAATGGTCTGACATCCCTGATCTTAGATTTTTTTTTCATAGCTCTGTGGTAGTGAATTCCCCCCTCATGCCTTTCTTTTCCAACAAAAATAGCTTCACACTCAAAAACTCACTTAAGGGAAATCGTCCAAATCGATATAGACCTCACCTTCAGTGGGGATGATCTCCTTATAACATTGACTTTCTATGTCCCTCTATTTGGCACAAAACCAGAAAATGAAGTAGTTATGTAAGTTTTTTAATATATATCTTTGGGGTGAGAAGATTTATTAGTTAGAAAATTGACTGTTGAATGAGCTACATCATGACGGGATAGAAGTTTCTGTCATAAATCTTTGTCTCCTTTTCTGCCTTATTCATAAATTTCCTATCCTCTTTCACTTTTTTACTAGTTGATGTGGATCTCGAGAGTAGTTGAGACAGTGCCATTAGCAATTAGGGTTTGTGTTGCTATTTCTGAAAGAGATTCGTGTTTCAATTGGACACATATCAGTCCTGACACAGTTGTTAAAATCCGGGAAAAGAAATTCTATGCTTACACTGTTCTTCATCACTCTTTCGGTCCAGGAGCATAGATTGAATTGTTTTTCATTTTTCAATGAACTTATCTTATCCACTATACCGTTTCTATGCATCATACGGAAATGAATTGCGATGTTCTTTCAGACAATGGTGGCAACATTTTCTTGTGGAACAATATTTCCGTTTCTGTCATTTTCCATGATTTTTTCCGCTCTGTGGTCCTGCTAAGAGCTGCAATCTTGTCATTTTATAGGTTCTTGCGGGAAAAGCTCGGAGAAAAAAGTTGCTCTCACCAAAGGACATGGATGTGCGTCCTATGATGGAAGTCGTCAAGGCGGCAGCGTTTGACATACTTCAGGTGTTAACATGGTTCTTCTTTGAATAATCGTTCATGTTAAGCACGTCCAAGGACTAAAACCAGTCGTAATATGGTTTGTTTAGGCAGCCGGTGGCTGCCCTGCTTCTCTAAGGGAAGGCAGGTGGCTCGACCTGTACAGTGGTACCGGAGCTGTTGGAATAGAAGCTATGAGCCGTGGATGTTCAGAGGTGACCTTTTGTCTCTTCAAATTATTCTTTACACTTAATATTTTCATCTCCTACCCTTGTTTATTGCACTTTGTGTTCTAAGTGTTCCGGCTTTTTAGTAGCAGAATTTGGTGACTTATTAATCATTTTTCTGTCACTTGTTTGCAATATTTTTTTGGCAAAACTGAAATCTTTGAAATATTTCCTCAGCTTTTTTATTGGACATTTTTTTTCTCAATTTTTGCAATTAATGAAGCGAAAAAAGATTTATAATACATCAAATTAATTAAATGCAGATTCTTTATGTGGGAAATATAATGTAGATGAAATCTAGCATGGGGAAATGGGTAGTTAATCTTCTTATGAAATAATACTTTGGACACATGGCATTTACTGGCCCTGCCATTATTATTCGATTGGAACAGGAGTTAGATATAGATCTATGATATTTTATGAACTTAGGACTAGGGAGATTCGCTTTGAGACCTTAATATTATTAGTCTAATGTAACATTTGCCCTGTTATTTTTCGTTCCTAATAAGGTAAACGAAGCAGGTAAACTATACACGGTTATGAATGTGCCCCGGGCTTTTACCACACTATGTAGAATTGTCGACTGATCATGGTTAAGCCTAGGCTCTGTCTTTGCGTAGGCTTCTGGTGCAACATCTACCTTTTATCTTTCCATAATTAATTTAATATCCTGATCATTCCTTCGTGTGGTGTAGACTGACATCCCTTCTTCCTCCTCCTCCTCTGGTAGGCACACTTTGTTGAGATGGACCCCTGGGTCGTCTCCCAGGTCCTGCGACCGAATCTAGAATGGACTGGGTTCGTTGACTTTTCAACCGTACATACAGTTCGTGTCGAAAGATTCTTGCAGCAGGCTCAGCTGACTTCAGGTGAAGCGCTGCGTGTGTTTTGGACATCCGTGCCATCTCTCTCTCTCTCTCTCCTTTTCAGCTCAGTTCAGATAACATGTGCAGGCAGCGATGGGTCCTTTGACTACATCAGTGTGACCCCTCCGTACGAAGCAGTGGACTACGCCATACTAATGGATCAGCTTGAGAAATCGTCTTTAATCGGAAAAGATTCCTTCGTTGTGAGTGGCGTCGTGCATCACTTTGTGCCGCGCAGGTCGTATTACTTCCTGAAATGGGGGTTGACTTCCGTCTCGCTTCGTCTCTTTCCAGGTGGTGGAGTATCCGCTAAAGACTTCTATGTTGGAGACATGCGCACATCTCGTGAAGGTGATCCATTCCTGATTGACCTTTGCTGAAAAGAATGGTCAACCATTCGGACCAGTCTCATGCCATGGACAAACATAGAAGCTTCCTTTATTTATTTATTTATTTATTTATTTATTTTGCTAAAATTGCATCGACGTTTATGACCTAACATAGCGATTAATAATTTGCAGATAACTGACAGGCGCTTTGGGCGGACAAACTTGGTGATCTATGGGCCCGCATGGGCGCAGAGGAAGAGGAAGCCTGGGTTGACTCAGTTTCCCCAAGAACAGTTCTGATCGTGGCCGTTCATCTCATCATATGATGATCTTATCATTTATGAAATGCCGCCGGCATCAGAAGGGTAGGCGATTTTGAGAATATTCACACATCCGAGTAAGTAAATGGATTTCGCATTAAAAAATTGATGGGTCTCACCCACTCATTCTAGATCAGATTTTTTGTTCCATAATTCGGCCTCATTATCATATTCTTCGCGCCTCACATAAAATAAATAAATGAATGAATTAATTAATTAACTAACGGTGCACATGACCATAATACGGAAAGGAAAATGGTTCATCGTGAAGATAAAATAACAACGTGGGCGGCAGGATTCGAACCTGCGCGGGCAGAGCCCACATGATTTCTAGTCATGCCCGATAACCACTCCGGCACGCCCACGTTCCTTGCCGTTAAAAGAAAAGTCCACAGATGATCAGCTGTGGACTTTGAGGCACAGCAGATTTGGGAAGAGCCGAAGCAGCTCTCCACGAGTCCTCCTCTGAGAGACAGAGAATAAGCAGTCTAGAGAGATAAAAAGTTTCAAAGAAGGGAAGGATTGGGAGGGGTGTACCTTAATGCCCACACAACCGTTGACATCCAGCGTTGTGAGTGTTCTTGAGCAGGAGACAGACAGGTTCTCCAGACAGTTGTCGGTCACCCCAACAATCCCAAACAAGCTGCAGCCGTGGAGAAAGCATCGTCATGCACTTGGGGTATTTAATTGCTTCTATCATTAATGAAAACTTTGCTCTCATTTAATATGATCTTTAGAAATCATTTTCACTGTCTGTTCATGGGTTTCCGTTGACCTGAGGAGTTCAAGAGACCTGCAGCCTTCAGCAATGGCCACCATCCCCACATCAGTTACAAGCACGCACCTGAGAATGAACCACTGTGAAGATAGCAACAATTCATTTAAGAAAATAATGCACCAGCTGTGTCTCACCACGTCAGATTCAGAGAGATCAGATCCTTGCATGCCGATATGTGAGAGAGGCCCCCATCAGTCAGGTTCTGGGTGGGTTTGACGTTTCCACATATCATCAGAACGCTCTAGAAAGTAGACTAGTTTGCAAGATGATTCAAGGGTGGTCAAAGAGGGCACCTGTGCGCCGCAGAGGTCTAAGAATCTCAGATGCTTTAAGGAGGAGAGTTCTCTGTAAGCGTTATCTGTGAAACTGCAAGAAAATATCTCTGCCCAAGATCAACAACGCAACTGTGTTCAAAGAAACTGGAACAAGAACCAACAATGGATGGATACCTTGAAAGGGCATACAGGTTTAAGCTTCGGAGATGCAGACAGTTGACAAGTATCCGGCGAAGACCCACATCAGTTAGTTTGATGCACCTGAGAAAGAAAATGAGATCAGGTTGCAGTTATCACTTTATCCGGAAAATCTCATACTTGCTTTATGCTCATCACTGAGAAGATTAGTGCCACAATTGGCATGTTGCAGTGGCCTAGTGATGTGAGAAAAATCAGATTCCTCTAAGTGGGGCCTGAGAATTTTATCTATGGCCTTCCCAGATAGATGGAAGCTGAATGCCATCAGCTTCTAAGTGAAAAGAGAGACTCTCACAAACCATAAGGGCTGGTAACAAAGTACAAGGAGAAATATGAAATGAATGGCGGACGGAGGAATGCCGAGCGCGGGCATTGGTCACACCACTGAGTTATTTTTGCTCTTTTGCCTCTGGGATCTCGAGTTGGCAGGATCTCTGATGACCGAATGGGCATCCAGGGAGAACGAATTTTGTGCATGAAATGGGAAAAACGAATCGTTGAAAGTTGACGGAGAACATCACACTAGGGGGAAAGAGAGAAGGTTTCATGAGTCGAGAGGTAATGTCCGGTTTCAACGGCAAACAGAAGAGAAAAACAAAGCTTTCTTTCTTGGAAATGGATCAGTATACAAGGCCTTGCGTAAATTCAGCAGGTTTTCGACGTAATCTTCATGATCTTTCTCTGTACTTTCGTTCTATTATACTTAGACATGAAAGGGCAAATCACTGAGGCATACCCGTCACTAATTTACTAAATTATCTGCGTAAAAATGAGAGATTGTGGGTCCTATCTACAATGAAAGTTTGATGTACACCTAAACTTTGATCGTAAAAAATATAATGAATGTTCTTGTAGCACATCAAGTCAGATAGACCAAATCATGAACAGCGATTCTTCAGTTTATTTGAGATATATCTGTGGGTATTAATCTCGGTCGCCTGAATAGAATTTTCTTGTGGGTAAAATTTGCATTTAGAGTACTGCATCAACTAGCGAAAAGTGAAGTTTAATACACAGAAGAACGGCTGTGTTCTCTCTACAAGGATGAGTTTGCAAACCAAGGAAGAGTACCCGGACGTTATGGACAAAACTAAAACATGCATATTTTTTCTTGTTATAAAATAAAATAAAATAAAATAAAATTCTGCATCATATAAGGCGCACACGAAACGAAATTCAACAGCAAACATGCAAGACAAGGTAGTTACATATACCAATCATTTGATAGACGAGATCATATCCAAGTGTATCATTTAAATATCAGCATCCAATACGAGAATTCACACTTTGCATACCTAGTTAAATTCAGCTCGTCCAATGCTTTGAAATTCTCTGCAATCAGATACAAACTTTGGTCTGAAATATTCTGCATTCGATTTTTCCCATAGCATCATTAGAGAACAAAACGAATACCTCAAAAACATCACATGACACCTGGGTAAATAATCTGTCTTTTGTGCCAGTTTGATAAAATCACATGAAACCTATCGATAAGTAGAGGAAAATCTATGTCACAAATCAAATAGCGCACCTTACAGCCACTCAAGTTCAAGGTAGTTATATCTTTGCAGAACTTAACCAGGTGCTTTACACTCGTATCCGTAATCCTGAGAAGATAGAATGCCATCTCAGGACGAAGATCATTGTGTCCCTAAAGCCCAGCATCAAAGAAGAATAAAAGCACCTGACATTCCAGTAGATGGAGAAAGCCTTGAGCTTCGGGCAAGCATAAGCTACAGCCTGAACTCCTGCGTCAGTTATCCTCTGGCAACCATTCAGGTTCAAATACTCCAAGCATTGAAGAGACCCGGAAAACTGTCATATGAGTTTTACAAAATATGATTTCCATGACAGTAAACAAAGAGAAAAAGTCAGGAATCTTTGCGAGAATGATAAACATTTTCCAGGTAACTCTTAAGTTATTGGCTAAGATTGGAATATGATTAGACTGGCAATGAAGAAAGTTAAATCCATTAATAATGCCAAAAGGGGTGGAGGGGACACACTAATCAAACTTATTGCCAGTCTCCTGGACTAAGCTATAAGATGCCTACATTTGGAGGCTCTTCAGGAAATTATCTTATACACGACTAAGGCAATTTGCAATGCTCATGAAGTCAGTCCTCCATTGAACTTTAGGATTTTGCGTATTGATACAAAAAGAGTATTTAAATGTGAAAATTCCCTTAATATATTCATAGGCAAATGATAAAAAGGCTCAATCGTGCCTTATCACAAGTTACCACCAGCCAATATGCAAATTGAATGCGTCATGATGTGGTCATGTGCTTTCTCGCACCAGGTGATATCTTCATCAGCTGTTTGGTTATATAAAAAATTTATCAATTCCACAGTGTAATTCATTGGAGGATTCTAAGAAAAATGTCCTAGTTCTTAATATGTGACTCAGTTAGCCCTTTGAAGCCCGGTAAGTATGTACCCATCTCAAGAACTGAAACTTTATTCCTAGCGGGATGACTGAATATGTGATGAGAGTAGATGTCAACCTTGTTAAAATCCATTGAATTTTCAGCGCTTGATATGTATGATCTCACATAATTTCTAGATTAGTAATACTATGTAGTTCGCTTACTCCAGTCACTATCCTTCAATTATGCACACGACTTAAAGTTGGGCTTTGGCTTACCAGTGGCCTATGCGATGCATTAACGGCAAAAACCCACAGAGAGAAGAGGTGATAACTTTCCCCAAGAGATTATGTCACTCAAAAATTCTCACAACACATATCTATGAAACTGTATGGAAAGCAACAACAATCATAGAAATGAACTAGACGAGCGACAGAAATCATAAATACAAGCCAAAAATATCTCATCTTTCTTTATTGCACAATTCAATAAAATAAGTTAAAAAAAAATCTATAAAAATATTGTTTCTTAAACAAAAATAATTTATGAAAATATAAGTCACCTTCCAATAGAGCAGAGCAGTGAAGAACTTTTTTCTAGACGTTACCTTGGTTGTGACATGAACAAGATGTCCATCTCCAATATCTTGCGCAAATTCAAGGTTTATGTCCTTAATACCACAGTACCTGGGCTGGTAAGAGAAGAAGCAGGAAATAAATTTATTCATATAATTTTTATTTTTAAAAGTGTCAAAGAATAAATTATGCATAGAAATACTAGCTAAAAAATGGATAAGAAAATCAAGGATATCAAGTGTAGTCATTATCATAAAGTCTACTTCGAATAAGGTGCATGATATATTAAAATAAGTCCAAAATTTATTCAAAACTGAGGGAGCAAGAAGGGGGTAAGGACAAGATTTCAAAATTTACACTAGTCAGCAGAAGTTTCACAACATAAATATGACTTAAATCAGCAACCCGAATTTACCATAGTGTCAAATAACAGTAGTACTCTACTATAAGCACAGAACCGTGTCTCATTTTGTAGTCATATCTGAGACATGAAATGAAATGAAATAATTCACTCACACTTTTTTATCAAAAATATAATCGCCAAGTAATCAGCAAGTGAACTTCTGTTGATGAAAGTCAATAAACAGCAACACTAGTATGAGAGATAAACAGTCATCTATCTTCCAAAGTTATTTGATACACAGTAACATACTATGTACACATGAAGTCATGACTCAATTTTAAGGAATCCATGTCAACATGCACATGCCTGCCGCCTCACAGTTGAGCCTTAAGTCAAACCATTCCCACACAACTCAACTGCCAACGATAAACAATAATTTCTCAACACGAAATAGCATCTGCTAGAGGCAGAGGAGGATCACTAGGTGATATTTGTGTGGCATGATATCAGTCACTGAATCTCGGTGAAAATGAATATAGAGATAATGTGCTACCAGAAGAAAAATCAAGTGAAATATAAATGGGATAGACAATTCCATTCAGGAGAGCTTCACAAACAAAAAAAGATACGGGATGACTTCACGCCGATTTTTTTCAATATCAACTGTATTTGATGATGGGCGTCGAATCTATAGGACATTATTTTGGAATCAATAATACTTCGACAACTCACACGAATCCAAATGTTAACAAATAATGAACAGTATCGCGCCTGGGAATAGATGGAAATTTGACTAAGAACTGCCATGGCTGCAGACGACAACTTAACAAGAGAAGTTAGTGTCTAATACTTGACTGAGGTTACTAAGGATAGAGCTTCTGTGAAGCCACATGAGCTATCTTCCATATTGACTGTCGCAGGATCTCATAACCTTCCATTTCAAAAGTGCAAGGCCTGAGCTAACTTAAAAAATCAACAGAACGCTTAGATCCGTGGACAAATGTTACCTAACGTTTATGAAAACATGCAAAACAACATAACTTTTGCATCATCGAGATATATTCAAGTTTAGAAACACATGAAAATATTTGAAAATAGAATATTATTAAATCATGGAGGCATACGGTCTATTATTAAATATTGATGTGTGAATGATGACATAATATGCATGCAGCAGGACAACACACGACCTAAGAGAACACTAGTCGTTAAAAATGAAAAATATAGGAAGCACAATATATAATAGGGGCATCTGACCTTCATAGAATTGCCACTATCAAGCGATTTAGCTTGTGGGTGGCATTTGGAAGCTATTTTTCATAAAAGAGTATTGAATGCCATACAAAGTCCGACGTGTGTTATAATGACATTACTGGCAGAACAGGGCTGGTCGTGTGCAGCAATGGAAAAACATGATAAAAGTACCTAGGGGAAAAAATACAAAAAAAGGGATAAAAACAAAACTAGACAGCATATCACATGAAAGATGCATGGAATTAACCAGTGAAAGTGCCGAGATAAGCTTCTCCCCAACTTTGTTCATCTCTCGCAGATCAAGAGCCTAAAAAGGCAAATCATTAAAAAAAGATCAGGGGCTAAAATTTAATTACACAAAATTCCACCAAAAATCAGGTCATGTAGTTAAATACAAGCCCGAATTCAACCATGACCATGAACAGAAAGTGGACTGCTATGAAGCACACCGAAATACTTATAAGCTGAAACTGCAACAAAAAAGGGAATTTCTAGATTAAGGTGGATAGAAGGCCATTTTGTCCAACGGGGATTTTCAATGATAAAGGCCCACATAATGAATTAATCAAAGCTACTTGAAAAAAACAACAAACACTTCACAGACCTGGGAATCAAGTAATCTAACTTAAACATGTATTAATCGAAGGACAGGAGACCATCATTCCATATCTAGGCATAAATTGTACATCTAATTATTTAAGAAGCAAAACATGACTAAAAAAAGTAAAAAAATAAACATAAATTACTCCCTATGAATATTTTGGCAAGCCATTATCCACAGAAAATTAGACAAAAATTTTAGTAAAAAACATAACCCTGGATATAACGATCTACTTATTTTTGTCAATGCTTACTAAACACAAGTATCCAACGAATGAACCAATTATGGCCCGCCCCAGACTGAGGACCTTTTTCAAATGCATGACCATCGTCGAGCGGAGTTAATTCAAGTCCATGCAGGTCCAATAAATTTACTCGGACCTACTTGGCAGAGTCAACTGCGCCAGTAGTATCATTTTAACTGTGGTGTAAAACTGATAGGGTGGATTATATTCACGGAGAATATTTCTACCTTAGATAATTGTAAAAAAATATCAGCAGAACCCCAAGCTTCGTCTTCCAGGCTCTGTGGGAGAAACTTCATACAAGCTCTAAGTCGACGTTAAGAAGCTCTCCTTGCTTGTTTCAGGTAAATTTTTGAATGCAACACTCACCGAATATGTAAAGCTTCAACAAGACACAGTTGGAATAGACAGAATTTAGCACTGCTGACGATCCAGATTAAAATGCACGAAAACGTCGCGTTGGAGCTGGAGAAAAAATCGTTCGCAACGAAAAGCTGAATATGCAATCCAGTACTCTCAAGGTTCTCCCAGAGGGACGCACCGACAGCAAGAACGAATTAAAATGGGAACGAGACGGGAGCGGCAGGCGTCAGAGGGCGGGGGATACCTTCCAGAGTGTGGACTGAGCCAGGAGCGAACGGTAGCACCAGGGGCTCACCAGCAGCAGGGAGAAGACATCCCTCTGACGCAGACTCATGCTCACTATCACCATAACGCGAGGGACCGTCTCCTTCCTCCACACCTCCTCTGCCTCCCCCATCTCCTCCTTCCCCTTCCCAACGACCTTCACCGCCCTCCCCAGAGTTTCAGTGAGAGTTTCCCCAGTTCAAATACGGAAACGCCCAGCCCACAAGTGGGGCCCATTTTAAGTAACCACGAAGGCCCATTTGATCCACTGTATCTTCAGAGGAGAACTATTACAAGTTTGCACCCCTCGTCTAAGGACAGACGAAAGGGTCGTTCAAGAACTCGGGGAACGCCCACATCATCTCGTCGTCGCGGCTCAGGAGCGACTCCACGAAGGAGTTAATGTCGGAGGGAGAGGAAGCTCCGCGATGATCGTCGCCGTCGTCTTCCCCGAGGATCGCCGGAGTGCCGCCGCAGATCTCGCCGCCCTCATCCTGAAAGATCCCTCGGAGAGGAGGAGCTTCTGCAAACGGGAAGGTGGGCAGGCCGCCTTGAGGGGTCAAATCTGTCCACGAGAAATCTGAGGGGCCTTCTGCGATTGTTTCCGGCGTGAGGTTGAGGGAGGAAGGCAAAGGAGCAGAGCCTGGCAGGTTGTGGGAGAAGCTCAACGGCGTGGTCAACCCTTCAACGGAGGCGTCGGCGACTAGCTTGACGGCATGGAGTTGGACGAGGAGGTCCCATGCAGGTTTGCAGCTGTAGGATGCGGCTTCCTGCTCCGCCATGGCCGTCTCGGCAAGGTCAGGCGTTGACTCCGGGAGAGGGGCGAAGGCGTGGTGGTGATCCCGACCGAGGCAGCTAACGCGGGGGTCCTTCTGAATGTGGCATTCCGCCGCGTTGACTTCGATGTCGCCGTCGCAAGCCCTGGAGAGGCCTTGGATGCTGTTGACGACGTGAGAAATGGGGCGGTGCGTTACCGGGTCGATCCCCCTCTGTATGAGCTTCTTCTTCAGCTTCGTGTTCCAGTAGTTCTTCACGTCGTTGTCCGTTCTCCCCGGCAGCTGGTGCGCTATGATCGACCACCTACACCCATCATTTTCTCTGTCAGTGTCACCTCGGATGGGGAAGAGAGAGAGAGAGAGAGAGAGCTTCTCTCTCCCTAGTACTGGGCATGCGTTATCGTTAGTTAATTCTGTTATGATGCCACAAGGCATGGGCAACTTATCCATCCCCTCTCTCCCCTCCCTACATCACCCCAGCTGCGGGGGGGGGTTTCAGAAAGCTGAGGTCGATGATAAAACTCTGTTCTTTATGAGGGTTTCGGAGTGCCCCCGAACAAGAACCCCGAGATATTCCCACCTGCTGCCAATCTTGGCGTGAAGGGATATGATCGTCTGCTCCTCCCCGGGAGTGAAGTCGTCGTGCTTGAGATCGGGCCTCAAGTAGTTGGTCCACCTCAGCCTACAGCTCTTTCCGCATCTCTTCAGCCCTGCGAAGGCTTCAGTCAACCTCAGAGATAGAATAGATGGAAAGTATCAGAGGGCTACGATGGATGGAGATCGGCGTTGACCCGCTTTCTTCGGAACGGAGGCCCAGTTGCCGGCGCCGTGAGTGGACACGTAGGCGACGATCTTCTTGTCCTCCTCCGCGGTCCAGAGGCCCCTCCGCACATTCGATTTGTCGCAGCACGGCGGCCTCCCCATCCTTCCTTCCTGACGTGGAGATCCCCCAGCAGGAGAGCATGCGAAGACGGAAGGAGATGCGAGACAAGAAGCGAGAACCCCAGAGCAGAACTGCCAGAGGAAGATCTTAAGGCGGAGATGTCATCAACAATTGCTATACCGAAGAAGAAGAAGTGAAGGACAGAAACTCTGAGAGAGTGCGAGCGAGAGAGAGAGAGAGAGAGAGAGAGGGAGAGAGAGAGAGAGAGAGAGGAGATGGCGGAGTTGAGGTTTTAAGCGACGGTAGGAGTGGGGAGGTGAGGAAAGCGTGAGATTCTCACCCCTTCGATTAACAATGGCGGCATGATTAGCGTCGTCACTCACACCTGAGGAGCAGCTATGGGAAGATGAAAGCATGAAGCTGAGAAGAGAGAGAGAGAGAGAGAGAGAGAGAGAGAGAGAGAGAGAGAGAGAGAGGAGGGAGGGAAGGAGGGAGGGAGGGAGAGAGGGAGGGAGAGAGGGAGATCTGCACTACAAAAGCCACTTCTGGGCTTCAACAGCTTGCAGCTCGACAGGTCCAGGTCGGGTAGGGAGATGGGAGCTTCTGGTTCAGCCATCCAAGCCACGCCATGGTGGGCCATTAAAAGAATATTCAGAGCAAGAGATGGTAGTTCTTTAGTCAGATCCAGGACGTCATTTTGGCCCCCATTGTGTTGCCCTAATAGCACGATCGGGCTTCTCACCTGCCCACCGTCCCACCGTCTCAACGGAGGGAGGCCCATTTCTTAGCTAACGTTGGGGACGCCGTTTGGTGAGCCCCGCCGCGGCGGCGAAAGGTGGCGGCGTTCCAAGCTGCACCGACAAGCCCTTTAATGTGTCGATGTCGTGCCATCACGCGAACCCCCCAAGCCGACAGCAGCGGTCGACATCGCCCATCCACATTGGAGGGTGGAGTAGGTGGAATTCATTAACTCATCTTATTCATAATGTTAGATTGAACTAGGCTGCAATGATAACCGTAAAGGGTACGTCAGTAATTTTTCCATTTTCAAAGCGGATATAATTCTAAATTTACGCAGTGGGAAGAGTGGGATATAGCCATAATTTCTAAGTTTTTTCGGGTAGTTGGGCTCGGCCAAATTCACTCTTCGGAGGTCTTCTCAGTCACAGCTACCAGCAGCCTAACCTCAAGATTCTAGGGTTCTCCGAAAGCCTGCACATTGGATAAGTGGCTCCGAGGAATCCAGCTTCTATACACTATCATTAGGCACACCCTATATCATTTTTATTGAATATAATTTTTCAATAATCATCGATAAAAATATATATATTATTGCCCATTAAATTGTTTTTTGTGAATGCTAAAAGACTATTATATTTAAGGTCAAATGATGCAGTATGATGTTGACATCTCTCTCTACTCTAGCCCTACATGCATTGATCGTGAGGGCCGAAGATGGAGGTAGGCACCGAAATTTAATAGGTAGTAAATAAACCGAAATTCCATGACGTACTGGTGAATCTACATGCCGGATGACCTTGTTGACCGGGACTAGTTACCAGTGGCAGACCAAGTCAAACTCTCTCTTTACCTTCCATACAAACCCTACTATGACAAGGTCAATCACTAGATCCGCTTGGAGGTTGAGAGGGATGAATGGATCCGTGGGTTTGAATCTTTTTCGAAAATAATGTCAAAAATAATCAAGATATTTATACACATATTGCTTTATTTTAGAGACGAGGATTTTACTTTCGAACTCAAGTTGTTCAACCAAAAGCAACTTTCATGGTCATATCTGGGCAGCATGCCCCAAATTGATATATTAACTCAAATTTGCACGTGGCATTCAGATCCCTAGATCTGATGTAAACATCAAACTCAACGTCAATACACAAACACATACACACACACTATATATATATATATATATATATTTATATATATATATATATTTATTTATTTATGATCATATATATTTATGATCACACTCGTTATCCTCAACCCGATCTATGTCCATGCTCAAGAGCTCCATATCCTACGCTATCTACGTTTGTACTGTTCCCAATTATTTGCTAACTGCATCCAGCTACCATTCAACGTGCCGCAAGAAGATGAGATATTTAAAGTAATGTGATTGGGTTGTTGTGATTATATAGTTCATATTAGTAAATATATGTGGTCTTATACTCGTCAAAATTGAGTTTAATATATTATCTTCCTTTTTCCCCCCTTGGATTTAAAACCAAACGTGAGCGTTTCCCATGGAGTAACGATTAGTCTTCGTCAGAAGACAACAAAGTAGTAGTAGCTCGAGAGAGTGGCAAGACACCATCTTTCACAAAATAGCGCTGATGAGGGGTTTGAGTTCGTTGTGTGGCAGAAGAACAAGGAGGAAGAGTACACAAACACCCGACCCGGACGAGATTCTGAGCTGGGTCCGATGGCCGGAACTGATGAGGACAGAAGAAGCGGAAAAGGGTGACATTGGTGGGGAGCAGGCTCATCCGCTCTCGCTAGCCACCGAAGATCAAGAGGGAGAGAACCAGCGCACAGGACGCCCAGAGACCACCCTCTGGCTGACGTTCAGCCCCGACACCACCGGTGGGCGGGTCGGCGGACACGCTACCGTTGCTGGTGCTGCCCGGAGGCGTTATCACTGAAGCACGGCAGTAGAGAGAGAGAGAGAGAGAGAGAGAGAGAGAGAGAGAGCTAAGTATATGAAGGAAGAAATAGCGAGGGGGGATATCGTTGTCACGTTACCTGTGGTGTTACTAGACGGGGAGACCGGCTGCTTGAAGATCTGGGCCTCCTTGGAGTTGGGATCCAGCTTCAGGAGGTCTGGAACACAGCGCGGAGATGGGTCAGTGAGGGAAGAGAGAGGGGACCATGGGAGAGGCAATGGGCGTTACCAATGCACTGGAAGATATCGATGGGGCTCTTGCAGACGCCGGGGAGGGATCTGGCGCGGGTGACGTTGACCTTGAACGTCAACTGGGGATCGTTGCGGTCCTTGATGAGGATGCAGAGGCAACGGGGTTTCTTGCTGACGACGTGGTTCAGCCCCGAGCAGCAGTCCGGCGGCGGCGCCCTGGAGGTGCCCTCCACATAGTCCAGGCAAGTAAAGAGCCCACTGAGGTATTCGGAGCACTCCTTCTGGTCGGCTTCGAAGTCCCCCCTCGCCGTGCCGGCCAAGCAGCACAGCAGCGCCGCCACCGCCAGGCCCATCCCAGGGCGGCACACCCAGCGCGACGACTCATCTCCTCCAGCCATCATCTCCCTCTCCTCCCACTCCACAAAAGCACGAGGCAGCCATCATCTCGCGTTGGGTGGAGAATTTATGCACCCCGTCTCCGCCCAAACGAAGAAATTATCTCCTCTCTCTCTCTCTCTCTGTGACTGATAGGTGTAACCCGCAGACTTTGCTCTCATGCACGTAGAAATATTTCATTTTTAACCCTTCGTAGTTCTCAATTGGCCCCCGCTACCCTGGTTCGTCACTCCTCGGGCGTACTTGCCCACTGCGTACCGTCACCGGCGGCGAGCATTTATAACGCAATAATGTTACTCGCCCACTGCCTCCTACTTGAAAGGGGTAGCAGTTATGGATCAAATTGCCCTCCCACTTCTAACAGACCCACGTGAGCTTTATACACCATGAATTACGCCGCCGGCGGGGAGAGGTGGGGGACGTCAAAAACATCTTTTCCCATCCTCCGCCGCCGCCCGCCGCCGTCCGCCGCCGTCCGCCGCCGTTGACTGGCGGGGGAAAGAAAGAGAGTAACTACCATAAAATTATTTCCCTCGTGGGGAAGAAGGTATCCAGCGGCATCTCTAATTTAGAGCTTTGAGCTTTGAGCTGACCTTTAAGTCAACCCTAGGTCGCCCACCTCGTCACTAACCTCTTCCTTTCTCTCTCTACTCCTTCCCGGTCATCGCCTCGCCCTAGGGTTGCACCGGAACTCGGCCAGAAGCGCTATGTGGTCAGAAGACCACTCCGGGGAGGGGAGAGCCGTGTCCTTGCGCAGGGCTTCCTCGTCTAGCAGCTCAAGCAGAGACTCCACCGTCAAGGAGTCCGCTGCGGAGGAAGAAGAAGAGGAAGGTCAGATATGGGCACCTCGAGAAGGTGAAATTAATGGGTGAGGGGGGCAAAGTCAACTCACCGGTGTAGAAAATGTAATCGAGAGTGCCGATGAAATCCCTCGTACAGTTGGTGAACAAGGGCTCGTTCGTTCTGGGGTCCATCCTCCGCTTCTGCTCGGCGCCGGCCATGCGCGCGAAGGCCGAGTAGGCGCTGACCTGCATGCAGCCAGCGCCGTCGCGGGTCAGCGGGCGGTGGAGAAGGAAGGAGAAGGCGGTTTTGGAGAAGAGAAGGTGTACCAGTGGAAGCTGGTGGGTTAGCTTGCTGGCGGGGCGAAGAATTCCGAGCGGGTCAACGACCAGGTCTGGATGAAGAGGGTCGACCTTCCCCATGGCGAGGAGCGCGTGAGGGGCGCTGCATCCGCCATTAACGGTGATTCGTTGAGAGAGGAGGGGGCGGGATGGAGGAAAAGATGAGAGATGGATGGATGGGTACTGACCTTCCGGGGACGGAGTTGAAGTCACCGCAGACCAGCATGGGGATGTCGGCGCTCATGGCTATCTTCTCCAGCCCTTTCAAGAGGGTGTGCACCTGGAAGGGAGAAGTTACTTTTTTTGGCAAGAAAATGAGGAGGAAGAAGAAAGCTTCGAAGAACAACGGAGCATGAGATGAGAGAACCTGCCACAGCTTGACGTCCTTGAGATCTTGGTGGACATTTACGTGAGTGTTCGCCTGATGGAAAAAAGAGAAGGTTCAGTCAGAGAGAGAAAGCGAGAGAGAGAGAGAGAGAGAGAGAGAGAGAGAGAGAGAGAGCAATCGCCAACGTAACAGCAAGAGTAGATTATCGGGAAATGAAGGATGCAAGAAACACCTCGCATTCTGATTAGAAGTGAAGGTTTACTAGAAGAAAGCTAGATTTTGCTTGTATGGGAATTCTTCCACAGCCCCAGTTTTCTCTCTCTTGAATCATTTTGGAGTCCATAATCAGAGTGCTGCTAATGAAGGTAACATATGATTACGTAAGATGAAAGTCTTTTGGTCGGAAATTAACCAATGCTTTATAAAAATATATTATTCCACATTTTCTGATAGTGAAAATAAAGAAATTGGCCCATATTCTGCCCTTTTGGTAGTGAAACATTTCTTCTTTTTTTTCTGAAGCGCAGAATTCCTCACTAGTGGCATCAAACACTGCATATGTTCATCCTCAAAGCACCCAAATGAACCGAGTATCTTCCACAAGGTTATATCACAAGGCAAGATAGCAGAAGATTTGGATTCTTGTAGAAAAATTCACATGGTCAACGCAACTTGAGCCAAAAATAGATCGAGGAATCTAGAGAAAAGTCAGCATGAGTAATAACCACATGCCATAAAAAGACTCCACAAAAACGAGTGGACAACTCAGATATTCTGGTCAAGAATAAACGCATTAATTGGGACTTCAGGTTTATTGCAGCTCGGGCACCTATCAATATGAAGATCTGTCCTATTCAAGGTGGACCAGAGTGCTAAAGCTACTCACAGACGAGTATGATTGCTCGCATCCATAGAATTCTCACAAAAGCAGTATAAATATTTAGCAGGCGCCTACAGCTGCTGAGGAGTTGACGGCAGCCCAAGTAATGGCCGGGCATCACTATAAGTGGAATCGAATTCAAGGCTGAAAAGAGGCCGATAAAGCATTTGATGGGATACAGCCATTCACAAATGCTTTGAAGAAGGGTTGTGGATCTTATAACTGTGGAGGACTTCAGAGGTTGTCTCCTGAAGTCAACAGCCTTTCACTTAATTTCCTTCAGGATCGACTGAATTATCAACGGCCATGTTATCACAGAGCGCAGTCAACTTTCCATCAGTTCCCTTTTATTCTCCAGACTAATACCAGCTACTTCTCTCGCTCATAGCACACTTTACAAATCTAAGTCCATGCACGTTGCAACTTACCAGAGAAAATTCAACACCAATGTAGTAACCCAGCAACCCTCGCATTTACTCCATCCTAGTCGCATAAAATTTGTAAGCATCATAAGTTTACAGATGATCTTTCTAAGGTATCCCATAGATTTTATTTATTCAAGAATGACAAAGAGAGGTGCCAAACAGCGTAATCCATTAAGATTAGTATCCTCATAGTGGGAGAGGGGACAGCTAGGTTGACCCTGCATGAGTCTCGGTCCACAGGACTAATTCACAACAAAAATAAAAACTCTACGTCAAGGTGGAGTATATGTTAGTCGAGCTTAGCTTGTTAAATAGAGCAACCTTAAATACTTAACGACTTTAAACTAAGACTATTGGCCGCCATGAGACATGTGGTATCCTTGTTCAAGACAGTCCAGCATGTAGTATCCTAGTTCATGGCAATCTTGTAAGATAGAACAAAAACTGACAATCTCAGACACCCGAGGCAAAGTACACATGATTGAGAAATGGGTGAGAAAAGATTGGATTGAATGATAAACGAAGGCACAATGGATTTGGAGCTTTCACGCAACTATTTTAGTTTTCTACTTCTATTGTAAACTCTCGCAGTAAATAGGACGCAAACGCATTGGTAGATGTGACCCAAAAACAACGAGATAGGTTGCACAATGACAAATGGAAACCGTCGAGAGAAGGCATGACACAACGAAAACCCAGAAACCGTTCGAGCAAGCATAGGTGAGACCCTAGGCAGCAGCAGGACTGTTTGTGAGAGGGTGGCATGGCGTGATCAGCCTCCTCTCTATGGGGATGGGAAGAGCACCAAAGAAAAAATCAAGAAGGTAAGCCATGCCAGAAAAGTAACCAGTAATGCACAACAAAGGAGGACAGTGAAGAGCATTATTGCATGACTACCCAGTTAGAATTGTCAATTGAGATTAATCGCCTCCTCTGTTTAGGACAGAGGTATTAGCAAAAGACTGGACCAATTCGGCCCATCAGTACAAAATCAAAAACTACTCTAACAAGATCCATTTTGTCTGTAAATCAAGAGAGGATCCAATCCCCTGGAGCTGTTTCGACTAACAATCTTCATTGAAGCCCATCCCTTCCCCCCTCCTCCAAAGATAGATACGGCAAGGAATCCAGAATTGACAGGGATTCTTTTTCTTTGTCATCCCCTATTATCCGAACAATACACAAGGCAAGACCTACCATTGAAAAGATTACCTAGCTGATCAATTCAATGTACAATCTAACTTTCAAAAAGTGAGAGGAGAGTGAGCAGATCATGGTCACTAATGATTTTGGATCACACAGATTTAAGTTGTATTAAATGAAAGGAACATAACATCTCACCACACAAAGAAGCTGCCTCTTTCCAGGAGCATCTGCACCTTGGTTACTGAATTTTGCTTCCAAAACAGCAATCAATGCAACATTATCCTACGAAAGAAACATGAAGTTTATTTTTATCAAAATTCAAAAAAGTACTTTGGAACAATGGACAACCTAACTTTAACTGGAAAATCACCAACCTTGATTAATCGATTCAAAGCAGGCTTCTTCTGACCGGTTGGAATTACTGCATCGGTCAAAGATTGAGCAGCCTTGTTGAACTCTACCTGCGCACACGATTGTGTAAGGCAGACAAAGGAATGAAGATTTTCTTCTGGTGATTATAAAATGGATGTCTACCTCATATTTTTTCACGTGTGCAAACCTATCGCGACGAAAAAATGTAGCACAGCCATCAACTGTATTTGGACTTCCATTAAAAACCTGCAACAGATGGTAGTGTGTACAACATATACAACGAATATAAAAATACTAGTAAGCATACTTAAGAAGCACAGTAGGCTGAACGCATACTTCTGAAGTTTTTTTCTTATAGAGTGCTTGGTATCCATGTTTATCAAGTTCTGGGGCAAAAAACTCATCAAAATGGTTGATTTGAACCTGCAGAAAAAGAAAAAATCTTAAGCATTGCCAGGCAGAAGTCCAAAAACTCCACTCTCCATACACACCCCCATTTCTTTATATCAAAAAGGCACACAAGGGCCAACTTTACAACAGCTTATCTTTTTGATTAGGCAAGTGTTCATCCAAAATAAATTCAAGCACAGAAAAGGGACCAGGATCTCCTGTAACCTAGGGGCATGAAGAAAAATATAATGTAGGAGAAGTCCATCAAGTCCCAAAGAATGTAGAACATCAAAAACAGGCTAGATATAAAGCAAGATGCCGAAAGGAAAATAACTGATTGCATATTTTACTCATTATGAAGCCTGAGTTTTGTACGCATCCTATAGAAAACAAGAATGTGGCAGTGAAAACAAAGCATGCCCTCTTCGAAATCACAAATCCCAACACAGAGCGATATACCTCTTGAAGGCACAGGATGTCAGCATGATAACCAATGATTTCCCGCAACAAATTCTGGCGGCGGTAATGCCATGAAAGAGCCCATGATGGGCAGTAACTATACATTTCACTGGATGCATAGACATCTGAAAGGATGTTGTATGAGAGAACAGTGAATGTCTCGGAAGTCATATTTCGACCATCATAATCATAATTACCCATCAGACCAACCCCACGTACAGGTACCAAACGACGTGGGATGGGAGAGGGAGCTGGAATGACACGTGACGTAGAAATTGTATTTGCAACTCCTATAGGTATTCTCGTTTCTGCATCAACTACTACACATTCAAACCTTAGAACGTGGCCAACGTCATCTGCAATAGGTGTGTATGTTCTAGACCGCCCAACTTCAAACCAGCTCTCACCACCACTCCTTTCAATCACTGAGGTAGGATACAGAGGAGTAGAGCCATTACTTAAGCCTGGATTCAATCCTACATTAGGTGCCGAACCAGAGAGTGAAGCATTGACGGCCCCAGATCCAGTACTGTTAAAACGCCCAAACAACTCCTCCTCTTCAGTACCATTTTCATTCATAGCATTAGCTGCCCTATCATGCAAAGTACGATGGTGTTGCCAAGCATCTGAGAAGCATCTAGTGGAACAATGGTAACTCATAGCAACAGGTATTTTTGCCTTAATGCAACCTAGGCACTGCAATGTTGCTTGCTCGGCAGAATGAATACTGCAGACGGCAACTTTCTTGTCATTTTGTACACGATACCTACATAAACAAAAACCCAAGGATGAAGTTATGAATGTCATTCCACAGAAAAAAGTGGCGCACTTTTGTTATATACAATTGATAAATGAATAAAGCATTATGGGTGCACAATGACAATGTTTATTTTCTCAAGCTAAACAATTCTTGCATAAATCTTGAAGGCTGATAAATTACTCAAACGTCTAACTAGCAGAGAATCAGTGTTTTATGACAGTAAGATCAATAAAGATCATTTTGCAGACATTTGTTACCAGATCATGATTAGTCCGCAACCATTCAGTGAATAGGTTGCCAGCAAATGCCTTGGCACATATTCTAAGTACTAGTTACTCAACGGGAAATTGAATGATTGGATAGACAACCTGCCTTAAGCTAACTGCAAGGTTATCGTTTGAAATCAACCCAATTATGAGCATGACTCATCTCAACAAATGCCAAATCGATAGGGACTTTAATGTATGGTGCCCTTCCAATTGAAGATTCAAGTAGATTCATCATTCCACTAAAATAACATGTTATTATAGGATAAAAATTAGGCCCAATGACGGAGGGACTTTAATGTATAATCCCTAAAAGAGAGAGGTCTACATAAAAGATACCTAAACCTCACTTTCCCCCGTCCTAAAAAAAACTAACCATTTTTTTTCGGAAATCGCACAGCTGGACGAAAAAATCCAACTTCAGTTAATCACATTCCTAGAACATCTTCCTAGACTTGGACAAGTCTAAGAACAAAATATGAAATGATAGGGGAACGGGAACATAATTTGTCCCATAAATCGAATAACCAGAGATTTCGGAAAATATCACTTTTATCAATAAAAAAAGCAAATGATCGAATCTGCCAAATAGACAAATTAGACTCAATAGATTTTTTTTCCTTTTATGGGTTATACCGAAGTAGAATGAGGCCAGTTAAGTTTAATATATTTGCATAAAATAAATACGCTAAAAAAAATTAGATCCATGTGGATATATCACGACAAACACAAGGAGGCCCAAATACGTGAAGGTGAAAAAAAAGAGGTAGAACTTCAAAAATAATCTGAAATTAATATACACCGAAAATTCAAAAGGATTAAGAGCATCACGTTTCTAGCAGATGGGTCCAACTTTAGTGGGTAGATGTTGAATCCCTTTGAAAGAATGATGACAATCCTAAAGTGATGTGTTATTTTTATGTCCAAGGTGATCTTCACGTGTAATTTGCGCCAAAAAGAGAATATAACAAAGCACTGTTTGGAATGAACAGTTATTTTCTATAAAAATGATAATTGGGACAATCCCCCTAGGCCCTGGTTTTCAGAGTACTCTTATGCCCTTCGCCGAGATACCAGTGCCTTAGCTCACCGTAAAATCAACAATAACCTCAGTCCACTCCCCATGTAGTCTTCCATCAAAATAGAAACCAGCAAAGCGAGGAAAATGTCAAAGTTAAAGTACCCACCCTTAATAAAATGATGACCTGACGGCCCTGACTTAATCAGCTATCAAAGTCAACAACGTTGACTACAAGCTATTATGGTATCCAAATCTAATAAAAGTTGTTGGGATTAAAAGACATAGCATCGAACTAGCCACTAGTTCTCACTATGAACTAATGCATTATTTTTTTACAACGAACCTATTGAACTAAAGTTTCAATTGAAGTAAAGGAAGACCAGTGGCCGTGAAAACGCTCTGAGAAATTGAGTAAAGAGGCATTTCAATACATGCTTTTTTGAGGGTCTAATACATTTCCAGAGCATAGCATTCTGCAGCGAACAAAGGAAATGATTTTTCCCAACTACGTAACCCATATGGATATATAAACCATAAAACATAATTTAAAGCAAAATGATACCTATCTTCCAGAGAACGGGATATTAGTTTTAAATCACGTAAATAAAAACAAACATACTCAAACATAAAATGGATTGATGAGTGAGGCAAACAGGTTCAAAACAAAAAAGAACGCGAAGCAACAGCATATACAGCAACGAATCCGGTGGAAAGTACAGCCACATGAACTAAAAAAGATTGAAGGGTCAAAACAAGAGAATCTCACTCACCACCTATACTTCAGGTAGTACCCATCGACGGGATCAGACTCCGGGATATCATCGGTCGTTGTGCTGCCATCGGAGCGCCGCAGCAACACATACGGCACAAGCTCACAGCCAACTATCGGGATATCCGAGGGAAGGTGAACCCGCAATATGCTCAGCATGCTTCCCTCCACTCAATAAACGACGACGACAAAACCAGCCCCAGAACCCAAGTCTCCTCTTCTTCCTCTGAGAAAGACTCCTGCGCAGAACCAGAGACGCAACCAGACCCGACAACACAGCTCCGAGTGGGGCGGAAGCCAGGCTGATCCGCCATCACCTGCCCTGGGGGCACGCCAGGGCTCACCAATTCAATCTGAACGCCAACGTATATCGAGAAGAAAAATAATCTACCGATGACGCAAACAACCGCAAAAGCCAGACGAATAGGCGGCCAGTCCAATAAAACCCTAAGCGCAACCCGCCATCCCCTTCCTCACACCTCCAATCTTCCTGAAAAAGTACCAATATAGAGCGAACCAGAGCAACACGGCACAGCAGCAGCGGTAGCAGAAGTACCAGCAATTCCTGGGAGGATTGGGCGTAGTGCAAGGAGGCTAGGGTTCTCGTGGAAGGAGCATAAACGAGACGCCCTTTCTACAGCCTGCACCACAAATCTCCGAGCTTTCCGGGGGGACCGGCTCCCACCTTCCTGCCTCGGCGGTGGGAGGCCAACTTGCCGAGCAACAGGATGATACTGGTGACGGTTGGGCGCGGCCGCGGCCGTTGGGGAGGCCGTGGGAATGCTCAGTCCTCAACCTTCTTCCTCGCTCTCATTTCTGCCTCTCCCTTCCCCCCGGCTACCTGTATTTATATCATTCCATTCAACTCCATTACTTTGTGGTGATCCTGATAGACGCTGACGTAAGGAGGCTCGTTCATGATTGGGCTGCGGAAGAAGTCCTTCAGCGAATGTCGCTCTAATATTTTCCCACTTTCATTAAAATCACTAATAATTAATATATACAATTAATTAATCGAGAAATTCCTAGCGACTAAACTCCCTCTCTCTCTCTCTCTCTCTCTCTCTCTCTCTTCCTCTTTCCCTCTCTCTCTCCGTCCCTCCCTCCCTTCCCCTCTCGCTCGTTCAATTTTCCCATTTAATGCCATATACATGTATGCATTTCCAGCTTTGTCAAGATAAGGATGAGTATACATCAGCGACGACTTGGGGGAATCAACGCAGCGGCGGCGGGTTACACGGCGGCGGCGCCGCCCCACGCCGGAGGGCAGAAGGTGACGACGAAGGCGTGGGCGGAGCAACCGACGGTGGGCGTCTCTTTGTCGAAGGCGTAGGTGCGGTAGGAGGGGCAAATCTCCTTGAAGAGCATGGAGTAGCTGCTGGGTCGGCAGGTCTCCTCGTTCCCGAAGGCGTTGCGGCAGCAGTAGTCGTCAAGGTCGAAGGCCATGCAGGCGCTCTTGCAGGCGACCACCTCTCCGCCGCCGCCCATAACCTGCAGCTCTGGCGGGCACGCCGCGTTGGGGTCCCCCGCGCACCCGCCGATGAAGCACTCGCCGTCGCCGGGCGGCGCGGCCGAGACGGAGACGGCGAGGTTGTAGCCGTCGACCAGGCTCACGTCGTAGAAGCTCCTCCCGTGCCGTTGGAGATTCATCTGCGCGCAACTGATGGAATGAAATTCTCGCAGAAATATGCCGTCGTTCGCACGGGTTGGAGAAGAAGGTGGACCTCAATGAGCGTGGCCGGCGGCGCGCCGGTGGTGCCGTTACAGGCGAAGCGGCCCTGGCAGTCGCCGGTGCGACAGGTGAGACCTGGCCGAGGGGAGTCGAACTCGCAGCCGGTTCTGGCCCAGAGGCGGCCGCTCCACGGCACGGGGGTGTTGACCCGCGTGGACTCTCCCGGGGGGAGGAAGAAGCCGCCGTTGGCGATGACGGGGTAGCCGCCGTTGGGGGCGACGGCGGGCCATATGGGGAAGTCGCACCGGTTGACCACGCGGAGAGCGACGCCGTCAGCTCCCCACCCTGCGACCAACGTCAATCATCACCATGCCCGAGTCGCAGAAAATCTTCTCGAGCGTATAATAAGCATACCAGAGAGAACGATGTGGAAGGAGATGAGAAGGAACAGGGAGGTGGCAATCCGGAGGAGGGAGGTGGCGAGCCGAACGCTGGACAGAGTCATCGCAACCGTACAAGGAACGAACGCCGAGTTGCTGCTATTCATGCCGCCGCCGCTGCTGCTGCTGCTGCTGCTGCTGCTGCTGCGTCTGCATGATATAGAGAAACCGAGAGGAGGAAGACCGGAAGCTGAAGTCTTTCGATCAGAAAAAAGGTCCAGAAACGTTTTCATTGATCCCTCTCTGCGCCGTCACATCCAGCGGTGGCCAGTTAAACGTGGGCGCGCATCAGAGTGGATTTTCTTAATCAGAAAGAAAAGGGAACCGTGGGAGGGGAAGAAGGACGAGGTCATTCCCCTCCCGGCTCTCCAAAACCTCAGCTCGAAGGCTCTCCGTCAGCTCTGATCCGGACTTTTCGCACACAGAGTTATCCCCTGCACCAAGCAATCTATAAACTATTACTCCTTGGAGTAACATAAATACCCATCATATTTCATCACAACAGCTATTAATTTCCACGTGGAACAAATGATATACATGCTCTCTATTTCATACACGGAACAATAATATCTGATTCTGGAGTCAAAGAAAGATGGTCAAAATTTTCGGTTGAAATAAACTTTTTAGTTAGGTTATAAGATTTCTTCTCTGTAGAATATTATCAAGAAAATTCTCATTTTGTTCATAAGAAAAATTATCAATGGCCGTAGTAAGCTCCAGATATCTGACCACATGTAAGCTGAGTTGACTAAACCTTAATGTCAACGACCCGTTTCTCAAGACCACAATATTCAACCTTTCACTTTCATTAAGAGAATACTCCAGCAATCACAGCCGGGTGCCTGCACCAAGGAAGAGAATGCGGATAGCATCCTCCTTGAGAGCATCTCCAAAAAGAGGAGTTTTAGCTCATCTTGCCATTAAAGGAAGGAACAACACAATCTAAGAACATGGTTTGACGTAGATTAAGTGAACATGGTCTCTAAGTCCTCAATCATCAGCCAGTCCTAGAAAAGAAAGCCCAACGAAGAAGAAAATATGCTTCATTAATCGTTCATTGATTTAGAAACATCAACAGAACCCCTTGTTCATTCTGAGACTTACTGTCAGACCTCTGCTAAATATACAACAACGGGGAATGCCCTAGCCAGTGTTCCTTATGCCGTAGGGCTGTCAGATGGGGAAACCATCAACCTCTGCCCACTTGAGTGTCTCTTCCTCTGTCACTTCCAGGGTCAACTCCACCAGGCTTCCAGATTTTGTGACACTATCTCTAATCCTCGCAGAAGAAGCTTAAAGGATTCAAGCATCTTATCAGATACAAGAGAAGATACTGGACCCTCTTGAATCGGGGATTTCAGATTTCAGACACTAAACCTGTTGCGATTACAGCCTCGGAAAGATTAGCAAGGTTATCCGCATTTTTAAGGAATCATCCCTTCATTCTGATGCTCTAGTTCCTTTCCAAGAAATCTGAATCTAGTGGTGAAATCTCTCAGACTGATCTCCTCCGCTCTCTCTGGTGGAACTGTACTTCAATCAGCTACTCTTAACCGAACAGCAAAAACTATACTAAATCAGTTATCTTGATCTCCATTGCTTTTTTTTTTAATTATTCCTCCACCAAGAAACCACACGCTTTCAGACGTGGCCAAAGTTAGAATGGAACATCCATCATAATAACTGAAGAAGTGATATTGACGGTCCGCAAATATACTAATTTAAATTTGAATATCACAAAATAAAAATGATAAATAGATGAACTAATAAATACGAAGTGGGGTCCCCACCAAGCCACTCAAAAAACCCAAAACAACAAAAACACCCTAGAACCATGGTAAAACTCATATACCCAGTCGAATGCAGCAAAACTCCAGAAAAAGAATCACAAATCCACAGAGACGAGTCCATGTTTGCCGATAAAGATATCCATATTTCTATGACCCTGCAACGAACTATCGTTCCTTGCCATTTCCAGCTCCTGTCAATAGGCCATGGCACAATGGAGATTGTAAACGGGTAATTAGTGCCCTGAATTTCGTATACAGATGGAAGCTATATGTTCTAGATTAGCATTTCAATTAAGGGGACTGAAATATTGATGAGCATTTTTTATCCGATTAGGCTACTTTTGAAATGATGGAAGCTATTCCGGTCACTCATTGGACAAAAACCTACTAGAAGTTAGTGACCATCAAGCTCATTTTAATGTTCGATCATCTCCAAGGAAGAGGACCACGGCAGAGCCTTTCATTGCGTCAAACTGAGCACCATCTCAAAGTTGTTTAGTAGCTCCATCATCGACATAACTCTTGGTCTTACCAGCTTGGAACCAAAACTAAATAGAGAAAATAGACCAGAAGACAAATGAGATCCAGGGCGTACCTGAAGCTGATCAGATCATATCCTGCGTACTTTTCTCAATACTTGACAGTGACAGAACACTAAACAAGCGTCCAGGACTTCTGTCTCAGGAGATGATCTGCGTCAAGTAGTCCACTGAACAACCTGCACGAAGGAAAGGTATTCAACAATGGGTCAAGCATGCATCTTATCCACAAGAGAACCAACCTTTACAAAATTAATGTGCATATCATATAAATTCGTGCTTAACTAAGGCTATTTTGGGGTGCTTTACCTGAAGGTTTCGCTGGTGTAGTAAAATCAAAGTCCTCATATCCAAAAATTCTCTGAAAGGTATTAGCATGGAAGATCACCCTTCTCGTTGTTCAACAAACCTCCGCCATCCATAAGAGGTTTTGCCTGGATAGCATGCCTCAGTCTAGCCTCCACACCTGCATTGATTCTTCTGCATATATCGATGGGCAGCAGTGCTTCTCCCGAAGCAATCAGCGTCTGACTGACCAATTTGTAAGTATATTCTCTCGGGATAGAACCTCCACTTACCATCTCCACGAGAAGGTTCCTACCTTCATTCAATCTACCTCCTTCACAGAGCGCATGAATTATTGGGGTATAAGAACTTGATGTCGGCGTGCCATGTCCCTTCGAAGCCATTGCTCTCATCATCTGAATTGCCTTGTCCACTTCATTGACAGCAGAGAAGTATCTAATGAAGGAATTATAAGTGACCCGATTGGGAGAGAGCCCCCTAAGGAGCATATCGTCGAACAGTTCCAGTGCGCGCCCAATCCTGTACGTCTTGCAGAGTCCATCAATCAAACAGTTGTAGGTGACAACATCTGGAACGAGCCCTCTGAAGAGCATATGCCGGAACATACGGTTGGCCTCCCACATCCGCCGGCGGACTGCCTTCCGGCAACCAGTTTGCATGCTCCTCCTACAGTAAGAGGCGATGAGGATGGTGTAGGTGTAGGTATCTGGTGGGTACCTTGCACCCGGTAGCTCCATCTGCTCCAACAAGAATCGAGCTCTCTTCAAATTCCCCACCTGACAGAGCGCCGCAATCACCACATTGTGGGTCTGCACGTCTGGCTTACAGTGAAGCTGCTTCATCCGGTAGAACGCATGCAGGGCCTCCCTCGAGAGGCCCTCTTCCCCAAGAACCTTAATAACGGCCGTCATCGTCGGGGTGCCGACGAGACGCTGGTTGGCACCGAGGAATCCCCAAAGACAACGCAGAGCATTGGCCCTGGCCAGCACGCGGGCCATCTCCCTACAAGTGCCCTCGTTGTGCACAAACCCACATGAGGACTCCACCCACGAATAGAACTCCATCGCCTTGGCCACCCCCAGCCGCACCCTCGCGGGATCTCTGTGCGCCGCAGGGCCACCGATGCAGACACCAACGCGCGAGTCACGAGCCTCCTGCCGGAGGTTCCTCTGCCGGAGCGGCGAGCGGTGCCGCGCCGTGAGCCGCTGGCGGCCAACGGAGCGGGAGCTGAGGAAGAAGTAGCGCGGCACAGCACCGAGCACGCAGCAGACGGAGTCTGAAGTAAAACCAGAGAAGCTTGGGGACACGGGTAGCTGTGCCCCAAAGGGCCGGTCCTGTACCATGGCGGCCATCACCTGCCGCACGAGTACGAGCTGGCGGGGCGTCACCATTGGCACCTGCCGCCGCTCCTCACTGCCTCCCCTTCCTCTGCAAATCTGCTGAGTCTGCCTGCTTCTTCTCGCCATTCTTGAGGCCCGCACACAAGCCCCGCATATGTGGGCCGGGCCGTTTTGCTTTGGATTGGGCCAGATGCAACATCCGATTCACAATTCGGCCGCATATAGTACAATGACCATTTAGTCCCTCCATCTCTCTCTCTCTCTCTCTCCGTCGCAGTTAGTTGCTGTAGTAGGAGGCTTACACGTTGACCAATGTTTGCTATTGGGCCGGGAGGTGGTCCTCGTTGACGCTGGCAAAAATCAAGCCAGCTGTACCCATGACGTCAACTTCGAGTCTCTCCGGCAGGGAACTCCCGGTAACGTGAGCGCAGCCGCGTTGCGTTCCCGAAACGCCACGATTTCTTAATTCGGTGGGGGCATAACATGGGTTCGGAGAAGAATGTGACCAACCGTCGGTACGTAGGCACAGGTTTATGACGTCATATGACAATTATACAGGTTTTTATACCAGTTCAATAAAAAAATGGCATTTAATGCTTTTTTCTTTTACGAAACATAGGAGATGCGTAGATAATAATACAGTTGATTCAGGTGTTACTGTACGAGCGCGGATTTTCCGGGGAGGCGTTTTCTAGCTGCCGCGTGGCATCGGTGTCAGACGGTATTATACTTAAAACGGCGGTTTCGAAAAACGGGAGCTTTTTTGGTGAGCTTCCGTAACGGCGGCCACGTGTCGAGGAAGCGGTGCTGACGATTCCCGTTAGGGAGAGAGGTGGGCCAGCAGCATACCAAACGGTCGACGTATTCCCCGTCTCCACTTCCCTGCGTCTACGTGGTGCTCCTTTCCCTCACCCCTTCCCCCTTCCCGCTGTCTCTCTTTCTCTCTGTCTCTGTCTGTAAGTCCTACCTACGGGCCTCTCGCCGTCGTCTTTCTCTCTCTTCCTTCTCTCTCTAACGAGGAATGGGAAAGCGGTTTTTGATAGAAGGGGGGCCCTCGCCATGGGAGCTCCGTCTTTGACGACTCCCACAGGAGTCATTGTGGAGCGCCCCCCGTGCTCCTTTGCCTCCGCTATTTGAGAGCCCTGCTTGCTGTACCACTGAATTCGAGGTCCGAGGCTAGGGTTTGCGCCATTCCTCCCTCGTCCCGTCCCCTTCGTCGGGGATTCAGGAGAGAGAGAGAGAGAGAGAGAGAGAGATGAAGAAAGGGGGGAGGGGGGAGGCGGCGGCGCTCCGGTGGACGCGGCGGCGATTCCTCTGGGTGCTCTTGGCGGTGGCTCTCCTTTACCTGATCTTCTTCTGCTGCGAATTCCCCTTCCTCTTCGGTTGGGTAGATTCGACGTCTTACACCAACGACACCTCTGCTTCGCGCGGCCACCTTGGCGGTGCCCTGCAGCGGAGGCGTCAGCCCCTGGACAGCGAGGTGGAGAAGTACGAGAAGGAAGCCCCTGTCCGCCCCGATAAACTTTCTTTACGAGTCACCCCATTCATTGTCCCGGCCATGTCCGATCATCGCGCTGTTCGCCGCCGGCGCATCTCCTTAGAAGTCTCCGGTCTGATTTTCCGGCCTGCCGACGACCACGGAGGCCCGTTGTCCGAGCTCCGCAAGACGGCGGGGGCTGCCTGGGAGGTTGGCGGGAAGTTGCTCAGGGACTTGCAGTCGGGACAGCTAGCTGCTTCCCTAGCGCAAGCCGCAGAAGAAAAGAATGGCACGGAGGAGGCCTGTCCAAACTCGATCTCTCTGTCTGGAACGGAGTTCAGGGAGAGAGGTAGGTTGATGGTCCTACCCTGTGGGCTGGCCCTCGGGTCTCACATCACAGTCATCGCAAAGCCCTACCCAGCTCACGCCGAGGATGATCCAAAGATCGCGTTGCTCAGGCAGGGAGAGCAGGCAGTCATGGTCTCCCAGTTCATGATGGAGCTGCAGGGTCTCAATACGGTGGACGGCGAGGATCCCCCGAGGATTCTCCATTTCAATCCCCGGTTGAAGGGGGATTGGAGCGGGAAGCCCGTCATCGAGCAGAACACCTGCTACAGGATGCAGTGGGGAACCGCGCTACGCTGTGATGGGGCGAAGTCCAGGGCCGACGAAGAGGCCGGTAGGTTTGATTTTTTCTGTGCGATCATATTTTGGTTCACCTCTGACGGAAGATCGCTAGCTCCATTACCGCTCAGATACAAACCTTACAGTAGGTTGGATTGCTGGGGAGGGATGCTCTCTATTGGATGATGCTTCGAATTTCTTCACCGCCATTTATGTCGTTGTTTGACCGCTGGCGTTGATGAACTACTCCAATATCAGAGTCAACTGCTCAATATTTTATTTCGCGCCATAGCAAATTTATCTTCGGCAGGTTTTTCACTCCTCTGTGCGTTGACCGAGCCATGCTCTTCATGCAGTTGATGGGCTTGCGAAGTGCGAGAAATGGATGCGGAATGATGACGATCTGTCAAAAGAATCACAGACGAGTCGGTGGTTGAACCGCCTGATGGGTCGGACGGAGGAGCTCTCAGTCGATTGGCCATACCCATTTGTAGAAGGCAGGCTGTTCGTCCTCACCCTTGCCGCTGGCCCCGAAGGCTATCATGTTCATGTCGATGGGAGGCATGTTACCTCTTTCCCATACCGCACGGTGAGCACGGTCTCGGTTCTACCTTCATTTTATACGATCAAATCTGATGCGATTGCAGAAAGATGACGACTTTCCTTCTGTTTTCTGATCAGGGATTTGTTCTGGAAGATGCCACTGGTCTATCACTGAAGGGGGACATCGACGTCCGCTCTGTTATCGCGGCGTCCTTGCCTGTATCACACCCGAGCTTCTCCCCCAAGAGACATCTGGAGATGTCTGCTCAATGGCAGGCCCCCCCGCTGCCGGATGAACCCGTTGAGCTATTCATCGGCATTCTTTCAGCTGGCAACCATTTTGCTGAGCGAATGGCCGTGAGAAAGTCGTGGATGCAGTCGATAAGAAAATCGCAGAACGTCGTGGCGCGGTTCTTCGCTGCGATGGTAACATCCGAGGCTGGAGTATTAATTTTTCATCATAATTTAGCATTTATGGGTAGGAGGTCGCATTAATACTCATCCCTTTCATCACTGTCCAGCATGCGAGAAACGACTTAAATGTCGAGTTAAAGAAGGAAGCAGAGTTCTTCGGTGATATTGTCATCGTCCCGTTTATGGATAGCTATGATCTCGTGGTTTTGAAAACTGTAGCTATTTGTGAGTACGGGGTAAGCATGACCATAGCAAAAGTCGCCTTCTTGCTAGTTGCTCTGATGGGTTTTTTTTTTTTTTTAATTGAGAAAGTATCAACATGAAGAACTGATGGTCTCATTCGTCATAACAGGTTAACAGAGTCTCAGCCAAGTATATAATGAAGTGCGATGATGACACATTTGTCAGAGTCGATTCTGTACTTGAAGAGGCGAAGAAGGTCCCAGGTGACAGAAGCCTGTATGTGGGAAACATCAATTACTATCACAGGCCCTTGCGAAATGGCAAATGGGCTGTGACATATGAGGTATATATATATATATATATATTCTCTCTCTCTCTCTCTCTCTCTCTCTCTCTCTCACACACACACACACACACACACACACACACACTGACTGTTTATGGTCGCAAATCAAATCAAATTTTTTTCTTGATTTTTATTTCCACCTTATATGTAAAGATAAAATTGCTACTGTCACAAAGGGGGGGTCTGTGTATATTTATTTCCTTGAAATGATATCTTGATGCCCTTTTCGAGGTTGTGTACGAAGCATAAAATTCTTCTTTTATCCAGGAGTGGCCTGAGGAAGTCTATCCGCCCTACGCAAATGGCCCTGGTTACGTGGTGTCCTCTGACATTGCTCAGTTTATTGTTTCCGAGTTTGAGAAACAGACGCTAAGGGTAAGCTCTGAAGCCTTCTCCTCTCATAATCAAACCATGGCGCTTACAGTTCATTGAGCCATCGTCAGAAATATGAAAAATTGCCTGATCATCTGTATAAAAGTCGTATTTATGCTAGATTTATCTTCATCCCAGCTTCTGGGCTTTTCAAATAATTTCTGGAAGCTCCCATGGAATATGGAATACCTGGTAACATAAGGTCTATGGAGATTCAGACACAGATTAGACTGCCCATCATCATCATCATCATCATATACAGGAAAAATCGCTGTTTATGCTAGAATTATCTCCAACCCTGATTAGCTTATTGAGGAGATTATTCTGGCGTAGATTAACTTACCCATCAAGATCATCATGAGAATATTTATTCATCTATCGTCCTCCACGGAGATATTTAGCTTTTTTTGGTCGGGGACCTGATGCGATGGGCGATCGATGCAGCTGTTCAAGATGGAGGACGTGAGCGTGGGAATGTGGGTGGAGCAATTCAACAGATCGACGCCAGTGGAGTACGTGCACAGCCACAAGTACTGCCAGTTCGGCTGCGTCGACAACTACTTCACCGCGCATTACCAGTCCCCCCGGCAGATGCTCTGCATGTGGAACAAGCTGCGGGCGGGAAAAGCCGAGTGCTGCAACATGAGATGA